GGTTGCCGAACCGGTGCGTAGGGACGCGTGTGTGGAATACCCTTACACCACTACTACGTCTATTATGCTCTGCAGGCGCGTTTCCTATATAGTGCGGCATAACTGCTCTATGTATTTAAGCATATAATTAATCTAGTAACTAGCGCTTCTAAACTTATTAAAGGCTAGATAAAAGTGTTGCTTCCTAGCCTATAGCTAGGTGGCGCGCTCTTAGAAGCTGCTAGGTGTCTTAAAGAGCGGTTCGATGCCGCTTTTTAAGATAATATCTTAACTACAAGAGCTGTCTTCGTCAGAGTCCTTGCTACGAGTGCGCTTACCCTTTACTCGGGTTGCTCTCGTATCTAAGAGCTATTGTGTAAGGGGCTAGTGTGCAATGCGTGGTCACGAAGGCTTAACTAGTTTGTACTATTGTATTAAGACTTCAACTTAACGAACTATAGGAGATTAGTAGGCAAAGGCCTGCCAGCTAATATATACGTGGCTGGAAGATGCGGTGTAGCGCAAACCCAGTGGGGCGTGGCGCAGCTAAGTGGCTGTGCTAGTCCCGTGCAACGTGTCAAGATAGTTCGTTAAGTCCGCCGCTTAGTAAGCGACTGGTTGCCGAACCGGTGCGTAGGGACGCGTGTGTAGAATACCCTTACATATTGCTATAGGTCTACTATTCGCTGCTTTAAGCGCTCCGCTTTACGCAGTCGATTATTTTCAGCAATAAGGTCCGCTACCATCTAGTCTATAGTGGGCCTAATAGTCTGCCCTAAGGGGCCTTCGCCCGCATCGTCGTCATCCAGTTGCTTGTAATCCTCCTTTAAGAGATTAGAGTCTTCGTTCTCTACTTCTTCGACGATAGGGTTAAGGGGGTTCTCGACTGTTGCCCCGGAGCTGCTCTCTTCCTGCGCACTACGTGCGTGCGACGTTTGCTTCGTAGTCTTTCGAGGTGCCATTGCTCCTTCTGCCTCCTAACTTGGGTAGCCTAATGGTAGAAGAATTAGGAATTGTTAAAGGTGTACTTGGGTAGGCTAGGTAAGTTAGGCAGGCAAGGAGGTATCTTCTTAACAGGAGGAAGCAGCCGTATATTCAATAGCTAATTCTTGCCTTCTGCACTCTAAGGGAGTGCGGGAGGCACTCTTTATCGTAGGCGCACCTCTGGCGCACCAAGTGCGCAGGACAGGCGCGACCTTGTTTCTACTTGGCCCGTGCGCTAGCACGTGCTGTGGCCTGTGCGCAGACTGCGCCACGCAGCCTGCGCCACTAGCACCGCTTCTAGTTCACGATGTGCATCTAATACGCTGTGCGCATACTGCGTACGGCTTGCGCGTAGCCTGCGTCGGTCCCCTTCCTAGGGCGGCGTTACACTTAAAACGTTTATGCTAAAAGTATTAGTTAGTTACTAAAGGCTTTAACTTATCTTTTTATAAGGCGTAGCTAAGTTCTTTAGTTACTACTATTAAAGTTATTAACTTTTAAATAGTTACTATATAATTGCCTAGCGTTAGAATAATAATATTAACTATAATCTACTAAAGTAGCAACTTGTTTATACTAGCTAAAAACTTTTTAATATATTAGGCTAAGCTTCTAATCTTATTAAAGAACTATTAGTTAGTAGTTAGCTACTAGCGTATATAAGTTAATATACTTACTAATAAGTATAATATATTATTAGCTAGATAGCTAATATAGTATACTAAGTTCTTTAGTAAAGCTATATATAAAAACTTATAGTAAATGTTTAAATAAGCCTTAAAAATATAGTTTAGGTATAAAGCTTACTTTAAAGTTAGCTATTACTTAGTAACTACTATACTAGTAAAGACTTATACTTTTATAAAATAGTATATATACTTAAGAAAAGTATTTTATAAGATTTATGTTAAAGGTGTACTTGGGTAGGCCAGGTAAGTCAGGCAGGCAAGGAGGTATCTTCTTAACAAGAGGAAGTAGCCGTATATTCAATAGCTAATTCTTGCCTCTTGCACTCTAAGGGAGTGCGGGAGGCGCTCTTTATCGTAGGCGCACCTCTGCCGCACCAAGTGCGCAGGGCAGGCGCGACCCCGTTTCTACTTGGCCCGTGCGCTAGCACGTGCTGTGGCCTGTGCGCAGACTGCGCCACGCAGCCTGCGCCACAAGCACCGCTTCTAGTCTACGACGTACATCTAATACGCTGTGCGCATACTGCGTACGGCTTGCGCGTGGCCTGCGTCGGTCCCCTTCCTAGGGCGGCGTTACAATTTATATCTATAAAAAAGTTTATTAAAACTTAAAAATAGCTTTAGTTAAATATTATTTATAAGTAATTATTAGCTAGCTACTATATAATGTTATAAATTATTATATTAACCTACTATGCTAATAAGATTAAAAAAAAAGGCTAAAAAGGTAAAAGTAGTTTTATAAGTATAAATAAATTTATTTTAAAATTATAAAATATACTTACTCTTTTATACTTTAAAGTAATAAAAAAGCTACGTTATTAAATGTTTAAATATATCTTAAAAACTTACTTAACCTTACTTTAATAATAAAGTAAAAAAATATTTAAAATTAAATAAAAGATGTCTTAGTAGCAAACTACCTTTATTATTTAGTTAGTAATAGTTTTATACCTAATAAGTAATAAATAGCTACTAATGCCTTTATTCTACTTTACTAGTAATTAAAAGTCTTAAGCTTTATACTATTATTTTTAGTTAGCGTATACTATACCTTTATATACTTAGTATCTAAAGCTAGCTCCTTTATAACACTTATTAACAGCAACCTAAGCGTTTCTTAAGTAAGATCTAAGCTGCACGCCTCTTAAAAAGCTCTTACGCATAGAACAACCCTTATATTAAGCAAGATCTAGCGTTTACTACCGCTATAGACTAAGCAGTACGTGTACGCTTTTACGTACCTAAATGCAGTCGTATAAGCAAGCAATCCGCAACCGCTTAGCAACCGCTAATAACCTAAAGCACTTAACTCTTTTTCCTAACTTAACATAAAAAGGGTTTTTAACAAGCAAGTGGCTGCCGCGTATACACCTCTAGGCTAACAAGGGCGTTACTTAGGGAGGGGATAGTGTAAGGGTATTCTACACACGCGTCCCTACGCACCGGTTCAGTAACCCGTCGCTTACTAAGCGTTAGACTTAACAAACTATCTTGACACGTTGCACGGGACCAGCACAGCCACTGAGCTGTGCCACGCCCCACTAAGGTTGCGCTACACCGCATCTTCTAGTCACGTATAAATTAGCTGGCAGGCCGTCGCCTACTAGTCTACCATAGTTCATTAAGTTGAAGTTTTAATACACTAGTATAAACACGTTTAAGCCTTTAAAATCACACATTGCACATCAACCCTTACACTTTCTAAGATTAGTAACTGCTTAAACCCTGCCTGTTATTATTCGCTAATAGTAAGGGTATTTATTAAAGCTAAGAAGCGGTTTAGTTTAAGAAAATTGGTGTAAGGGGTGGTGTGCAATGTGTGATTTTAAAGGCCTTAAACGTGTTTGTACTTGTGTATTAAGACTTCAACTTAACGAACTATGGTAGACTAGTAGGCGACGGCCTGCCAGCTAATTTATACGTGACTAGAAGATGCGGTGTAGCGCAACCTTAGTGGGGCGTGGCACAGCTCAGTGGCTGTGCTGGTCCCGTGCAACGTGTCGAGATAGTTCGTTAAGTCCGCCGCTTGGTAAGCGACAAGTTGCCGAACCGGTGCGTAGGGACGCGTGTGTGGAATACCCTTACAATTGGCTTAGGAAGGCCTAATATATAACATATTTTTAACCTTGCCGGCGGCTCTCCTACAGCTTTGCACACTAGCAATTTTATAAATGGATAGGGCGTTAAACAACATAGTACTAGTGCTAAACTGTTTACGGGAAAATTTCCAATAATAACAACTAATATTATGCCTTCCTTCACAGGCATTTTGTCATCGCTAAAGATGAATAGTAGCTTACTATAGGCATTGCAACGGTATTCAAGGGTCCTAAGTAAATTCTACGAGTATATTCCTTAACGTAAAACAGAATGCAACGACGGTTGTCCTAGGTACAGCCTAGTTATGCTAGATTAGCTCCTGTGTGTCAGTAAGATCTTTAAAGTTATCATCGCATTTCAGAACCTAAAGACTTTTCGACGGCAGTTTACGGTTTTTGTTTGTATTACGCCGAAAGGACAAGAGATGTCTAAATAGCATGTACACCATCTTAATATTAATGACCTTATTTGTGAATAACAGCATATTGTCTTGGACTGAATGCGGATAGTCTTCAATGGTAAGGAAAGGTAGATGATATTTTCTAGGTTATAGTATTGCTTATAACAGGCGACTGATATTGGTCCATGCGTTACGATACTTAGTATACAGTTTGTTAGCTAAATATAAAAAACCTCAAAGAGTCCCTCGTTCGATTTACTCGGTCCCATATATTATCGTTTGTTCGAGAGAAGTGCTAGCCGCACTGAGGAATTCCGCCATTCACACCTTGTATATTTATGGAGGTGGCTACATTTTTACCGCCTCCAGGGGTCGACACACATGTCTGGTTTCTGCGATGCCATAGGTTCTCCAAGGGTCAACCTACCTGTAAGGGGCTGGTGTGCAATGCGTGGTCACGAAGGCTTAACTGGTTTGTACTGTTGTATTAAGACTTCAACTTAACGAACTATAGGAGACTGGTAGGCGAAGGCCTGCCAGCTAATATATACGTGGCTGGAAGATGCGGTGTAGCGCAAACCCAGTGGGGCGTGGCACAGCTAAGTGGCTGTGCTAGTCCCGTGCAACGTGTCAAGATAGTTCGTTAAGTCCGTCGCTTGGTAAGCGACTGGTTGCCGAACCGGTGCGTAGGGACGCGTGTGTGGAATACCCTTACACTACCTATGTACGTGTGGCATGTAGTGCATATATTAACGTTATGTCGAGCGTTTTGGCAAGGCCAACAATAACAACCGAAGTAAAGGTCAATTTTAATCTGACTACAGGTGGTTTGACGAACATGACAAAACCTATGCACGAACAGCTGCGCCCAGGGCACCTCCAGTAAACTGTGTACCACCTGCCTGGCGCTGCGTGTTTCCTCCTGCCCGTGGGCCGCCCCGGCCACCTCGCGCACCACCCCTTTGTCCACCCCCCCGACCACGGCCGCCTTGCCTCTCGAATGCATTCGCAGTGCCTTGTGTGCGCTGTTCGAGTGTCCGTTCGTTTGTCTCAATGAGAGCACTTGCTTTGTCGGAAAGCGTGAGCGCCAGGCTTTGCAGGCGACTGAGCTCGACGCCTTTCCGGAAGATGATGGTCTGATTCACTTGATCCAAAGCTGCCGCAAGCTCCTCATGGCTTATCATCTTGCTGATAATGGCTGATGCCTTGAAAGGCTCAAGCTCGAACATGGCGCTCAATGTCTCCACAGCCAACGTATCGTAGAAAGGGGCATACGTGAAGAGGAACGTCCTTACACCTTCTTCCTGGATCTGCTTCGCAAGCATAGCCTTGATGCTATCAGCCTGCGGCATCAACTCCCAGATCTTGATGCCATGGATGAACTCTGTTGCCTTCTTCCACTCCCCAGCAGCCAGGGCTTTCGATGCCTGCATCACATGATCACGAGTGTTTTCTGGAGGCCCAGTGAAGATTTGCCGCTCATGGTACTCAAGCATACGGCGGTAGGTCTTGCTGATTACCCGCTTCTTGATATCAGGCGATGATCCAGTCTGCGCCAGCAATGGGATTTCCAATAGCATGCTGCATGTCAGGTACACACACTCCAAGAGTTCGAGGTTGATGTGCATGTGGAAAGGTAGCTGGCGCTGCCTCTCGATCCGTTCCTGTTCCGGTGAAACTTGGCTATACCGTTGAATCATAACGCCCTGAGCTAGGAGTTCCTTCTGCCTACCACTGCCACAAATTTCTTGCAAGGTGTTCTGGGCATCGTAGACAAGACCCTTCCGAAAAGCGCAGAGGCCGACTTGGACCAGCGTCCTGTTGTAGAGTATCTGAGACTGGACATCAAAACTGCCAATGGTTTCCTGCAGATGCGACATGAGCATCATGTCGCGTGCGTGGTAGTAATCATCGTGGAGGGCTAGGAAATAGATTTCGCAGAGCATAGCGCGTGCGCGGATGATACCCTCGCTATTAGCGAAGAGGTAGCTACACAGCACGTTCAGAAGACGCGTCGGTTCACTGCAGTCTACCCTCGGGGAAATCAAGGAGTCAACATCATCCGCGACAGACTTCCAGCTGCTTTCCTCCAGAATTTTAATGACTTGTGCAGGCTGCGTGCACAGGGAGTAAAACTCGTTAGCTAGTGTGAAGAATGTGTCAATCGCTAGGATCAGTGTCTCATACCTTGAAGTATATATGTTCCAATCTACGCATAATAATGCGGTTCAGGCTCTCCTGGGGAATTTCAAGAGACGAGTCACGGCGGAGAGTCTCATAGTACAGGAGTCCTTGGAAAATGATGTTGTACAGAGAGCTCTCATCCGTAAGACGTTCAATATACTCAGATGTGTGAGGGTCGATGTTCTGCAAGGAGCGAATGAGCTCATCGTCTAGCCTTTCGATGTAGGAGACGATGCTGCCAGGAATTTTGATATAAGCTTGTCCGGCTTCTAGAACCGGAGGCTTCTCATCATCGTCCCATTCTTCAGCACTTTCCAAAACAATAAACTCTTTGTTGTCCCGAAGAATACTGAAAAGAAGCGCCAGTTCTTTTTCAGCAGCTTTCCATTGATCCAAAGGCATGTAAGTTGCGGCACCTGAGCCCAAGTCAAACCGGGCCGAGACAAGCGTCAGGAGGACGCGGATTCGCTGGTACGGAGTGGCGGCAATCTCGTTGAGTTTCACCATTATCTTGATTTGCTCCAGGCGATCCGTGTTCTTCTTGCCACGGGCTTCCATGATCCCCCGAAGGTGCTTTAGGATGCTCTCCGGTGTAAACTGCAAAGTACGGCCGCCCTTTCCGATAGTCTTGAAACTGTTGTCGTCATCCTCTTCGATAGGGGCATCTGAGACTAAATCAAGCACCTTCACCGGCTTCGGCTTCGAAACAGCCTCCTCCTCCTCGTCAGACAGCATAAAGCCATCCTTGTCTTCACGATAGGCGTCAATCTGGGACTGATACTCTTTGACGATCTTCCGTATGCGCTGCTTCACAGCATTCAGGCCTCGCGCACTGGTCGCATTCATCTTTTTCAGGGCGACTTTCTGCATTGAGATGGTCTCATTCATGAAATCTTCGAGATCGGCAACAGCCTTGACGTAAAGTCTGGGTGCTTTTGAGCCAGCACGAAGCTTTTCGGCCTGCTTGTTGAGTTTGTCGAATTCTTTAATTGAAATTAGCAGCCGTCACTCCGAGAACGTGCATACCGTAGGCAACAAACCTGTAGAGACAGAGCCCCAGTCGTTGATTTTCTGTGCGTTTTCGATGGCCGTGATTGTGGCATCCAACTCCTCAAAGCGCTTATCCTTGGCACTCTTGACTTTGGTAGTGGCCTCGTCAGCCTCTTCCTCGCTGTCGGAAGACTCGTCGAGCAAGAATGCGTTGGCGCCACGCTTTTTGGCACCTTCGTCATCGCTGTCTTCATCGCTGTCTTCATCGCTATCGTCATCGCTGTCGTCGTCGTCCTCATCGTCGTCCACTTCCTCCTCTTCCTCCTCTTCGGAGTAAAGCTCCTCCTCGTCGGAGCTGCTCTCACTCGAGCTATCGTCAACAGTAAATCTCGCAGCCATCTTGAAAGCCGTATTAGACGTAATGACTGAACGTGTTCGTTTAGACTGGCAACGAAGCACAGAAAAAAGTGGCACACGAGGGGAAAAAAATAACCATGCAAAAAATAAGTTTTAGTGGGGTGTGGCTTCAGTACTGGGGCTTGCAAAATGTTTCGGACCGCATTAATGTTTGCCAGCTGACAGAGGTCACGTGCTACACCGTAGTGCATTGATACGTAGTATCGGGTGGCAAAAAAAATATGCTAGTAGTTCTGAAATTCAACGAGCTTCGCAACTGTCGCGTCTGGCCTAGAACAAATTTCGTCCATCATCCTTTTGAGGAGGGGGCTATCACATCTTCAGCGGTGCTTCTTCGCTCAGACTGAGCCGTTTACACCAAGATATCTTGTACAGAATTATCACCGAAGGCCAGATATTCGACGCGAAAACCTGCGAAAAAGAACCGTTGTTTACCGTGTTTGACACGGTTCACGACCGAAAATGTCGTCCTTGCCTCCCCCCCCTCCAGGATGGGCTCCTCCGCCTTCTTCACCTCCTCCTCCTCCTCCTCCTGATTCCTGGATGCTTCCTCCTCCTCCTGCGGCCCCCCCGCCACCCTCCCCGCCTGGGTTCAAGCCTCTCACTGGTGCCGACATTGCGAAACTTCAGCAGAAGAAGAACGAATGGCTTCGGACGCATCGCAATCGATTTGGCGAGAAGAGAAGGGGCGGCTTTGTTGAGACGCAGAAAGCCGACATGCCACCGGAACATCTGCGGAAGATCGTGAAAGATATTGGCGATGTTTCCCAGAAGAAATACACCAGCGACAAGAGAAGCTACCTGGGTGCTCTCAAATTCATGCCCCATGCAGTTTTGAAACTTCTAGAGAACATGCCGATGCCTTGGGAATCAGCACGAGAAGTAAAGGTTCTTTATCACGTCAATGGGTGCCTGACTCTTGTCAATGAAGTGCCTCGCGTTATCGAGCCAGTATTCCACGCGCAATGGGCAACTATGTGGACTGCCATGCGGAAAGAGAAGAGTGACAGGAGGCTTTTCAAGCGCATGCGATTTCCTCCATTTGACGATGAAGAGCCTCCACTGTCTTGGTCTGAGAACATCGAAGATGTGGAGCCCTTGGAACCTATTCAAATGGAGCTCGATGAAGAAGAAGACGAAGCCGTCTACGAGTGGTTTTATGACAACAGACCATTAGTCGATACGCCTCATGTCAATGGACCAAGCTACAAAGCCTGGAACCTCTCATTGCAGCAGATGGCTACTTTGTACCGCCTCAGTCGTCCATTAATGACCGGCATCCACGACGAAAACTACTTCTACCTCTTCGAGCCGCAGAGCTTTTTCACTTCCAAAGCGCTGAATGTTGCTCTTCCTGGCGGGCCGCGATTTGAACCGCTATACAAGGATATCGATCCGAACGACGAGGACTTTGGCGAGTTTAATGCTATAGACCGCATTATTTTCCGGAGCCCAATTCGAACAGAGTCTCGGGTTGCATTTCCGCATCTGTACAACTCCTTACCCAGAAGCGTTCAGAACTCCTGGTACGCTTTCCCGCAGAGCGTATATAGAGTGTCGGATAATGCAGCCCTACCTACGTTTCATTTTGAGTCGTCTATCAACCCGGTCTCATCGCGCTCCTCTGCGTCGAAGTATACCACTGTCAGCCATGAAGACGAGCTTTTTGGACCTGGCCGCAACGAAGAACCGGATGATGATGTATTTGAACTGCCTGCGGGATTGTCGCCCTTCCTTGCTGATGAGGCCCTTGCAACGGATGACACGACCTCCGCCATCGAGTTGTGGTGGGCACCGTATCCTTTTGATCGTCGATCTGGCCATATGGTCCGCGCTCAAGACGTTCCTTTGGTCAAAAAATTCTATCTGGATCATCCTCCTCCCGACCTACCTCTGAAAATACACGTATCCTACCAGAAGCTCTTGAAGACGTACGTCCTCAATGAGTTGCACAAGAAGAAGCCTAAGACACTGCAGAGGCAGGATCTTCTCCAGACGCTAAAACAGACAAAGTTCTTCCAACAGACGACAATTGACTGGGTTGAAGCTGGCCTGCATGTCTGCAGACAGGGGTTCAATATGCTTAACCTGCTTATACACCGGAAGAACCTCACATATCTTCACCTGGACTACAATTTCAACTTGAAGCCGGTCAAGACTTTGACCACGAAGGAGCGGAAGAAGTCTCGCTTCGGAAACGCGTTCCATCTGATGCGTGAGATCTTGCGGTTGACCAAGCTGATTGTGGACGCACATGTCCAGTATCGTCTTGGCAACATTGACGCTTTCCAACTGGCTGATGGTATTCTCTACGCATTCAACCATGTTGGCCAACTGACTGGAATGTACCGGTACAAGTACAAGCTGATGCACCAAATCAGATCTTGTAAAGACCTCAAGCATCTTATCTACTTCAGCTTCAACATTGGTTCTGTTGGAAAGGGCCCTGGCTGTGGTGTGTGGGCACCAGCTTGGAGGGTGTGGCTTTTTTTCATGCGTGGTATCATTCCTCTACTGGAACGCTGGTTGGGCAACTTGCTTTCCCGTCAGTTCGAGGGTCGGCACAGCAAGGGCGTGGCCAAAACGGTCACCAAGCAGAGAGTGGAATCCCATTTTGACCTTGAGCTTCGTGCGTCTGTCATGGACGACTTGATGGACATGATGCCTGAGGGCATCAAGCAGAACAAGATCAATACAGTTCTCCAGCATCTGTCTGAGGCCTGGCGGTGCTGGAAGAGTAATATTCCTTGGAAGGTGCCTGGCTTGCCCGCGCCCATCGAGAATGTGATTCTTCGATATGTCAAAGCAAAAGCAGACTGGTGGATTTCTGTTGCGCACTACAACCGAGAGCGTATTCGGCGAGGTGCCACTGTGGACAAAACTGTGGCGAAGAAGAACGTTGGTCGACTCACGCGTCTGTGGCTGAAAGCAGAACAAGAGAGACAGCACAACCACATGAAAGACGGTCCCTACGTGTCCTCTGAAGAGGCCGTTGCAATATATACGACGACGGTACACTGGCTGGAGTCGAGGAAATTCTCACCTATTCCATTTCCTAGTGTATCGTACAAGCACGACACGAAGATACTGATTCTGGCCCTCGAGAGACTTCGCGAGTCCTACTCGACAAAGGGCAGGCTGAATCAAAGCCAGCGAGAGGAGCTCGCGTTAATCGAGCAGGCATATGACAACCCAGGAACGACGCTAGAGCGAATCAAGAGATTCCTGCTCACCCAGAGAGCTTTCAAAGAGGTTGGCATCGACATGAACGACAACTACAGCACTATCAACCCTGTGTACGACATTGAGCCGATTGAGAAAATCAGCGATGCGTATCTAGATCAGTATCTGTGGTATCAAGCAGACCAGCGCCACCTCTTTCCTGCTTGGATCAAGCCCTCAGACTCTGAAGTCCCACCGTTGTTGGTGTACAAATGGACGCAGGGCATCAACAACTTGCAGACTGTCTGGGAGACAGAAACCGGCGAGTGCAACGTCTTGATCGAGACACAGCTGTCCAAAGTTTATGAGAAGATCGAGCTCACTCTACTCAATTCCTTACTGCGACTGGTTATGGATCACAACTTGGCCGACTACATTACTGCCAAAAACAATGTGACGCTTGCATACAAGGATATGAGCCATGTCAACAGCTATGGCATGATCCGGGGCCTTCAGTTCTCTGCCTTTGTCTTCCAGTACTATGGATTGATTCTAGACTTGCTATTGCTCGGACCACAGCGCGCCAGTGAGATTGCCGGGCCGCCTCAAAGCCCAAACGATTTTCTTCAGTTCCAAGACCGGGACACGGAGACAAAGCATCCGATCCGTCTTTACACCAGATATATCGACAAAATTTGGGTGTTTTTGCGGTTTTCGGCCGAGGAGTCGCGTGATTTGATTCAGCGGTTCTTGACCGAGCAGCCTGACCCCAATTTCGAAAATGTCATAGGCTACAGGACAAAGAAGTGCTGGCCTCGCGATTCTCGGATGCGTCTGATGCGACACGACGTCAACTTGGGAAGAGCCGTATTCTGGGACTTGAAGAATCGGCTACCTCGGTCCGTGACTACGATCGAGTGGGAAGACACGTTCGCCAGCGTGTACAGTCGAGACAACCCGAATCTGCTTTTCTCCATGTGTGGATTTGAAGTCCGCATCCTGCCCAAGACACGCAACCAAAACGATGAATTTCCAGTCAAGGACAGTGTCTGGTCTTTGGTCGACAATACCACCAAAGAAAGAACTGCGCACGCGTTCCTTCAGGTGACGGAGGAAGACGTCCACAAATTCAACAACCGCATTCGCCAGATTTTGATGTCCTCTGGGTCGACAACGTTTACCAAGATTGCGAACAAGTGGAACACGGCTTTGATTGCGCTCTTCACCTATTACCGCGAGGCTGCTGTCTCAACAGTGAATCTTTTGGATACCATTGTCAAGTGCGAAACAAAAATTCAGACGCGTGTCAAGATTGGGCTGAACTCGAAAATGCCATCTCGATTTCCACCTGCTGTGTTCTACACACCGAAGGAGCTGGGAGGTCTTGGGATGATCTCAGGCTCTCATATTCTCATTCCAGCTAGTGATAAGCGGTGGTCCAAACAGACCGATGTTGGCGTAACTCACTACCGCGCGGGCATGACACATGGCGATGAGACGTTGATTCCAAACATTTTTCGTTATATCATTCCTTGGGAGGCAGAGTTTATCGACTCTCAACGTGTCTGGACCGAGTATTCTCAGAAGCGACTCGAAGCCAATCAGCAAAATCGACGGCTTACGCTAGAAGATCTTGAGGACAGCTGGGATCGAGGGCTACCGCGTATCAACACACTCTTTCAGAAGGACCGGAGCACTCTGAGCTTTGACAAAGGCTTCCGGGCCCGGGCCGAGTTCAAGATTTACCAGTTGATGAAGAGCAATCCATTCTGGTGGACCAGTCAACGGCATGACGGCAAGCTATGGAATCTGAATGCCTACCGCACAGACGTTATCCAGGCCTTGGGGGGCGTTGAAACGATCCTGGAGCATTGTAAGCATGGCATATCTTTGTTCACATCCATTTTGTGGTCAAACTTTACTAACTAGATTCAGGTCTTTTTAAAGCCACCGGGTTTGATAGCTGGGAAGGTAAGCGCGCGGTTGCTTTCATTGTTACATGCCTCGCTCTACAATACTAACTATTTTTGAAGGACTTTTCTGGGAAAAGGCTTGCCTGGCGTATGGCACTATGCTTTTGCGATATGATGGCAGCCGTGTTCGGGTCGAGGACGTTCGGGACGGTGACTTACTGCTTGGTCCAGATGGCGAGCCGCGACGGGCATTCAATATCGTCGATGGCAAAGAACGGCTTTATCGGATCACAGTTGGAGATGGCAAAGAAGATCTTGTCGTAACCTCGAACCATATTCTGGCGCTCCACCGGCAGAAGAACGATTCTGGACATGCAACTGATTCATCTGATGACTGCTTCGACTCGATCGAGATGACGGCCTCCCAGTTTGCTAAGCTAGAGCCAGAGGAAAGAGGTGTACATCGTCTCTTCTCGAGCGATACCACATGCCTTCATCCCACAACAGGCGCTCCCAAGCTGAGCAGACTGGCCATCAAGGACATAGCTCTTGAAGAACACGAGACAAAATGGGCTGGTTTCAGAACTGATTGCGATCAGCTTTACCTTCGGGACGATTACCTTGTGCTACACAACAGTGGCTTTGAAGAATCCATGAAGTTCAAAAAATTGACAAATGCCCAGCGCTCTGGTCTCAACCAGATCCCAAATCGTCGCTTCACCTTGTGGTGGAGTCCGTAAGTTTTCCACTCAGGACCGAAAGGAGTCGCGCAACATGGGCTAACAAATATTATAGCACAATCAACCGAGCAGACGTCTATGTCGGTTTCAGAGTGCAGCTAGGTTAGTCATTTGGCACTGTTTCTATTCCTGGCTTGCTTCGGAGGGTTTTATGCTGACCGGTACAGATCTCACTGGCATCTTCTTGCATGGCAAAATTCCAACGCTGAAGATTTCGCTGATTCAGATATTTCGAGCGCATTTGTGGCAAAAGATCCACGAGTCTGTTGTCATGGATCTCTGTCAGGTTTTTGACCAGGAGCTTGAATCCCTGGGGATTGAGTCGGTGCAGAAAGAGACCATCCACCCTCGAAAGTCGTACAAGATGAACAGCTCCTGTGCGGACATCCAGCTTTTCGCTAGCCACAAGTGGAATGTCACACGGCCGTCCTTGCTCTTTGACTCCAAGGACACCATTGAATCAACGACCACTGACAAATTCTGGATCGATGTTCAGCTGCGGTACGGTGACTACGACTCGCACGACATAGAGCGCTACGTCCGCGCAAAGTACCTGGACTACACAACGGATACCATGAGCCTTTACCCGTCTCCGACAGGGCTGATGATCGGCATTGACTTGGCGTACAATTTGTATTCCGCCTTCGGACAGTACTTCCCCGGCCTCAAGATTCTCATCCAGCAGGCTATGACGAAGATCATGAAGGCCAATCCGGCGCTTTACGTTCTACGGGAGCGCATCCGGAAGGGGTTGCAGTTATACGCTTCTGAAAGCAATCAGGAGTTTTTGAACTCGCAGAACTACTCGGAATTGTTCAGCAACCAAACACAATTGTTCATTGACGACACAAACGTGTACCGAGTGACGATCCACAAGACATTCGAGGGTAATTTGACAACAAAGCCTATCAACGGTGCAATCTTCATATTCAACCCACGCACGGGCCAGCTATTCCTGAAGATCATCCACACGAGCGTTTGGGCTGGCCAAAAGCGTCTAGGACAGCTGGCCAAGTGGAAGACGGCAGAAGAAGTCGCTGCGCTTATTCGATCGCTGCCTGTTGAAGAGCAGCCGAAGCAGCTCATTGTCACGCGGAAGGGCTTGCTGGACCCTCTGGAAGTTAACCTGCTTGACTTTCCTAACATTTCCATTCGTGCATCCGAACTGCAACTTCCCTTCCAGGCTGCGATGAAGGTAGAGAAGCTTGGAGACATGATTTTGCGGGCGACAGAGCCACAGATGGTTCTCTTCAACCTGTACGACGAGTGGCTTAAAAGCGGCATCTCGTCGTATACTGCTTTCTCTCGTCTTATCCTCATCTTGCGCGCTCTACACGTCAATCCCGACAAGACGAAGCTTATCCTTCGGCCAGACAAGACGGTCATCACCCAAGACCATCACATCTGGCCAACTCTGACGGACGAGGAGTGGATCAAGGTAGAGACCCAGCTTCGCGATCTCATCCTGAATGACTATGGAAAGAAGAACAATGTGAACGTCTCCAGTCTCACCAACAGTGAGGTGCGCGATATCATACTGGGAATGGAGATTTCAGCGCCATCGATGCAACGGCAGCAGGCGGCCGAGATCGAGAGGCAGCAGCAAGAGCAGCAGCAGCTCACGGCTACCACAACCAAGACTCACAATGTTCATGGAGAAGAAATGATCGTTACTACGACGTCTCAATTTGAGCAGCAGACGTTTGCCTCGAAAACGGAGTGGCGGACCAGGGCCATTGCCACATCAAACCTGAGGACAAGATCCAACAACATCTATGTCTCACCTTCTGATAGTGATGTGGAGAGCATAACGTATGTCATGCCCAACAACATTTTGAAGAAGTTCATCACAATCGCCGACCTGCGCGTCCAAGTGGCTGGGTATTTGTACGGGTCATCCCCTCCGGAGACAGACCAGGTGAAGGAAATCAGATGCATTGTGCTGGTGCCACAGATAGGGGGGCTCAGAAGTGTACAACTGCCGGAGGGCCTGCCGCAGCACCAGTTTCTCAACGGCTTGGAACCTTTGGGCGTCATTCACACGGTGTCTGGAAACGAACTTCCGTACATGTCCGCTGCGGACGTGACGGAGATGGCTCGGTTGCAGGAAGCGCACGAGTCATGGAGTCAGAACCGGAACCAGACTGTATCTGTGTCCGTTTCTTTCACTCCGGGTAGTGTTTCCCTTTCGGCATGGGGACTGACACCACAGGGACTGAGGTGGGGCGCGGAAAACAAGGACACGCAGAGCGATCAGCCGCAAGGGTTTACTACAAGCATGGGTGAGAAGCGAAAATTTCTGCTAAGCCCCAAGTACAAAGGCTTCTTCCTGGTGCCGGAGTCCGGCAGGTGGAATTACAGCTTCATGGGGACGGATTTTGCTGGTCTGGCAAAGAAGAGCGTGCATGTCAAGCTGGACACGCCTCTTTCATTCTACAGTGATCTCCATCGCCCCTTGCACTTCCAGAACTTTTCCGAGCTGGAGGACATCTGGGTTGACCGCAGTGACAACTTTGCTTAAGGTGGTGGAGTGGCAGGGATATGGGATCGCGATTGTCCTGACAATTGGCAAGATGGACGAAAAGTGATATAAGCAGTAAGGTGAACTGGCGGGGAGAAGAGTGTACGTGTCGTGTCGTGTTTTGATCTGTGTCTTTTGCCTGGGCGAGGTGGTTAGTTGGTGAACTTTATATCGCTTTTATTTATCCCATTGAACTTTCTAGGCCGACAAATATGGAAGCAGAGAGAGGGAGCGAAAGACCCTCTCCCCGCCCTGTTACAGTGCCTTTTCTTGGAGGGAAAAGGGCAATGTGATTTAAATCAGCATATTGTGTATTTGTGACATGCAACCTCATAAGAAAGCCCCATGGCGACGGAGGGGACTAGGAATAGCCGTGATTGGTTACGTACCCCGGGCTTTAAACTGTAGGGCTGCTGCTAGGTTGTAAAGGGGTGCCAGTCCATCTACTGCAGGGTGGTAGTTTGATATTACTTGTTCGAGCACAACGTCATCTGCAACGGGTATACCGAAAAAGCATCACACGAACAAATACGATGCCAAGGGTGCTTTGATAAGAAGTGGGCGGGAATTGGGCAAGCTGAAAGGCAGCTGATCATAGGATGATGAGCTGAGATATTAGCAGGTGGTAATAAGAAATTTGCGAATATTCATGCATTTATGCGTCGTGGTGGGCCCTTGGGGAATGCTGACTCTCTTAGGGAAAGGGGAAGCCAATGAGAGACCGATCATAGCGACAGCCCGGTTTTTGCTTTGACCACACAAAAACACAATGCGGCGAAGGACCCAAGCCAAGGCTCGAACGATTGGACAATCAAGGTTACAGAAACAGGGGTGGGATAGAATCGAGTCGAGTATCTCACACCCGGATTCTCGGGAGGGACTATTGATTTCGCCCGTCGCTTTCAATTTCCTTCTAACGCACAATGGCCGTGTTGCCGAGCGATGACGCCAGTGGAGCGAATGGCGAAATGGTTACCAGGGTCGCAAATACGGGTACGGGTACGATTCGACTCGCACATCCTAACTGGCACACCAGTGCACGCGTCTGGGGTTGGTATTGAGCGTCGCTTGCAGGAGGTCGGCGAACACGAGAGAATACTCTGTATGTAGGATGCTTTAGGCCAAGGCCCAAATATAAGCCGGACGATCAGGAGTGTCCGGCACGAAAGGCTTCTGCGACACGGTACGGAGTACGGAGTAGACTGGCATGTATCATACCTGTGGCGGGGCTGTGGCTAAGCTGTGGCGGCTGGTCAGGGCATTGCAAAACACGCTATGTTCGACATGCGTAGGGCCGTGCTCGCCTAAATTTGGAATGACTACTGTAAGATACGGAGCACAAGCTCTCTTTCTCGTACGGAGTACTCCGAGCTCCGGTACGCGTAATGAAAATAAAGAAGGGAAGCCTTCCACAGCGGATGTCGACCAGGAAGGAGTGGCCGGCGCTAGAAGCTGTTTCCATCGTTCTAGAAAGAACAATCCATTACGAGTAGCTCATTTCCCCGGAGCACAGCATAACGACACTTTTAATTGCTAGGTTGCGGCATACCCACCCCATTCATGCGCATCCATGTCGCCCCCATAAAACAAGCCCGGCGCGGAGCAGCATCTTGAGCGACGTGGAGCTTCGTCACGCACATCCCACCCCAATGGACGACAGCGTGTGTTGTGCGGGTACGAGTGCTGCCATGCCGGAACCGAGACGTGTGCGACGGCCAGGGCGCATAAACACGGCGGGATGCAGCAATCTAGGTGTTGCCGAAGGGGGCTGTCGTGTGAGACCTGCTTTCAGCCTGTTCCAGCGGTACTGCCATCAGGCCTTGTTTCTCGCTGTCTGCAGTGAGTGTGCGGAGTAGCCAGCAGCTTCAGGCCTGTCTGTCTGCTGTGCCATCGAGGCTTCCCGGCAACCTGGTCCAGCAGTTCTACGACGTACGCCACGCTGCCGTTGTGGCCGGCACACGCTATCCGTGGGTCCCTCCCTGTGTCTCGTGTGCAAGTACGGAGTATGGGTACCGACTTGCAGGGGTCTCCCCCTGCTCTCACAATGACCGGTGTGCTCGACCTGTCAACCTTCTGTGGCCCTACGACGTAAGATACTATCTATGGTCCCGAGCGTGACAGGAGTGCGGTATGTATGGAGTGTCCGTATCCTATCAGGAGTGCAAGTACGGGCACACCTGCCGAATCTCAAAAGCAATATCGACTGTGGAAAAGACCAGCAGGAATAGGGGGCCGTTGGAGGCCGCGGTGGTCTCGAGACCGTCAGATATTGTTATTTGAGCCCCATCGCTCACTTCTGTCGCGGAGCATTACTCTTTCTGGAGAACCTAAGCAGAACTCTCGCTTACCGTCCCGCCGGGCTCCTCTTGACAATTTCTTGCCTAGCCTGCCACTCTGATGGCTAGTCAGGGATGAAATCATCTCCCGTGGGACTCGTCATTGCATGCGAATTAATACACTCCCGCCATGGTTGCGTTGCATTGCGAGCAATCCTTCTGGGAGAGGCGTCCGAAAGTACAAGGCATGCCTCGCATACCCCAGCACGCTTCCTCCCTTGACCGCTCAACAAGTTCGCTATTGCGTCAGATAACGATTAGTTCACACATTCCCACAAAGCTTACTGACATCACTACTGTGCTTCGAATGGCTCCCAGCCGTCGGTGTCTCGCCTGCCGTCTCCATTGCCAAGAGCATGGCAGAGCATGGTAGGATGCGTCTCACCTTCGCCCTGCCAATCCAGCCGTGTGCTCCGTACTCCGTATTCTTCAACGTGCTATCAAGATCTATTTCCGTTTGGACAACACCTCACTTCCCCTCCCCACCGCTGCCAGTACCACCCTATGGGGCCTCTTATTTGGAGTATGCTGGCTTAGCACAAGTGGTTGGTTGGAAGGGCCTGGGGACAGGGAAAGGAAGATTCCCTACCCTTTAGCTCAGCCGAGAGCCCTCGGCCGATACTTTCCGTCCTGCTCCTCCCTGTCTGTTATTTCTCTTCCTCGTGCCCTGTCGTCTTCCTTCCCATATTCCAAGAGTATTCCATCCTAAGCCGCTGCCCCCTCTCCATCATCCCTGCTCGCTGTCAGATGGGGCCTGCTGTTCTATATTCGGCTTACAAGGCATGGCATAAGATCACCAAATTATGCTACCCTGTCGTCGTTGGTCAAGGTAATTGAGAACCCACCCCCCCTCGCAGCCCGACCCAGCTCGGGAACAAGGCTTGTCTACACATGGCAGCCGCTTAAACTGTTTTCGAGTCTATGGCGCAAACAGGTCGGTCCTCTTAAGTTGACCTATCGCCCCCCTCCCCTCTCCTGCCCTTAGCACTAAGGCTCTTACCTGTCACACATCTTACGCCTCCTGCCATCTCTAGCACACACGAACTGACCCCCGCAACTTTCTCTTTCTTACCATCCACTGAGTACGGGGCCATTATTGGACAACGTCTCGCAGACCACGCTGCCACCTGACCTGCCACAGCCCCCTCTTTTGCCTTGTTTTCAGACGGTTGACGAAGACACATGGTCGGCTACGCTCCCGAGAGAGTATACCTCCGAACTCTGACAGATACTCTACGACTCTGCCTGAGGAACTAGCTCTTACAAGAGAGTGAGAGTCCTTGTGCAATACGCCTCCCCGAAGCTACTACTCGAACCCGCCACAGCCGCCAGATCTTATTACCGCCTCGCATTCTCCTCGAACCGCTGTCCACCACCAATAGGCTGTCTGGTGCACCAATCAGACTTCCTCAGAGCTGCCCACCCGTACCAGCCACTTCGACAGACTTTGCCCCCGACAGGAGGACCAGCACCAGGGAGAAAGCCCTGGAGCACCACGAGCTGCACGGACGGTCGTCTTGAAATTCACCACCCGCTGTTTTCCTCACATTTGAATTTATCTTTCCCAACTGTAAGCGAGACCGGACTCTAACGACGACGACTGCAAAGCACACCACACGTTTCTGCAGCCCTCTGTAAGCACAAAATATTTTCGTCGCAGCCCCCAGGGGCCCCGGTATATCAAATTATTTCCCTTCAGACCCCAGCGGCCAGCCAGGGCGGCTCGCTCTGGCGTAACCCATGTATCGGAGACACGCTGGCGAGCAACTACAGGGTAGGACCAGACTACAATGTCGATTACTCCCCCCAGGACTCGCATCTGGGCGAGCAGAATCAACAGCAACACGGCTACGAGCCTCACCATCACCGAGCGTCTCTTCACCACTCGACCGCACCGACGCTTGAGCCTATCGAGCATCATCCACACCACCAGCAACATCAAGCAATGTCACACCATCATGCCGCCGCTGCTGCGGCAGCCGCCGCCGCCGCTGCTGTTCACCACTCCCACCAGGTACTCGTGGACCCGGGCCAGATGGGCACACACCATGCAGTACCTCGGCATCTTGGCCACCACCCGGGACAATCCCATTATGGAACGCCAGGACCACCACATGCCGCTATGGCACCGCTCTATCGACCCCTAAGCGGCCCGTCTGGCCCCTCATCTGGCGTCAAACGGTCTCGCCCAGACGACATGGACATTTCCGTTTCTAGCATGTCGGAACTCGAGCATAGAGAGATTGGGTCCATGCAGCAAGCCTCCATGGGCGCATATGCTCAGGCTGGGGCTTCGGGCACGCCACAGCAGACATCAGCACATCTCCCCCCGACGCACCACCATCATCGCCTGCCCGACACTGGCCCGCCGACAAAATTGATGCGCCATGACATAGATGGAGGGGGCGGCAGCGGGGGAGGGGCCCTCAGTGTCGTGGGTCAGGTCGGAATGCCACTTCCGGCTCCACGGCCCCGGGGTCCGAAACTGAAGTTTACACCGGAAGACGACCAACTCCTCATCGACTTGAAGGAGAATAAGAGCTTGACTTGGAAGCAGATCGCCGACTTTTTCCCAGGGAGGTCTAGTGGCACTCTTCAGGTGCGATACTGCACAAAACTGAAGGCGAAGACGACCCAATGGACAGACGAGACGGTGAGTGAAACAACAGCTCCATCCTTCAGTTTCCGATATGACGCCATCTTGTGTCCCCTGGCTCTAACAAGTATGAAAGGATCAAAAGCTTCAAACTGCTCTTCAAGACTACGAGAACGAAAAATGGAGAATTGTTTCCACTAAAGTCGGCACTGGGTTTACTCCTGCTGCCTGTCGAGAACGAGCCTCTCAATTACTTGACGTGGGTTTATAACAATCAGCGTCTCCGCCAGGACTTTTGGCTTCTGGGTCAGGAGACACCACGATCTATGCAAGGCACCAGCATCATCAATCCCCCGATGTTGGTAGCGGAATGTACAATCATCAAATATAGCAGCGTTGTCTATGTTTGATTTGTCGAACGACAAAGAAGGACATGCCACTTTCGGATGTCGTTCTCGTGACGGAATGTGTCCGTTTCAAGACGAATCCGTATTACTGGTACCGTGTCCATATTATCCCAGATAGCACGAAACTAATCACATGATACTTCCGGACGATTTTACAAGTCCCGGGGTATGACTTGGGGGAGATAGGGGTGACAGCTTCGGTATGATGAGGAGGCGCTTACCGGTCACTTGGATATGATATATGATTTTCTGAACGTTCACAGGGTGGTAATGTCAGGATATGTCATTCGGCCATCCCTGGCGTCTTTGGTCTGGGGGAATGGTGTTTTCTTGTTCTTGCGTTAACGAAGGAGGGGTTGGTTATGTTTCCTTTACGTTTTCTGTCTTGGTCTTTATATCCCCTTGTCTTATCCTAGTTTCGTTTTATATAGAGCCATTATAATTTGCTTATATACTAGTATCCTATCTCAATACTGACCTTTTCATGTGTTGCTCTTGACTTAAGGTCGCCGTATTTCAAAGGCTGGTGTAAGGGCAAGCTTCGGTCAATCGTGCTTATCTTCCTCGACGAATCTATAAGGCAGCTTCACCCAGGCGCTGAAACCTGACAAGAGGGCAGTTACAAGCTAGAGAAGCCTCCCGAATTAGTATTGTCGTGTGCGCCGGTCACAAACATCCCTGCCAGCAGCCAAATCGTATCTGGTACAGAGCACAAGACACTGCTTGAAATTGAGAGTAATAAGATGACAACGGCACAGAAACGGCACCTGATAAGAGTTACCTTCGAGCTTTGGACTGTAGAATTTCTCAATATTGGTCCACTTGAGTTTGAGAGGTCTAAGAAGCCTCCTGTCAGTCAATATTAACTGGAGCTTTCCAAGCATAAAGACATAGCCAACGAAGACAACGCCAATGCAAATAACACCGGTCGCGGGAAACTGCGTTCAGTGAAAGTATCTACATAATGAAGTCATTTCGCAGCTGACAAAAGACAGCCCTTTCGTAATACCGTGGAGCTTACGGAGTATGATAACGAGAAAATTATGACTTACCATGGGATCCTATTAGGTACAGTAACTGTCATCGTGATGGGCATGAGCCACCGGGAAAGTTTAGGGAAGGCATGAGTCACTAACCAAAACCTGTGGCAATTCTAAGGCAGCTGGACCATCGAATACGACAGATGGACAAGATCATAGATTCGGGTGGTACTGACGAGTATGTCGGCAATGAAAATAAAAGGCGAGAAGGCTTGCCACAATGCGTATATGGAATGATTTTCGATCTGGATTGATTGGTTTACAACTGGCTATGAGCCATACTATCTCCAGAAGACTGAACGCTCGATTTATGCTTTTATAAATCTATCTCCTAACCACAACAGGTTATATTAGTGTCCCGTAATGCTTATCTCAGCCGATAGAAAGATGCTCGCCAAGCTGATCTCTAGTCAAAGAAGTTCCCGACTCAACCAGCTCTATCAATGCCGTGTGGTATGTCACGTCGACAGTTTCGGCAGAAACGTCATCGAGACCTAACAGATAATCGGCAGTGTCGACAAACCACCCATTGAATTCCCTGACCTCTGTCGTTCTTCCCATGCGGGCGTCCTGTAGCATGGAGCTTGTATTATCCTTGACTACCTCCCCAACGTCATAAAGCATCCGACCAAGGTTTGGAACGCTCAGTCGCTCAATCAAAAGGTGACTGGAATCTGCAGAGACATCTTCCAGAATTCCTCGGCTGTTGGCATCGTACTGTACGAGGCACTGAAACACACCGCTTGCCTCTTCAATGAGTCTGTCCATTATGCGAGATACAGTATCGCCGTCCTCGCTGCCTGAAAATAGGTCGCCATTTTTGCACCTCAAGATGGTTGTTAAGGGATTGATGATGGAGTTAACCACAAGCTTTTCCAGCTGCAAGACCCATAACTCTGGCCTCTGCGCATATCGAGTATTCAACTGAGGAGCTTCGAGGAGTTGCTTGACCAGATATGACGAGGAAACATCTTGAGAAGAATGGTCAGTGCCGACCGGACCTACGACAACGCCCGCTGGAGATGCGTGTATGCTTTCAAAGGGACCCAACGAGACGACGCCATGCATAACTATGCAAACAAGCCACAGCGGATTCTGGAGATATTGCTGCCCTTGACGTTGACAGCAGTACCTTGCCCTGTTGTAAGCTGAGCCATGAGGGGGCCAGAGCTTATTCATGCCATTTTGAGCAAACGCCACAGTTGATTCTGGTCCAAGATAACGACGAAGCCAGTCTGCTTGTGCCAATGAGTTTTGGGCCTTGGTGGCAATAATGAGATTTTGGATTTTTGAAGGGATGCCCCCGACAGTAGGAGTGATCTCTCGGGCCTCTCGAGGCCACGGCGGAGGTTCCTCAGACCACATTTCAACGTCGAAATCAACCAGAGGAGCAGTTTCGGCACCGCCGTGCTCCCGTTGTCCTGATTGAGATAATTGGTGCATGATTATACCAGGCCTGGAGTGCCAATCCTCAAGTAAGCTTTTGCGGTGAACGACGAGTGTGATAGGTGGACGATTGGGAAGTTTGGCCAGCGATGAGGCAAACAAGCGGCCGAGATTCCCAATGCCCAGTATATAAATGCGAGATGGGTTGCTATCTCCCGAAAGCTCCGGCGTCGTTGCTGCAACGGCAGTTTTTTCAAGCGTGGTCGCTTGGCACGCGACGGCGTGTTCATTAGGTAGAACATCTTCTATCGTCCATCTGTAGATCTTCGGCCCGAAGGATTTGTCTTTGAGAACCTTTTGAAGCCACGTTGGGCAGCTACCATGCTTCATACTCGAAAGGTAAGTACGAACCCTTTTGTGCTACTTGTACGAGTGACACTAAGATGGCCTGAGGAACAGTGTTTCCGCTTGCAGTAGGAGGAGCGAAGCGAGTACAAATTCAAGATCGTCATACTCTTTGAAAACATATACCGCAACTATGAGTCAGTCATTGGTGAGTGCTCAATGCCCATCAGCATCACGTGTTAGCGCGAAAGGGCCGCGACTTACGGAGCGCCACTGTGACCCCACTCGTCATTTTTGGCTGCATCTCGTCATATCGCATCAGCAGGGACAGTCCTAACCGCGTCCCAGTCGTGCAAATCGCATACTCAGGCCAGATATGGACTCAATCAGGGACATTCGATACGGGGGCGATGCCAACTCCTCAAGGTCTGGGACAAGAGAGCCGGCAGATGGCCATGTCTTCAATAGCGAACCGACAACTCTGGACGAGGAATCCACTATCAAGGCTTTGACTGAGAATGTCCGTGACCAAGATGATATTGAACGGGATATTTCCCGGAAGGCAGAACTGGCTTTAATTGAGTCAGAAGACAGAAGAGACGAGAAACGTATCGAAAAGCTAGAGGCCACTAGGACGAAGCTCGAGGAACAAAAAGGGATATGCCGGCAACGGCTTGCCGGCACAGCTTTGGAAAATGTGGCACTGAAGTCACGCCTCGAGAGGGAAATTAGCCAAATCATTAAAGAGGTGGAATCCACCGACAAAGATCTCGCCGATTTTCGCAGGCGAATTAGCCAAAGACACTTGAACCAAGAAGATATCTCTCATTCCGAAGTTACCAATTGTGGAAAGGGTAAAAATGCGGGAAGTCAAAGGCTTCCTAACGAAACACAAAGAGAGTACTTGATACGTACAGGGAAAATTACGCCATTTTCCAAGATCGGTGGCACGCGTTCCGAAGGTGTTGAAGGTGATCTTGCCGACGTCATCCAAGACGCAGAAGATGAGGCTGCTGCCGAGGGATTGGTGGGACAGGCTTATATTGATGAGCCTACATCACATCAGAACCTTCGCCTGCCTGGATTCTCCGAGGGAGGTCGCACTACTCCCGACGCGCAGATCTCAGGAGCTGAGGCCGAGTTTTCTCTTAGGCCGCGGAAGAAGCGAAAGACTCGACCGGAAGCAGAGATAGATGACGCAAAGAAAGATGAAGAAGAGTGGTTGCCGACAGTGAACACTGGGTCAAGCCCTCCATCTGCATCTGATGATGACGATTTTGCTACCGAGTCTGATTTGACGAGCCAGACGCGTCCCATTTCCCGAAAGAAGAAAGCCAGGACGTCAAAGGTTGGGGAAGGCTTTGACGAAACGTCTGATATCAACGGGGTTGACGACGGAAATGAAGCCATGTACAAACGACGTCTAGAGGACTGGGTCGGACGTAGAGAAGCCGCGCGCAAACGGCGCAAGGACACAGAGGACCTATCTGTCGAGAGCGAAGATGAGGAAGAGTGGTTCAAGCCGTCTCCCGACGGGCCAGATCACATCTTTGAGAATGGACTCAAGCTTCCTGGCGACATCTACCCATCCTTATTTGGCTACCAAAAAACGGCCGTTCGCTGGCTAGCTGAGCTTTATGACATCAAGGTCGGCGGTATCATTGGTGATGAGATGGGACTAGGAAAGACAGGTCGGTTCCCGCGTACTACTCTCTGCATGTGTTGTATTGGCGCTGACCTTGCTGGCTTCAGTCCAGCTTATCTCGTTTGTGGCTGCCCTCCACTACAGCAAACGCCTTGACAAACCTGTGATAGTCGTCGCACCCGCCACTGTTCTGAGACAGTGGGTGAACGAATTTCACCGTTGGTGGCCGCCTCTGCGGGTATCGATCTTGCACTCCTCTGGTAGTGGAATGCTGAATGTCCACAGTGAAGATCTCATTGAAAAAGATGAAATATCGTGGGGCGGAAGTCCCCTAAAACGCGGTTCCAACGTGGCGGCCAAGGCAATCGTGGACCGTGTTGTGCAGCACGGTCATGTTCTCGTCACAACCTATGCTGGGCTTCAGACTTACGGCGATATTCTGATCCCAGTAGACTGGGGTTATGCTGTGCTGGACGAGGGACATAAAATCCGGAATCCGAACACTGCATTAACCGTGTATTGCAAAGAGCTGCGCACCCCCAATCGGATTATCCTCTCAGGAACGCCCATACAGAACAACCTCACCGAGCTTTGGTCACTCTTTGACTTTATCTATCCTATGCGCCTTGGGACTCTTGTCACCTTTCGAAACCAGTTTGAGATTCCGATCAGGTTGGGCGGCTACGCAAATGCTACAAATCTTCAGATAATGACAGCCCAAAAGTGCGCCGAGACCTTGAAGGATGCCATCAGCCCATATCTATTGCAGCGCACCAAGGCTGATGTCGCAACGGATTTGCCCAAGAAGAGCGAGCAAGTTCTGTTCTGCAAATTGACGGAATCTCAGAGACAAGCTTACGAGCTATTTCTCAGGTCTGATGAAATGAGCGCAATTCTCAATAGGGCACGGCAGTCCCTATATGGCATCGACATCCTCAGAAAAATTTGCAACCATCCGGATTTGGCCGAGCCGCAGCTGAAGCACAAAGAGGGTTACAACTGGGGAAGCCCGTCCAAATCTGGGAAAATGCAGGTTGTGAAGGCGCTGCTACAGATGTGGAAGAGATTTGGCCACAAAACGTTACTCTTCTGCCAAGGCACACAGATGCTGGATATTCTGGAAATTTTCACCCAAAGCCTAGGTGATATTCAGTACTTGCGTATGGACGGCAAGACTCCGATCAAGGACCGACAGACTTTGGTGGACCGGTTCAACAACGACCCGCAGCTGAACGTCTTTTTATTGACAACCAAGGTTGGTGGCTTGGGTGTAAATCTTACGGGTGCTGATCGGGTCATCATTTTTGACCCTGATTGGAATCCATCAACAGATGTCCAGGCACGTGAAAGAGCCTGGCGTCTGGGTCAGAAACGGCAAGTAACCATATATCGTCTCATGACCGCCGGAACCATCGAAGAAAAGATATACCACCGGCAGATCTTCAAACAGTTCCTTACCAACAAAGTGCTCAAAGATCCAAAGCAACGCGCCTCATTTGGTCTTCACGACCTACACGACCTATTTTCGCTAGGCTCGTACGAGGATGGAGTTACAGAAACAAGCGAGCTTTTTCGAGGCAATGAAGTGCATATTACACCTTCAGGGACTAGGCGGATGATAACACCAGGTCCGGGCGCCGTACCCATCGTCACAATTGGGAAATCTACACCTCAAAGTCTAGACCCGATAAGGACCGCCAGAACTGGAAACTCAGATGAAGAGGAAGGGAACCTCCATAGCATCGCTGGCGTAGCTGGTGTTGAGGAATACAAACAAGAGGGCAAGGCGGAGGCTGAGCCGACCTCCGAGGAAGACCAACTGATGAAGGGCATATTTTCCCAAGCAGCCATCCACAGTGCTCTGGAGCACGACCAAATTATGAGTGGAGGCGGCAAAAAAGTCCAAGCCGACAGACGCATCTTGGAGCAGGAAGCCAATCGTGTCGCTTCCGTTGCAGCTACCCACTTGCGACAAGCTGGTGAAGACGCGCGACTCGTGCCAATCGGTACCGTTACGTGGACGGGAGAGGTCGGCGACGGTGGGCGTCCGCGAAACATACGTCGGGGCCGTACGGGACCAAGTTCGACAGGGATTCTGGCCGGAATCGCCGACAGGCAAGGCCTCCAAGGGAGCCCAGGTAGCCGGGGTAGCTCCCGGTCAGCTACGCCGGATCGCAGGAGCAACAAGCTGGCAAGCGATTTTGAAAAGATGATACCGAACTTCATCCGGCGACATGGCGGTAAAGTTCCATCAAAACTCTTAGTGGATCACTTCAACCAGTATTGTATCGGAAAGGAACAGGCCAGCGAGTTCAAAATCGCTTTGGACAAGGTAGCAAAGATGGAGAAGGCTGGCTCGAGCATGAGAGCCATTTGGTCATTGCAACCTCGGTATCGCTGAGCGTGAGCTTGCTTTGAGATACATCAGACCTGGGACAGAGCAGGCAGTTATCGAGGTACCGCGGTACTTGATTTGTCGTTCTATTTTGCGGGCTTCTTACTAGCTATCGGTTGTATGAGTTTTAGACAAATCTGTCCAACTTCCCCCTTCCTCCTGCTAATTTACTGTGGTTGTGCCAGAAGCAACATGTGACATTAAACATTCAATGGAGACCAGGCGACAATGGCCGTTCCCCTCGGAGATGTCAACACCACAAAACACTATAACCCGAAGATTGCATGTCTTAATAACATACTAGCCGCAGCCCAAAGCCGAGCCAGAGGACCGCATTCGCCGACCAATGGACCAGATAGAAAGAAGCAAGCCCGTGACAAGCCTTTGTGAATCACAGACGACGACCACGGCGACCACCCTTGCGACGAGTGGAGTCAGACGGCGTCGGCGTCACATCCTCGATACGGCCAATCTTCATGCCAGACCGAGCCAAGGCGCGGAGTGCCGACTGGGCACCGGGGCCAGGAGTCTTGGTGCCGTTGCCTGGAAAATGTTAATTCGGCAAGCTGAGTAAATTGGCGAGAAGAAGCTTACCTCCAGTGGCACGGATCTTGATGTGGAGGGCAGTGATGCCCAGCTCCTTGCACCGAGCCGCAACATCCTGAGCAGCCAGCATAGCGGCGTACGGGGAGGACTCGTCGCGATCAGCCTTGACCTTCATACCGCCAGTGACACGGCAGATGGTTTCGCGGCCGCTACAACCATCCATAAGTCAGCAATTGTTCTTGGCTGGCCTCTCAATGCACCCATCTCCCGTTGGCGCCTCCGGTTGAGATCGTCCAGTATTTACCTCAGATCGGTGACGTGCACGAAGGTATCGTTGAACGAGGCGAAGATACGGGCGACGCCGAAAACAAGCTCGCCTAAACGATCACTGATTAGCATCTCTCGACCGGTCGTCTCTTTGACGGCCTCGTTTCGAAGGCCTACCTTCACGAATCTGGGGGCCCAGGGAGATGTTCTCCTGGGCGGGCTTCTGAGTCTTCTTCGGCGGCATGATGGCGATTTTTGTCGGGTTGGGCGAGTCAAATCGATTGTCGTGTCTGTTGGCGTATGAAAAAAAAGATGCAGTTGAGGTGCGGAAAAAAATTGCTGTATTGGTGGAGGGGTGCAGCCGCAGAAACGAGGCGGTGTACACTGGCAGGAACGAAAGACACTGAGAATTTGGCAGGGCTACAGTGCCCTAGTGTGACTACTGCTTGTGGGGTGGGTCTGTCAAGCCTCTAGGGCAAAGCCAATTTCCTGTCTCGGAGAGGATAAGAAAAGGAAAAGTTTTTTTTTTTTTTTAACAATCTAACATCTCTATCTGCAACCTCTTCGACAGACGAACGACGACGAGAAATCCTTCACAATGGCGTCCACATCCACGTATGGCTTTCCTTTCCAGTTGATTTCGTTTTCTTGATATGCTGTCTTGGTGTGCTTTGGCACGTCGATGGAGTTGGAAAACCGCCTCTCGCAGATAGTCGTGGTCCTCTGGCTGGATTGCCGCCTTTCACTTCCCCTTAACCTGCTGGCATTGCACCGCCAGCAGTGGATATATGAAAAATGTGTGATCCAGCGCCATCTGTCCGACACCTCTCCCTCTGTCTGAGAATTCCCAAACAGAGAGATGTTATGTCGGGTGTTGAAGACGAAGACGACCTTAACTGGTGTATCTTCTCTTTTAATTTTAGTGCCATTGCACTCGGTTAGAGATAGGGCTTTAGGGCACATCTCACACTGATATTATGAGCATCTACTCTCGATACTTCTCGAGGTGTTGTCGGGTTGAGCTTGCGGCACTCATCGCAGAGGATCCAAAGTCAAGACGGGTCAATTCTGAAAATGGATTGATTGCTTGGTTGTTCCTCCGCATATGTTGTGTGCAATCTCACCGATTAAAATCAGGATTGAGTCAGCTACCGCGAGAATGTCGCGCTTGAGCAACAGTTCTCCACCAGCGCTCTATTTCCATACCTCGTCAGGTATGCTGGACTACGTACTAATCTGGTTTGACAGTACCGTGCCGACCAACGAGCAAATCCTGGTGCCGGAGACGCTTCTGAAGAAGCGCAAGAGCCAGGAAAAGGCCCGCGCCGAGAAGAGCGCCGAGATTGAGAAGAAGAAGAAGGTTAGTTCTGTCGCATGCGCTGCCACAATCTTTGTGCGTCCCGTCTTGCCTTCTGGCCCGCCTTTTGCTTCCGCAGAAGCGGTAGTCGGCAGGGAAGATGGAGATGTAGAAGACAATGATGCAAGTCATTTTTTTGCCAACTAGACTATGTCCATGCTGTTGCAACTTAACCATCTTTCGGGTCTGATGTCGATATAAGAAATAATTGTTGTTGTCGTCCTATTAGCTTGGTGATGCACTGCTAACTGGCCCATCACTCAGGCAAACAAGGAGAAGCGCACCGTCATCTTCAAGCGCGCCGAGAAGTATGTCCAGGAGTACCGTGAGGCAGAGCGCGAGAAGATCCGTCTTGCTCGTGTCGCCAAGCAGAGCAACTCGTTCCACGTTCCTGCCGAGAACAACCTGATTTTCCTCATCCGGATCAAGGGTATCAACAAGATCGCCCCTAAGCCGCGGAAGATCCTCCAGCTGCTGCGTCTGCTGCAGATCAACAACGGTGTCTTCATCCGTGTCACTAAGGCCACTCAGGAGATGATAAAGATTGTCGAGCCGTGGGTTGCCTACGGCTACCCCAACCTGAAGAGCGTCAAGGAGCTCATCTACAAGCGCGGCTACGGCAAGGTCGACAAGCAGCGCATTGCTCTTACGGACAACTCCATCATCGAGGCATCGCTCGGCAAGTACGGCATTGTCTGTATCGAGGACCTCGTCCACGAGATCTACACCGTCGGCCCCAACTTCAAGCAGGCCTCGAACTTCCTGTGGCCATTCAAGCTGAGCAACCCCACTGGTGGCTTCCACGCTCGCAAGTTCAAGCACTTCATTGAGGGCGGTGACCTGGGCAACCGGGAGGAGCACATCAACGCTCTCGTTCGGCAGATGAACTAGATGCTATCCAAGTAAAAGGGAGATGTAGGGCGCTGTTCTGTCGGCGGAGAACCCCCTTCAGACAGTATGCAGTATGTATGGCGTTTTCGGGGTCAAAACCACTTGTTTCTTAGGGGTATGTTGAAAGATAAACAATCAATATCTATCATGAAAATGAGAAAAGGAGCCCGTCCGCCTCCCTATACAACCGCTCTTTGTCCGCTACGTGACCAAAACGTAATTACCGCACAACAAGCACCGCAAGTATCGGAGAGGTCTAAGCCGTTCCTATAACAGGTTCTAACACAGATGATTCCTGTCTAGCGCGGCATAACTCGTACAGGTGAGGGGAAATTGTGACAACCCCCATTCTTCCGGCTCCTTATATTTTGATGTCGAAACTAGTGCCACAGCCACAGCTGCTTGTAGCAAGAGGATTGTCGACTATTTTGAACTGTGACCCGATCAGCTCCGTGGTGAAATCAACTTTGCTTCCGTTAAGCAACTCGAGGGAGGGAGTGTCGAGAACGATTTTGGGCGCAGACATCGGATCTGTAGATTTAGGCGCCATCTCCATGTCATCCGCAATGTACGCGAATATGGTGTCGTCCTCCCGTATTGCTGGCGATTCCGACTCGGCAGATGATGTTGGCGGGGATGCAGGTAAAGTATCTGGCAGCGTAATGAGGCTCATGAGGTACTGAAACCCGTGACAGCCGCCGCTTTCAACTTGAATTCGAAGCGCCAGCCGTGGGTTACCATCCTTCGTCATGACTTGAAACAAGCGCTGGGTGAAGCTTGGTTAGCTGAACTGCATGCATCAGCGGGAGACAGTAGATAGAAGCCTACCTTTGCCGCCCGCGGCGTGATTTCTAGCCTCATTTCGTTATCTGACTCGTCCAATTGAGGGTTTAGGATAGTTTGGGTGCTGTGACTGGTCTGCGTCGAAGAAAAGCTTCTTCTTTGGCGAAACGATGATTTGGCAGGAGCAGTAGTCAGGGCGGTGCATATGGGGGGGAAACGTCCGCCCTGATGAGGTTTGAGGCATCGCCATTGAGACGGCTGAAGCCCGACATGCGGGCGCGCGTGTATCGACAGTGCCCTGCCAACATGGCGAAGCAGTACAGAGGATATCCGTTGTCGCTGATGAGCAGCCACAGCAGCGACAGGAGTCGTTGTCGAGGGCGATGTAGGCGTTCGCAGGAAGTATGACGGAAGCAGGAAGTCGAATACGGCGTGAGCCGGTACCGGGTTCGGTATGACCACTGGTGCCTTGGCTTGCCGGGCAATTGGCCAAGCGGCAGAGCTCGTTGCCGCACTTTCAGCAAAGGGTGATGCCCATGCTGCCGAGTGGACACGACGTGCTATGGCGGCCATATTTGCTCAGAGTTCGAGGGGATTTTGAAGTGTATATTTGTAGTGGCTATGGCACGAGCCAAGAGGTCCTTTCCGGGTCGCACCGCTGATAGAATCGACTCTTCAATGGATGTGCAAGCTTGATTTCGGATGCTCGATTCATAAGCAACAACCAGTATTACCGTTGTGTACGCAGTACAGTAGGATGTGCAAAACTTTTGGATCTAGCCCCGCATATCATTATGTCATCATATGTTGAGATGAATACATACACGTGACACATATTGTGTAAGTGAGTTTTCCTACTTTTCAATTGGCTGACATTGCGATGACGTAAAATGCCAGTGTCTCGGGAAGATGCATTCGACAGTCACAGCCGTCGAGGGCTCAGAGGGCCTGGGAATCGTGGCTTTTTCTGAGATTTCAAGTAAATTGCGTCCCCTAAATCAACATTGCTCCTTGTATTGCACATCCGTAAGACGACAAAAGCCTTTCCACCAACAGGTCGGGAGGGAGGTATAGCATATTCAAACGGAGTCTTGGCAACGGACAATCAAGGCTGTCTTTTCTGAAGACGGCGACTATTAAGTGTGGGGGTGTGGGGAGTTGAGCTTACATACGGGATCGTTATGTGTACAGTTCTTGTAAGTATCTTCCCAAGATGGCCGGCTCGCCAGACTCTGCCAGCTGTTCGTTTGTGACAGTTACTGCGAAGCACTCGGTTGGCGTATCCCTTATCTTATATGTCTGGCGATTGGTATGCCACTACAACCGCTCATAGCCATGAAATGATTGCACCTCGGCAGTTCTCTGGTTGATCAGCCTGACCCTGCATGCCGCATGGAGACGGGACGCGCGTGGGCGCCATGAAGCCGTGAAGATGATTGAGAAGAAAGGGAATTACCGTTTGCTAAAAGGGAGGATGGCTAGCCAAGCCTGTAAGAACACCTGCAGTCTCTCAGCCAAACCTCTATACATACCCTCTCCATATCCCAATGGCTGGCAAAGTCGAACATGTGATGCTTGAAGTCCGTATTGCTGAGGCGGACGGCCAACCTGGCGGCGCTCTGTAGTTTCGCCAGGCCTGACTCGACGGTTTCGAGAGTGCGGTTAATCTTCTGACAGGTTCTGTGTGACAGGTGCGTCCATGAGAAGCTCGAATGCGAGATCACAGCGACTGTCGACGACGTCAGGATGCCGCCACCGAAAAACATCGCCAGGGCCCAGAGCTAGAGCTTGCCGTATATCCAGGAATGTCTGAAAGCGAGCATGCGCATGCGTCCGGCTGTGGACCTCAGCATCACGCGACTAGTGCCGTTAGAGGGAGACGATCTGAACGGTCACTTCTGCCCAGGGGCACCCGTGTAGCTGTGAACGGATGGGTACTGTACCGTGACCGTACTGTTTTCGTTCCCGATGCTGACGACTGCCTGCCGGAGCGCTGGACCGATAACGAGGAGCAAGCCGACGGATGGAGCGGTGCATGTTCCAGGTAAGCTTGCATGGCCGTTGTTGGCTGGCTGGCTCTCGACTGAGAACGAGAACGGCTCTGCTGATGAACAGGACATTTTGGCGGCGGCTCCCACCTGTGCATCGGACGGAGCCTGGCACTGCTGGAGATCAACAAGTGTTGCCGAGACTTTTGCGCGAGTTCTGCTCCGCTCTGGTGCATCCTGACCGGGAGCTGACTGCACAGGCTACCTTTATTGTCGTCCAGAAAAGACTGGACGTCTTTGTCCCTGTCCCTTGACCACTTCTGCATTAGCATAGTTTCGATCAACAACAAGAGTTTACTCTATTGCTTTTCTGTGCCATTGTAAGATACTTGATACTGATGTGATGCGCCTTGCAAAGTATTCGTGCATCAGCAGGATTGGCTAATCCCCCAATGATCAGCAACCAACAGCGTCTCTGTGGAGCAGCTCCCACGGCGCAACCCAATCGGAGGATTATGCGCTTGTAAGCTTACCGTACGTCGTACATTAGCGCTGCTCCAACCTGCCTGCAACCACCACAATCGTACCTGAAGCAGCCTCTCTCTCCGACAGGCAGCGTTTCAGGCTCGAACCTACCCTCATTCATGCTTTAGCCCCGAGCCGTCTGAACTGGCCAAGCCTGCAATATATGGGCAAATCAAATGGAAACCAGCTCGTGCTGATGCCCCGATGGCTACGACTGGCGTGACCAGGCTTGTGCTTCCATGCAAGAACACATGCGTCCACCCCTGACATTGAAGCGCTTATTTTGTTGTGAAGACACAAGGCGCCAAATCTGAAGGGACGGCTCTCTTACACTATATGGTTATCACATCCGCTTTCCCTCTGGACCAGCAAGACTAGATCTGTTTTTCATTACTACAACTTTCTCTTCGATTCACGTCCTTCTTTCCCTTCTTGTTTCTTGTGATCTCATCACGTTACTCTGTCTTCAGCTGTGCTGGGCGAGTTTTCATTCCTTTTGACTCGAGTGTTGCGTAAACCTACCGACCACTTCTACGTACACACTTCTCCTCTCTTTCTCACCGTTTCTTGCGGACATGATTTTGGCTCTTTGTTCTCTATCCATACTGGCCTGGGCTGCCATGTCTGCTGCGAAACCAGTATTTCCTCGTACGGTCACCAACCTTGACCAGGCGGCAACAGAAGAGGCTCAACAGCGTGATGGAACAGCGACCCGCGCTTTCTCAAACATTCAGATCACCACCTCGGATGGCCGCTGTCTCTTTGTCGACAAGCTATCTGGAGATTTTCGTGAGAATTTGACACCGGTACAGATTGCTGCCTGTGGGTCGACAGACGGCCAGGGCTGGGATATCATAACCGCTGGAGAGCACATCAATACCGCCAACTCCATGTTGCTTGTCAACACCCTTACCCAGGCCTGCCTCAATTTTGACTCCCGTCGTGCTGCCGGTAATCAGGTCATTCTCTTCTCGTGTGGTGGGCGAGCCGATGGTGGTAGGTATTATGCCCTGTTCTTGTCGTCAGCTTCAAGCATCGTGGTATTACACAAGGACTGATTTTCAAACGCATTATGATAGGGGGTACTGCAACCACGTCACAGGCTTTCTCGTTTAACGGCACTGCGGGGCCAATTTCTTTCAAACCCGAAAATGCTGCAGGCTCCTGCCTGACTTCTCTGGGAGATGTCGTTGATGTTGCCGACTGTGATTTTTCAGACCCTAACCAGGTATTCGCCTTTGGTGGCGCTGCTGCCGCGACGGCGACATCCGACGCCTCTGCCCAGACTTCTAGTGTCTTATCAGCCATCCCATCTGTGAGATCTAGTGCCACTACATTCACCGCCCTATTTATGTTTGCCACAACTACATCTACGGCGGGCTCAGAGGAGGCCACGATAACGGCCACTGCCAGCACGTCAACATCTGCCAGTGTCCCCCCACAATCTGCCTCCCTTTCAACCGCGGCTGCCATTGCCATACCAACAACTGCAGTTTCTGTAGGACGTGGTGGCAACTTCGATCTAACGGCGGCTTTAGAAGCAAATCTCCGAGATGCCAATGCTACGAAGGCGTTTACTAATGTGGAAATCCGCGCCCCCAACGGACAGTGCCTCTTCGTCGACCCTACTGCCGGCGATTTCCGTGAGAACCTCATCCCCGTCTCATTGGTCGACTGTTCAGGCACGCCTAATGAGAAGTGGGACGTCATCACCGCTGGACAGCACAACGACGCGGAGAATGCTGCCCTCATAGTTAGCAGCCTGACAAACGGCTGCATCAGCTTTGATGGCCGCCGGTCAGCCAATGACACAGTGAACCTTTTCTCCTGTGGCGGCCGTGCTGACGGCTGTAAGATTCTCAATTGTAGCCCCCAAGTTGTGTGTTGTGCGTGTGCTGACTAATCACAGCCGGCGAGACAAATGCAGACCAACTAATGCCGTTTACTGGTGCCTTGAGCTTCGCCTTTTCCCCTACAGGAGAGAATGGTGCCGTCTGCATCCTTCCAGGTGACGGCCGGCTGATCTCTGGGACATGTCCCACGAACGGAGCCCAGCTTTTTGCCGTCTTTCCCTGAGACATTGTGAGACGCAGTCCCGAGGCGCGAAGTGCAACCGCCCGCGTAAAAAACACCGCCCTTGAGAGTCTCCTGCGTCTTGGCCAAGAATACGTATTGCGCATTCTCTAATGCATCATTTGCGGAACGCCATTATTATAATTCGACTTTTGTTTATGACATCACGCTTGCATCCCTTCAGAGCTACACGTGGTAAATTGTGGGCCTGCCGATCAGTTACAATCGGCATGGTTCAACGATTCAAACTTCGTACACCAGGCTACATATTGCCGCAGCATCCCCTGATGTTTCCAAAGCTGCGGTTGCTTTAAAACAGGCCCATGCTGCGACAAAAGTGATTTCAAGGCGAGTCCGATTAGTAAGAGTTGCATCTATGATTGGCTGGCCTTTCCATCCGTTTTACGCGATCTCGTCGTTCTCCTTGTTTCCACCTCGTTGCCAGATCACAAAAGCGCCCAAAACAGAGACAGCAAGTCACCCACCCTCGTTCTTGAGCTATACCGACGTGCGATGAATAGCGCCCAATTCTTGCGTGGACAAACGTCCTGACTCTGATACCATGCCAGCTTATAGCACTCACGCGAAGCCCTCAGGTTCGCAGAACCCAGCATCAGATCTCTCTGATACATCCGTTCCTGTCCCGGCCTACAACCGCCACAGCATAACCGTCAGCACTACCGCTGTTGATCGCGGTGCCAAACCATCTGATATGGCAGAAGCACCCTCGTCGGCATCGCAGACGGCAAGGCAGAGCGGGTGGAACACCATGTCGCCTACTTCGCCGGGCGTACCTGAGATGCGACGCCGCGCAACTCGGACTGTTACCTTTCGAAATGTGGACGACTTTGCCGGGTATGCAGGACGGCCTGGCTGGCAGCCGGGATCTGAGCCAGGAATCGACACAACCAAGCCGGACGGAGGGCGGGAAACGCTGGCGCACATGAAGGCTCCTAGCGATATCACAGTCGTGGATTTTAGCCAGTCAGATATGTCGACAACGCGCCTCGACAACAGCTCATTGGCCGGATTTCTTGCCATACCGCAGGCGGCCAATATGAAATGCAGGTGGATCAATGTCAATGGCCTCAGCTGGGACGTCATCCAGATCTTGGGCAATCACAAGAAGCTCCATCGCCTTGCCATTGAAGACTTGATGAACACTCGAAATCGGACAAAGGCAGATTGGTGTGTATCGAATTCCCTTTCCGAATTGAGTGGCCACGTTGTACGACTTGTGCCTGTGGCTGACTGGGTGACGCGCTTCAACTCACCAGGTACCCGACACATACGTACTTGGTGCTCGTGCTGCTGAAACTTGTCCACACTGACGGTGCCCAGAAGCAGGAGGAAGGTGACAATGACGGCAATGACGGCGAGGACGACGGTAAGAGCTGGATCAGTAAGGGTAGCTCTCGCTGGCGAAGGAAAGTTTCCGAGACATTGAAGACCCTGTTTGGAGAGCCGGGTGAAGGCTACGACGTTGCGGACTCACCCGTCGCTGTTCCGGCCAAGGTCCTGGAAAACGGCCAGCAACTGCGGCTACAGCGGTCGACGAGCACAGCCACAAAGCTGCTGCACATCAACGAGTTTCGCACCCTGCAACGGTATCGTGCTTCTCCAAACGACGCGAGAACGGAGTTTATGGAAAGCCACTCCGTTCTGAGCTCGCAGAAACTTGCCGTGGCTGCCGAGCAGGTCTCAGTCTTTATCACGGACGACAACACCGTCATCTCCTTCTTTGAGCTTTCGGCAGAGGACGTGGAGGAGCCGATACTTAATCGTCTCGTTGTTCCCGATACCACGCTGCGACGGTCCTGCGATGCATCAATGCTTGCCCAGGCCATCCTGGACGCCATCATTGATCTGGCCATCCCCCTGACTGTGTGCTACGGGGATGTCATTGCCGATCTTGAGCTGGACGTGTTGACACGGCCTAGCGTAAGCCATACCAAGAGTCTCTACATCACCATTACCGAGGTCAACAAGGTGCTGAGCTTTATCAATCCGATTATGAATCTGATAAACACTCTACGGGACCACAAGACAGAGGGAGTCGGCCCCGACGATATGCAGGACCCCAGGAAGGGAGTTATTATATCCCCGTAGGCCTGGCCCATTTGTGTTTGTGCTGTTGCCGTGATGCTGACAGTTCTCCTTTCGCTGCAGGACAACGTACGTCTACCTTGCCGATGTTCTTGATCACTGCGTCCTGATCACCGAGGCCCTGGAACAGGTCAAAGGCCAAGCGGAAAACATGATCTCGCTGATCTTCAACACCATCTCGGCCTATCAGAACGAGTCGATGAAGCAGCTGACCATTGTGACAATCATCTTCTTGCCCTTGACGTTTTTGACAGGATATTTCGGCCAAAACTTCGACGGATTCTCTGATCTGAAACGTGGCATCCCATTTTTGTACGTGTCGTCTCGGCCTGTTCCCAGCACTGACTCCATACTGATCAGCCTCTCTCCGTAGCTGGGAAATTGCGGGTCCTGTCATATTCTTCACCATAATCATCATGATGCGTCAGATGATTATGGAGTCGTTGGCAACCCTGGTGCAGAGGCACCACATCGGCAACCTACGAAAGCATCATCGGAAGCACAAGCACCGGACGTGATATGGTTGGGATAGACGTGTACCTGTAGGTATATTTGTTAGTGTTGGGAGAGGGCATGCGCAAGTGTCGTTGGCAAAGCCAACTCACATAATACAGATATGCGTTTAGACTTGTCAAGACGGTGTCACGTGGGTAGACGGGCCTTCGTCATAGTGTGACCAATAAAAGAAAACTATTTAATCGTAATTTTTTGGTTGGTCATAAAGAAAGTGCAATTGATCCTGTGCTGTCTTGCTATCCAGGTCTTCCTCCTGGCCTTGTGTATCCAAAAAAAAGCCAGATTGTGCAGTCCGCCCAGCCTTACTAGCTGAGTAGTTCTTTGATATCTTCAATCCGCTGGAGCTTCTTCTCCTCGTCCGACATCATGCCGAGCGAAGTAGCACTTTTGGTCAGCAGGGAACAACAAACGGTGCACAGCCACAACCATAGCCACACATACATAAACTTTTTCCGGTCCTGGATCTTGAGCATCTTCTCCTCGACGCTGCCCTTGGCGATGAAGCGGTACACCTTGACCTCCTCGTCCTGGCCCATGCGGTGAACGCGGTCAATGGCCTGCGCCTCGACGGAAAAGCTCCACCAGGGGTCCATGACGAAGACGCGCTTGGCCATGGTCAGGTTGAGGCCAACGCCGCCAGCCCGCAGGCTGATGAGGAGGACGGTGAAGCGGTCGGACCGGCGGAAGTCCTCGAGCACGGCAGCGCGGGCCTTCTGGGCCATGGTGCCGTCGAGGCGCAGAAATGCCATGTTGTCGCGGCGGAGGGCCGGCTCGATCAGTGAGAGGAAGGAGGTGAATTGGCTGAAGACGACGGACTTAATGGTCGGGCGCTCGCGACGGAGGTCGCGCAGATGGCGAAGTAGCGAGACGATCTTGGCGGACGACTCGCCGACGTCGACGCGCTGCAGGCTGATGCGCGGCGGCTGGCCGGTGGTGGCGGGATCGTCGTCGTGACGCACAACGCCAAAGAGGTCGCGGCGGCTGATGACCTCGCGGCAGTGGAAGCAGCGCGGCAGGCGGTGCTGGTCGGTCTCGTGGCGGATGAAGCGGAGCAGGCAGTCCTTGCAGGCCGAGTGCCAGCAGCCGGTGACGGTCTGATCGATCATGGGCTCCTCGGCACAGATGGGACACTCATTGACGGCCTCGTCGCGGATCTGGCCGAGCACATGGGCCCCAAAGGCGTTGCTGCTGGCTGGATCGTCGATCTCGTCGGTCGTGGTGGCGGTAAAGCGCTCGATGAGCGCCTGCAGGTCCATGTCGTCGGCCAGGCCGGCAGCAGCATCGGCAGCAGCGCCCGCCTCGATCTCGTCGGCCACAATGTCCATGTTGCGCACCAGCACCGGATGGCAGCAGCACTGGCGCAGGCGCAGGACTTGGGCAAAGATGCTCGTGTACGACTTCATGACGGTGCCGGCCTCGACGGTGGCGGTGAAGGAGCGCTTGACCCGCAGGAAGATGTGCTCATAGATGTCACGTTCGGTGGCCGACAGCTCGACGTTGACGATCTCGAGCTGCTTCGACGGCAGGGCCACCAGGGGCCGTCCGTCGGGCGTCTTCATGTCCTTGGTCCGGCGCATCACCAGCGGCTCCAGCACGGTCTGCACCACGTCCAGGGCGCGCATAAAGTCCTTGGACTCAAACGGCACCGTGATAAAGGTGCGCCAGAACGAGAAGTTGTCCCACGGCTCGACCCGGAGAAAGCGGATCAGGCTGAAGAGATCCTCCAGCCGGTTGACCACGGGCGTGCCCGTCAGCACCCAGCGGTGCTCGGCCGTCAGGGCGTAGCAGGCCTTGGCCGTCTTAGACTGCCGGTTCTTGATCGTATGGCCCTCGTCCAGGATGATGCGGAAGAAGTTGAGCGCGAAGAGGCCCTGGCCTGGATTGGAGTCACGTGACCACATCTGCGTGAACTCAGACAGCACGGTGCCGTAGCTCGTGATGACGACGTCGGGCGCCGTGGCGGCCGCGTCTGTCGAGCATAGCGCCTTGAGGTTGGCCGCCTTGTCGTAGCCGTAGTAGACCATGGACCGCAGCGACCCGTCCGTCGACGCTCTCTCGGCCTCGCTCTGCCACTGTGCCAGCAGCGACATGGGGGCCACCACGAGCGTCGTGCAGGGCGCGTCGGCCACATCGGGCAGCCGGGTCAGCATCCGTCGGAGGCTGTGCTTTTCCGCCGTCTTGCCACCTTGTAGCTGCATGGCCACGGGCGACTTGTGGGCGTGGATCAGGCTGAGCATCTGGATCGTCTTGCCCAGCCCCATCTCGTCGGCCAAAATGCCACCCCGACAGTTCTGTTCCTGGGCCGGGAAGTCCAGCGACAGGTCGCCCGAGTACGGATTGACGTAGAAGCTCGGCTGTCCCTGCACCGGCGGCAGGTCGTTGCCGTCGACGTCCTGCAAAGGCCACAGGTACTCCTCCCACAGCGGATGCATGGACACCTTCTTTTCCTTTTTCTGTGCGTTTTCGCCCGTCTCGCCCGTCTCACCCGTCTCACCCGTCTCACCGTCCCTCTCTTTGGAAATCATCCAGTGCAGGGCCTGCTTCTGGTACGGACGGAGCGACAGGGCAAACGTGTCTGGCGGCTCGGCCTCGGGGGTGCTAAAGTCAAACGACTGTGCCTTTCGGTACAGGGCGTCGAGCTGGTCTTGCTCCAGCTCCTGGCCGTCTTCCGGCTCATCGGACGTCGTCGCCGTCGATGACACCTCCTTTGGCACATCCTTGCTGCTGTCCCTCTGTTCTGCCATTTCGGCTGCCTCGAGAAGGCCTTGGCGGCCGCGTTTGGTCGCCGCCTCGTTGACACGTGTCGGCAGCAAGTTGATTTCCTCAAAGAGCCGCACGAGGGCGACCTGCCGCAGCCGCAAACCGCGCTCCTCGGCCGTCTCCTTCTCCTCGAACAGCCCGGTGGTCCGGTTGTCGTCTGGCCGGGCTGGCTTCGCGTCAAAAGCCGACCGCAGCAGCCAGCAGCGCAGCTGCAGAAAGACGGTGTCGTTTGTCCGCAGCCGCTCCGGCGCATACACACACACGCCTTCGAACTTGCACACCTTCTGGTCCATCAGGGCCGACACCCAGCTGGCCGCCTGCTTGGAGAGCCGGCCGAGTTCGATGCCGCCCGTCGTCGTAAACCGCACGATCACGTCCATGCGCTTGGACGTGGCCGCGTTGCTGTGCGCTGCAGCAGCCGCCCCGAGCTTTGTCGTCTTCTGCATGGAACCCCCGATGCGAGGCCGCTCGGCCCTCTGCCGCTCAATCCGCACCGTGTCGCCGTGTTTCAGCAGGTTGACACCGCTGCGCGTGGTCCAGCCCTCGACGCCAAACGCGCCGACGTACCGCTGCTCCGGGATCGATGACCGGAGAGACGATGTCGACAATGCAGACAATGTGGTCGGTGCAGCCAGAACAGCCTTCGGAACGGCAGCCGTCTTGTGCACTCTTTGCAGCGCAGACTTCCACGTGCCGTCATAAAAGATGTTGACGGCACGCTCAATGTTGTTGCCACACTTGTCGCGGATCATCTGCATCACCTCGGGCTCGATGCTCTGCTCTACTATGGCCTCGAAGACGGTCTGGTCAAAGGCAGCCGACGGCGACGGAGGCGGTGCACGGCGACAAGAACTAGAGCCTACAGCACTGCCAATGGCCGGCTGCCTCTCCACCGGGGCGGGCGAGGAGGCCGACTGAGGAGAGAGCGAGAGCGGGAGTGAACCCCGGTTGGGGTCCTCTTTGGTGGTGTCATTGTCGAAGAATCGCCGCTTCGGCTGTGTTGGCAGGGCCGTGTTCAATCGATCATCCCGTTCATCCGGCAAACGCCGCCGCTTCTTTTCCTGGCCTTTGGGGACGCTGGCACAGTCCATGGCCACTGCAGTTGCTTCTCCGTGAAGAGACGAAGAGGAAAAGAAAGACGCGAAGCTTTCTAAGCCGCAGACGCGTTTTCCTCTTTAGCAGGATCGCTAGGCGTGACTTGGGGGCCCCACATCTGCTGTTGTGGTGGGGCCAGCGGCTAGGCAAATGCAACGCACGCTATTTGCCAGCCAAAAGCCCTTCCTTCGTCATAATAGGCCGTTGCTGCTGAAAAATTCACATCGCATCCAGGAGACCTCCCGCTTCCCTCGACAATCAATGCTTTGCGTCCGCAGCTCCCGCCATGCATTGCGACGGTTGCCGTCTTGCTCTGCCGGTCTGCGTCGCTCCTTTGTCTCGGATGCCGACGTGGCCAAGGCCCGCCTCTACTGCGAGAACCAGCTGAAGTATGCCTTTTCTCGCTTTCTCTTTCCCTTTCTCGCTCCCTCGACTGACAGCTTGTCTTGCTTTCAGAACAAGCGATCACGACGCCCACCTCGTCCATTACTTTCTCCCCGGCGCCGCCCGCGATGTCTACCTGGCGCTGCGCACGCTCAACCTGGAACTGGCTCGACTTCCCGAGACGGTGACCAATCCGACGATCCGCCTGATGCGCCTGCAGTTCTGGCGCGATGCCGTCAACAACACGTTTGACGGCCATCCGCCGCGCGAGCCTGTCTCGCTCATGCTATACGCCGCCCTGGCTGCCTTGGCCGCTCGCGATCAAAAAGGCGCCTCGTGGAGCTCCATCAAGTTCTGGCTGCAACGCTACATCAATTCTCGCCAGGAGCACATGGACAACCGCCCGTTTCCCCATATGGCCGCTCTCGAAGACTACGCCGAGAGCACGTACGCCACCCTAATGTACATCACCTTGGCCATGCTGCCGCTGCAGTCCATGCACGTCGACCACCTGGCTAGCCACGTCGGCAAGGCCTACGGCATCGCCGCCATCCTTCGCAGCATTCCAGTCCTGGCAGCCCCGGCTGCACCGAAGTCCACAGCAGCAGCAGCAGCAGCGCGCACTCCCGTCCTACTGCTTCCGCTGGACGTCATGGCCGACGTCGATCTGCGCGAGGAAGATGTCTACCGCCAGGGACCGGGTGCGCCGGGCCTCCAGGAAGCCGTCTTCCGTGTGGCCACCCGTGCAAACGACCATCTGATCACGGCCCGCGAGATGGTCAAAAACATCCGCGCCGGCGAGGACCCGGGTCATGATTATGAGCATGCCGGCGAGACCGGCCACACCTACCACGACGCCCGCAAAGACAGACAGGACGGCGGTCGGGAAGGGATCCAAGCCCTGAAGCGTGGCTTCGGCGTCCTTCTCGAGGCCGTGCCGGCACAGGATTTCTTAGCCCGCATAGAAGCCGCCGACTTCGACCCCTTCCGGGTCAAGAGCAGCTGGAAGCTGCCATGGTCACTGTACTGGGCGCAGAAGACACACCGCATATAAGCGTTAATGCCGTGTTGATGACTAGACATTGTATATCACGTTCGGATGAAGGTGCATCTACAGGTGCTTATATAGCCAGGTAGCCCCCCTAAAACAGTCGAGTGGCGACCACGTGCGACCCAAAACAAAGACAGCCCGATCGGCATTTGCCAAAATGATAAAATTTCTGACTGGAACATGCGTGATTATTGCATCATGGTAGTCGAGAAGGTAGGCTTTGATATAGTCATTGCGAGCCGAACGCCTATCGCCTTGCCGAGCGGGTCCGGCCGGCGAGATGCCACCGACGCCTGAGGACCCTCTCGGAAAATACGAGTACTCGTACATACAAGGAAATAATCTAACAGGAATGAACGTCAAAGCGAAAGTGAGGTGATGTCTGGTAGATTCAACCAAGCAAACGAGAAAAAGTGGACCGTCGATAGGTGGCGAGGCATATAGGGTAAATAAACTCATCTGACAGGCTTCTTCGGATGGTTTGGCCCGGGGAACATATCCGGAATATTTGAATCTGCAGTGATCGACATCGCGTAGGCGATGTCGTGCCTGAAGAGCTTCAAGGCCCGCAGCAACTAGGCTGGTTGCTCCGGGAGCATCACCCACACCAGTCTGACGGCAGATGACACGCAGTCTAGACGATCGAGCGATGTCGGCCTCGATCTAGACGGCATTTGGAAGGTCAAAGTAGTAATAGCTTTGGTTCTGTTGATGGCCCAGCCGGTCCTCAGCATCGGACTACTCTAGACGACTAGCATCGACTGGACCAAGGTGCGGGGAGCTGATCACGGCCACCAGGCCCGATGCCGGATCGAGCTTGTACAGTGACCTTGCCGTCAATGCCACCAGGGAGTAGCGGTCTACCCGGCCTGCAGGTGTAGCGGATAGGGCGGAACAGGCGTCTGGCAAGGCTGGCAGAGCTGGCAGGGCTGGCAGAGCTGGTTGAGAGGCCCGGCGGCGGCCGTGGACTGGGGTACGGATGTCGGCATGCTCATGGTGAGATAGGACGAGTACCCGCACATGCAGGAAACGCAGGATACGCGTCACTTGTTCGAGTCAGGTGCTTCTGCCTTTAGCGTTCCACCCTCATTGGGCTGTGGCGAATAGGCAGCAGCGTGTCAGCACGAGGGCAGAGCACGAGAGACTGGAGCCGGTAGGGGAGCCGGGAGCCAGGACTGGGTTGCCAGGACTGGGCGGCCCACAGTATACAAGCGTACAAGGCATGGAGATCTTGGCCACGGGCAGACCAGACGGACGGATCCAGGAGGGACGGCCTTTGCTAGAGGGCGAGGGTGTTCCCAAGGTTAAAGGGCTTTGTGTATGAGTACATGGACTGTTGGGCCGGGCCTGAATATGACTGGACGAAGCGTTGTGGATCAGCTCTGCCCTTGTGATGGCTCGCAGAAAGCGGCCCCTCGTGCTACACCGCGCGTGGGATGGGTGCGATACGTGCCGAGCTGGTAGTGGTGGTGGTGGTGGTAGTGGTAGTAGTGGTGCTGCTCACGGGAAGAGCTGGGACACCGAGAGAGTGGCTGGTGGCATTGGAGAGCAGCCAAGACGCTTCTGCCGGCTTCCTCCCACAGGTACTCGTACTCGTACATCAGGCTGCCAGGGAGGGCTGGCGGCATGCGACGCCATCTGTGGCGATGCCAATTAAGGTTTTTTGTGCTGGTGGATGCAATGCATGTGTATGTGGGTAGTGTGATGGTAAATACACACCGCATGGCTCTTTGTCTAGCTCGTAGGGCTGAAGACGTTCCAGCTGCGGATCTGCTGGACGGCGCTCGCTGGCGATATTGTTGGTTGGCCGTGTTGGAGATGTCGACCAACACGGTCATCCAACGGCCCAGCCATCGATTTTCCTCAACAGCCCCTTGCGAGACATGAGATATAGGCCATCCATCACAGACAGAGGGGCTGCTGGCTCGCACACGGCCACGGGTACGGTCGCAGGGGGCGAAGCTCCCGAAAAACGTCCGGAGCGGGATGCAGAAAAGTCTGCTCGCTCTTCGGCACATGTTGTGCAGCGAACGCTAGTCAGCAGACACGTCTTGCGCCGAGACGAGCCGGGCAGGACCGGAGGGAAAGCCGGGACGTCAGGAAAAGGCGTCATGCAAAGGCAGTCTGACGGGTACAACAAATGTACCAACAAGGGACAAGCAGCCGAGTAGCCGCACCGGTGGAGCCTGCAGTGGCCATTTCTACACAGAGCACAGGGTACGTGTACAGGGTACGGAGTGCTCGCACTTGCAGCAATAGTACGATGCATGGCGCCGGCAGATGCCAAGAAGCTAGCAGAAGAAAGCTTTTCCGTTACATCGAGCGGCACAGCGCTTACAGGCAGGGCCGGATATACATACGTCGTAGTGTCAGCGTCCAGATCTGCCACGGAAATGAGAGCAGGAGGGCCCAAAGCCCGGTGACGGCCACTCGTAGAATCACGCAACCTAGTGGCCTATGACTGATTGCAGTGGGGCCCGGCCGGCGGCCCTGCGACGATGGTGTCGGTGCCGGCAGTTTGCGGGTGAACGTGTCCGTCGAGGAGGAGGGTCGAGGCGGCAGGCAGAGCGATCACGAGATGTCGATGCACGCTGTTGGACGTGTTCGGGGGCTCGGACAGCAGACGGGTAGCAGATATTTGGACGAGGTATTGTGTGTTTGTGTGATTGTGTGATTGGATGATCGGGTGTGAATATATGAATCTTTTTGTCCTAGTTGTTTTTGTTTCTCTTCAATTATTTTCTCTTATTTTCTCTTGTTTTATTTTAATAATTCATACATTCATTTGTTACTCCACACAGAGTACTCTCTTCTTCCTCGCCGGCCTCTGCCGAAATTGCCCGCTTCACCACCCCCGCACCACGACTGCCCATCCAGGCCTTCAAAACAGCCGATAACAAGGCGCCGTTGTTTGCCATCGTATTTCCCGCACCACGTCAGGCATGCAGCCATCGGCCAGCCAGGTGGATATGGCTGCTCGGGGCCGTGTGCTCTGGCCTGTCTGCACCCCGGTGCCTTTGTTGCTGAGCTGGTCCCCTCTGCATGACGTCATTGTTTCGAGCCCCGGCGACATCGGTGGCACGACTGCCGCTTGCCGTTGGGAGGGAACACGCTCTGGCCGCTCCTTCTCAGATGGGCCGCGGGACGCTTGGCGAGGAAGGAGCGAGCATCTGGCGCGAAAAGTGGCTGATCGGTTGGGCAGGCATGATGGCGCCTGGTTTAATTACCTGGGCTGCTGCTCCGGAAGTCTCGGGCGAAAAAAAAAACCGACCCGAAAAGATGGCTAAGAGCAGACTTTTTGCGACGCACTACGACACAGTCGCGTGCCCGTACAGAGTCCATACGTGTTACGGAGAATCTCTGGCCTCGTAAGATACGTCACGGCCCCTACGAACACTCCGTTCGAGTACCACGGGCCCGTCGCAGCACGCTGGATGCGAGTACTCGTGTCTTACGACCGAGATACATGCGTTTCGTACATAGTAGCCCGCCAAGGCCGCTCCTCACTACTTTCGTTCTCACTAACAACGCCCGCTAGCCTGCCACAGCTTGCTGCCCCACTCTACCTGCCCATGTCTGCTCCATACTCCGTACTCGTAAAGCCGCTAGAGCCAGCGCCCGTGACAATCCCCAGAACCGTGTATCCGCTGTACGATACAGTACAGTCATGCAGGCCCCACCTGCTCTAATTTTTTTCTTTTTCTTTTTTCCCTTCCCTGTACGCCGCTGGGCCGCTGGGCTGCACATGCCTTGTCGAGCTCTCCGCGTCGCTGCCATCGCCCGTTTGCTCACACTCGCCTTCTCGCTCCCTCGCTCACGCTTCCCACCGCCTCCAGGTCATGTCAGCAGGCCTGTCTCCGGCCCTGCCGGCCTTTACCCGCCCCCCCTCCCATTAGGACGTACGCCGACCAACCAGCTGTCGGCTTGCCCAACCTTCGAGTACGGAGCACCTTCCACTGGCTTCCAACGTGATGATGCTGCTGCATCCTCCGCGGCCCTTTAATATGCCCTGCACCCCCCCGTCTCTCCTTCCCGATCTTGGCTGTCATTGCCTCTCATCGACCACTGCAGCCTTCTCACCGTCTGCTTCACGCCTTCCCACGAGACAAGACACCGCCCAATCGATCTGTCACAAAAATCACTCCACAACCGTCCAAGCACAAATCAGCCTCTCGTCATCGGTAGCCACAGCTCATTCGCAGCCTTGTTCTACCACACGCCGCCCACTCCCCACCCACTCACACTTCCCAGAACGTGTCCACCAAATCTCTGCTGCCCACTCAACCACGCCCCCCTCCGTTTGAATCCACCATCCTAAACGGCTCAAGTGCCACACCATCAGTCATACGGAACGCTCTCTTCCCGCGAACAGGGACACCAACCCGGACAGACCCCTACATACTAGCACTCACGCATATTTACTCTTTGTACCCGTACATTCGCAGTCCCTCTCCCATTCTCCGACCGACCTCTCCTCCCCTCCCACCTCTTCTCTCTCTCCTCTTCCCGCTCTCTTCCCGCTCTCTTCCCGCTCTCCTCTTTCTACCTCGTCTTCTACTCTTTTACTACTTCTTTCTCCTCTTCTCCCACCTCCCACCTACAACCAGACTTTACCGTGCTCCTACAAGCCCACTTCTCCTAGATCCCTTTCAGATCTGCTCTGCCCCTCTCCAATTGCCACAATGACGAGCGCAGCTCCTGCGGTAGACGTCCAGATCACTGGCGCTGCAGCGCTCCCGGTCGCTACGGCAAAAGACACCAACACTCCCAGCGGCTCTAGTGCACGCAGCAGTGAGACCCTCAACGAGAAAGATGTCAAGATAGAGCCGGCCCACAAGTCATGGAAGAAGCTCTACAGCAGACACAACACCCCTGTGGTGTCGGAGCGCTCGGCGTCGACCAAGCGCACCAAGACGTTCTGGAACTCGTTCAAGTTCCTATGTAACATGACCGACAAGGATGTCGAAGACTTCATGTCCTCCTACGTCATCTACAACCTCGACTGGGCCGACGAGGAGAAGATGGTGGCCGCGCTCGGCCCCGACTACAAGACCAAGGTCGGCGACTGTTTGCGCAGCTACTACGGCGTCCTGAACCATCTCTGTGCCCTCGGCGACGTCGAGAAGATGTACATCCCGCCATTAATGGACAAGCACGTGTCCGTGCTCGACAACCAGCTACTGTATGAGGAGTCCATCGCCCGCGACATTGGCATCAAGCCGGGTGACCGCGTGCTCGACCTGGGCTGTGGCCGTGGCCGTGTGGCTGCTCACATGGCCAAGTACTCGGGCGCCAAAATTGTCGGCCTCAACATCGACCCCAATCAGCTGGCCCAGGCCCGTTCCTTCACCAAGGAGCAGGGGCTGCAGAACGAGTTTGTCGAGTGGGACCAGAACAACCTGCCGCTGCCGTTTGAGGACGCCAGCTTCGACGCCTTCTACGAGATCCAGGCTTACAGCCTGTGCAAGGACCTGCCGGCCATGTTCCGCGAGGTCTACCGCATCATGAAGCCGGGCGCCAAGTTCTCCATGCTGGACTGGGTCAGCCTGCCCAAGTACGATCCCACCAACCCGGAGCATGCCGAGCTGATGCGCCGCGTCAAGCCGCTCATTGGTGCCGTCGGCACCCCGACACCTGCTGGGCTCGAGAAGGCCCTGACCGACGCCGGCTTCCAGGTGACGCGCTCCGACAACGCCAGCGTCGGCGGTCTGCAGGCGCCCCTCATCGACAAGGTCGACCTGTACTTCCGCGCCATGCGCCAGATCATCTTTGGCCTGATCCGCCTGCACATTCTTCCCAAGCACTTCCGCATTCTGCTCAACCGCTTCAGCCTCGACGGCGAGGCTTTTGTGGAGATGGACAATAAGCGTCTCGTCACGACAAGCTACCGCATCATCGCCGTGAAGCCGGCGCAGTAGGCGCACAGTGGGAGTCTGCTGAAAAATCCAGTAAAAAGCCGATGCAAGAAAGCGTCATCCCCACCCACCCCACAAATGCATGGCCGGGTTTTCTACCGGCCGGAGATGGAAGCAGCCGCGTCGTGATGAGAAGAGGAATGCAGCAGTTAATGGGCGAAGGACTCGAGAACGGCTACGGCATTGTTTGGGCGTCATTTGGCATCTTTTTGTGTTATTCATTCCGGTGATCTGTGCGTTTCAGTTACATCTGCACTGCTAGTTCCTTTTCCAACATACCCTTCTTTGCTCTCTTTAACATAGACCTTAGAGATATCCATCGTGCCCACGCGACACGAATTTTTGTTAGTGTTAATATAACGGATCCGAAGACTGTTATTTTCTTATTTAATGCGGGTCTCATCGCGTCAGGCAAGAAACGGCGTCGAAAAATTCCGCAGTGGGGTGTGGAGATCCCATTGTTTCCGGACGTCGGCGCTACCGCTAAGACCGAGAAACGGGTCGGAGTCTCCGAGAGCTCGGTGCTAAATGGTTATCTCGATCCATCTCGATGTTATTAAGCAGCAGGAAGAGCTCGGTGGAATCGGATGATCTGACCCACGTGATGAAAGTCTTACGACTTGGAGCCCGTACTCGTACTCGTACGGGTAATGCGATGACTAAGCGGAAAATATCGTTCCTTCTTGATTGGAGGAATCAGCGGACAAATGCATGTTGCAATCTAGGATGGCAATTTGGAGGCAAACGCGAGGCTTTTATCGGCTCCTACCAGCTCTCGTGAAATGGGGCGGGCACCGAAAAGCGGGTACTGCCACACCTGTCGCCAGAGGCGGGTCAAATGCGACAAGGAGCGGCCAGAGTGCCAACGCTGCCGTCGATCTGGCCACCAATGCCAGGGCTATGAGGCTGTGCTGCGCATGCAGAGCCATGCGGCCGTAGCTGGAGCAGCGCCCGGGACGTTGCGGCTGGGCAAGATTCAGTCGATGACATCGTATCCGGGAGGAGGAACAGCAGTGGCAGCTCGCTCGCGGCAGAAGCAAGCGGCCAGCAGCAGTCCTCCTGCAGAGCTCAGCTTTGCCGGATTCGCCGACGACATGGCGTTTTCGTATTTTTTCCAGTCGTACAGCTGGATCAATATGTACAGCATACTGCTGCAGGACAGCTCGCTGCGTGGCTGCTTCGAGGACGGAGACATGACCGGCGACAGTCTGCGGGCTCTCTGCTATGGCCTTCTTGGTCGGGACAAGTCCATCTATATGCTACAGGATGCAGGAAGGCGGGCGTATGGCCGAGCTATTCGGAGTCTGCGCACCAGGATGGCGGCCACGTCCAAGGCAGACATGGCGACGCTAGTGAAGCCGATCTCTCTGATGGGCTCGTATGCGGTGCGTATGTCACTCTTTGCATATGTACATCTGCCACACCATGTTGGAGGCAAGGTCTGACTTGACTAGGTCGCCGTGGACCAGGACCTGCGATTTACGCACCACGCTGGGCTGGCACACGTGCTTGAGTACTGCGGCCCGGAGCAGTTCCAGTCGGCGGCGCTCTTGCCTGTGTTTGAGTCTATACGATGGACCCTGATCTCGGACGCGATCGTGCGGCGACAGGGGACGTTCCTGGAGCAGGCAGAGTGGAAGACGGTGCCGTGGGCGGCTTGTCCGGAAGCCAAGAGCGTCACGAGCAAGCTGCTGGACGTCCTGGCCGGTCTCCCTACCATCCTGCAGGGCGTCTGGGGCATCCTGGCGGACCGGTCGCAGTGGGCACTGGTCGGCGGTCCCCGGATCGAGCAGCCCGACACGGTGCCGCGGCTGCAGGTTCTCGTGCGCCATTTCGAGGCTGGCGGCGAGGCGTGGCGTCGCGAGTGGGAGGCAGCCGAGCCGGAGCTCGCGCCACGCGTCCTGGCGTGGGCCCTGTTCCAGGCCGCCGACGACAGCTATCGGCCGGGGGTGTTTGGAGTGCAGGGTCCGGACGTGTTCGACTTGTCTGTGGCGACGGTCGATTCGGACGGTGTCAGGCTGCTGGACGCGCAGCGGGATGACGCATCGTTTGAGCGTCTGGCCCGGCTGATGCAGGACACAGCGCTGTATGCGACGGTGCTCGTCTGGACGACACGGCTGGACCGATATCTGGCCGGCGCGGCGCGGTCGGCGTCGTGCATCGACTTTATGGCAGCGCCGTTCCGTACGCGCTGCACCTGTTGTGAGACGCCTCCGATGCGGCCGTGCGAGACCGTGCCGCCTGCCGGTGTTGATGGTGCTGCTCGAGCCTCTCCCGACATGGCGTGGAATGTCTATACGTGTGTTCTGGCTGTATCGCCGTTGCGGATTGATCCAGGAGGCTCGGCTGCCGGCAGGCTGGACTCCAACGAGCTGCTGCCCGGCGATGTACGGTTTGTGGCGCAGCTGCGGATCCTTGCGTGGCTGTGCAGCCGTCTGCCGGCGTCGCGGAGCCAAGTGCTGGGCACGCTGGCGGCCATCGGGCTTGGCCACTGCGCACACGACGTGCGGCCGGCCGACGGGATCACCGAGGTGGCTGCGGTCGCTGTGTCGCGCGTGTTTGATTCCAGCGACATCGATGGGGCGGCCAATGTGCTGCTGCGGCGCTATGGACAGTCGGGTGCGGTAGGCTAAGCTTGGCGATATAGGAGGCCAAGTGTCACGTTGTCGGATGCGACGTGCTCGTCCAGACCTCATCGATCTAACAAGGCACAATATGTTTGTTTGTCATAAAAAGCCATATTCTGTCCGACCAACGTTTATCCTGTTCAGCGACGTCATTGAATATGACCAAAGAGACTCTTACCGAGCTGCTCCTCGTATTCGTTCTGCTGTGCTTTTCGACCTCCTCTCGACCAACGACTGCTTGTCCAGACACTGTGGGAAGCTGACTCGAACACAAGCCGATCTTCTTGCCCTATACGAAAGAATCAATCACAGAATCCCATGCAGCTCGTGATCGTATCCCTTGTTGTGCTGCATATAAAAGACCGTGTCTGCTGCCATGTCTTTCGGGAGTCCCCCAGGCTAACCCCCCAGAACAGCTCCCCCGATCACCACCCAGCCCAGACCAACACCATCCACCGCACACATGGCCAGACGTCTCCTCTCTGCCACCATCGGCCTCGTCGGTCTCGGTCTCGGCCTCGCCGATCAGCAAGCCTGCGCCGATCAGCAGTTCGACCCAGCCCAGAGCGTCTGCCATGACGACCGCGTTCTCTGTCCGATCGTGGCCGGCGAGCCGCTCGCCCACTGCAGCGGCGTCTGCTATAGCCGCTTCATGTATGTCTGCACCGACAACGTGCTCGCACCGCTGCCCGTCCTGGCTGCTGGCACGCCCTTTGCCCTGACGGCCGCCAACCCGTCTGCGCCGGCGGTCGACGGCCTCGCTGTCAGCGCCTGTGCCCTGCGCTGGAACCTTGGCGGGCCTCTGTGCGCCTACTGTCCGGCCGACGTCATCGCCAGCTGTCCGGTCGCTGACCGCCTCGTCGTCTCGGCTGCTGCCTCCGCTGCCGCACCGTACGGTATGGACGTCGCCGTCCCCGGCGGCCAGATCGTCTTCCTCGACGCCGCCAACAATGCCGTCGCCTACTCTCAGGCCCATTCTGCTGCCCTGCCGCCCGGTGCCCTCCTCGGCGGCCTTGTCGCCTACAACGGCGGCGGCTTCGTCAACCTTCACGCCGACGGCTGGGCCTGGCTCGCCTGTCCGCCCGACGACAATACCGCCACCGGCTACTCCCTGCACGCGGCCAGCACCACCAACAAGGACTTCCTCGCCAACTGCACGCCCGTCAACCTCAAGGTCAGCGTGCTGCCGTTGGGGACCGTAGGTGCTTGGCAGTATACGTGATGCACGTGCTGTGGCTGGTGCGCGTGATCAGTCACGTGCCATTATATCATGTGAGAAGGCTGTCCCACTTCTGGTGCACGGACCATAGCTGAACCTCAGTCTGTATAGTTGTCAATCATCCCACACAGATCTCCTTGAATTCTCGCTCTATCGTGACATATACATAGCTGTCTTCATGGCCTTCATGGCCGTCGTCATACTTGATTTCAGCTGCTCGTGCTGTAATGCATATCCTACATGCAGTCGTGTAACATTCACGCATCTCGGACAGCGGACACCACTGCCCGCCCCTTTTCGAGGTCGCCGCTGTCACGTCGATGCGCCGGGCCGCCGCTGGACCAGCCACTACCGCTGCCGATGGCGCCGTACATGCGGCCGGTCGCCAAGGAGCTACGCCGCGAGCCATCAGGCCCCCAGAAAGATTGCAGCTGTGTCTGCTGCTGCTGCTGTGCGTAGTGAACATGGTGTGAACGAGCAGCTGCATCGCCGTTCAGGCCGAAGCTAGACCGTGGCATATCTGATGGCGTTCCAATCGGCCTGCTGACGTAGTCGTGATCGGCCCGCCTGTCCGTCAGCCCAGCCTGTCCGTCGCTGCTGCCACCGCCGTCGTGGCTGTGCCCCGCCACCGTCCACAGCCGCGGGTGCCAGCGGGTGCCCTGATGGCGGACGGCGGCGTAGATGCTGTGGACCGACGCATAAATGTCCGGGACCGTAAAGGCCATGAGAATCAGCGGGATCGAGATGCCCAGGCCGATGCCGAACATGTACTTGCACACGTAGCCGACCGTCAGGCTGTCCTGCCAGCTCTTGATCTGGATCGAGAAGAAGGCTGCGATAAAGGATATGGGCAGAAAGACAATGGTGACAATGGTAAATGTCATAATGGTCTGGCCCTGGCGCGCTGCGATCATCGCATGGTCGCGTGCAAAGCGCGCCTCGAGTGCGTTCGAGTGCTTCTGCTTGAGGTCCAGCAGGTGTGTCAGACTGTTGTAGATGCTCGACGCCTGCCGGTCCATCCGCTCAAAATCCTTGCGGTAGACCTCTAGCAGCCGTTTCTGGTCGCGCGCCCGCCGCTTCGTCTCGGCCGTGATGCTCTCCACGCTGGCCGCGCCGTAGGCCGTGTTGCCGTCACCGCCACGACGGGCTGTCCCGCTGCTGTTGTTGTTGTTGTTGTTGCTGTTGCTGTTGCTGCCGTTCTCTGGCCGCAGCTCCTCCAGGATGCTGCTCTCGAGCTCGACCAACGTGCTCATCTGGGCGTCCAGGATGCCAAACAAAATGTTGAGCTCGTCGCGGATGTCCTTGATCTCGGCCAGCAGCGACGTCTCCGTGCCAATGTCCAGCAGCGCGTCCGGAAAGACGGGTGTCGAGTCGAGCGAGCCGTCGCTGGGCGTGAGCGAAGGCGCCAGCGATGCCGCCATGCCGACATCGCCGCCTGTCCGCCGCTGTCGTCGCGGCCGTCGGTGCAACTCTAGCCATTCGGCTGACATCGCGGACGCCTTGTTGAAGCGTCGGAACAGCTCGCTCTCCGTGTTGGTCACCAGGCCGATGGAGCTCTCAAACATGTCCAGGAACTGGTACTCCTGGTCGGCCGGCCGGTACCGGTCAAACATACCGGAGCACCGGTTCGTGATCAGCATCGCCAGGTCAAACACCGACTGCACCGGCGGCCGCGTCTTGGCGTTGGTGTCTTCGATGATGCCGTCTACCACGTTGAGCGGATCGCGCTTCGGCTGGTCCCATCGCTGCGGAAAGCATGTCACAACCAGATCCTTGCCCAGCACCCACATCCACAGTTGGTCCACCATGAACACCTTCTTCTCCAGCCCGTGTCGTTTGAAGTAGCGGTACACCACCTGGTCCACGTCCCGGATCGACGTGTCAATGCCGTGGTAGAAGAACTGGTCCAGCGTCCGGCGCGGGTGCAGCGGCCGCGCGTTCTGCAAGTACCCCTTGACCAACATCTCGTCCCGCGATGAGCCCATGGGCGGTTCCCAGCCCTGGCGGACGTGGTCGATCGTGTTGCTCATGGCCAGGCGGCTCTCGTCCGTCTCAAAGTGGAGATAGGGCATCTATCACGTGATGAGCAACAAGAACAAGAACAAAGACAGAAACAGAAAACAAATACTCACAAACAGCACAATAATCCCGTTTGCCGACGGAATCTTTGATGTCTCCCAGATGGTAGAGCCCCGAGCCTTGAGCGCCTTTGTGCCGGGAGGGTTTCCTGGAGGTCCGTTTGTCCGCTTGGCGCGCTTTCCGTGACGCTCAGCAATCAGTTCTCCCTTGCCCTTCTTCTTCGTCTGCTCAGAGCGTAGAGTTCCAGAGCCGCCATCGATGGCCTTTTGGTCCAGTGCCGTCGGAGACAATGGGGTGCTGCCCGGCATGGCCAACGGCTCATCTGGCTGGCCGTTGTTTGTCGTCGGCATAGACGCCGACGACGTCTGCATGGACGGGATCCGGCTGCAGAACGTCCGCATAAAGTGGGCATGGGCGAGCGGGCCGCGGTGCTCCTGGTCGAAGCACTTCTCCAGTGCCTTGAACGGCTCGATGTCACGGCTGCCACCCTCGATGAACCACTTGGAGAGCAGGGTCTGCGGGATGATTAGTAAGCAAAAAGCTGGGAAGAGGAACAGAGGGCGATTACCTCAGCCCACGCAATCTACTTTGTCAGCTGTGCACGGCAACGGACAAGGCAGAGCAGAAAGAGCGTACGTTGTTTGCGGGCAGGTGGATCCAGCGGAACTTGGGCTGGTACTTGATCTTGCTCGTCTGGGTCGCCACCTTGGGCCGGTTGTTCTCGTCGTCCCAGCCGTAGAGGACGTCAAAGACGGAGTGTTTGAAGACCTGGTGCTGCTTGCCGTCGCGGAAGTTGCCAAAGTCGACGACGGTGGCGGTGAACTGGTCGCAGGCGATGCGGGCAGCAGGCGAGAGCCGGGCGGCCGCGTGGACGGGCGACAGCAGCTGAACAATGTTGCGGTGATGGTGCTCGGCAGCACAGAGCATAGGCGTGCGGTCGAAGCCGTCCTTGATATCGATGCGGATCTGTTCGTGGGCCAGCAGCAGCCGCACGACGGCCTCGTGGCCGTTAAAAGCGGCCCAGTGCAGCGCCGTCATGCCGTTGGACAGCGCCGCATTGACTCTGGCCTTGTATTCCAGCAGCAGCTGAACGACGGCTTCATGGCCACCCTGCGCCGCGTTGTGCAGGGCCGTCCAGCCGCCGTCACTGGCAGCGTTGGGATCGGCGCCGTAGTCCAGCAGCAGCCGCACGATGCCCACAAAATTGGCTTCGGCTGCTAGGTGCAGGGCTGAGCGGCCGCGGTAGTTGACGGCCTTCACGAGGTCCTCTGCAGGATTGGAGTAGGGGTGGTGGCTGGGGATGGCCCGCTGTGTGTGAGAGTGGTGCGAGAGGTGGGAGAGGTACGAGAGATGGGAGTGGTGGGTGTGGTGGATGGGACTGGTGGTCCTGCTTCTGGGATCGATGGAAATGGAAATTCTGGGCCTCTGCCTGGGTTCGACAGACGCGGCCCGCTTCTCGTTCTCGTCTGCCCTGAGCTCATTCTTGGGGTCGGTCTCCTCTCCCAGAAGCCCGCGCACGAGCTGCTCGTTTCCGTTGGCGGCAGCCCACAGCAGGGCCGTGCGTCCGGTGAGGTCTTGAGCATGGATGTCGGCGCCGCCGTGATCGACCAGCAGCCGCAGAATGGCCATTGTCGTGGCCGGCTGCTGTTTCTCGGCGGCCCAGAAGAGCAGCGGCGTGCGGTGTTCGCGGTCGCGCCACTGGACATCGGCGTCGTGGTCCAGCAACAGTCGAACCAGGTCGACATGGCCACGAGCACAGGCAGGAAAGAGGGCGGTCTGGTTCGCTCGTGTTCGCACGACCACGTTGACGTTGGCGCTGCGAGCCAGCAGCTCCGCCACCAGAGCGACGTGGCCGGCCTCGGCTGCCTTGAACAGCGCGGCCGTCTCGCTGCTGCTGCTGCTGGTCTGGCTCGGCTCCGTCTCGGCACCGGCGTCCAGCAGCAGCCGTGCCACCGACACGCTGCCGCGCGGCGCCACTTTCTGCAGTGCTTGGCGCAGAGCGTCGCGGTCGGCTGGACTCGCCCAGTGCGCATCCTCAGCCAGGATCTCGCGCACCCGCGACTCGTTCGCCTGGGCTGCTGCCACCACCAGCTGGCGCTGCCGCCGATCGGAGCCGCCGCTCGAGATGCTCGTCATTGGGCTGGTGGGTGGGTGTGTTGTGTGGTATTTTCGTCCTGTCTCAAGCCCTCTAGCTCCTGTGGAGTCCCAGCTCAATAGATGTCGCCAATTACCTCATGCTAGCAAAGCGGTTCTATATCATCTGGCCCCAATATGCAAGATCCAAATCTCTGTCGATTACCAAGTTCCGTTAACCCACTGCAGACTGCGAATCGAACAAGAGAGAGTTCTGAGGCCATTGTGAGGTTGGAATAAAAACACATTGGAAAGTCCCACTCGAAGTGGGTCCATTGTGAGTGTTCCTTCCTTGCGAAATGAGATCAATCAGCTCAGACCGCTTTTGTTCTTTTTCCTATTCAGCTGAGGCTGTAGCGTAGGTCCTAGCAGCGACGCGCTCAGAGCATGAAGCACAACAGATTACGGAGTACGTCGTACAGACGGAGTACATACCATGCTGATTCAGATGAGCTGTCATTGCGCTACAACGTAGAGTATGATACTCAGGCCAGCCAATAATACTTCGCTAGCAAATACGCTATAAAGACGCTGTCTATCGCTGAGCTTAACTGGACCAACAGCAAAATGGATACAAACCAAACTTGTCGTAGAAGCATAACTGCCACTCACGCTTGATCCCCGACATCTCTGGCACCGTCACCCCCACCCAATGGCTGCTCCCGGTCGTAGCCCACCGCTGTGATGATCCCGAGACCCTTGGTGAGGCCCTCGCGGAAGAGCAGCCGCTCGCCAGGCGTCAGGTATTCAGGCCGTTGGATGAACCGAAAAGCCACCTGGGCACGCTCGCCCATCCGCAGCAGCGGCTGATCCATGGCGATGATGGAGCAGGTCTGGGCCACAGGGCCGACATGCAGCGTGGCCTGGTAGCCGAGCTTGATCGTCGTGGTGTGCGACAAGATCAGCACCTCGGCCACGAACTCCCAGTACGCCTTGGGCTGCGGTTCGTCCGTCCGGCTCAGCACCACCTGGCCTTTGCGCACGTCCTTGCGGCGTGTCTTGCGCAGCGCCAGCGAAGCCGACTGGCCGGCCGACGCGGCCATGACGCTGATGCGCCTGCGCTCGATCGATCGCACCGTCGTGGCCGCATAGCCGCCGTTGGCGTCGGGTCCAATCCAGACGGCATCGCCCACGTGCACCAGCCCGGCCTTGATGATGCCGCTGACGACGGTGCCGACAAACGGCACCGAGTACACGTCGTTGACGGCCAGCTCGAGGGCCGCCTCTGCGTCGTACGGCCGGTCCTGCCGTGGCAACATGTGGAGGAAGAGCCGGACCAGGTCCAGCTGCGCCCCCGTCACGTTGGACACCTGGAAGACCGGACAGATGCGCGGGCTGACCATCTGCGCCGCTGTGCCCACACAGTCGGCCCGCGACCGTATCAGCACCGGCACCTTGCGTGCGCCCGGACTGCGCAGCACCTGGGTGATCTGCTTTAGTGTTTCCGTCAGCACCTGTGGCGGACAGATGTCGATCTTGGTCACGATCACCAGCACCGGCACGTTGAGCGCCAACGCGATTCCCAGATGCTCCCGGCTCATGCCCACGAGCCCGTTGTTGGCCGCCACCATCAGCAGACAGTAGTCCGGCGCCCCCGAGAGCATCCCGAACATGGTCGTCTTCAGGTACTGCGCATGGCCTGCTAGGTCCGAGAACGCCACCACCTTGGCGCTGCGCCGTCCAATCTCCCCCCACGACAGCTGTCGGCCCGGTGTCCCCGACGTCACCACCGCGCCTCGAGCGTCGAACCCCAGGATCTCCATGCCCACAGAGCTCGTCCGGCCCGTCTCAAATTCGTGCTTGTGCCGGAACAGGTTCACCCGCGCCCGTCCACGCCCGTCGTCCAGATCGCCCGAGACCAGCACCCCCAGCAGCGAGCTCTTGCCAGCGTCCACGTTGCCCACTACTGCGATCCGCACCTCAATCACGTTCTCTGCCCCTTGGGGCCGTCGCCGGATCATCAGCTTGCCCGTGCAGTCCCCTGTTGCCTTTTTTGCATTTGCATCCTCACCACCATCATCCACCTCCACGGCTCCCCCTACATTCTGCGTCAGCAGCACCTCGCACTCGGCGCCCATCCCGTCGGCCGCACGCTCCACGCGCGCCAGCGCCTTGTCCCACTGCGCCCGCATCAGCCCCAGCGTGTCGCCGCTGCTCTCAAGCCCGAGGTCAAACATAAACTCGCCGTGGCCCTCGTCGAGGCGCCGTGCCAGCAACGCCGACAGCGAGCCAAAGTTGGGGTTGCCGTCGTCGCCGCCGTCGCCGTCACCCTCGTCTAGCAGCAGCTGGCGCATCGGCATCTGCGGCGCCGCATCGTCGAGGTCTAGCCTGTCCAGGATCGCGTCCAAATCGGCGAGCGTGCTGTCTGGGACCACCGTTGCCGCCGGCGACTTCCGCTCGGCATTGTCTGCGATCGATGTTGCGTCCGTGTAGTCCGAGACCGATGTCAAGTCTGTGTCGCGCGTGCCGGCTGTCGACGCCGTCGACGACGAGGCTGCGTAGCCCACAGCCGGCGCCGCCCGCCGTCGCTGTTGCTGCAGGATCTCCTGCTTCTGTGCGATATGGTCGGAGAATACGCCGAGGGCCTGCGAGACAAGCAACACATCGTCAGCCAGCCGTGGCGAAACCCACTCCCCGTTCCTCAAACCGGCAACGTACCCGCTCGGCCTTAATCCGCTCACTTCGTGGTAATGCTGGCCTTTTAGACATCGTGTCGAGCTTGCAACGTCGCCTGCAAGGTCCTAGGGAGGAAGTGGATGGAAGAATACGTAGATAAACATGTAGACATTCGAACGATCATCGGTGGTAAAGAGGAAAGGTGCGACGTTCGCTTCAACTTAGGATTGTATATATGTTCTGAGAAAGCTATTTGCGTAGAACGTTCGACTCATCCGGAGTGGCGACAATGCGATGGCAGTCTGGACATTATACCGCCTTTACATAGTATGTTGTGGCTGTTGTGAGCACTGCGGCCGTTGAGTCATTGGACATGCTAGGCTGATGTGGACCCTACGTCGTTTTGCCCCACTGCTTGGTTCGCTCTCACTCCAGCATCATGTTTTGCTCAGGACATTGTAATTATTGCATAATTGCTAATTCTAGGCGTCTTCTACTCGCCTTGTAAATCCCCCTTTCTGTTTCATCCCATCCCAATATAATATCTGCTCTTGTGGTATAAAGAGTACTGGCAAAACCTCCCAAAATAAACGCCTTGTACAAAAAGAAAGAGTCTGTTGAATCGCTGTCATCGCTGATTCAGACCAATGCTGAAAGAGCTGTTTCGAATAGATGCAGAAAAACCAAAGGTCACTGTTCCAGTCCATAACCTTAAAAACACCAGACACCATCGTGTCTTTCTTCCCTCGTTGCGTTTGGGGTATTCATGCGCTGAAAGAGTACGCAGAAAGACAAAAGAAAAAGAGCGGAAAAGGTGAAAAAGGTCCAAAAATTAGAACGGTGGTGGAGGCTCGTTGACGGCATCAAGCGGCTCGATGTGTTCCGTAATGACGCTCGCATTCAGCTCGTCCAAGTAAGAGGGTGGGCTGGGAGGCACGTCCTGGTAGATGGGCGGTGCCTCGTTGTCCCAGGAAACGCCCATTCCACCGCGTTCGGTGAGAATGTCGTTAAAGTGCATGCGCAGGATGCGACCAACACCAGTCTGCGTGACGATGCCCGGCTTCGCTGACGGAGCCCACTCCTGCGAGACGACCATCTCGACCATGAGCTGATGGGTGACCTCAGTGCCGTCCTGGGACTTGGTGTCGCAGGAGAACTTGCTGTTCTTCCCCAGGAAGTAGTCCAGCTCAAACTCCACGTACGACTCCTCGGGCCCGCTGTAGTTGCTCTTCCAGCCCGAGAGCAGCATCTTCTCGCCAATAATGCGCGTGTCGGACCGCAGCACGCCCTTCTTGACCTCCGTGTCCGGCTCGTTGGGACCGTGCGGCATATGGCGCTCGCATGCAGGTGCCACAGCCTTGTTGGTCTCCTCCAGACGCCACGTCAACTTCTTCAGCTTCCAGAACTCAAGCGTGTTGACATTGGCATTGAGGCGAGTAACTCCGTCGATGCGGATCAACATTGTGTTCCGCCCAATGGGGTGAATCACCTGCGGGAAATGCACGCTCGCCTTGATGTTGGTGGGCGGGAACACGCGCACCGAGTGGTGAGGCTGCTCAGGCTCAGGCAGAGAGCGCTTCACGTCCAACGTCTTCTCGAACTTGACCGGGAGGCCGCCGCCAGCCTTGGGCGTCGCCTCGGCGCTGAACTCGTACGCAACAGAGACCAGCTGCCCGTCCATAGACGCTGGCAGATGGCCCGCGAGAAGCACGGAGAAGGGAAATGCGTGACGGCCTAGATGGTCAGCCGATGTCTCGGAACAGAAACCCGGGAAAGGACAAGTAACCTACCCTTTGTCAGGGTCAATGGCGCCTGCAGGAAGCTCCATGTCTGCAGCTGCTTGTACTGGTTGATGCAATCGTTGCAGTGCGCCGTGTAGGGACGCTTCTGTGTCACGTGGATGTTCAGGGCTGCCTTGAACGACTCCATCGGCACAGCATCCTCCTTGATGGTGATGTAGAGCAGCCCGGACACGAGGGCACCGGTGCTGGACTCAGCGTCGCCGTGCAGCACTATGGGCGGCGACTCGATCGTCCAGCTGAGCACCACGTTGGGATTGCCGTGAGATTCGCGGCTGGACCGCCCAAAATGCAGGGCGCCAAAGGAGAGGCGGTGGTGATGGTCGTCGTGGGCACGCCTCTCGGCTGATGAACTGCGCTGTAGTGACGTCATTGTGCGCATTGTGCTCTGGTGGTGATGCTGGCGGCTTTGGCTTTGGCTGTCGCCGGCGGGGACGTCATCCACAGGGCAGTCGTCCACGGACGAGACTTCGGAGCTGTTGCGCAGAGACGAGAGCGCCGAGTCCCGCGGTTTCGGTGATGGCTTGCGATGAGTGCCGGTGGCCTTTTTGAGATTGGCGACCTGGGCTTCGAACGTGTTGGACGAGTTTCGCAGGAAGGTGGAGACGAGGTGTGGCATCTTGGCGGCTCGGAAGGAGCAAAGCACTTGCTCGCAGCAGGAGGGAGAGCGCTGTATAAATCCGGACCAGGGCGACCCAAAGGGGAAAGTACGGCGTGCGGCGCACAACTAGACGCACTGCAGCTCTGGCGCCGAACCAGGGATGCTCTTAGCTGCTGAAAGAAAACAAAAGAAACTTTTTTTTCAGTGGGGCGCCACCACCAGCCGGGTCGTATAAGTAGCAAAAGTCACAGCTCGGGAAGGCGCAGTCGGCCTTGCTGTCGCAGCAAAGAGGTCCCCACCTGACTGCTTCGAAATCGGTAGGAGTGCGACGCAGTGCTACACGTCGTACTAATTTGATCCGATGACTAGCGAGGCACACTTGTAGTTCCCCGCTTGCTGTCTTCGTCTGGCTCGTCTGTTGTGAAGGAGCACGCAAGGGCCTTCCTGATGCGTAGTAGGCGGTAGGTGGCTGTTTGGATGATGATGCTGATGCTGATGTGTGCGATGATATTGATGTTGCTGTGTTGATGTTGGAAATGCTAAGACTGAGGACGCAAATATAAGCCGTAGGAGTAGGAGTCGAGTCGATTGGTCGTAGGGCTGTAAGGGATCACGATGCAAACAGATTGGTAACTGGGCAGTGCTGGCATCACTTTGCAGCAGGTATAGAAGGGCATCAAAGCATCTGACGCCGGCCCGGACGAGGGCGCGTCTGCGTATTTGTATGTGCACGTCTGCGATGCCCCCGAGCTCCGTTTCCATAATGTAATTATGTGTCATGGAGCTCTCCCGGCCAAGACTCCTTCAGCGGTGCACGTCTCCGGCAAGTCTGCAGGCACTGTGCTGAAACTAGCGTGCAGCCAAAAATACGAGTAATCAGGCAAGACGCTGCAGCGGCAACAACTCGCCGGGCCCGTCGACATCATGGCTTTCATCAGACCATTCGAATTGACGTGACGGTCCTAGACGGTTTGGCCAGAGTCCACATATCGGATCCACTGTGCCGGGCCATGCCTGCTGTGACTCAGTCCACCTAAGCCTGGGATATCCGCCAGCCAGACCCAAAGGCGGTCCGACAAAGGCACAATGGGCGCTGTGGACCCGACATCGCAGCAGCGGCCGGCGTCACGAGTGCGCGAGCCTGGCCCGCTGATTGGCTGCAGACCTATTTCTCTTACGTGAGGAGCGAGTCAGCTGGCTGTGCGATGAACGACTGAAAATATTTTCTCTTTTTTGTGGTCCAGCTAGCCTCCCCCAGCAAAACGGAAGGGAGAAGGCCAGGACGGAGCCTGCAGCTGCCAGCCGGCGCTTTGCGGCGCAACTCGATCCGTCATTGCCTCCTTGGCCACGATGGCCGTATGTTAATGACCAGCTGCACGTCGTGGCCGTCTCCTTTTTCCTTTTGCTATCGCGTTCTGCTTCACCCTGACGCCTGCGGCCTATACTCGTAAACATCTTAAGATACATAGTATCTTGAATCTTACACAGCGGGAACGTGACGGCCTCATCTCGATCGCAACCATGCACTAATACAGGCATTTTACATATGCACGTCTGATTGCACGGTTGGCGATCAGCAAGGTGGGACTTAGGAGATGAGCCATGACGACGTTCGCCGCCTTTTACTACGAGTACTCGTATGTACAGCACTCACGGTGTGCCTGGTTGATTGGACTAAAATGCCGGCAGCAAATCTGTGGTTCGATCATGATGTCCGGAGTATTCGTATGTGTGTATCCGGCGAGCACCAGTAAAGGCTTGTTTCTCGGCAACCGTTGCCTGCACCCGCATTTGCGACATGCATTTGCAAGGCTCTTCAGATCTCTTCACACATCAGTCCACCCAAACTGCGTGTCCGATACGAGGACGGCCACCGGACAAAGAGATGAACAGCCATGCACACTCAGACACATAGCAGTCTTCGACGCACAAAAGAGCCGACAACATCTGATACAACTTTGTAACTGGGCAGGTTGTGTAAGACACCCTCGACGAGCTGCGAAAACGGAGCTGTATCCGTTTCTCTGCACCGTTTTCTCGAGGTGGAGCAGCCTTATGGGACGAGGCCATAGCGGCCGCCGCTCATTGCCGTCGCCTGTTCCAGACCCGTCCGAACTACTGTGTAGAGAGTCGCTCACCGGTACGCTTTCCGCGGACTCCGTCTTCGTACTCGCTTCGTGTCTGGGTTGCGTACGTGTTGTACCTTGTGACGTATACGGCCACGTCTACGAGTATGAGCACTCATGCTATGTTCTCCGTAGGGCCAGAATGCCACTCTCCGTGGCAGAGTAAGGTGCAAATTACCCCTCTCATTAGGAATGCCAGCTTGAATTAGGTGTGCTGCGATGGCCTAAAAATACGTTGGTAAGATTACCGAAATAATATTCCATACGGGAGAGAAAAAAAAAGAAAGAAAAAAAGAAGAAAAAATACCTACCTAAGTGGACACTTACCAACGGCACATGAGGCACGGTGTTTTTTTACCAATTCTGTTTCTGGAGGACACCCTTACCTAATGAGCACGCAATCTAGCGTCTACCATCGCACCTTCTATGCAATACTGATGCTTTCTCGCACATGTGGTCAAATAATACGACAGCGTGGCAGAAGGGCTGCAGTCATGCCTGATGCCCGTAGTCGTTTGGTTGGACGGCTACAAACTTTCCCCAGGCCTTACGTATAAGGTAACCTTGCCAGCAGAGCAACCTCTCGCAGATGACCTGCGCCGCCGTCATGCCAAAATCATGGCCCAGTTCGTATTTTCTTCACCGTACTCCGTACTCCGTTAATACAAAAAAAAACGTAAATTTGAAAACAGGGAGAAATTCCGCCTTCACGCACGTAAGACGTTCGTATAGAAGAAACTTGCGGGTCGGTTCTTCCGACTTTGCCGCTGCTATCCGCTGACTCTCGCCTCCTTTCTGCAGGAGCAACGCCTTCTTACCAAAGAATTACTCGATATAAACATGGTAGACTTGGATCTGGCCCGGATCCAACTGCTGCCTCTGCCGTTTCATCGAGATTATCACTTTCTCCAGTATGGGGTGCAGCAACACCGTTCGGAATCGATCCTTCTAGCGCCTTTGGGTTTTTTCCTTCTAGTGACCGCCAGGGCCCCATCTCCAAGGCGGATACAGTAAGCGTTCACACCGTCGGAGAGGGCCGAGTGCCTCCAGAGTCGTTTCTAGTTTCCCTTTTGGGAAGACGCCCTCCTTTTCCCCTTTTGTGGCCCAGGGGCAGCTCGATCGAATTTGTTGCACGAGGTGAGAAAAGATGAAAAAAGGGAAAATGGACAAAAGCCAAGCAAAGCTCAAACAAGCTCACTCTCAATTTACTCGCATTGCGCCATTCCGGCGGTCTGCCGGCCCGGCACCTGATCACCCCCTTGCTGTTGCAATTTCCAGCAAGTCGTCGACATCATATGTAATAATTAGGAGAGAAAATGTACTTCCAGAATAAAGTGGAGATGTGCGAATCGACCGTCTGGCTACGGAGTACTCGCGTGGACGATCGGCCCTCCCTTGGTCTGCTGGCTTTTGTTCCCGGCTGGAAGTGTCTGCCTGTTGCTGGCTGTCCTGACTCGATGCCAGTCCCAGATCTCAGTCTAGTCCAGTCAAGGGCGGCCGCGCCCGATCCGCAAAGTGCCCAGACACGTGGCCTAGTCGGTAGTAAGTGTAAGACTACTCGTGCACATGTCGTCCAACTCATTCTTTCGTAGCAGTATGTAGCCAGACATGTGCCGCCGAGGCTGAACAGAGCGGGTAACATATCTGGGTCCAGGATGTTGATCGGGATATACGAAGAAACTAGGCCAGACTCGTCGGTCGACTTTCACGTACTCGGCCGACTCTGTGTTGGGGCAACGGCAGATGAGCAACACAGTGCCGGGTAGTGCAGCTGCCAAGCTGGCCAAGGCGGGGAAGATGTTGAGCTTTAAACTTGCGATCTGGCTCTACGGCAGACGGCCACAAACGTGTACTCGTACTCGTATGGGTTCACCGCTCACATGGTCAAAGCAAAGTCAAGCATCCTACCACGGCCCCCCTAGATGCTGTAGCCCTTTAGCCACATGAAGCCGGCCACGATGGCGAGGCTGGCCACGGCCGGGATCAGGTCCATCTCAATGACGGACCAGACCCAGATGCAGCCGATGGGCGGTGCGTGTTTCATGACGGCCAGGTAGGAGTAGTTGTTCGTGATGTGGATGAGGTAGCAGCCAGTGACCAGGCCGGACAAGAAGAAGATGGCCGTGCGCAGACGGGCGTTCAGCCGGGGCGACAGGAAGGGCAGCAGCGTGGAGCCGGTCGGGTGGGCGTGCAGGTTGTAGAAGAGCAGAGAAAAGACTGGAGATCGGTCAGATGGGTGTGCAGAGGCCGAAACGGAAGAGAGAGGGGACGGACCTGGCAGGGCAAAGAGCGAGCGCTTGATCACGGTCGGCCAGCGGATCTGCACGGCATACTGGTTCTGCACGAGCACGTCAAAGGTGAAGTGCAGCATCGAAAGGCTGACGCACCAGAGCAGCGTGTCGAGGAGGCGTTCGGCCTGGGGAGAGATGTCCCCGTCGTCATCATCGTCGTCGTCCTCGCTGCTGCTCGCATCCACCGGCTTCCCGCGCTCCCGGTCCAGTTCCCGCTGCCGCCGCTCAGCCTGCTTGAACAGGTTCCGTTCGCCGGCCATCTGCAACAGAGTCGGCTCCGATGGCCCTGACCGATCCGGCTGGTGCAGCTCGAAGCCGGTCGAGGCACTCTTGCGCGAAGCCTTTTTCGACATTCTGTGTATCTGTGCGTGCGTGCGCGCGTGCGTGCGTGTGTGTGTGTGTGCAGGGTCCTGCAGGCTGCTCGTGGTCGTGATCGGAAGCTCTGGTGCTTTGTTCAGGGCGTGACCAAGTGGCGGACCGAGATTTCTGGCCGATAATACACCGTGGCACTAAGATAACAGCTGTTGGGCCAGCAAGCATAGCGGGTCTGACAGCTGAGCTAAGCCCCGATCGGCGCTCTCTGGCCTGACCTTGGGCGAGGTGGCATTTTCAAGCAATTCTTTGGTCGGCCCATTTCGCCGCGACGCAGAGGGACAACGGCCTGCGCTCTTCCAGCTTCTGCGACTGCTCGACTGCTCGACTGTTCGACTACCACTGGCCGTCATGGGGACGCTCCTGACCCTGTTCGCCACGCTTGTGGTGCTCATTCCCATCGGCTACATGTACACGGCGTCGGTGGTGATGTCGCGCTTCCCGATGCTGCGTGAGAAGCGTATCTGTCTCCTGATTGCCCACCCAGATGATGAGGCCATGTTCTTTGCGCCCACCGTGTTGGCCCTGACGCGGCCGGAGGCCGGCAACCACGTCAAGATCCTGTGTCTGAGCAGCGGCAATGCCGACGGCCTGGGCGCCATCCGCAGGGAAGAGCTGGTCCAGAGCGCCCTGACGCTCGGCCTTCGTCACGAGAGCGACGTCTTTATTGTAGAGAGCCCGTACGTCTTTCCTGTCTCGTTGCTTTGTGTCTGTGTTTGCTGTGCTTTTGCTTCTGCCTTCTGTCTTCTCCCACTCTGACCTCTCGTCTAGTGACTTTCAAGATTCCATGACCACCACCTGGGATGCCGACAAGATCGCCATCCTTCTAACGAGCACCTTTGCGCCCGGCCTGACCGCTAGCAACCAGACCAGGACCAAGTCCGCCACGGCCACCATCGACGTGCTGCTCACATTTGACGCCGGCGGCGTCTCGGGCCACCCCAACCACATCTCGCTGTACTGGGGCGCGCGTCGCTTCCTGACTGCCCTGACGGCAGGCCGTCCCGGCTGGAGGCCACCCGTCGACCTGTACACGCTCACGTCCGTGTCGCTGCTGCGCAAGTTCACGTCCATGCTGGACGTGCTGCCGACGCTCGTCACGTGGTTTGCTCGCATCGCCAACACAACTAATGACAAGGCCCACCCCGACGCCCTCGTCTTCCTCGCCGGCCTGCAGCCGGGCGGCGGCCTGACCACCGCGTGGCGCGCCATGACCACCGCGCATAAGAGCCAGATGGTCTGGTTCCGCTACGGCTGGATCACCCTGAGCCGGTACATGGTCGTTAACGATCTGCGGCTGGAACGGGGCTTCTGAGGAATAAGGGAGTATTACATAAGACAGTAAATACGAACATGTGCCCAAGAGACGACAAGGAAGGAACGGCAAGCACGTCACGTGGACTCTCTCTGTCCTTCAAGGTCAAGCAAACTCCTGCACCAACCACTCACGCGATGTCGTCGGCCCCAGCGCCCGCAGGTCTGGCAGTCGTCGCCCTGGCCCATGCACCCACGCGACCCGACGTCGTAACAGGCCGGGGATCAACCGCTTCTCGTGCCATTTGTCGCCGACGTCGACCACCACCGGGCCCCCTTCACCGTCGTTGTCGAAGTTGCTGCTGCCACGGCTGCTGCCCCGGTGTCGTCGATACTTTGCGTGCGGCCGCAGAGCTGGCAGATAGACCGTCTGGTGCACCATTCGCCTCGGGTGCCAATCCGGCTCGCGCAGCTGCACAAAGCCAGTCGTGATGTGATATTGGGCCAGATACGGCACAAACGGACGGAACTCGTCGATCAGGGCCGGGATGCCTTGAACCACTCGCACGTCGTGCACACCACGCGGCTGCGTTCGCTTTAGGATCGCTCGGCACCACGTTTGCAGGCAGTACCACATGTACCACTTCCGGCCGCCCGCCCGGTTCAGCCGCCTCGCCGCCGTACTCCGGCCGACGCCTTGCCGCGCCGTCTCGGCATACTCCAGCACCGCCGCCTCGTACTCGCCCAGCTGGGTCTCGTACATGCGTCGCGCCTCGCGCATCAGCCGCAGCGCCTCCGACAGCTTGCGCTGCCAGATCCGCGTCTTGATCAGCACGTCGTACTGCGCAAATCCCGGTTGCACGTTGTACGGTGCCGACGTCATCGCCGTCCACACCAGCTGCACGGCCGCCGGACCCAGTGCATGCTCCGGAAATCCTGCTGCCCGCCACTCGGTCGCCGCCGGCTTGGATGTCATCACGTACGTCCAGCTCAGCAGGCTGAACCACAGATGTTGCGGGATCGCAATGTCGTACCGCCGCGAGAGGTGGTCCATCACCTGCAGCGCACACGCCACCGCACCGCTCGCGCAGTATGCCTGCACCACCGCTTCTAGCAGCACCACTGACGGCCGCATCGGCGACTCCGGCGGAATCCCGGCGCCCCCGCTCACCGTCACTGTGCTTGTCGCCTTGTCCCACGTCACTATGATCTCCCAGTGATGCGCCAGCATCTCAGCCATCGCCGTCAGCGACCCCGTTCGCCCCAGAGCCACCATAAACGCCGCCAGCAGCCGCTCGTCGCGCGCGATGCCGAGATCTGACACCATGCGATACAGCCTGTTTACCGGCTTCGTCTTGCGCAGAATCCGCGTCAGGTGCTCTGCATAGTCGGGCTGGTTGGGGTTCTGTCCCGTCCGCTGCACCCTGTACCGCTCCAGCCCCTGCCGCAGATGGTCGAGCTGGTCCAGCCGCGGTCGGTACATCGTCAGCTTCTGTCGGTGCAGGTTCACCGGCCGCACGCGTAGCCGAAACGGATCTTGTTGCGCATACAGCGTGTCTGTCAGAAACCGCGCCCGCACAAATTCGCGGTACAGATCACTTTGCCGCCACTCTATGAACCCTTCTTCCTCCATCTCGCGCCAGATGCGCTTGGCCGCGACCGTGTCTGAGGTGGCACCGGCGTAGCGCAACAGCACGATGTAGTCATGGAACAGAAGACTCAACTGCGCCTCCTGCCGCAATGCACACACAATCTGCAGCTCGCGGAACAGCGACGTGTACACCAGCCGGATGCCATACTGGTCGACCTGGCTGCCCAAAGGTGTGAGTCGTGTCATTCCATCCGAAATGGCAACGTTTCCTACATAGTCGCAATGCTCGCTCACTGCAAACGGATCGAGACACCGTAAAAGCTCGGAGAACATCAGCGAAGGAAGCGACGCCATAAGCTCATGTCGTCTGCTGGCCTCTTCTGCCGTGTTTTTCGCCGAAATTGTCCATCTATAGAGAGAGTATGTGTCGCCTGCCCGCAAGTGCGAGAAGAACGTATTGGACCGCGGGTCGGATGGCAGCGCGGCAGCCATTTGTTCAACTGTTACGCTTGTCGAATCCGTAAGCGGTCGTTCATGGGGCGGGGCAGCCAACAGTATTTTTCGAAGGAAGAGCAAATCGTCGTGAACAACCGACGCTGAACCTGTCTGCTCGACAACGCCTTTGCCTTTGATTGCTATGCTTCGCGAGCTATATTTCCCTCTTTCATGATGTGTGCGCAGCCTCGCCTCGCTGTCCTTGGACTTCGACGAACCAGATGGACCAGTCTTTAAAGTCGATGGATTTGTTGCATGATGGGCGAACAGTCGATGGCTACCCAGACAAAATTGTCTCAGCTGTTCGGACAAACCTCGGGACCGGTTGCCTCGAGGATGACTCTGCAAGAGGAGAAGTCGAGTACCAAATATCTCGGAGGCCAAAGGAATGAGGCTTGTTAAAGCCATGACTTGGGACTTGACGATTTAGATAAGCATAGCAAAAATGGCAAAGCCTGGACGTGCAATTGAAGACGTAGAGTGGATGTCCGTATGTGCCGTGTAGATCCTGTGAAAAAGAGAGCTAAATCCTCACAGAGGGGGCTCGAAAGTCTGGGGATCTGGGGAAAGTGGACTCCTGTCGCTGTTTCCCCTGTCGCTCTAGTGGAGAACCGTTGTCCTTAGCGCCCTGTCTGCTGAAGCCAACAAGAGAGCCAGAGGTGGGGATGAGGAGCACTCACTGAAATTTAGCGGCCATTTGTTTCTCCGGTGCCGCGATGGGGGGAAAGAGCTGGAAAAGTTATCTAAATACAAGCCATACTGGGTGACCACGTCGTCATCGCCTGCTCCGACTCGACAACGACCTCGCCTCCTACCACCCAGGAAAAGATCACCACAGCTACGGAAGCTATGGCCGACGAAGCGGATGACATGGCCCCGGCGCCAGAGCCCTTGGACCTGGTGAAACTGCTGCTAGACGAACCGGTGTTTGTAAAGTTGCGAGGCGACCGGGAGCTCAAAGGGAGACTGCATGTAAGTCGGCGGTCCAAACTGGCAATCTTCCGTCCTTGCATTCTCCAACCTGTCCAACTCTGTATCTGACCATCTCTCAGGCCTATGACAGCCACTGCAATCTCGTCTTGGGCGACGTTGAGGAGACCATATACATTACCGACGAAGACGACGAAGACGAGTCCGAGCAAGAAGTCCGGGTACGGTCTTTGTCATCCTACCACCTTTGCATTATTCTATGGCAAGATCTAATGCACCAATCTTCACAGACTGTCAGCCGCAAGTCCGAGATGCTTTTTGTCCGGGGTGAGTAGCCTCGGCTCTACATTTGTCTGACAAGCACCGCAACGCTAACACTTGGTTGATACAGGTGATTCTGTGGTTTTGATTTCGCCCGTCCCTCAGAGCTGAACGGCCTCTATAAAAGACGCGTTGCACGACATATCGGAGCCCGCTACGTAGCGTTCTGTCCTGCTGACAGGTCGAGCCACCCCATACATCAAGCGAGCGGGGGCGACTGTATCCAGTTCGGCAGGACACGTGGATATCCAGATGGCGCATTGACTTGTGCTTGAGCTTGACTATGGGCCTTGTCTAAAGCCAGAAACGAGTCTGGTGGTCATGCGAACGGAGATATTTCAAAAATGCATATATTCTCAACAAAGCCCAATTGTTCCGATCAGTTCCGTTGAATCTCACAAATACCTCTACCCTTATAACAACTTCAGTAAAATTTCGAAATATGTGGCTGGGATTTAAATTGAGGGTACACACAACAGAGAGACGAGGCCAAACACAACACAAATCACATGCAGGTCACAATACCACGACAGCATCATTTTCAGGGCACTCCACGTAGATACATTTTCATGTCGAAGTCCCTTGCACAACGCAACGTGTCACTTTCGGAAGTGCCCGTGTCGTGTTCCGCACTTTGGAATGTTTAGCCCTCCGTCATTTCCCTCCTTCTGGCCCGGATTGTGTCGGATTGGAATGTGTTTGTGGTCCGGTATTTGAAGGGACCCTTGAAGATTTGGACGATTTGGACGATTTGGAGTACCCGGACGTACCAGACCGCCGTCGTTGTTGGCCGCGGTTTTTTTTAGAAGAGCGAAACCGCACCGTATAGCGGTATCGATAGAGGAAGGCACCGGCAATAACCAAAAAAGAATTGACAATCACTACCGCCAACAAATGACCTCCCAATAGTGATGTTCTGTTTCCGCACAGAGGTTTCTCGCCTTCTTAAGCCTTTGACACTGTCATGGCCGATAAATAGCTCGCCAAAGGCATGACAATGATGCCATATCGTAGCGTGTATATAGTGAGCAGAGGTCACCCGAGGATATCCTAATATAACAGTGCCTCGAGAAGGCATGGCCGTTTGGACCAGCGGAATGTACATTGGGGCGATGTGGAATGGGAAGGGCGGAAAGCAAGTATGCTTGTAAGCGATTGGGCACTGGGCAGATGCGAAAGTGGCTGCCGGGGGAAGGTCGAAGCTGGCCGTACAAGACAGACGGCGAACAATGACCTCTTGCAAGTTGCACAATAGTGGAAGTGTGTAGATAGTACAATTTCTGCTTCACGAAAGTACAAGGAATAGAAGAGGTTCGGCGTGAAAGGATAGTGAAGTGAAGAACTCAATCACGGCCTATGCATGACGATAGAGAGACGAGATGGAAGCTGCGAGGCCTTTAAACATCTGAAGCCTGTATAGGTAGCCTTAGCTTTCACTGTGCGCGCATGCAAGTCAAAGGGCTTTTCTCTTCTCCAAACTATGAAAATCGTACCTTCGTAATTAGCCTTTACGGCAAGACTTCAAGGCAAGCAACTCAATGTGGAGGTGTATAGGATGTGTGAATAAGAGGTGCAGGCGTGTAACTGATGCAGCCAGTATGTCAGCCGACATGCGATTGGCCGTTAGGGTGTCTTCTAATCTAATTCTCAAGCTTGATTCGGCAGAGATGTGCAACAAATTGTGGCAGGAACAAGCAGGCGCATATGCATCTGGTGCAAGTAGAAGTCACTGGGCGTACCAGCAAGACCAATAGGATGCCGGTCGCGTCACGACGACACGCCATATGAAGATGTGAAATGGCAGTGCCTTAATGACACCTCAAGTTGGGCAGCCCTGCTCAATCAAGAGATCAATAATCCATGAGACACGCCCTTCAGCGAGGTTCTCTGCTATTCTACCCTAAATACGCCATGTGCATGCTAAGTCAGGGTCCGGATAGGCGGATGGATCCTTGCGCCGCTGGCGTGCAGATGGCAAATGGGCTTAGGTGAAGAGATGATTTCGCTATTTTGGATGGTTCCACTGATGTGGCTGCAGACATGTACTTCGGCCAGAAGACGGGAATAGTCGGCCATGGGGCCGTTGACTTTGGGCCATGACCATCCCATGTCTCGGAATGATTCGTCTTTAGGGAAGTAGCGATTGGAAATGCTTCAATAGCCATTTCCTCTAATTTTCTGATCGCCGTGTCGTAGTGCGCAGTTTTCTCAGGGCAGAGTAAAGTAGATACAATTGCTAAGCAAGGCCATCTGCATTTTCGGACAGGTCGTTTATTAGATGTCTGCCGTCAGCAAGTGACTTTTGACACTACGACGTGGAAGTGGGGTGGGTGAAGCTAGGATGCCGGAGACGGAAGAAGGTAGGAATGACCCAATGCGACATCGTCTTCAACACGGCAGAACAGAGGTAATCACACCCCCGACTCTTTCTCCAACCCTCTCTTGCTTACACAGACATGCGCTTGACCCCGATCAGTCGGATCATCTGCTCGTCTGTCTGGCCAGCTCGGCGTCTTGTGGCTGCGTCACCGTTGTCGAAAAAGGCCAAATACAGCAAATGCATCGTCTAAACAGAAGGCTTGGGCAGCTTGAAAGCACAGGAAATGGCGCAACTGTCAGGCATCGACACTATGTATGAGCACGAGAGTGGGGCACCTACCTCTGTCCTACATATGCAGATGCAGCATGGATGCCGCCTGTGCCAATTGACAAGTCATCGCCACCCGAGATAGGTTTTCACACTATGTTGCATCTGCTTCTGTGCCGACTTGATTTTTTCGCCCGGTCTTAGAAGACGAGGCGCAGCCGCTGCAGGCTTCTGGACCAATGGCCACCATACTTTGAGAACATTGGTTCTTACCGATCTGGTGGACATTCGAAACTAGACCTTCAGTATTGCCGATGTTCTAGATATTCATACGAATCATACACGTTTGTGACTGCGTCGATAATAATGTCGTTCCTATAGGCGCCTGGTCAGGTCTACTTCGGGGCTGACCGGCAAGCGAATCTCGAAGTATCAGTACCTTTGAAAATGCCGAGGCAATTTCTCGAGGCGTTGGACAGCTTGGGACGAACTCAACCAAGACAAAAAGGTCCTGAATTAGCGATGATCAAATACGATAGGCACTGTGGCCACGATATTCAAACTTTGGACCAGTTCAACAAATAGGTGCAGGACTAAATAGATACCAAATCAACAATACATACATAGGCGTACCTTAAGGTCACACTGAAACATAATCCAAGGCCAGCCTGCAGTTTCACAACATGGAATTTTATTGAGGCATGCCATTACGATGATACCGTTTTCTTTCCCAAACGACCATACTTTTTATTGTGTGTATCCTTCTTGAATAATCCATTGTACTTTGTATCTGCACGCCTTGCAGCAATATTGCTTATAGGGTTGCAGATCAAGCGGGTTGTTGATCATCGTCTCTATATTTGAATGATCAGCTAAGCCATACTATACTAGAACAGTCCTCTTGACCAGAAAATGTGGTGCTATAAGAGTCAGCATGGCCTCCTGCCATTAGTTTTCAGGTGTATTGTCGTATGTTTCACAGGTGAGGCTTTTAAACGACAGACGGCGCTTTAACAATTACTTAAATAATACAAGGCTATGTTCAGTCAACTTCGTGTTGCCTTAATATTGGAAGAAAAAAGTATGATATCTCGTTCCCCTTAGGGCAAATTAAACATCATGATCGGATATATTCACACAGGACATTGAAAAAAATCAACAACAACAAAGAAACCAGACGTCATTACAAGCAAAAGTATGCTGCGATGCTGCCCACCAGAGCCACCATCAGTGCTCCTGACACTGCAGGCCCCTGCTGAATACCGGCACTAGTGACGACTGGGGTAGCAGATGCAGATGCAGATGCAGATGTGGATGCAGATGTAGACGCCGACGTCTTCCTGGTCGCCGAAGTGACAAGGGTAGTGCTTTTAGGAGAAACCGTCGTGACAGCTGCTGTGCTGGTGAAGCCAGCAGTGGTGGTACCGGTGCTGGTCCCAGTGGTGCTGCTGACCGTTTTGATAACTGCTGCCACGGAGCTTGAGCTGACTGTGGCCGAGGTACTAACGACAATGTCGGTGCCAACAATGCTGGTAAAGCTGGGACTGCTAGTAGTGCTGGTAGTGGCGGCACTGCTGACACTGCCAGAACTGCCGGAGCTGCTGGAGCTGCTGGAGCTGATGGTAACCTTGCTACCGACAATATGAAATCCTGGCGAGTACTGAAAGTGTGTCGAGTCTGTGTCGAGAGCGATGGAGATGCCATACAGGGCATCCGTGCCGAGGGTAGAGTTAACTAGCCATTCGAACTTGAGGTCCTCATTATTGGCATCTGCAGAGCATGTTAGAAAGCGGAAGGGCGGCCTGGAAGCAGCAGCTGTTTTTCTGACGTACGTCCTATGGTGCCAGCAGGTTGGAGCGTGGTGCTGTCAGTACCGGCCAAGAGAGTGAGTGTGACCGGTCCTTTAAGCTTGTTCGAGCCCAGCTCCCAGGCGACCGTGTAGCTCGCGCCAGCCGGCACATCATCACCCTTGGACGGCTTGAAAATGGAGTCAAAGCCAGAATCTTGAGAGAATGCCACTCCGGCAAATGCGGCAATGGCCGTGAAAGCGAATGTAAAAGAATGCATTTTGAAAAAAAGGGGATGGCAACGTTGGCCTTAATGAGTGACTAATAAACAGAAAAGAGCTGTGTGTGGTGGACAGAAGGAGAGAATTGGCAGCAGTGTGCGGTTTTTGTAAGAGGAAAGAGCGAGGAGTGCGTGCTGAATGAGGCAAACGCCCGACTAGATCCAGAAAAGCATAAAATTAAAGTCGAGAAAGCTTGAAAAGGACGAGGGAGAGTGACATGACAGGGATCGTGGCATCCGTGCCCCTTTATCTATCTTACCTTAGCCAATATACCACAAGCTGTACTTGGAATGGCTCTGCTCCAAGTGTGGTGGCACTGCTAATCAGCCGCCCTTCACAAGTCGTCTGTTGGTTTTGGCAGGATTTATCGACCCCCTTTTTTACTTGTAAGTAGCCTAGTATCCGTTCCGACCAGTGGTGAGGCCTGATTTTGAAATGAGACTCTGTCTTAAAGGACTGGGTGTAAGCGGTCCGCAAAGGTTTCCCCATTAGGCTAATGATATTCCCCCTGCAAAACAATTGGGGTGTCGGTTCTCCCTGTGGTCAGAGCGAGGTCTCCGGCGTCTAATAAATGGGAACTGACCAGCTTATGGGCGATTATCAAAGCCTAAGCCAGCAGGCAGATGAGGAGACCAGAACCCTAATTGCGCGCCGCAATGTTGATGGGCCACTTTTGTTTCACCCTCAAAACTGTAAAGGGGAAGGCGATATTTTAGGTTGCGTTGATGAAATTAGCCCGACGGCTGGTCTTCAGCCGTTTTCCGTCAGCACTTGGCGACTATACTTTCGCCATTTGTGGCGAAGCGAAGCCTACTGAAGTAGTATTGGGGCCTGTCATAGCGGCTACTAGCTACGACAATACTGTAACATAATACAAAAAGGAGGCATTTAAACGTTTGAGGTCAACATGCAAAGTGTGCTTTTGTCATTTATGCGCGGAACTACGAAGTAGACATAGTGGATTCGAGACAGAAATCAAGAGACGAAAAAAGAAACAAGGTTTTGGACGGGGAAATGATGATAGACATGAAAGTCCCAACTTTTGCGGAGTGCAGAATTCAGTACGGAGTATTATGCGGACTTTTGGGCAGAAGGACCTGGAGAACGCATTGGCAGAGGCAGATGCAGATGCAGATATATAGTAGAGATGAGGCGCAGTTTAGTTACATCGCGTGCGCAATAAAGTAAAGCAGACCAGGGGTATGTATGTACGACCTAATAACCTACTTGATTAAGATAGCGACAAGCTCATATGGCGCGTAGCAGGACGCTACGACGTATACGTTCTTGTGGCTTATTGCGGGGCAAGCTACGAGTACATACGACTAGTAGGTATGAATCATCAGGTGGGCTGTAGGCGGGCTTCTTCACGGGCCGGGATTTAATCCGACTGTCCGGGCATTTGCCTAGAACGGGCCCCAATCGAGCTTGTCGCTGATCGATACCGCCGGATGATACTATGCCGCTGTTCTGAGACGTCCGTTGCCGAAGAACGATCAGCCGCCACAGAGCGATCTGGGCCTCGCCATGCGCGAGTTCTTCAACTACTTTCTCGAGTCCTTCCGGGATGCGACCGGGTGGAGCCGCGACAATGGCTATTCCACCCTCAACGAGACAGCCAATGGTGAGCAATTCTCTGCCTGAGAGATTAGAGATTCCCAAGGGACCCCGACACGGTCACTGACACCGATGCAGAGCTGCTCAACTTCCACTCTCCACGGGGGCTGCGCATGACCCTCGCCTCGCTCGCTACGCCACACTTCTCGACCTCGTACACCCTCGGCACCATCGGCGCCGTCGACGGCTCCATCTCCTACCTCTACTCGTCCGTGCCGCTCTCCAATGCCGTCGCGCAGTCGGCATCCATATCGCTGCCCACCCTGCTAAGGTCGTTCCGGCAGCTGCAGCCCGGCTTGGCCCCCTCATCGCCCTATGCCGCCTCCCTGACCCCCCCGCCGCTCCCGCTCGAGTCCATCTTCCCGTTTGCGTCCTCTGTCTCTGCAGCAGCAGTAGCAACAACAGAGACAACACCCGCATCCAGCGACCCTCCTTCTTCGTCACTCCTGTCCAACGACTACCTCGTGCCGGCAGCGGAGCGGCTCGCACACCTCGTGCACGAGGCTCGCCGGCTCGTCGACAAACCCGTCCTGCTCTGCGGACGCCTATACCTACCGCGGTCCATGCTGGAGGCCTACATATGCAAGCGCCTAGCAACGTCGCTGCAGCTGCAGTTGCGTGCCGTCAGCGATGCCAAACTGCCCAACGGCGGCACCGTGCTGGGCATCTTGCAGTACGACTGTGGCACATACGGGTTGGAGGGTCTGGCATCGTCTGACGGGGGCTTACTGGGCGTGCGCGGCCTGTACAACTTTGGCGACGGCAATGGAAGCGGCAGCAGCAGCTACGGAAACAACGGAAATGGAAGCGGATCTGGCAGCAACAGCAACGGCAGCGGCGACAGATCCAGCTCGCACAACCCCGACGACAGCGCCGAGCGTCTCCATGGCGGCCGCTTCAGCGCAGGCGGCGAGATTTACTACGGCACGCTGAACAAGTCGGGTGGCATCTCGCTGGGCGCACGGTTTGCCACGCTGCCGAGCAACAGCGGCACGCCGCTCACAGCCACCATGACCATCAATCCGCTGATGGGCAACATCAGCGCCAGCTACGCCGTTGTGGCGCGCGAATACTGCTCGCTGGCGACCAAGTTCGACTTCAACGTTTACAGCTACGAGAGCGAGTGGGCCGTGGGCATGGAGCTCTGGAGCAAGCGGCGGCTGGCCGGCCTCGTGGCTGACGATCTGGATGTGGAAAGTGACAGTCAGCGTGAGAGAGGAGTAGCAGTTGCTTCGTCGTCGTCCACGGGCACTGCAGCAATTTACACTGGTGCAGCCACATCTACAGCTGCAGCCCCAACTACAGCCATAGCCCCTATCAAAACAGCCCCTTTCACCAAAGCCCCTTTCAAGACAGCCCCATCCACAGCTGCAACAGGCTCTAGCAGCGGAAAGGAGGCGTCGCCGAACCAAACACCAAATCCGGCCCTTCCAGTATTCCCAGAAAGAAGCTTCCAGGCGAAGCTCGAATGGCGGCTTGACGACCCCGCCGTCGAGTCGCCCGGCGTCGCTGCCACTGTGGCGAAGCACGACGATAAGCCGCTTGGCAGGAAATCTGCTGACGACGAGTACCAGGGGGTCTTGAAGGCGCGTCTCGACCAGAACCTGAAAATTGGCCTGTTGTGGGAGGGCCGGATCCAGTCGCTCCTGTTCAGTCTTGGCTCAGTGGTCGATCTCAACAAACTAGACCAGCCGTTCCGCACGCTGGGCCTGCAAATACAATTCTCTTCCTGATTCGTAAAGGTTGAGTGGGGAGTCTGAGATCCCTGTCTGGTGGAGATGGCCGTGATAACGTCATCTGCTTGGCCAGCGCTACTCCAATATATTAGATAACGAGCCGAGAGAAGGGCGAGGAGAAGCGGAAAATCAGAAACTGGCGCAAAACGGCAAAAGCAGAAGCACAAAGAAATGCAAGATGCGAAAAAAGGCGATGGAAAAAGCCAGATCCAAATTTGCGCGGCTGCACAAGCGTGACCTTTTAGAGTGGGGTCAAGTGGTCGAGGACGTCGTAAGGCTTATGTGTTATGGCCACTGCTGGACTAATCTCTGACACGCGATTGGCCGGGTGGAGCAGGTGGCCGGACTGTCCATCAAGGTTCTCAGAAACAAGCAACCAAAGCAGAAGGTGCGAACCCCCCGGTGACCGGCGCGAGAAAAATCACCCATTTGGCAGCAGAACAGGCTAAAGGCACCAGAGCACCAGAGGGGACTCACGAAACCGCCTGTGAGACACAGAAATAGCAACAGCGCTATACGCTGCAGGCAGGAGCGGCAGAAGAGACAAAAAAATAGGGAATCAGGAAAAAAGGAAGAAGAAAAAGAGAGGTCGACGAGGCAGGGCCATCAAGCTCCCCACAACCGAGTCCACCCGTCTCAGCAGAAAGAAAGGAAAAACCCACCTAAAAAACTAGAGCAGGAAACGTGCAAGAAAACGAAAAAAAAACAGCAAATACAAGTACCGTCTGCGACTGCTCATTACATCTTTCTGGCCTCGAAGCTTCTTTATGTCCAGCGTGTCTGTGCGGCCTTGGACGGCCTTCTTCGTCTAGCATATCTACTCGCTACTTGCGATAGGCATTCCCTGAAACAGCCACTATCTAATCAGAGGGTGAGTCAAATACTGCTTGCATCCCCTCCTTTCCTTGCGTCCGATGCGGGTCCGCGTCGAGGTCTGTCAGTCTGTCAGTCTGTCAGTCTGTCAGCCTGTGGCAGCCGTGACCGTTGGATTTATGCGCCACTTTACTGCTTTGCGTGGAAAAGAGGGACGGAAGAACAAGCATACTGACGCAGCAAGGTCTCGCTCGCATTTGCCTCTCGCTCCAGCTCAGCTCTTCCCGACCGGCTCGGGCTTCTGGAATCGGTTATTTCTCCCAACGCCTCCGTGTTTTGTTCTCGCTTTCGCTACAATGTCTTCTCGTCGTTCAGCCCTTCAGCAACTGGCGCGGCGAGCTGATGGCACCTCTGCTGTCCCGGAGTGCTCGGGATGGGGCACCGACTTGGGCAACATGGACCTGCGCATCGCGTCCGTGTTCATCATTCTTGTCGGCTCTCTGCTGGGTGTCTCCCTGCCCATGCTCCTCGCACGCACCCCGAGCCACTGGCGGATCTCAAAGGTGACCCTCTTCGTATGCAAGTACGTCGGCAGCGGTGTCATCCTCTCGACCGCGTTTATGCACCTTTTGTCGCCCGCCGTCCAGAATCTGTCCGACGCCTGTCTCAGCGACCGCCTCCCCGACTACGACTGGGGCCACGCCATCTGCCTGATGACCATCATGGTCATGTTCGCGATCGAGCTCCTGGGTTCTCGGTTCAGCTTTGACTTTGGCCACTCACACGAATCTGCTCCATCGACAGCAAGAGCAGGAGCAGCAGCATCGCCGATATCGCCGCCTTTGCGGGAACCGCTATCCCCAGCTGACCGGAAACAGTACAGCTGCAGCTCTCTTAGCGCCTTTGGATTGGATGGAGTCGACGACCGCGGCAACTGTCGCGAGATAAGCGAAAGCAGCAGCACCGTGGGCAGCAACGACATCCGTGCCAACGCCACTGCGCACATCAGGAACGGACTGTCCCTATCTGTGGACCTGGAGTCGGCCGTCAGCGAAAGTCAGCGTAGCAGCGAGACAGAGCCGGCGAAAGCAGTGGAGCTTCTCTACCCGCCACACATCATGAAAAGCGTGTCGCATGTGACCGACAACGGCCAACCCGGCAACAACAGCACGCTGCCGGGATGCGAGGAGCACCTGGCCCACGATGGCGACCACACCGAAGGCAACTCGCACAATAGCTCCAGCAGTCAGATAGTGTCGCTGCTGATCCTCGAGTTTGGCATTGTGTTCCACTCGCTCTTCATCGGGCTGACGCTGGCGGGGACGGATAATCTCAAGATTCTGCTGATCGTCATCGCCTTCCACCAGTTCTTCGAGGGCCTCGGTCTGGGTTCGCGTCTGGCCCAGGCGACCTGGCCGTCCAACTGGAAGACTTGGTCCGGCCCTCTGATGGGGCTGGGCTTCAGCCTGACGACACCCATCGGCATCGCCATCGGTCTGGGCGTCAACAAGGGCCTGGCGTCCAACCCGGCCGTGGCCCAGCTGGTCAACGGCGTGTTTGACGCAATCAGCTCGGGGATTCTCGTGTACACCGCACTGGTGGAGCTGATGGCACATGAATTCATGTTCAACCCGGAAATGCGGGACGCTGAGCTGGCTGCCCAGCTCCTTGCCTACGGATGTGTGGCAGTCGGGGTGGCCATCATGGCCATATTGGCAAAGTGGGCTTAACGGTTCGGGACGGGATATTCTATTATCTCCATCTCCGCCCTTCCCTGGTCTTTTTTATCACGCATCGTCATGATTTATTTATTTTTGCAGCATTGGGTGTGTGCGCCTGTCTCTGGGCTTTACTAAGCCTTGCATTGACTGGAGTTTACTGTGTTGCGACGGGACATCACAAGGGTTTATGTTCTCCTGCTTGAGCTTCTATGATTTTTCCGATGCACTGGGAAAGCGCTGCGACTGGACTGGGGCATAAACGGCGTTGGGGCTGGGGAGTTTCGGGACCAGAGACTGAGTCTCACGAGTATGACATAATGCTCTCCTAGGCATATTTAGCTGTTTTTTTTTTAACAGTATTTGTTACTAAGCAAATAGATTGACCAGTGATAAGCGGCGAGGAACACTTATTACTAATGGGGCTAGAACTTGTTACTTGACACCTGCTGCGCCTGATGCCTTGGACGAAGCCAAATGGATCTTTGCCGTCTGAATGATGTACTTGAAAGCTTCGGAGTAGTCTGTGCAGATGCGTTCTGGGAGTTTCGAGACGATGGCGTCAATGCTCGCCGTCTCAAGCATTCGTTTATCGGCATTAGACAAGATGTGGGAATGCTATACTTCAGGCCAGAGACTAGTGCAGGTTGCATCACAGCAATGGAAACTGATATGTCGCGTGCAACAATGTGTTTAGCTATGAATTGGTTTTAGAGAAATCTCTTAGACGTGGTCGAAATGCAGTAATCATACATTAGTAATAAAAACCTTGTCCTTTCCCTCTTTGTGCCACGTGAGAAAGCCACGAAATGAGAGCGAGCCGACGATTTACTTCTCGAGATAAAACAACTTGAACAAGCAGTGCAACCGCATACGACCGACAAAAAGGTAAAGTGCGTGTTTGCGATCAAAATAAGCGATAAGTTCATCGTGGCGCCCTTGTGGGTGTCTGCTGCCCAGAAAGCCTGACCTGAAGTATATGTATTGTCTGTATTATCACACCTCGAAACGGTATGCCTGGAGATCCGGGAACGACGGGAGCTGTCGCTGCGGGCGTGATGTCGCTGCTGTGCGGGATTTCCCGCCGAGCATCCGCCGGTGCCATTGCTGATTGCGCTGTTGCGGTGGGCTGGCGACGCGCTCGCTCAGCCGTCGGCCCATGTTGAACGTGACAGCAGGCATGGGGTGAGGCCGGCGAACAAAGACAGCCGATGACGACGACGGCTGTGCTGTCAAATCAATGGCAGGCGTGGACGCCGACAGGTTGGTGCGGAGACGGGCACGCTGAAGAGCTTCTCGACGAATACCTACACGGGCACCTGTATAGGCACCAGGATGGTCGAGGCGAACAGAGGGCTCGCGGACAGGAGTCACGCCTAGCGGCCGCTGAGCTGCTGAGCCACTCGGCGCCCGTGTCGACTGCCATTGTGTCTGGTCGGCATATGGCCGAGAAGCAGTGCCTGCCCGTCCGCTGGTATCCGGCGAGCTCCCTATCGACATGGAAAGCACAAATTCCACATCGGCGGACTCGTTTCGCACAGGTGTGACAGGCCGTGGTGGGGGTTGCATCAGCCGCTGTGTCGGTCGAGCAGGATACTGAGGAGGCGGCATGTTCTCCCGCAATCTGGACTGAAAGGAGGGTGGCGGCCTGCGCTCTGCCAGGAGTGGAGTCTCCGGCACTTCCAGAAGCTCCACAGGCTGTTGAGCCGTGCCCATTTGAGCTTCTGTCCCTGACGACGACGGCGGCTCTGCCTGGCCAGCGGCTGGCTCTGGGCTGGCTGACGCAAAAAAGTACGATACCTGTGGGGCCATGCTGGGCATCACCGAGCTGTTTGAAAGTGACGGCTCCACGACAGTCTCGCTTATGGTGCTGTTTTTCTCGGCAGATGCAGGTGCCACAAAGCATGGCGTCGGCGGAGGCTTGCCGCATGGGCCCCAGTGGGCTGGTGGTGCGCCAGTGCCGCCGAACCGTGGCGGGGATGCCGAAACGGGTGTGAACCGGAGGCGCCGAGGTACAGGTGACGACCCTGGAAAAGAGCTTTCCGGAAGGGACGGCGATGGAGTGCTGAACACCGACATCCGGCCCAGTCTGTACTGCAGTGCGGGAAGCGGAAGCTCGGGTTCGTCGTTGACATTGCCAGGGCTGAGCTCCTTGACAGACTCGCTATCCTCCTCGCCGGAGTCAGAATGTATTGATACAGCCGGCCGGCCACGGCGTTGCGAGCTGAAGAAGACTGGCTCTTCTTCGAGAGAGGACTCTCTAGTGCACGACTCCCATCCGTTTTGGGTATGCTTCTGTGCAGTTTGTTCGTCGTCCTGACTTTCGTTGTCGCTGCTATCGATGTTCTTGCTCGAGTCAAGTTCCTTGGCCTGAGGGCCGGAATCCTGCTGCTTGGGCTGGATTTCGTAAAAGCCACAGAGCTTGACATGTCGGTCAAAAACGGCACAAGACTCGGTACGGACATCGATGCCCGTGCGGCGGCAAATGAGTTTTAGGAAATCAACTGTGAGATGGATCAGCAACTTGACCTGATGACGGCCCACGCTCCCGGCGTAACATACGGCAGTTCTTGCAGGGCTTGTGGCCCAGCACGATTTTGGCCCGTCGGCGACACAGCGGCAGGTTTTCCTGAAGCAGACGGCCTTGGAGAGCATCGTTGAGCGGGATTTTGGCATGGCGGATCTGCTGTGTGAGAAAGAACAGCCCCAGCTGAGAGTTGTCAATAACGAAGCCATCACCCGTTGCGGCTGGAAGCGAGGCGTTCTATCGTACCTTTTTCTCTGCATGACAAGCATTAAATCGGCCTGCATGTAGGGTCCGCAGTTGAGGATCCTTTGTAATCGCTACATCCCGGATATGACTTCCAAGGCGAAAGCCGACGGCGGCCGAGAAACGACGCACCAGCTCCGTCCACTTTCCGTTGTCGAGAATGTTGTATGGCTCATTCTGGGGACGCCACCCACTGGAGCAGAACTTGATTGGGGTCGAAGATCCTGCCGGTATCAAACATGCCGGCGTGGCGCGAATATTCGTTGTTTTGCAAAAGCCCGTAAGGGCCGTTGCGACAGTCTTCATCAGCAGCAGGTCCTGGCCGTCTTGGCCCCAGCCCAAAGCATAGTCGGATTCATCAGTCGCCATTGCGATGAAGTTGAACTGGTCTAAGCAAGAGATGTATCTGTATAGATGAGAACCCCTGAGTAAGGTAGGGTGTGATCAAAGCAGGGAGCGAAATGGGATTGAAAAGAAGGCTGGCGAAAAGCCGGACGTATTCATGGTTGAGACGTAAGGTTGCCTAATCATTCTGTGCAGAAAGCTGGTGGCTGTCGGGTTTCACAAGACTGCAACTAGTGAAGTTGTGATGGTAATGTGAGCGGCAGATGAGCGGCGATGTAAAATTCGAGGTGTGAGCGGTCTACAGGCGCCACACCACCAAACTAGTCACAACACCATGTTTGTTTTAAGCTTTCTATTGTTTTTCGTCACAGATAGACGGGGGTGTTAAGACGGCAAGAAAGAAAAATCAACCCATGGCGCCGAGAATACCGCTGCATGCAGACTCCATGCCGATTCGGATGGAGAAGCCGGCCTGAATTTTATCCCACTGTGCCCTTACATTTGCATCTTCTTTTTTCTTTTTCACGCTGTGGCGTGTTTCGTTTGACTCGGTTGTGGTATTGGTAGGCCTGCACGTCTACTCGTCATCCTCGTCTTCCTCCTCCTCCTCCTCGGCCGTCGTCTGGGCGATACGGTCCAAATCACGCTGGCCGGCCTGGGTGATGCGGCGACCGCCCTTCTCCTCGTCCTGCTCGACGATGCCGATCTTCTCGAGAGACTGCAGAACCTTGCGGTCGACGCTGCCGCTGGCATCCACATGCTTGGACGGGCGCGTGCCCCGGTTCTTGGCCGTGCCGTGGACCTTGCGGAGACGGCCGACACCGACGGTTTTGCGGAGGTATACGTGGCGGGCCACTGAGGCAGCGCGCACGTAGTACCAGTCGACGCTCTGGGGCGGCAGCTCCTTGGCAGGGCCGGTCTTGACGGTGTCAACCCAGCCTGGATGTGTTAGCTGGTGATGGCAGTAATGCTGGCAGTGATGCTCAGAGGCACCCGAGAGCCCACTCACCAGGAACCGGCAGCTTGCCCTGACGCTTCAGGAAAGCCGCGTAGGCGATGATGAACTTCTGGGCCTACATTACCGAGAAGAAAACCCATATTAGCACGATTCCGTCACTGGAAGTCTTGCGACTCCCTCACGCCTGCTCCGTATATTTCAAGTCTTCTTCTTCCCGGTCCTGATCGTGCCGTCTCTCTCCTGTTCTCCGCATCCCGGGCAGCGAGGACGACCGTTGTTCGAGGAAGAGAAGGAAAAAAGAGGAGGCCGAATTCGGTTTGCACGGCGAGAGGGAAACTTCGCAGTTCATTCTTGGAGAACACCTACATCGACGTCCCGAACGGTAGTGCCACCCATCTTGACGGATTGTTTGGCTTTGTGGGAGATTGAGGGAGGGGGGCTGTTGGGAGGATTGCTTGGTCGAGTTGTTCGCTGCAAGGTCGTGAGAAAGAGGCGGCCGTCGATGGGGAACAAAATCCGAGGGGGCCGCCAAAAAAAAGTCAGAGGGCCCACAGGCTAGCAGAAATTAGGGCTGTGCAGCCCTGGTGTGGTGCGCCACAGAGGCGGTATCTTATCGTGGTGTGGCTATGCGAATTGAGTTTCAGGCACGTTCCTTCTGATTGGCAGGACAGGTTTCTTAGCTGGCTTAAGGTACGACGTATGGAGTATACACGCTGTGCTCCTTCGGTCATACATTTGCATTGTAATGGCAGACTTTAAGTTTCACGTGCCTGGCTATCTCCAATCCCCCTCCCTCAACTGCCGAGACGGCGGCTTCATTTTCGGAGACACACACCCGAAGAAAGGAATGGCGTGGAGTTCTCCAAGCTGTACTCCAAGCGGAGTCACAATGGCTGTCCCGTCGACTGGGAGGCGGCAGTCATGGGTCGCTGAGGGGGCGATGAGCTTCGTCTAAAGCTGGTCAAAATCCAACAGAGAGTGAGCTCTTCCTCTCGCTCTTGCTTTCATACACCACTCAGAATGACACTTGGTAAGAAAAAAGAAAAATGTCGTATATGTACGATAGCTTTCGTCTGCTGACTCATCCAACAGCAACAGTGGCAGCGAGCACGCGAAGACCCTGGCTACGAGTCGATCTGGTCGCGGACCGGCTGCTACACGCGCAAGGAGGTATACGACCGGGCGAACCAGTACGGACAATGGTTCCAGGCGCAGGGCATGCAGCCGGGTGACCTGGTGGCGCTATTCATGGAAAACTCGCCCGACTTTATGACAGCCTGGATCGGACTGCTATCGGTGGGCGCAGCGCCGGCGATGATCAACTATCACCTGACGTCGCAGGCGCTGCTGCACTGCCTGGCGATCAGCAGCGCGCGGCTGGTGCTGGTGGACGGTCCGGCGACGATCCACGAGCGAATCGACGACGCACAAGACGAGCTGGCAGCGGCAGGCTACCGAGTGGTGAAGCTGGCGGACGTGCGAGCAGGCATCTACGGCCAGGATGTGCAGCGGCCAGGCGACGAGCTGCGGGCCGATGTGGCGGGCGACTGGCCGCTGGGGCTGTTCTACACGTCAGGCACGACGGGGCTGCCCAAGGCATGCTTCCGATCGTCATGGCGCACGGCCACGGGGTGTCCAACGAGACCGGTCTCAACCCGGTCGACCGGCCGGGCGAGCGCTACTACGACTGCATGCCCTTCTACCACGGCACCGGCGGCATCAACGCGATGTGGCAGATGCTGGCCGGCACGACGCTGTGCGTGGCGCCGCGTTTTAGTGTTCGCGGCTTCTGGCCCGACGTGCGCGAATCGCGAGCCACCTGGTTCGTCTACGTCGGCGAGACGCTGCGCTATCTGCTGGCGGTTCCCGCTGATGAAGCTGCCGACCGTTGTCACGCTGTGCACTCCATCTACGGCAACGGGTTGCGGCCCGACGTCTGGCAGCGCTTCCGCGATCGTTTCGGCATCCAGCGCATCCACGAGTTCTTCAACAGCACCGAGGGGGTCTTCGCGCTCGACAACGTCTGCCGCGGCCCCTTTCTGCGTCATGCCGTCGGCCACCACGGCGCCCTGCTGCGCCTGCGCTACCACGGCCTCTACGTGCCCGTGGCCGTCGACAGCGACACCGGCGACATCGTCCGTGACCTCGCCACTGGCTTCGCCTGTCGCATGCCCTACCACCTCGGCGTATCGACCGCAGAGGTCGCCCAGGTGCTGGGCAACTTCCCCGGCATCCTCGAGGCCAACGTGTACGGCGTCGAGCTGCCCGGACACGACGGCAAGGCCGGAGCAGCCGCCATCTCCATCGATCCACAACAATAGGCACATTTTAGCCACCAGGCTTTTTTGGAGTACGTAATCAATCATCTCTCTCCTTCATTTTCTATTTCTCTGTCCCCCCTCTCTCTAACAAATCAGACATGCTCGCAAACATCTCCCTCGATACGCCGTGCCCGTCTTCATCCGCCATCTCCAGCAAATGTCGACCACACACAACAAGAAGCAGAACAAAGAACGCCACTCAAGGCCGAGGGCATCCATCCCGACAAGTTGACCGCCGGCGACGAAATGCTGTGGATTGATGGCCACGGCAAAGGCATCACGTACGTTCCCTTCACGCGCGACGACTGGAACAGCCTCCAGGCAGGCGAGGCGAAGCTGTAGAGCTGGATAGGCAGCTATCACTCTCATGTCAATCCGCGAATGCATTAGAAACTAAACGCGCAAAGGCTACAATGTAGAGGCGCCAATGTGACTTCCCCAACCAGATCAATCGTTGTTGTGTCGTGTCCTATTTCGGAAAGAGCGAAGAGCGTTAACCGGTAGCCCATGTACACTTTGCAAGTCTGCCCCTTTTGCTTCGTCGTTTGCGTTGATCTTTCGCCATCCATCGCCACACGACACCCATCTTATTCATAATGCATCGTCAAACACCAACATTGATACTCATCATCGCCGCGAGCCGTCTGGCGCATGTCGCTGTGGCCGAGAACAGTGCCGGACCACACCAGGTTTCCTTTCCCCTGGGCCAAAGGACGGACATTGTCCCGAGGCCACATGTTGGCAATGTGTCATATGGTGAGAAGCAAGGATGACGACAAAGCCAAGCAGTATGAGCGCTGATTCTTTTCCCCCAGGCACGATCATCAACAACTGCACCGTTCCGGGCACTGTCGCTCTGACGTTTGACGACGGGCCCAGCCAGTACACAGATTTGATTCTCGACACCCTCAAGCGCTACAGGACAAAGGCGACGTTCTTCGTCAACGGAATGAACAATCCGCTCGGCTCGATCGACAACCCAGCGACCCTGTGGCCGGCCGTGCTGCGCCGCATGCACGCCGAGGGCTACCAGATCGGAAGCCACACCTGGGACCATGCAAACCTGTCGGTGACGTCTGCATTTCTGCGCGACCAGGAAGTCGTCTTCAACGAGATGGCCATCCGCAACGTGATCGGCCTGGTTCCCACGTATCTGCGCCCACCCTACGCCTCGTGCACGGGCGCCTCAGGCTGTCTCGACGACCTCAGCAACCGCGGTTACCACATTGTCAACTTTGACATCGACACGGTCGACTACAACCACGACGACCCCCAGACCATCCAGTGGTCCAAGGACCACTTTGCCGACATTCTCTCCCACTCTGGCTACAACCAGCAGGGCAGCCAGGCCGGCCACATCTCACTCTCGCACGACACCAAGCACGAGACCGCAGTCAATCTGACCAGCTTCATGCTGTCCACCCTCCACCTTCTCGGCTACCGGGGCGTGACGGTTGGCGAGTGTCTGGGCGACCCGAGAGAAAACTGGTACCGTGACGCGTCCCCTCATGCTGTCCACAGCCTGGACAGCAGCGTCGAGGCACTGCTTCCGACACATTCGGGCCAATGCGGGCCTGGAGTGAACCTCACCTGTCGGGGATCCGACTACGGGCACTGCTGTTCGAAGCACGGGTTCTGGTGAGCTGTCCTCTTCTTTTCCTTGCAGACGAATTTCTGACCTGGAAACAGCGGCATCACGACGGAACACTGCGAGCAGGGATGCCAGCCGGGCTTTGGGACTTGCTTTTGAACCAGAGCACTCGGGAGGTGTAGTTACAATCTGTTTGCTAGTATAGAAATAAAGAAGCATAGACTAGACGAGTGACAGACAGTATCGAAGCCCCGAAGAATCCAATTCCGAGTTGAAAGGATGTCTAGAAGAGGCGTACGATCTGATGCGCTTCCAATACGCCAAGACGCCTTATTCCCAGTCCTCGAAGCTCCTGACTCAAGCGGTGATGCCCTCCTTGCGGACGGGGATGGTGCTAGCGATGCCGTTGGCGGCGGCGGCGGTCTCGGCAGCGGAGGCCGTGACGGTCTCGTCGCCGAACTGGTCGCGGCCGCTGGCAAAGACCTTGTCAAAATCGTACTCGAACCAGCGGATCTCGGGGCAGAGGCCGGCGAACTTCCAGACGCCGTCGACCTTGCGGTACCAGTGGGTGTTGGCCGAGTGGGCGTGGCCCTTGACGGCGACGTCGGCGAGGCTGGCATCGGTGTAGACCTGGTGGGGGACGCGCAGCTGGTGGTAGCCGATCACCTCCGTGTCTGAGACGCGCTCCCAGCGGGACATGCCGAAGAAGTGCTGGGTGCGCAGCAGCGGATTGCCAAGGACGTGGGGGTCGGAGATCATGTCGATGAACTCGTCGGCCGGCATGGCTTCCCAGATTTTGTCGAGAAAGGAGCGGTAGTCGATCTGGGGGGGTCAGCTTGGGGGAGAGGAGAGGGGAGAGGAGAGGGGAAGGGCGAGAGGATAGGAAGAAGAGAAAGGAGAGGAAAGAGAGAAAGGAGAGGAGACAAAGGAGAGGAGAAACAGGAGAGAACGAAGAGAAAAATGAGAACGAAGAGGCAAGAAAGAGAATAACGAATCAAAATCAATCATGCAACTCACCCGCAGAGTTGGCGCAATACACCGACGAAGACGATCCCAGTCTTTGGCATCGTAGCTGTCAGCCCATTCATAGGCAGCAGAATGAAGACCGAGATAGTCTGTTCCGGTCAGCAAGACAAATCATGCCTCGATTTCTGCCCTCTCGGCTCTGCCCTCTCGGAAACCTGCCTTCAAAGCTGATACTCTCTTCCGGAAGCTTCTCGACCGGAGTGGCCGACCGGAGAGAGCTGATGCTAGATCCCATAATGGCAGGGGCCTGAATAGAAAGCTTGTTTCTAAGTGGTTCCGATCAAGTTTGTTTCCTGCTTCTTCCTCGCAGTCCCGTCTTTCACCTGAGTACGTGCCAATGTGTGGAATGGCAGGATAGCAGGGCCCATGTCTTCTTATACCTCTGCAGACTTCGCCATCCCTCAAAAAGCTCGGCACCCAAATAGAGGAGCCCGAGGCCGTAGGTCTCACTCTTGGGGCTTATGGGTTTGAGTGTTTGCCCTGTAGCCTGTGTTCCAGACGTACCTCCAGAACGATGTGTGCCCCATACTCACGGAAGAAAAAGCGACCAGGCGTCTACAGGCAATCTCCATCGGAGTCCGGAACGGGCAGCGTGGGGATGTGCGGGAGCAACGCGGCTAAGTCTTCCTTACAGACGCCGGGCGGCAGTCCAGGCCAATCAGACCATGCACCCCGCCGCACAGGGAACTATGCGTGGATTCCACATTTCTGATACTGCGATAGTTCTCATAGTCACTGAAAAAAAAAACCATTGAAGATGCGATGCTACAACTGAACAGAGGGCATATGTACTCCTCTCATCCTCTCTTTCCCCAATAGGAAATTGCATCTCGAGGCCCGTTGCGGAAGGCGGTCAACTACGGCACAACAGTACTTGCATTCTCGCACGGACCACTCCAAGGACCTATATATCCCACAGGCACCCGCTGCCGTTTCTACAATTTCTTTCTCGTTTTTTTTCTTCATACTTACCTTGTTCGATGAGTCGGGTGATCATGAAGACCTGGCCATAGGGTGGGAAGCCTGCATTGCACATCGTGGCGCTACCTGTCTTGGTTTGTCCTTCGGGGCCGACCCGGGCGCAATTTTTGCTTTCAAACCACATCTTTTTTTCATTACGAGCGTCGCTTATGCAGCGCCGTGAAGAAGAAACCGAGGGCTCCGTGACCGGGTGTCCCGGGAGAATAGATTACTAGTATTATTGAGTCATGCCGTCCAGGAGCATAATTCTGTGTGCTTACTTTGAGACCCGGCCTGTTGATGTCATGCTGCATTTCGGCAACATTTCTACAACAAAGCTCTTGTATGCATGCCATTGAACCGTTGAGGCCAAGTATGCCATAATCCCCCGAATCGTGCAGGTGCGGGGTATATTGCCAAGAACTCAACGGTCTCAATTATTGCCAAGTGAAACGTATATCCATTTCTGCTTCTCCCCAACTAGAAAGTCCATTTACACGCCTGCCTGTATATGTATGTATCCTCAGAAACGGGAGGCTTCTCTGATGCGTAATAGTAATCCTGACTATTATACGGAGTTTTCGGTGGAGAATAGCGCAGCTACGGTTTTCGGGCTTGGAACAGCCGTCAGCGGCATTTGGCGCAGCGCTACAGGACGATTCTGGGGAGGGAGGGGTTCTGTTTTTAGCTCGTATTCGCATCCCTGGGGCTAGCGCAGCGTGAATTGTGACCTGTCATGCGACCCGTTATTCCTCGCCATATTTTCACCGTTCACCGATCGCGATTTTCGGCGAATCGGGGCCAGACACGCTTAAATGCCGGCTCCTGCATTGGCGGACGTGCAGCTTTGTTTGTACGACGAAATCTCTCAAGTCATATTTTGGTCGTGACGTCGATCTCGACCTCTTCATTTGCTTTCGTCGTGTCATCTGACCGCTTTTGAGCGGCTTTGGTTCCAAGCAGCACGATCTTGTACTCGCGCGCTCACCACACTCAACCATGCCCGACACAGCAAGGGCGCAGACGGCCACGTCGTCGGAGTCGGCCGACAATCTGGACACGATGGAGAAGATCCCGACTTACACGTCCCTTGCGCCAGAGCACGCGCATTACCGGACACGACGCATGCGAACGTCGGCCACTGCGGCGACGGCGGCAACGGGAGCAACGGGGGCAACAGGGGCTACAGGAGTGACTGCGGCCACGGCTGCGGACGACCTGGCGCCTCGAATTCCTGATGGCAATGACGGCGATATCGAAGAGGAGCCGGCCAAGCCGCTTCTCACGCGAGTTCTGGCCAAGATGGGGTTGGAAGTGCCGATTCTGATGTTGATGTTCAAGTCTGTTTGTTCTCTGGTCCTTTCTCTTTTCTCGACTCCTGACTAACGAATGATCAGAGGGTCGCTGGCTCCGGTCATTGGCATCGCCATGTATCAGTCGGACAGGATCTCGAATCTGTACCCGACGCTGGGCTACCTGATCCCGATCATCTCGGTGCTGGGAATGCCGATCCTGCCACGCGGCAAGTCGATCCAGACGCTGATGCTCAACGTTCTGGCGATCTGCGTGGGCTCGGCGCTGGCGCTGCTGATGATGTACTCGGGCGTGGAGGCGCGGCGCCGCACGGCCGGCACGCTGACGGCGGCCCAGCTGGCCCAGATGAAGGCGACCGGGCGGCCGCTGTACAACGCGAGCCAGTCGGCGGTGATGGCGGTGTGGCTCTTTGTGGCGACGTGGGCGGTCAATGTGCTGCGGGCCAAGAACCCGGCCTTCAACCTGCCGGTGATTGTCTTTTCGATCCTGATCAACGTGACGGCATCGTTTGGACCGCTGATGACGACCATGGTGCAGGCCGAGGCGTTTATCAAGCAGATTCTGACGGCGATGCTGTTTGCTCAGGCACTCTCGGCCGGCGTCTCGCTCTTTGTCTTTCCCATGTCGAGCCGCAAGATCCTGATGGGACAGATGCGCGGCAAGATCGGGCTGCTGCGCAAGGCCGTGTCGCTGCAGGGCGAATACCTGCGCGGTCTGGAGCGCGAGGACATGTATGCGCTGGCCACGGTCGAGACAGCGGTCGGCGAGCTGGGGCCGTCGCCCACGAGGGACGAAAAGAACGGAAAGGAAGCGCCGCCACGGCTGACCCGTGAGGCCAAGGCGGCGCAGTCGCTGCGCGCCACGATCGGAGCCATCTACGACTTGTCAGGCAAGATGCAGGCAGAGCTGCGGTTTGCCAAGCGCGACGCGGCCTTTGGCAAGCTGACGGCCCACGATCTCGGCGAGATGGTGCATCTGCTGCGCAACATCACGGTCCCGGTCACGGGCATGAGCACGATCATGGACATTTTCCGGCGCACGGCCGAGCATCGCGGCTGGAAGGTGACAGGTGGTGGGAACGGAGGGGATGGGGACGGTGGTGATGGTGGAGGAGACGACAACAGCAGCAGCAGCAGCAGCAGCAGTGATGGTGACAGCAGTCACGGCAGCGACAGCGACCGTGACAGCGTGCAGGAGGCAGCCGAGAAGGAGCAGGAGCGGCGGGTGTGGAACGAGATCATGCAGCAGCTGCACGAGCCGTTTGCGATCTTGTCCGAGGCCATCGATGAGGGGCTTGAGCATGCCGGCCTGCAGCTGGACCTGCTGCCGAAGAGCAAGGCGCAAAAGGCGCAGTGCAAGGCACAACGCGCCAAGCGGCGAGCAGCCAAGGCGGCCCAGCGGGACAGGGCGAGCGAGAAGCAGGCAGGCAAGGCGCCCGACACTGCGGCCACGTCGCCACCACCATCGACCCCTGCCTCGGACGCCGAGACGGGCGAGTCCTGCCGGCCGGGCGACGAAGGTTTCGCGGCCGTGATCAACCGCAAGGTCGAGCGGTTTCACGTGTCGCGCAGCGGCATCCTGCGGCTGTGGGCTCGCGAGCGCGGGCTGCTGAGCGGCGATACGGACGACGAGAGCGGCATGCGGCGACCGGCGGCATCGCCAGGCCTGGACCCCATCTTCATGGAGCGGGAGCATCGCCAGGCGCAGCTGTATGTGTTGCTGTACATGGAGCAGCTGGTAAGTCACGTGTGTGAGAGCAGTCGGTTCGATCGGTTGTTCCTTCCTCTTCAGCTCCTTTTCCGCTCACATCGCACCTAGATGCACGCAACAGGCGAGGCAGTCCAGGACCTGGTCACGTTTGCGGACCTGCGCGTGGCCGACGGGACGATGGACCAGAAGCGGCTGCTGTTCCCGACGCTGCGGCGGATGCGCAAGTGGGTGATCAGCGTGATGACGGACGGCAACGACGACAGCAGCGCCGAAGAGACGCCGGCATCGATGGAGCACAGCCTCCAGGTCGTGTTCACGGGCGACGGCTTTGGCGCCAAGCGCGACCCCGAACACCTGCCGCCGACGAACGGGTGGCAGCGGTTCGGCAACCGACTGCGGGCGGTGTCGCGGCTGTTGGGCTCGGCCGAGTCGCTGTTTGGCCTGCGCGCTGCCTGTGCCACCATGACCGTCGGCATCATCTGCTTCCTCGAGAGGACGCAGGTCTTTTTCCGGGAGCAGCGGCTGGTGTGGGCAATGATCATCATTGCGATCGGAATGATGCAGAGTGAGTGGTGTTTTTTTCTTCTTTTTTTCTTTTTTTTCTTTTTTCTTTTTCCCTTTCTTCCCCTACTAACATTCTAGCCTCTGGACAATCCATCTTCGGCTTCTTCTGCCGTGTCGGCGGCAGCGCCCTCGCCATGGTCTTCTCACTCATCATCTGGTACATCACAGACCAGACAACAGTCGGCACAATCGTCTTCCTCTGGCTCTTCCTCTTCTGCGAATTCTACTTCTTACTCAAGCATCCCCGCTTCATGGCGGCCAGCATGATCACGCTCATCACGCAGGTGCTCATCATTGGCTACGAGCTGCAAGTCCGCCGCATCGGCATCACGCGCAGCGAGTCCACCGGCCAGCGCTACTACCCCATCTACGAGCTGGCCCCCTACCGGCTGGCCACGGTGGCGGCCGGCTGCTTCGTCGCCTTCATCTGGACCATCTTTCCCCAGCCCCAGACCGACCGGGCCTGGCTGCGCCGTGACCTCAGCGCCACCATGTACCTGCTGGCCAACTACTTTTCCGTCATCAACGAGACACTACGGGCGGCCATCGACCAGACAGCCGGCGACGTCGACGTGCCCGACACCCCCGGCCATCGGCTCGCAAAGGTGCGCCAGAAGCTTTTCAGCAAGCTCATGACCCTGCTGCCGTCGCTACAGGCCCACTCCGACTGGCAGCGCTGGGAGCCCAGCATCGGCGGCCGCTACCCGCGCGTTGCCTACGAGGACATCATCCTGCGATCTGGCCGCATTCTCAACTACCTGACCCTCATTTCCTACACGGTCGTGTGGAAGCCGCGTCACTCGCCCGCCCGCACGGCCGACGCCGCCTGGCTCGAGGCCCTGAATGAGCTGATCCGCGCCATCGGGCCCACCCATTACACCATCCTGTCAACCCTGACCCTGCTGTCGAACTCGCTGCTGTCCGGCCAGTCGCTGCCGCCTTACATTCCGCTGCCGCGGCCGTACGAGCTGACGCGTCAGCTGCTGGCCCTGACCGACGTCGATCGGCCCGGTCATTCCGGCAACTCGGCCGTGGTCATGGCCTCCGGCTCGACCGGTCGGTCCCGGTCCGGATCGGCACCTCAGCCTCCGCGCCGGCGCAACAGCATCTGGAGCCGCCACAGCAATGCGGAGAGCAAGAAGCAACATCTCGCGGCCGTCAAGGAAGCCCAGAAGATGAAGCAGAAGGAAGATACGGAGAAGCCGGGTCGGAAGAAGCACAGCCAGACGGCCGCCTGGAAGGACCTGGCCGACGACGAGGTCAACACGGCCACCGGCCTTCCAACACTGATGCGCGTGCCTACAAAGACGGCCTCGAGCCTGAGTCGCGTGCTGGACGCCAGCAACATGGAGCAGACCGGCTACACCGAATTTGCCGTCCTGCAGGTGTGCAGCACGCTGGTGTGCGACGACCTCGAGGGCATGATCCAGTCGGTCAGCGGCCTGGTCGGCGTCGTCGACTTCAGCTTCGTCGTCGACAAGGCCACGGCTGCCGGGTCCATCCGCGGAAAAGGGAAGACGGCTTGAGATGATGACTAAGCAAGATGGGCGAGCAGATAATAGACAGATACCTTTTTGATTGTATGTACTTGCATTTCGGTTGCATTTCGATTTTTTGTTTGTTTGCATCGCAGCTTGTGTTTACCGCGTCGGCTGTTTGTTTTATCCAGCAGTCTTCGCCGCAGTACAAAATACCTCCCGTCGATGGTCGCGCCCTGCCGCCGCTCACGGCCGACGAGCATGGAGACCTGGCTGGCCGGCCAGGACGTCGACCTGCACGAAGGCTCGGCCGGCACAGGCACGGCAGTGCGTAGCCAGCTGTAGAGCTGTCGCGGAAGTGAACTGTTCTGCGAATTGATTCGGAATAGGATAGCTAGGCAGACATACTATGCCGTATTCGGTTATGCCAATCTTACACGCTGTTCCCTGTTGCCTTCGTTCGAATATCTCTTGCCTGAGCATTCCAACCTGCTGCCTCTTGGCACCTGTCCATGACCTCATGCAGCTTGTCCTCTTTTTCTCCGCTTCGACCATCGAGTTCTGGAACTAGTGGCCAGATGCTTTCCCAGGGACACAGAGTCCGATTTCTGCGCCACCAAAGCCCTGGTCTGATCGCTTCCAGCACTTGACAGCACGGCCATAGTCAGATCAGGTTCCACGACGGGGTAACGCTCCAGATCCAGCTTGCGTGGAGACATGGCCTCTTCCTTCCCACGCGACCCGACGAACGACTGGGCCCAAGGCATCAACTGCTTGTTATGATACGTGTATCTAGCCCCCTCCATAAAGTACAGACAGGTAGCACACGCCGAGGAGTGGCCAGGCAGGGAATAGCAGCCGTACTACGGAAGCATGACCCGCGGATACTCTCCTTGATCGTTTGACTGGGCACGACGATTCATGTAACGAGTTTCGCAGCATTGGCAGGGGTTGACATTTCGGTAGCCATAAAAAGCCGCGAATAAGCCCGTCCAGCGACGGGGCTCGGTCGAGATCTGACGAGCGTATTTTCCAAGGGGACCTCCGAAGGCTCTCTCCATAAAAACCGGCTTCGCCATTAGCTCATCCCTCTTCGTGGCCCAGAAGCGTTTTGTCACGGAATCGAGCGGGGACGCCATCCAGAACTGGTTGATGTCGCTCCCAGCACGGAGCTGCCAACAGTAGTAGGAAGACCCATAGATGCCTTCGATGTTGTGAATAGAGATGGCCTCAAGCATGATACACCAAGTAAAATTGGAGATGGAGTCCCGAAGGGGATTATGAGGGGAAAACGGGTCTGAAGGCTCCATCGGAACAACAAATTCAACATAGTTTATGGCACCGTCCAGCCAGGACTTTCCGTGCAAGAGGTGTCGAGCCCCAGGTAGTATGCTTTTTTCTTCTTGTGTCAAGGCATCAGGATCAGCCTCCGCACGGTCTAGCAAAGCTTGTGCCCTAGGGGCGATAATAGCGAACACATCCGGGTCGGGCAAATTGATAAAGGCGGCCTGAACGGGGCAAGGCACGACACAAACAATGGCTGAAGAAGGACGTGCCTGGTTTGCACATGTACCATCTTTGGCTGGGTCCATGATGCAAACCGAGCGTTGAATGCTGTAAGTCTATTAATATTATGACGCGAGACCGAGTAAGAAGAGGGTGAAAGTTGTAATTTTGTTGTTTGTATTAGTACCTGGATGATTTTCTGTTTCCGTTGGGGTATTCAGAAGCAATTTGGAATATAACTTTATGATGGAACCTGGGGAGCCAAATCTGCACTCAATAAAAAGGCGAAGGGCAAAGACAAAGGAGAAAGTGGTTGTCACATATGCGCTCAACTATCTTTCAGATTCATTTTACGGCAACTTTTGTTTGTCTAACCGTCTGAGACAACGTTCTACGCAATTTTTCCGAAAACCCATCTTGTGTTAATAACAATTAACGCCCTAGAATGACAAAAAGCTAAACGCGATTCGTTCTATCTCAAGCTTTTACCATCCACTCGACAAAGACGCAAAGCCGATATCTCAAGACTGTGCTTTCTTTCGTTTGCTTCCAACTTCAGTCCCTCCACTCTCTTCCCTATCCTCATCATGACGCAACAAAGGTTTGTTCGGGAAGCCAATTTCAGCGGCCGTGGAGGACGAGCTGGCACTATCGGCCACGGCATCAAAAACGCGCAAGAACTGGACTGGCCAGACAAACAGCGGTATCGGTTTACTAACGGCCGATACAACTTCCGAACCAAATTCCCTAATAGCCAGTCTGAGTGGATTGTACGCAGTCGTCCACCTTACTCCCTCCCAAAATCAGCAGCACGTTCAACACAGCCACCGATGAGTTTTTTCCCAAGGTGCAACACAGATCCGGATGGAATAAGCCACCCTTTAAAATTGACGGCCTGCATCACTCTTCCTACCTGATGCAACTGTACAACCTGGAGGCTTCGCTGCTGCTCGAGGATTGGCTGGCAGAAGATGAAATTGTGAGTGGACTCGCCCTCGCTCTGCAGGACCTTCAAAGCGTGGTCTGGTTTCCGACTGTGATATGCCGGAAGGAAGGGATAACGAGTAGCCTTTGGGACGAGAGCTCCCCAAAGAACGTTGGAAAACGGTTCTTGGCAATCCCTATCAGTCTGACTGAAACCCACTGGATCCTTACGGTCACCGATCGAGCCCAACACAAGATCTACTGGTTTAACAGCCTTCCCAGCTGCTCCGACATGGCAGTCTCCCTTCCTTTCAAAACATGGATGGAGAGTCACGATCTGATCGAACCTGACGAAAACTACATCCACACCAGGGTACAGGTTACGCAGCAGCAGAACAGTTGGGCCTCCGGTCTGTACGTGCTCGAAAACGCGCGAGTCTTCTTTAGGGAGCCCTCCGTTCACCATCAGAATGGCCCCAAAGACTGGGTGCTCTCAAGACACTACAGATGGCCAGTTCCTGTGCTTGGGCCCCTCGACGCCGCTGACAAGCAATGCGCCTGGATGAAGATCGCCTGGATTGCCTGGATCCGGGCGGAGCTTGGACACAACGACTTCTCGCCGCTTCGCGTACCTGAGCTACCGACACTCCGAAGGAATGCTGAATGGATGGCAGCGTACCGAGGGTACGGTGATATTATCGTGCCTAACGGGGTGAGCTCTGTCAATACCTTCGATCCCGACCAGCTTCGTGCTGACATCGACTACTGGATGGGTGAAACTCCCAACGACAAGACAGCGGTTCCAGGGCCAAGCCTGAAACTCACACCAGCGTCCATCTCAATTGTTTTTGACACGTGGGTCAGCGGCGAAGCAGGCCTTATGTTTAGCGATTGGCTTGACGAGTCCGTCCAGTCGTACGCATACACCCGATATCACTACGCGCTAGAGGAGCCCCCCGCAAAGTATTCGATACCAATGCCGATCGAGCGCGAAGAGGAGCCTGAGGAATATAATGATGATGAGGAGGTTGGTGATGATGAGGGCGGCAACGACGAGAACATCCAAGCTGAACTCGATTTAGGAGGATCGGATTGGTCATTCGGCGTAGACACTCACGCAGGCATTACTGATGCAGAAACTGAAAGGGAGATAGTCCGCATCAAGAACGAGGAGGTATCGGCAGCAGCATTCATCCAGGAGATCCCAACTCTGACCGCAAAGAACAAGGCTTTTCCGTCCAAAGCGCTGACGACGCAGACGAAGACAGTTTCGCCCCCATCAATACGCCCGCGGAAGGAGAGGAATCAGCACAGCGGCAACAGCTGCCTACGGGGAAATCCATGTCACCCCCAGTCCAAAGAGAGTCGAGGGCAGTGCGTCACCGAAAGAAGCTTTCCACAATACTTTCCAAGGCAGAAGGAAAAGCCACCGTGTTTGCAATGAGAGCAAAGAAGCGTCGCAATCCCGAAGCTGACCGAACGCCTTCGCCACAACTTCGACCCACGTTTTGTCACGATGCATCTCCCGTAGGAGCTCTGTCCCCAGACCATAGTCCTGGCTGGACAGGGTGGAAGGCTCAGGTCGAAAGCCACATCATTAAGCACCTCCCAGACGGAGGGGAGTAAGATCGGATGTGGATGGTGATTAGATCCATGTAGAACCTAGATCATTGTCGTGCAATGTCCTAAGAAGGGGCCTAATTATATACGTTTTTTTTGTTCTGCTTCTCACGTCTGTGGTTCTTCTCACAACATCGACAGGCCGTTCCTCGCAGGTCTGTAGTCACGTGCGCATCGCTGAATAATCGATTGAATTCAATTTGTCCTGCAGCTGCTTTCCATCTATGGCTCGGATGCTTGTCTCCGACACTGCTCTAGCCCTATCCAGAAGAGCCTGAGCAATTCGGGCACGTGCTAAACCGACGCACAGCTTAAAGGCCTCGGGATAGCGAGGCAGCGAGGAGCAGAAGCAGCCCTTGAGGTTGTCTTGCGAGATTCACGTCTGAGCAGTAGAACATCACGATGGGCACGTACAGTTCGTAGATGGGAGTCTTGATGCTCTGGTTCTTGGGACGCGCTTTTCCGGGAACATAAGGCAGCAGGTAGGGCCGATTGCAGCAACGACAATTGCACGTCTGAAACATGTCAACAAGAGGGCTCCTACTTGTGAGGCAACCCGGCAATGGTGACGGCCAGCAGGTAGCTCAGACCAGGACAACCGGTCATCACTCGAGGCAGCCGGGCTACCAGTGCTTGACGGCTCGATCCTGCGGCCGCGTACGTTTTTTCTTCTGATTGGGCTGTCTGCAGTCATGTGTTATCTGCTCGGCTCCTCATCGGCAAAAATGTCAGCCGACCAGTCCATCAGATAAGGCGGATGAGACGAAGGCGAGAGGGGAGACGCCTTCCGGACAGCTGCTGCTGCGGCCGCCTTGGCTGCTTCTGCTGCGGCCGAGGCGGCCGATCGGTTTCTCTCCCGGTACATGTCGCGCATCTCTTGCTCCTGCTTCTCGCCCCTCCAGGTGCGTCCCTGCAGGTGGCGCAGACACAGCTCGTTGCCGTCGTCGGGATAGTAGAGCCAGCAGGCCCAGTTGCGCCACACGGCCGGGTCATTCTTCATCTGCGTGCGTGCCCGCTGGCCGATGTGGTCCTCGATAAAGTCGCCGCGGCCGATGGCCAGACGTGTCGAAAAGACCCGCTGCAGATAGTGGGCTGTCGATGCCAGGTGCGTCTTGTCGTGCCAGAAGAAGAGGGGCGTGAGAGGGAGGCGGTCGCGACGCGTTGTCGGCAGGGCCGAGACCGAGGCTGAGACGGGGAACTCGCTCTTCAGCGAGACCGTCAGCGATCGGAGGACCGGGAAGTTGACCACGTGCGGCGACGTGGCATAGCGCAGCATGCGAACCGACGGCAGGCAGATATAGCGCACCGGCACAGCCTCTTCGGGGTCGACGCCTGAGGAAGCCACGGAACCAGAGTCTGAGCTGGACGAGGGGTTCTCGCTCTGCTCTGTCGTGTCGCTCTGTCCGGCCAGCCCACCCGGTTCGGTCTCGCCCTCTTCCTCGCCCTCACACGTCGCCATGACCTCGAGCATGGCCGCCAGCGGAATGTCCGACACCAGCGTCCAGTCGTGCTGCTGAATCCAGACGTACGGCGTCGTGGCTGCCCGGACGGCCGTCCGCACGGCCAGACCAAAGCCCAGCCGCGCTGCCGGCTCGATAAACGCGATCCGCCCGTCGCCTGAGCGCGTCGTCGTAAAGGCCACCGCGTTGTCGGCGATGAACGGGGACCCATACTCGGCGAGGCCGCTCGAGATGGTCCCGCTGTCGTCGCGGCTGTCCGCCGGTGCCCACACGTCCCGCACCAGCTGCCGCACGTTGTCCTTGTAGGCCACGTACGACTCGGCCTCCTCAGCCGTGACGCAGCCCTTTTTCAGCCGCGCTCGCGGCACCACGCGGTCGTACGTATCAAAGACCACCGTCACCGGACACGTCAGCAGTGCCGGACAGTGGGCGCGGAACGACGCCAGCACCGCCGACAGCAGGTCCGTGCAGGGCGCCGACGGCGTCGGCGACGTCGTGATGATCACCGTCAGCAGGCTGGCAATGTCCATCGCCGGGACGGCGGCTGCGGCTGCGGAGGATGCCATTGGGGCCGAGTTGCGAGCATCTTGGCCGCTGTAAAAAGCAGACAGGCAGAGGCGCCACTCCTGGTAGCTGCAGACCCACCGCCAGGTGGGGCTTAACCATTGGGGAGATCGCCTGCCGGACGTGACTGGTTGCTTCGTATTACTCGAAACGGCAGTCGCGATAGAAGCGGCAGCAAGAGCAAAGTGTACGATCAAGATACTTGGGCGATCTCTCGCAATTCATGCATCTAGTCTACCCTTTTCAATTCGCTCTGGTCTTCTCCAACCACATCACACTCCACCCATCTTTTCCTACACGATGTCTAATTCTACCTTCCCTGCGCCGACAGTACTGACGCATTCGGTACCCATTCCTGTATAGCGCTCACGACGTCTCAGCTGATCACTGAAACAAACTGACAACATGCCTGCGCAGTCATGTATTTTGCTGTCCTGAACTTCTATCACTGGGAGCTGCGTCAGTATACGCCTATTCCGTTGATTACAAGATATGTAAGCGCCCGAACAAAGAACCCATGAAGACCTCGCAATCTTCTGCTGATAAACAAACAGCAGCAAGCCCTTTCTTTTCATTCATTCATTATTTCTCTCTTTCTTCTTTTTATTTCGAGAATCGCCATAAGCTTTGAAGGTGTGACATCATCAAGAACGACCAAGAAGATGCACTTCGTAGCCAGTGCCCCATTTCATGTTGCACATGCAGCTGCAGATCGGCAGCTAGGAGGAGACGTAATGCGAGGCTGAGCATCTACAGCTTTTGACGTGGAATGGTCGGAAGCTGACTCGAAGAAGACCAAGCAACGAGCATCTTGATCAGCGACATGGTCAGCTGCAATACAGGGCAATCCGTGCGAATCTTCCGCATACGGCTAGATCAGCTGGCCTCCCCAGCCTGTCTCTCGTTGGTGAGCTGCTTTCCACATGGTCGTTGATCGCCCTTGGTAAGATACATTCCGGCGTGCTCCGTTTTCCACAACTTCCCCAAACCCCAATTCCCCCATTTCCCCGAAACCCTCTCCAAAGACGAAAGTTGGAGCTTGAAAGTCCGACGGCATAGTAGCCTTTGCTATTACCTATAAAAGAACGTCCTTGACGGACATCGTTACAAATTGATATCCTTCTAGTAGCACAAGCGCAGCGGATGGAAAAGACATTGCGCCCTGTTGTAGGCCTGCCCTTGGAAACAAAGTCACCGACAACGGATGGCTACGGGGAGCGTGCACAGTGCCAACTTGACAGGCCGTCACAAAAGCCGCCCGAAAGCCTCCAGGCGCTAGTGGCACCTCCGGAATGCACGCCATGGCGGCCCAGATAATATTGCTCTGTCCACGGGGCCAATCACACACCGACTATTCAAAAAGCTCCATTTGTTTTTCTTGGCTCTGGGGCCACATCCCAGGTAGGATAATCTGGGGCACGGGAAGGGATTTTTCGAGTCTTTTTTGTCGTGGGTACAGCGGAAACAGCTCCAGTCGCCCCAGTCTTACAGCAGCACCATCTCCATATTTCTCACCGTATTGAGGACAAGTCGCAGTAATCGGTCTCCGTACAAGTACAGCCTCAATTCCCTGTGAGCAGCAATGCACAGCGCCAGACCGACAAGTCGACAAACCGACAAAGCCGGGCCAGGTGACAAGTCATCCCCAGAGCGGGCCTTAGCCCCCCGGGACTAAGGACTGTTTGGTACATGTGACTACGAGTCCTCGTACAGCCCCGGAGATAGCCTATAATAAGCGCTACTGCTCCGTTCAGCGACGCGATGTATTTATCCACCCGGAAAGGGCTGCACCGGAAGGCCGCATCTTGGTCGCTCTAGCCAACGGCCGGCTTTCCAGAACACCGAGCTCGGCTAGCAGGCTGCTCGAGCTCTGCTCACAAAGTGCGCCTGTTGGTTTCTTGGCTTCTGGACAGCTGGTTACGTCGTCTCTCCTTCACGGCGGCATTTCTTTCGACATGGGACCTTGAACTTTGCCTCGTTGGTGACGGCGATCATGAAGGGAGGCTCTAATCAGTTTATTGGCCCGTGGCGCCAAAAGAAAAAGGGGCAGCTGGATTCCAGACCTCTGCAGAACATGCCTACTACTTGTACTCGTATTCTCCATGGGGCGCAGGAGCTTGCGGCAAGTGGACCTGCCCCTGTTCTGGCAGGTGGTAAAAGCACACATAGTACGGAGTAGCCGTTAGGCAATTTTTACCTCACCTTCTGCCGCCTATACCTGGTATTCCGGGGCGTGTGGTATGGCGTTTATCAATCCTGCCGTGCAGATGGCTCACAGCGAGAGCCCTTTGTCGTGTCTATGGCATCTCAGAAAGTCTGGGGAAGACAGGGGTTTGCTACAAGCCTGGCTCTCTGCCTGTCCAAGGAACCCTTCGGTTACTCGCACAATGGAGAGGCCTGCCACGGCGCTATATTAGCTTGGCACCAATGAAACACCGCAAATCCGACAGACACGTTCTTTGTTCGCGACCATGCAGGGAAGGAGCGGGAGCCTACGCGGTGCGAAAAGCGCTGAGTGTCTCGTAATGCTAATGCCGAGGACTTCGAGTTCACCGGCATGCCTGCTTTTCGCTTGTTCTTATTTCCGCCAGGGCCCGCCGAAAGCCACGGCGCGTATTGGACAACTCCGGCAGCTCAGGGTGCTCGCTGAAACTCTGTCTTTGGCCACTGCACGCTAGGAGGCCACGGGGCATGGAGTTAGGATCGCTGCATGCCCCACACAACTTTCAGCGACTTGTCCGACGTGTGTGTGTGATTGTACAGCATACAGCAGCATCCGGACCTTTCCCGGCCGACACATTCAGATATGATGTCAGGCGAATGTCAGTGTGATGGTGCGCGTACAGTTGACACTGTGGACTTTTTATAGCAACACCGGCAGTCAGTACATTGACTTGAGCTCGGTCGGATGCAGCCGACTATGCAGTGGGGAAACAAGATGAGATTGGACATGGCGCGCTGCGATACAATCGATACAATCAGGGAATCGCATGCTTCTTTCTCCAAAGAAAACTGACAGAACGTAGTCTCACTGTGGAGTTCCCGGTGCCCCAAAGTTGGCCAAACCCGGGGTAATAACGCCAGTTGCAGGGGCCATCGAGTGAGCCGATTGACATCCCGATAGGCTTCCCTTGGATCAGCCCATACTATTGTAGTCGTCGAACTTGGATCCTGCTCATAGTTACTCTGCTTCCCCTAGCGGCTATTATAAAACGCATGTATCTTTTTTACCAGAAGATAAGGAACCTACGGAGCAGACTACGGAGTATTACAGCGTATCCCTTCTGTCGGCTTTTTCTCGGTCGCGGCTTTAGGAAGCTCGAGGTATTAGTGTTCTGTTCTTTCGGCCCTGCATTGTGGGTCTGTGACTGCTAGAGTGCATGCCAGGAGATCCAATACGAACGAAGGCAGTCGTCACCTGAGCGAAGTCTTGAAATGTGGGGATACCTGTTTTATTCCAACGCCCTTTGCTTGTAGGACCAATACAGGTATCCAGAGACAAATCCGGGGAAATCCGGAGTAAAGTGGACTCGAATACAATTGCTCAATGATGGCCCTGCAAAATGCTAACAACTTGGATCCAGTCCGGAGACAAGAGACAGCTAAAAGGCGTATTCGCCATCATTCTGATACATCAGCGGCTTGCCTGGCCACATGGCAATAGGATGTACATATCGAGACCACTCGTTGGCTAACCGATCGCAGCCTCGGCCTATGCACCGTCCGGGATGGTGCTGCGTGCCTGCAGCCATTTTATTGGGTGCATGAACTCTGCTCCCGCCGTGGAAGCGCATTAATTCTCTGCCTGCTCCTTTCCCCCGGGCTCGCACCTGGTTATACAGTCACTCGCAGGGAAAGTGCTGCGATTTACGCCCGGAGACAAGAAGCGAATGATGGAACAGAGGCAAGACACCGCATCGACCAGATGTTTCATCAGGCCAGAACAGATCTGAAGCGGCACAACTGGGACGAGAACTGTGGGGAAACGCTGGAAGGAGCAGGTTCCCTGCAAAATACTAAGATACAATAAACAGGATGCCATAGCACTGGCCGAGACATGAACCGCAGGAATTTTCATGGGAGCCAAGCAATACCAGACGGTCCCACGCAAACAGGTCACAGGCCCACACGACCACACGAGCTGCAGAACTGCAGGGTGGTAGATACCGGTATCACGCTGCATATGTATTGGACATCAGTCAAGTAGACACGGTGAAAGACATTGTTTCGCACGCTAGTAACATGGCAGACGCTGGGTGCAGCTTGCACTAATTGGACAATACGCGGATTGCGCTCTTGGACGCCCCAAACAGCACGAGCTCGTGAGTGGATTAGCCTCTTCTCGGACAGCTAGCCATTGGCTGAAAGACCGGGTTGGGGAAGCGACATTACTTGGCGGGTATCTGCTCTAAAGAAGTCAACATGCATACAACACAGGCTTACTTTACTTCTATAGATAGATGCTACCCTCTCCCCTGTGGCTCGATTTGGTCCGCTGACGGGTAAATGGAAAGAAACAAGGGAGTCTGGAGCAGGCAGTGAAGCACACAAACAGTATGAAATCTAGACCTCTCAGGCACTGTACAAGTATCCGAGTGGCGAAGACAACTCGACGAATGCGCGTAGCAATAGCAGTGGAGTATCTTCAATCGGGCATGGAGAACTGGCTCGACTTATTAACTTTACGCGGAGAAAACCCTAATCCGTAACATCAATCCGGGGTTGATCTGCGGGAAATATTGGTGAGCTGCATAAACGCTGCTTTTCCTCTCAAATGCAGCCAACACAGGCAGGCGTCAGGTAGTCTTTTGTCTGGTGGCTAACAGCATAGGATCAACTTGACCAGATCTGTTGGCAGCAGTGGCATGACTGGTCAAGATTCATCGAATGTTCTTGTAAGGACGCCCAAGAATTGGCATCCTTTACTCCGTAGAGGCTTACGCAAAACGATTGTACTCATATCTTGGCTTATTGCTTCGGGAACTGGCAGGAAAGCCCCGCCGCCAATGGGAGCCCGTCTTGGTGACCAGTGTGCCCACCCTGTCATGTCCTTTCCGCGTAGGGAAAGGGGTAGGACAGCAACTGTGTTGGCGGCATTACTCGTTATACCTGGCTCGTACTGTCTGTTTTTCTGCACTGGTCAGTGGAGTACGCGCCATGCTTCTTTCTGTTTCTACGTGCAATTAGTGCCATTCTTACCCCGTAAAATCATTTTAGTGTCGTTCTACCCCGTATGGGCTCCGTGCCGACAGATCTGTTCGTACTGTGTCGTGGCGCGGGAAGAAGCCTGCTGCCTACGGAGTACTCGTACATAAGAACACGGGTACAGTTTCTTGCATGAAGACAAAGGGAGAGGCGAGCTGTGCCGGTGAGTTGGATCTCCGAAGAAGACGAAAAAGCAAGTCCTGCTTGGCTAGTCCTACGGATCCGTACAGGAGCCTTCAACGCCCCTTGTTTTTTGTGGTCACCTGCTCCGGCTTCGCTGGCAGTGCTGGATCAATCCTTCGTTTGCGGCCTCCCCCCCCCTAACATACGGTGCTAAGCTGGAAAGTGCGATGTAAGCCGTAGCGTGCCTTTGCCTGTTTCGCTCCCACCAAGTACTTCCACGCCGTCCACGCAGATCGCGCCTTGCTCTTTTCACACAAACACACCCCCCCTGTCTCTGGTTGCATCAAAGGTACGTGACTACTCCACACTCGTACTCCGTGCTTCGTAGCGTTCACTACAGTGCCCCACCATTGGTCTCGTTTTCTACCAATCACATCGCTAGCATATCTGCTTGCCCGCACTGTGCCTCGAGGCTTGCTCTTCGCTCTTTCCTTCTCCAGGTCCCACCCCACACCACCTTTACCCCCGGGGTCCTCAGAAACGAAGCCAGCGGTTATAACGGAGGCGGGAGGGACGAGTCAAGAACGACCGAAAAAAAGAACAGAGGCGCGACGAACCCGATTTAAGGAAGCGTTTTTTTGACCGGCTACCCTCTTCTGCTCTCGGAATTCCATCTTCCGTCTCTCTTCCGTCTCTCTTCCGTCTCTCTTCCTTCTTCCCTTCTTAATTTTTTTTGCTTCTCTTCAACCTCCCGTCTGCCTCAATTGCCTCTCCATCTCGCTTTCCCCTTTTTGCCTTCTTTCCGGGCGATTAGGAAGACAGCAACAGAAGACTGTTGGACGCCTGATTTGCCTTCCCCTTTCTCACGGGACCGGAGTCACGGCTGGGCCACTCACAGGTTCCTCTTTTTAAGTGGCGGCGTCGACAACCAAAAGCTCGCTTGTTCACGGTGATCCATATCCCCCAATTACGTCGCTTCCTTTCCACCTATACATATAATATAGAGACACCCTGTTGTTCATCCATTCGTGCACTACATCTTCCAGCTTTCCGGAACACGGTGGCAAACGAATCTCTGCCCTAGATGCCCATTATTTTTTTGTTACAAAGCATCTCCCATGACCTTAATCTCTCTTCTACCTCCACATCTCTCTCTTCTGCACTCTCTCTACTGCTGGGTTTAAGACCATGTCTTCTCCGGATTCTACGGCCCCAGGACTCTGCGTATCCTTCTCTCCTCTGCCTACCGCCGATTTGTCGAACACATCAATATCGCCCGCTTCGGAGGTTGGCCCGATCCTTGACGACACTGGTACGAAACCTTCTTGTCCTTCACATTGTTTTTGAACCAAACTGCCTCCACGTCTGGCACCTCTTACTAATATGGTTGCTTGCGCTGTAGCATCTACAATAACGGTCAACGTCAAAACACCCGCAGCGACATTCCCACCGCCAAAGACAGACAAGCCGCGTCCACACGTCTGCACGACTTGCCAACGCTCATTTGCGCGATTGGAACACCTGAAGCGCCATGAACGTTCTCACACCAAGGAGAAACCATTTGAATGCTCACAATGCACAAGATGCTTTGCCCGCCGGGATCTTCTTTTGCGCCACCAGCAGAAGCTTCACCAGTCTACTACCCCTGCCGCGAGACCTCGGAATCGACGCGAAAGCACAACCGGTGTCACTCCCAGTCGTGCTCGCAAAAGCAGCATGGCTGGTGGTCCAGGCGTTCCTGGGGAAAATGGCGGCCTTGCCGATGTGAACGCCAGAAGTGGTAGTCGTGTTGGAGAATCAGGAACGACAATGCGGCCACGGGCTAATACCATCAGTCACGTTGACGCTACTGCGATGCACCCAAGCACTTCCTTGCTGCATGGTATTCCACCGCCTATGCACAGCAGGCATCCGAGCTTGGCTGGTTTTTCTGTTAATGTAATGGATTCCCTGGGAGACCAATCTCAGTCCTTCATGGACATGTCGGCTGCCCCTCTAGGACACCGTGGTGCTAGCCACGGTATGCCAAGGCTCGAAACCCACAGAACCGGCGGTCTTCACTACTCGAGCATGAACTCGGCATCTGGTCTGCCACTATTCAGCCCAAACTACTCATTCGAGGGTGCTGGATTCGGCAACAGCAATAGTAATACGATCAACCCCAGCGCTTTGCGCTACACAGACTCACCGCAAGCATTGGCCCTGGATCCTACATCAGCCTTTGTACACGGTGTTGGTGGGTATCGCGACATGTCATCTACCCAAGACAGCTTTGACTGGTTGACCGGCTTCGAAAACCAGCTGTCTTTCGATAGTGCGGTCGACGAAAACGCCATTGATGAATCGTCCCCTTCTGCGATGAGTACGACGAGCCAGAGTGGAATTAGCGATATCATGCTCGATGGCTCGACCCATATGCGAAAGCACTCCACGTCTGTCCCCCCAGTGTCCTCAGACGGGACTACCTCGACCTCCTTGCCTTTGTGGCAGCAGGATAGCAGTATACATCAGCAGATGATCAACAGTGGCTTCTCTCTCGACATAAGCTCGGCAACCTTTTCAGACCTTCTGAGCGGCTTTTCTTCAATGTCGCCTCATGCCCCAACGAGTCAGCTCGGCAATCAAAATGGGCAGAACTCGTTGAATAGTGTAGGCACTGTGCCATCATCAAACCGAAACATGGATACTTACTTCTCTACGCCACCGCCATCTCTCAGCTCGCTCAGTCCTTCTCTGCTAACGACTATGAACCCAGCTAATCTGAGTCAAACGTTTGGCTTTGGCGTCGGCGCTGCTCCTCATACTCCGACCTCGTTGAATGGTAGCCACAACAGCGGGGAAGCATTTCGCACCAACAATATGCCAGTGTCTACGATCACAGACGCTACAAGAAACGCCATAATCAATGCCTTGAACTCATCTCCTTCACAGTCTTCTTCATTTGGCACACGCAAGTTCTCGTTTAGCGGATCTGGCTCGCCGTCTTCGACTCTACAATCTGCCTTTGAATACCAAGTACCTAGCACCAGCGATCTACAGAGATACGTGGGCGCCTATTTGCGTTATTTCCAGCCTCACTATCCGTTTCTGCACGTCGCGACCCTCTCGTTTGAGATCTCATCCGACATGAGCTCTCCATCCACAGTGTCGGGATCGGATAATGGCCAGGCTTGGAGGAGCAACGACCTCAATGGTGCAGTCGGTGGAAGCGGATGCTTGAGCCTCTCTATGGCCGCAATCGGTGCGCTTTACGAACTAGAACATGAGCGGTCTCGGGTTTTGTTCACCATGTCTAAGCGGATGATTCAGCTTTATCTGGACGACCGTCGCAAGTCCCATGTACGAAACGCACACTTCCGGAGGGCGTCCTCAGTCGGTGTGAATGGACAGCCACAACAGACAGACAATTTGGTGGATACACCTGTGTGGTTGGTGCAAGCCATGCTGCTCAATGTCGTGTATGGTCACAACGGCTCGGACAAGCGTGCCGGTGAGATCGCCTCCACACACTGTGCAGCCCTGGTGAGCCTTGCTCAAGGCGCCAACCTTCTGAGACCGGTACGCGTCGAGCCTGATTCGGAAGATCTGACTATGACCATGGGGGATGACATTGATGACGGTAGCCTCTGGAGTGGCAATGGTACCAAGACCATCAGTGAAGAGGAGCTATGGCTGAAATGGAGGGACATGGAAGAGCGGAAGCGTACGCTATACGCTATCTTTACAATGTCGAGCTTCCTGGTGTCCTCATACAATCACACGCCGGCGTTGACGAACTCGGAGTTGCTTCTAGATCTGCCATGCGACGAAGAGTTTTTTGCCGCACCGACGTGCTCAGACTTCATGGCATTGGGCGGGGTAGCAGCTGCCAACCACAATCGGATGACGATGCATGAAGCTTTAGGCAACCTGCTCAGAGCTAGTGAGAAGCAGGTGAGGCGAGTCGATAGCGAGTTGCCAGAAGGTCGAAACGACGTCCCGGCCGAACTGAAGCCGAGCGCGTTTGGCTGCTTCATCTTGATCAATGCCCTGCACAACTACATATGGGAGACCCGCCAGCGCCATCACAACAAGATTTGGACAAACGAAGAAACGGAGAAGATGCACCGGCATATCGAGCCTGCACTGCAGGCATGGCAACGTGCCTGGGCCAGCAATCCTCGCCCCAGAGTCGAGCTACCGAATACCTTTGCTCTGGGTGCCCTAGCCACAGACTCGATTCCGCTCCTGGACCTTGCCTACGTTCGGCTGTTTGTAAACATGTCGCGATCGAAGGAAATGTTCTGGCAGCGGGACTGGGATGGGTTAGCGGAAGAACTGTCACATGGTAGAGAAATTGTGCAGCACGCAGAGAACTCTCCAGCCTCTATTGCCGAGTCGGTCTTGACTGACGCTTCCTCGGACCTTACTGGGAGCAGCTCCTCTGGTCATCTTGATTCTCCGGCAACGCAGCACTCGTCTACACCGGACTTCGCCGCGGCGCAGTTCTCACTGGCTACAGCGGCGCAGACACAGATCAATGCACAGCAGGCCCAGCGTGCCACGTCGAGACGGGAGAAGCACTTGCGTAAAGCAGCGTTTTATGCAGCAGATTCTTTGTCCATGACGGATAAGCTCGGTTTCACCTTGGCGGACTTCTCCAACAGGGAGCTACCTCTGCAGTCGGCGTTATGCGCCTTTGACTGTGCGCAGGTGCTTGGTGAATGGGTGGCTACGTTGCAAGACCGCATCGGACGGTATCTCGGCATTCTTGGCCACGACGATGTGGACCTAGGACAGGTGCCTGCGATCATGCTACTTGAAGATGAGGATATCAAGTTACTCAACAAGATCCAAGACATGCTGTCGACAGCTGAGATGAAGATGAATTTGGAGCTGGCCAACGGCAGCATTGACTCCGTGGGTGGCATATCTGGTCGCCTTGCTGCGCGCATGCAGTTGGGAGAGCAGATTGGCTACGCGGCCAAGATCTTGAGCGTCACGGCTTACATGTTGGGAAAAGCGGGTGTGTGGCCTGGTAAGTTACAAAAACATTGAGTACTGGGTATTGGGAGCGAATTTCGACTAACGGCATGCTCTAGTCACACACTTGATGGCCGAGTGCCTTGAAAATCATGCTGGCCACATGCGGTCTCGGGCCGAGAAGTCTGTTGTGGCCTCTGATTAATGGAACTGACATGAGGAACGTCCATGGGGCTACTATTACCAAACGGCGTCTGGTTTTGCCATAATTCTCGCCCTCTCTGTTCTCCTCTTACCCATGTACAATTATTTCGATGGTCCGGTCTGGCTGTTTTTTTATTCGGGGTTTTGCTTGCTTTTCCCTTGTTTTTTCCGGCATGGTCCGGTTCATTTTTGGACGAGAATCAGGGCTTTCATGAATGATCAACAAGAAGTGGTGTATGGGCGGACTTTTTTGTCTAGGGCATCTTTTGCTTTTTGCTTTTTGCTTTTTGTGTTTTATCATTTTGGTTATACGACAAAAGCTGGATGGTATTTAGTTTTGCATTGCTTTTCTTGGTGGTGCCTTTTGTTTATTGCGATTACTGCTTATGGCTGGAGGGATCTAGGCAGCAGAACCGGTAAAACACCGAAAGAAAATCGGAGGCGAGATCTGATTCTCATTAAGAAACCGAAGGAGCGGATTCACTGACGGTCACGTTTCTCTAGCGATGGGTATCTCAGGTGACGACTGATATTTTCCGAGTCGTCTGGTTTGTAGACCTATTTGATTCGAGTTTTTGGTATAAATTGGCCGGATCTTAGATCCTTTGGAAGGCTCGCAGAGCGAATAGTTGACAGGGAGAAAATACAAGTCTCATTACTATCGGTGTTGGGAATCAAAGATTGTGACAAAGATACGCTAGATTCTCTATTAAAGTAAAAAAAAATGGTGGGCAAGTTACGCCGAATTATGTACAGGATGCCGTTCATTCATACAGGATGCCTAGTCGAAATCTGCGAAGGGCGGATCAGAGCAGCTGGTCTACCAGAGCAACGGCAAGGAGAGCAGAGGTGAGCATGAGGACAGCAGAGCTATGCAGGATGCCAGGAGCCGTTCTTGCAGCGGCCGATTTGATAGACGAGGTCGAGGGACTGGGGGATGCGGATGCTTTAGCGGTTTGAACTGCAGTGATGGCAGTGGCGGAAGAAGAAGTGGTGGGCGAGAAGAAGGGGATGGAGGGAGTGGTGGTGACAACAATTATGTTCTCGCCCGGAGAACAATCGCCGGTCAGGGCCACGAGGGACTGAGTGGTTGCGAGGGCAGCAGGAGTCGAGCCGCAGTTGGTGTATTGAGCCATCCAGATATCGTTGTCGGTCTGGTCGATGACGACTGGAACTGTCAGTTTGGGGGAAAGGAAAAAGGGGGGAGAAAAGAGGACAAGGCGAGAAAGACGAACCATAGGCAGAGCGCAAAAAGGTGTCTCCGAGAAGGGCGAATTGGGAGCTGGCCTGGATGCCGAGCATGCATTGGGAGCCGGATTGGCGGACGAGCTCGTGGAAGGGGACGCTGATGGAGACGCCAGGAAAGGCAAAATTGAGAGTGCCATTGGCGGAAGCGTAGCTGCAGTCAACGTAGTAGAAGCCGCTGGAAGAAGGTCCGTCGACGACACCAAAGTCAGCAGCGATGCTGTCAGCGAGTCCGGCCGGCAGCAGCGTGAGGGTAGAGCCGCTGTCGAGGAAGACGGCCATGGAGCTGTTGGCGTAGGTGGAAGTGACGGCTTTGGTGGATGCGGTTGCCTTGGAAGTGGATGTCTTGGTGGCCGTCTTGGTGGTCGTCTTGGAGCTTCCGGTGCTTTCGGTGCTTTCGGTGTTTTTGCCCGCAGTCAGGCTGACGGACGACATGTTGACCCAGTATCGCGGCACACCGTCGGGACTTTGGGCAGCGGGAATGATGGGCACGCGGGCGAGGGTGCCGGAAAACTTGGACGTGTCGACGCCACCGAAGACGACGACGCCCTCCTGCTCGTCCTTGCTGCCGAGTGCGAGGCTGAAGGCTCTGACCTGGGTGATGTTCTGGTCTGTCAGCTCGTCGACAAAGTTGGCGTAGTTTGTCGTCAGGCCTTGGCCGAAGCCGATGCCGAGGATGCCGGCAAATTCATCCGAGGTGGAGCTGGCGACGCCGAATTGCACCTGCTTCAGCACTGACGTCGTGCCGGGCAGCCCGATGCTGTCGCGAACGTACGAGATGTTGGCTGAACCGATGCCGTACTGCAGCACCTTGGTCTCGTTCAGCGGCGTGATCGTGCTCGAGTTCGATGTGTTGAAGTTGCCGACAGCCTCGCAGAAGCTCGCGTCACTCAGCGATAGGCCGTCGCATGTCGGGTTGAGCCACAGCTCAAACGAGCCCGTGTCCAGCTGGACAAACTGCGGCTGTGCCGGCGTGCCAAAGCTCACTGTCGAGGAGGGTCTCCTGTCAGTATATATTACGTAAGCAAACCGTCTCTGGTCTCCGCCAGCACTCACACTTGGCATAGTAGGCCACGTCGGACCGGTTGGCTAGGGCTAGCTCCACGGCGCGCTTGCCAAAGTAATTGGTGTTGGTCGAGTGCACAATCTGCATATGGATGCAGCCATCGTGCATGTCGGCGGTGCCACTGACGGTTGTCGGGGCCACTTTGACCGCTTTGGTCGGCGAGGCTGCGGCGACACCGGCGGCCAACAGGACCAGGGCGGAGGACAGTCGTGCCATGGCTGGGAAGAGAAGACGGGCGCTGCTGTCACTGTCGACACGGCTGCATGGGTGGCAGACAGGTGATGATGGAGGCGTATCCGGTCGTTGCCGGAAATTAAGAGATTACTGGCCTGCCGTAGAGAAAGAGAGAGAAAAGAAGGAACGAGAGAAGGAGCAGGAGAAGGAGAAGAAGAGGAAGACGAAGGAGAGCAAAGAAACAAATAGGAGCAGATTGCAATGAGGGTCCCGTCGAGCACCTGGCAGCGGACAAATGAGAAAGAGAAAAAGGAGCGGATCGCTGATGCAAAAATACAATATCCAGATTATGAAAGAGAAAGACCTGTTGTAACCGATGCCAGATCGCGGGGAGGGGGGCCGGCCTCCTTTTGTGTGGTCTCGGAGCCGCTGGCGGTGGATTGACGCCGAGACGAGAGAGAGTGAAGAGAGATGAGAGAAAGAGGCGGCTTGGCAGAAAACGGACGGACGACCAGCGAAGAGGAGAAGGCGCCTGTTGGAGATGCGGGCAGAGGAAGAGACGGAGAGGATGGCCACAGCACAAGAGCCGAAAAGGAGGCCGTCGTTGGCCCGCGAGGCCGAAACGCTCTCTTCGTGCAAGCAGCTCTCGCTCAGGGGTCGAGAGGTCCGACCAAGAGCCTCTGCAAGTGGAGACGAGGCGCAGCGATGCCTGCGATTGGCTGGCGCTCGGTGAACAAGCCAGGGGCTGATGCAGCGCCGTGGTATCTTGGCTTCCATGGTCAGGGAAAGAGGGATCGCATGCGTGCCTTCCCAAAGCAAGATACTACGTACGCGAGCAATACAGAATATGGGTCTTGCGGTACCACATCGCAAGGGCAATGACGGGTGAGTCCAAATCGGCATATTGGTACGGAGTACTCCGTGCTCGGCATCTTACTTTCTGCTTGTCCTTTCATTTGTCCCCGCCTTCCTGTCGCAGCGAGTCCCCCATCCGGCTCCCAAGCCTCTTGGCAGCTACATAATAGTAGATGCCCAGCCTGCCCAGACACAGACGAGGCAATCATCTTTTGTATTGCCATGTAACCCAAATATAGGACGCCAATCGTCTCCCTTGGCTGAAACGGGGCGCAGATCAAACCAGTAAGGGCTGTGGGGCTGACCAAGAGCTAAATGTGAAAGAACTCAAAAAGCGTCAAAGGCACAGGTAGACGCGCCGGACGTGCTTGGCCGTGTCGCCAAATGCTGGTCAGGTCTGTTCCGGGCGCATTTACTGACCTGTCAGATGGCTCTGCTCGTTGAGAGGGGATAGGCATAAAAAATATAGAGAGTGGAATCATACGAAATGGGCATGTACAGCTTCCATGGCAAACCGGTCAGGCGGGCGCCTAATTTCTACACTGTCCCGTTATAATGCTGTACAAGGCGCTGGTCCTTCAACAAATACCAACAGCCCGTATAGCTCAGTGGTAGAGCGTATCACTTGTAAGCCAAGTGCAAATGTGCGAGATGCTAAGGTCCATGGTTCAATCCCATGTGCGGGCAGTTTTTTGCGGTTACCAGAGATGTTTTTTTTGTGGATCGTGCTACTCACCACACTTCGGGTAGCTCCTTTTTTGACCTTACTTTTCAATGTGCGGCGTGTACTTGTGCTGCCTCGGTAGGGCTGCTGGAAGCACCGACATCTTCCACAAAGAGCGACGCATGCGTCAGTTTTGCAACGGACTTCTTGGCCTCGAGGCTGCATTGTGCTGCCGCTTGCGTGCAACTTCCTCGCCCGCATATGCTGCATGCCATTGCAGCGTTTCTTCTATGCACGACAGTCACATCAGGCTCCCCAAAGGACAGCTGTGGGTTGTCTTTTTTGTGTATTTCCGTGTGATTCCCTGTCTGATGACATTGTTTCCCTCTGATCCGTCCCGTCCTCTATCTGTCTCCTTCTCCCTTCTCTTCCTTCTTTTGTCTTCAACACGTCTCTCTCCTGCTGGACGACAAGCTGTGTCTGGCGCCCATCGAGAAGGCCAAGGCAAGGACGAGAACATACCCACAGGCCGGACTTCCGTGACTGATTTTTTCTTGGATGGCACGCGTTGGATATCGGCACAGGATTAGGTGTGTCACAACTATGAGAAATAGTAAACCTACTTCTGCAGCCACAGGTTAGTCAGCTCCGTACCCAGGTTTCTGGGCCATGTAAATGTCTGCCGCCGGGCGGCTGGATCGAGAGCTTTGAGCCGACGGCCAACTACGCCTCGGACGACGACAGCCTGCCGCCGACATCGGCCTTGGCCCAATGGGGGCCGCTCTTCTGGCAAGGCGGCGAAAAGATCGGTCTCTCCGAGCCGCCGGCTTCATCGACCTGCATGTGACCGTCGTTTAAAACCCCCTTTGGGGCTTGGCCAAAAGACCCCAAGCAACGCGAAATCGGCCTCCTCTGTATGGCCTCCCTCCTAAACGATATCGACGGCTTCATCCTCTTCCTCACCATTGTCCTAGACTGCCCGCCAAGAGGTCCTGGTCTATGAGGCTCACGTACGCAAGATGGTGCGACACCAAATACCACGCCTACGTCACAACTCAGGTCGTAAACGCCCGAAAGCCGTTCCGAATCAGGATACACTTATAATGTCTCATATGTTATGATGACAAAGAATTTTTTGACAAACCTCTTCATAAGTATTAATCTGAATGCCCAATATGAAAACTATGTATGCCATCTATTTTGATGCTATATGGTATCTTTGGCAACTCTTAAACGCGACCGGATTCAGTTTGACCAACGCCTCCCAAGACAGACTTTTGGCCCCTTTGACCGTTGAAAATCGACGGCAAGCAAAAGCAAATCGCCGAGCGTAATGTCGTATGGCTAGACTCCCTCTCTGACCCAGACCCTCCCTTCTTCCACATCGTTTCCCGATCGTGCAGCTCTGCCGAGTGCTTGGAGCCCTACTCCGCCGTTCGTCGAAGCACACTGGCCATGGATAAGTGGATTGGTACCGTCGGCCGCTCAATGTCCATGCTCCTGCTTGGGCCATGGCGAGCTCCCGGCGTGCGCACATTCACACGCCCGCCACGAGACGCAATGCGCGTCGGCATGTGCATGTTGTCGCTGTCACTGTCCGAGTCGTCTTCAATCACAGCGTCTGGGTGCTCGTACGTGGCGAGCCGCGAAAAGTAGTCGGCCAGGCCGTCGACGCTGGGCGTCCCGATAATGGCATCGTAGTTGGGCGGCGGAGTGGTGATGTCCATTGGAATCGGGGGGGAGTCGTCTGCGTCAAAGGCCGGCGGAGCAAACGACGGAACCCGCAGCAGATGGATGGGCCGCGGGTTTTCAAAGCCCTCTTGGTCGCTGTGTGCCGTCCGCTGTCGGTCCTGGCTGTCGCTGGCCGGACCGTCTGTCATCGAGCGACTGTCGCCACCCGGCGTGTCCACCTGTTGTGCCTGCAGGTGGGCGGCCTGAGGAGGCATCGGCATGTGCTGTTGCTGTGTCCCCAGACTCAGGTCGAACGATGTCGTCCGGCTGGCCGGCGTGGGTGTGCTGGGGGCATCGTGGCACCCACACGTGGCCGACGCGCGATGCTGGGCTACTACCGACGGATTGATGCCCGAGTACTGAGGCAGAGCTGTATTCGCCTGTGTCGCCAGGCAGCTCAGGATCGTAAACGGGGAGTCGATGCTGATCTCAAAATGGCGACGACGCTTTCCCTCCGGATCGTCTGCGTCTAGACGTGAGATTCGCATGACCACCTAGTTCTCTGATTAGCAATCTGTGTGCTGTATTCGTCCAGACTTGAAACTAACCTTGATCCAGTGGTAGACGTTGGCATTGCGCCAACTGCAGTCGGGATGCAGACGGAGCATTGGGTTCTTAGCCATCTGGTCGCATGTCGGGATCTGCACGTTCATCTCAATCTCGGTGGCGCCCCAGTACGCCTCCAGTCCCAGGTCCAGGTCGCCCAGCAGGTTCTCTGACGGCTCCGGCAATGGCATAGGGCTGCTGCGCGTGCCCGCAGCCTCCGCCGCACGGCGACGAGCAGCCGTGGCCCGGGCTTCAGCACGCTCTGACGGAGACAATTCTCCGCCGCTCATGTAGCTGATCTCGCTGCTGGCATACTTGTCTTCCAGCGGCTTGCCAGCGCTCTTCTCAAACAGCAGGATCTTGCGCCCGGGGTCTTTCCTAGTAACGCGACGATTGTTGGTCCAGTACTCGGCCGACTCCGTGACGAAGACTTTCAGCCTGTGCAGCTGCACCTTGGCCAGCGGCGTCAGCTTGAAGGCGATGGGGATCTTGCCGCCAATGGGGAAGGACTTTCCCGAGATCACAATGTCGTAGAACAGCTGGTCCTCCCACTGGCGGCTGATGGAGATGGGCTCGACCGTCTCGAGCGACAGCTGGTCGGGCACCCGGATGATATTGACCTCCTTAGCGCCGTGCAGATTCGGCTTGAACGCACCCGCACGCTCGACCATCGCTTGGAGCTCCCACTTGACACAGCCGTACGGCAGCTTGATCGACTCGAGCTGGTGGTGGTCGATGGGCAGCTCAAACGAGTATTCATAGGTGCCCGGGGCGAAGACCTTGAAGCCCTTCGCCTGGACGGGATGGGCCAAGGGCGAATCACCCTTGCCAAAGCTCCGCGACTGCACCTGCTGCAGCGAGAGGCGCTTGATCTCCTTGGCGGTCATGCCGGTCGAGGCAGGGCTGTCAGTGGGTCCCTTGAGTCTGTAGGTGCATTGGTTGCCGTAGGGCGTTTCCCAGGACTCGTGCATGGCGTGGAAGAAGGTCAGAGCCTGGGTGCGCAGCGACTCTTCTTCGTAGAGCTCGAGCTTCAGGGGCGGAATGCCCTCCGGCCATTCGGTGCGTGCGGTGCCGTGCAGCTTAAGAGTAACGGCCCGTATCTTGATGTTCTTCGTCACGTTCAGCAGCAGCGTGCCACGCAACAGAGCGGTGCCATTGTTGCTCCGACGGGACGCCTGACCTTCGTGGTCGAAGCCGGTCAGAAAGACGGTGGGCTCGGCCAGGAATATGGAGCATGAGAGGCCGCCGCCAGTGGCGATGGGCTTGTCGGCAATCTCGGCCACAGATGAGGTCATGATATTCTTGACAGAAGAGCGCACGGACATGAAGCTATTGCGGTTGGGCAAGGCGCCGGGAGAGCCATGACGCTCTTGACGCAGGGCGTCCACCACTACAGGTGTGCGCGGCATCGGGGAGGACACAGCTACCTGGGCATACGCGGGAGGATGAATGGGGCTGTGCGGTGGTTGTGATTGTGGTTGGGGTTGCGACTGTGATGTAGGTACTGCAAGGGCCTTGGATTTGGGGCCGGAAGACGCGGGACGTGGTGCTGAAGGCTGGGTGATGAGGGCAGCCAGAAGCTGGCCGAGAGTTTTGGATGCAGGCGGCGAAGCAGTATGGACGAGAGAGGTGGTGGGGCTAGCCTTTCTGAGGAAATGGGCGGCGAGCTTATTCTTGGGGGTGCCTCTCTTTAAGCTTTTGTTCTTGGCCTTGTTCTGCGTCTTTTTTGACGGTGCGGTTTTTCTGGCGGGTCGGCTGTCGCCAGGCTGACGGTTGGTGGTCCTCAATTCCGTAGGGATGTAGCCAGGAGGATAGGTCAGGATGCGAATTGTGTGGGGACGACGCTGACGAGGCCTGATATGAGGCGCAGGGAAGGCCGGAATGGCGGACTGGCGGGGTCGATGGTCGAGGGGATTTCTCGGGTTGTAGCTGATAGCGCCGTTGGTGGATGTTCTAGAGCTGTAGCGAGAGCCCGAAGGTTGCCGGCTATTGGGGGCTGCCATGGGGAGTTAGTAAGGGCCCGGCCTGGGGAACAGTTCTTAATTGAAAGACAGCTGTGGAGACGGTGGGAAGAGGCAAGCAGTACGACTGGCCGATGGGCTGTTTATATGCAGGGCACAGGAAGGACGAACATGTTCCGTCGACGTCCGAAGACTGGGAATCGTTCGCAGTTCGAACTTCCAACGACATGGTAACCGAGGACGGGAGGAGGGCTAGGGGAGGCCGGACGGGTGTGTTGGGTTGAGGTCAATGGGACAAAGGACGAGGAACGAGAAGAGGAGCTGAAAACGGTCGTGGCTGAGGAGCACAAACGGGCAAATTGGCGGGACAAAAGGGCAAAAGGACGAAGGGTGGGCGAGGGCCGCAAACGTGAAAAGGGAGAATGGGTAAAGAGACAAAAAAGCAGAGAAACAGATACGTACGACAGATAAAGACGACAGAATTCAGTCCTGCGATGAAACCATGCAGTGATGGCGATCTGGGTTGAGAAGGAGTCGTCAGGCGACAGAGCCCAAGTCTGCTGGCTTCAGGCCTGGGTGACAGGAAAAGTCAGGCACAGAGAAAAAGGACGTGGCCGGCGACGGCTGGTGGACGAGGCAGGGGCGACCGGACAACTGGCGGTCAGAGTGTGGGCGATCTTGGAGGGCAGGAGCGACGGCGTGTGCAGAGTGCACGGTAGGTTTGAGCAGAAGAGTGACGTCTGCAGCCTCAGCCCAGACAGACACACGCCAACGGCTCTGACGTTTTGGTACGCTAGCGGAGTCGGTGTTCCGGCCTGCCGCAAGCAGGGGGAAGGAGCAACGAGCAGACGGGGAAAAGAGCCCAAAAAGGGGCGTATAAGAAGGCTGCTAGGAAGGCACGTTTCTCGCCGTGTCGCTGTGCGACGAGGACTGGCAGAGACGGCAGGAAGGACCGGCAGACGGCCGTTGCTTCTGTTCCGGGCTGTGCGGTGCTGGATGCGGGACAAGCATTCCAGCGAGGCCGTGGTCGCTTTCGGCACTGAGGGGCCCCGTATTCTTCGATAAGTGGCTAGCGCAGGCAGCTGGTGAGAGAAATGTGGGCGCGGCTGAGAGGTGGCAGGAGAGAGAACAGCAGACGGGCACTGATAGCAGATCCGACGACGCTCGACGCACAACAGACGACGCAGCAGAGACAAGACAAATATTGGCATCCAGCACATCGCCGCGCCGGACTGCCGGACACTGCAGATCTGTTGTTTCCATGCACATGGCCGGCCGCTGGCACATTTGTGGGGCTTGGCATCATGACCATGCTGGATCGACGATGGCAGATGTGCAGCCCGATGGTTTACGAACGGAGGATGCCTCGGTGCTGGCGGCTTCTTCCGTTGTCGCGCCGAACGGCGTGACAGCACGGTACGTACGAGTACGCGTATCGTAGGCCTGTCTCTCTTGTTGCCCAGGACAGCGTCCACGTCACCGTGGCCGCAGGGCAGCCGGCCAAGAGGTATAAGCCTCGATCGTGGCGAGTCTCTGCCCTTTGCTGTGGACGGCCAGAGCATTACAGAGTATTATCTCTCTTGCTCGGCTCGGCCTTGTGCTCACGGGACGCATCACCTCCCAAAAAGCATGCAATCCCGGTTCGCCGCTACCAGCCGGCCTGCAGCACTGCCCCTGTCGCTTCATTTTTTTTCCCTTTTTTTCCTTTTTTCCTTTTTTCCCCTTCTCATTCGTATTTGCTCAGCGTCACGCGCGCCCGAAAGATCCGACCGGCCGCGCTGATTCGACAGTGCAACGCCAGCAACAGCAGATACTAGCATATTACTCGTACGGAGTAAATGCCGAGGGAAAATAAGCTAATGAGAGAGATCAGGCCAGCGGACAGGTCGACTTGCAGTCGGTTCATGACGCTCTTCCGAAGCAGAGGCCTTTTGACATCCGTATTGCCCTCTAACTCGCTCGTACAAGCACTCGCACTCTGCTGCAATACGTCATGATCCCGATCGGCCGGTTGAGCCACGCATGAGCGACGAGGATTGCCGCTAGCGGGTGGCAACAGTAGCTAGAGGGAGAAGCACAGGGAAAACGGTCGTGTGCCAAGAGAAAAAAAAAATAGGACGAGCCGGTCGGGCTTGTGAAAGCGCACAGGCCGAAAAGCGAGCCAACCGATGGTCGCCGATAGGATCGGCCTGGCAGAAGCTTGACAACGGGTTCTGGATAAGATTCTGCAGGCTGGCCATGATGGTCAGATCCTTGTCGTTTGAGCCATGTGTCTGCGAGACAACATGTGACAGGATTAGACACATGTGAATGAATCAGTGATTTAGACGTAGGCGTAGGTTAGACTTGTGTCAGACTTGTTCTTTCAGACTTGTGTTTAGACTTGTGTTCAGAGTGCTTGACTGTACATTAGACTTGTATCTTACTTCGTACAAGAGTCTTGAAACTGTCTATCCTCGTATTACCAACTAACGGCTTCGCTCACAGCGCTCCAATGAGATATGATATCTGAAATGTGCATTGAAGCGTGTCTCGTACTACAGACATTGTCTCTATAGCTCGTACTCTGTACTCTGTACAACCAGTAAACCCATGATAGAACTCCACTCGTACACTTACCTCTCAATCACACACTCTCTCTATCCACCCTCTCAATCCCCCCTCCTCTCTCATCCCGCTCACTCACCACACTCTCACACACACTCTCTCTCCTTCTCTCCCTCTCATTCTACCCACCCCTCTCTCATCCCCCTTCAACTTCATCTCTCCCTCTCTCACACACTCTCTACCCCTCTTTCCCCCGTCACCCATCCACAAGATCCCCCACATACCCAAGATGCTCTCGACCATCGTCCACCACCCGCGCATACTCCAGCAGCAGCCGCCACACGTACAGCCGCATATCCTCGCGCCGCAGCACCGCCTCGGCCCAGCGCCGGCCCTCGTCCGCGATCCGCTGGGCGGCCGCGTCGCCGTGCGCTCCCCCCAGAAAGTAGTCCATCACGCCGTAGAGGTCGACATACGAGCTGTCCAGCGGCGCGTAGTGTGCCCACGCCACCAGCCGGTCGTCGTGCCACTCCGCGTAGATCGTCGCCTTGAGCGGCAGGCTCGATGACCGCAGAAAGCTGCGCCACCGCGCGCTGTACGAGTTGCCGTCCACGTCGGGCAGAAACTTGCAGTCGTACTGCTCGCGCATCGGCACCGCTGCCACCACGGCCATGTGCGGGCTCGTGTAGCCGCACGTCAGCACCTTGGCCTCGGTCTCGGCCACGCCGTCGCCATCGCCGTCCACGGCCTCGTGCTCCAGCGGGAAACATTCCAGGTCCACGAACCCGACGTCGGCAAACCCGTCCAGCCAGCCGCCCAGACGGCCCTCCTGCTGCGCTGGCACGTCGTAGACGGCAGCCGCTTCGGCCGGCAGGGCAAACGACGGTCCGGCACGGCTGCTGCCACCCTCCACCGCCGCCACCGTGCTCCCGTTCGCCATCTGCACCCACCGGTGCCGGTGGAAATGCCACCAGTTGTCGACCTTGTTGCGGCCGCCCGACGCGGTGCCGCGCCACACCATGCGGGCCCGCTTGTCCGCCCAGGCGGCCCCGTGCGCCTCCCCGCCGCTGTAGAACGGGTCCTCGGTCAGGTACATGGCGCCCGGGATCAGGATCTCGTTGTTCTGCGGCAGCTTGCAGCCCGCAAACATCGGCAGCAGCTCGTGGCTCGTCGACATGCTGACGCTCTCGATAAACGTCCCGTGCATCCCACGCAGGTGCGGCTGCAGACAGGGATCGCGGGCGGCCGTCGCGTTGGCCACATACCCGGCTCGCGTGTAGGCTGTGCTGGCCGTCGCCGGATATTCGACCGGACCGTCAAAGGTTGTCAGTGCCGACACATTGCGCGCCGGACTGTCGGGCGGACAGGCTGCGCGCAGGTGGTCCCAGAACCGGTTGGCCTCGTTGGTGATCCAGGGGTGCTGGTAGGGCTCGTTCTCAGGCTCGTCCACGTCGTCCACCCCCTTCCAATTCCCCGTCACCTCCCCGGGTGCCGGCATCTTCCTCGACGCCCGCTCTGCCGCCACGTACTCGCCAATCTTCTCCCATGGCACCAGCAGCCGGGTCTCGTCCATCACGTTGACCACCATGTCCAGGTCCGGCAGATGTGCTGCGATCTCCTGCACCAGCACCGTCCAGTGCTGGATCCATGGCGGTCGGCCCTCGTTGTCCGTCACAAATGACGCCGTCCCGTTGCGCACCCGGATCACCTGCGGCTGTGTGCGAGTCTGCCGCCGCATCGTCGCCGGGTCCAGCGCCCACAGCGGCGCCACATCGTCGTAGATGCGGTCGAAGAAGTCCTCCACCACCACCGCGTCCCAGCACTGCGCTGCCTCCCACCAGGCATCAAAACCCGGTGGCGGGTGGCGCTGTCGTCGCTCACGGTACCGCGAGGCTGCCTGGGCCAACGTCAACGACCGCCGCCCCAGCATGCTTTTGAAGTGCGTCCGCGCCTCGTCGATCAGCCCGTCGATCGGGTGACTCGTCCCCGAGTCGGGGGGAGCAAGCTCTGGTGCCGTGTAGTTGCTGCTGCTCCAGCTGCTCCAGCTGCTCCAGCCGCCACCTCCTTCGTTTATACAGCTGTTGTTCTTGCTGCTCGCCTGCCCTTCTGTCTGACCAGCACTCTTGACCTCGTCCCAAGGCCGTGGTGGTGCCGGCAGCCATGCTGGCCTTCCGTACAGAAGAATGGTATAGGCCGTAAAGAGAGCAAAGATGCCGACGGCCAGCAGCCGTGGCCAGCTGTGGATGGCGAGCATCGTTGTGCAGGGGCTGGGCCGGGAACAATAGAAATCAACCGCCTGCCCTGGAGATCATTCGTGTCGGTCCATGGGATAATAAACCAAGAAGTTAATCCGCAGAAGTGCGCCGTAAATCAGACAACACAATGAGACAATAAAATCAGCGGAAGGAGTAACACGCCAACTGGCAGCTGCGCCACAGCTCCTTCCCAGTACTTACGTCTCGCCTGCGGACGCGTGTTAGTCGATGTCTTCTCGTGGGGCCAATGGCAGCGCTTGCATGTGATCCGCTTACCAGACCCATCGCCGCTGACTAACTAGCGCTCGTCCATTTTCGACGCGACGCGCCAAGACGGCCAGAAGCACTCCATCGACGACTATTCACGAGCATCATTTCGGAGAGGCCACACACGCAGCCTCGCCACCGCCCATGTCTCCCGTCCAGCACCCTGCCCGTGCCCATGGAGTCAGAGTCAGCCATCTCGGCGCAGCCTCTGCAGGGTGTTGTTCTCTGCTGCACCAGCATTCCGGTTGATCTAAGAGTGTGTTCTTTTGTCTTAGGTCTTTTGTCTTAGGTCTTTTGTCTTTCCGTCTTTTCGTCTTTGCGTCTTGTCTTCTTGCTGCCCCTGCTAATTCCCCAGACCGACCTAGCCAAAAAAGTCGTCGAGCTCGGTGGCATCTACAAGAACGACCTGACCCACGAAGCCACCCACCTAGTTGTCGGCGACTACAACACGCCCAAGTATCGTCATGTTGCGTGCGAGCGGCCCGACATCCAGCCCATGTGTGCCGGTTGGGTCGACGCCGTGCTGAACCTGTGGACCCAGGATGCGCCCATTGACCTGGACGCGCTCGAGCACGAGTGGCGTCTGCGCACCTTTGAGGCCCACGGCGGGCTACCGGCCGGACCGGACGGACGGCCAGTCGACCGCCAACGGCTGCTCTGCTCGATGACCGGATTCGAAGAGGGTGAGACTCCTCTCCGCCTCTCTGCTGACTCTCCTCTCCGTCTCCTTCCATGCTCACTCTCCAGACGACCGCCAGAAGATCATCGCGGCCATCGTCGACAACGGCGGCGTCTATAGCGGCGACCTCACGCGCGATGTCACCCACCTGATCGTCAACCGGCCCGAGGGCAAGAAGTACTCTGCCGCCATGCACTGGGGCATCCGCGCCGTCTCTGTCGAGTGGCTGCATGACTGTGTCACTCGCGGCATGATCCTCGACGAGGCCAAGTACGACCCTCGCCTGCCCCGGGAGGCCCGCGGCCAGGGCGCCTGGACCCATCGGACCGCCGCCGAACGGGCTTCCGTGCTGGGCAAGCGCCAGCGCGATGCCTCGGCTGCTGCTGCTGCCGCTGTCTCGGCTGCCGAGAAGCACGGCCTCCGCAAGCTACGCCGCACCGCCAGCAAGAAGCTGGCCGTTCAGCGTGACCACCTCTGGGGAGACATTCTGGGCAAGCCGTCTGAGAAGCAGGAGCAGGATGAGGAGGAACAGAACCAGAAGAACCAGCAGCAGCAGAATCAGCAACAGAATCAGCAACAGAATCAGCAGAACCAACATATCCCGGTTGATGTCGCAACAATACCGCCTAGACAGCCTCCCACATTCACTGCTGCTCCCTCGGTTCCCTCGGCTTCCTCTTCCACCTCCGACATGCTGTCTGCTTCCGTCTTTTATATCCACGGCTTCTCCCCGTCGCGCACCCAGATCTTGGTCAACGCTGTCGCCACCATGGGCGGCTCCGTGGCCGCTTCACTGGTTGACATGGCAGCTCTCGCAGCCAGCCGCCCGTCCACGACGACCGTCCGCCAGCATGTCATCGTACCCCAGGACGCCTCGCCAGCATCGATTCCGGCTGTCGCCAAGGACGTCGTGCTCGTCACCGAGTTTTTTGTCGAAAAGTGTCTGCACAAGAAGCAGTATGTGACCTTTGACGACGTCGACGCCTCCGTCATCGGCCGCCCATTTCCCGTCTTTCCCATCCCCGGTTTCGGCGCCCTGTCTGTTTGCACGTCCGGCTTCACCGGCGTCGACCTCAACCAGATCGACAAGACCGTACGCCAGCTGGGTGCTCGTTACGAGGAGCGCTTCACTGCCCAGTGCTCCGTCCTGGTCGTCACTGCTCTGTCGGCCGTGCGGAAGCAGAAGCTCGAGCTGGCTTTGGCCTGGAAGGTCCCCGTCGTCGACGCCCGCTGGCTGTGGGCCTGCATATCCTCTGGCACGCGCATCCCCATGGACGCCTATCTGTTCCCGCAGCTGCGACAGGATCTGTCGGCCGTCTCCAAACCGGAGCCAGAGCCGGAACCAGTGCCCGATCCTGCCTTGACCGTTCCCACGCTCGTGGTCGGCAGTCCCAACACGCTGCTGGCCGCACCTCCGCTTGGTCTCGCGGCCGAGGGTCAGGTCCAAGAGCCCCCTGTGCGACCACCGACGCCTTCACCTCCACAGGTGCCCAGACGGCCGCTGGATCGCGTGCTTAGCGAGATTGCTGATTCAGCCGCCGGTGACTCGGACGACGATGCAGCCATCGACAGCTCGGCTGAAGTTGGTGCGAGGCAGCAGCAGCAGCAACAGCAACAGCAGCCGCAGCACCGCCAGCAACACGGCCTGAGACGTAGCGCGACTGCAGCAGCGACCGTCCACAGGCACGTAACGATGGGACGCGTCTCGAGCGATGGTCTGGCCGCTGTCCACCAGCAGGTCCTTTCAGCCCACCGGCCGGTGCCAGTAGGCATCTCGATCGGCGACCTGATGAAGGATGATAGCGGTGGCGCAAACGGGTTCCATCGGCGGGCGGGTCTCTCGCGCGCGGTCAGCGCCATCTCTGTGTCCGTGTCGGCGTCAGCAGGCGACTCAGTAGTCGATGTGCCAGCTGGCAGCGGCAGGTTGGCAGCGCCCGTGGCCGACATGGAGTCGGCCAGCCAGCCGCTGACGCAGATCCAGGTACAGTACATTGACCCGGACGCTGAGATGTACCGGGAGCAGCTGATGCGGAAGATCCTGGGCGTGTCAGCCGTGCCGGAGACAGAGAGTGGCGGCAGGGGGTGGTGGTGATGGTGATGGTGGTGCAGTCGGGATGATGGCTGTCGAGCGAGACCTGCCAACGGCAGCAGCAACAGCCTCGACGGTGACTAGGAACGAACGACGCATGTCTGATAGCGGCCAGTTGGTGCGAAGAAGCAGCCGGCTGCGTTAGCGAGAAGAATAAGCGAGAGGATAACCAAGTGAAAAAAAAAAAAATACCAGCATCTGCAGCCAGCATTGGATGGAGTAAACAGAGAGCATTGCTTTTAGCGGGAGAGTATCTCAGCGGCAATTGGGCCGTTGCATGCACGAATACATGGCAGTGTCAAAACGGTTGGTATCCAAAAGGGGACCGGATTAAGCAACAGCTAAGCGACTTCTGGCCTATCCTTTCTTCCGTCTTCTACATCAGTTGTACAATTTTCATCTCCATTTTCGTGCACGAATCGCAAGAGGGGCTATCATATCCATCAAGGCCTTGAAGACATGATCTTACAAGAGAATAGGAGACAGCAAAAAACAATTTCTGAACAAGATTATTGTCACGTGAGGACCAAAAAAGGAAACAAGGGGAAACATAAACAACATCTCGCACTCAAGACTAGAGCCCGTGGGCAGCCTCGCTGAGAACCGTCAGGAGACTGGCGGCGGCACCGCCAATACCTGCAGCACTGATCGTGTCGCGAAGCCTCGTCCGGTCCTCGCGTCGGTTCCCGTGGTCGTCTCGGTGATCACGGTAGTCCCGAGACGAGGCATTGCGCTGCGAGCGTTCGTACCGATGGTCCCGATCTCGGTCCCGGTCTCGGTCCCGTTCGCGATCCCGACCGTGGTCTCGGTCTGGGTCTCGGCTTCGGTCATGATCCCGGTTCCGGTCTCGGTCTCGGTCTCGATCACGGTCCCGATCTCGCGTTCGCTCCCGGACCCGCTCGCGCTCAGGCTCGCTGTCCTCAGACGCCCGTCGCCTGTGCTGGTCCCGGTCGTGACCGTAATGCCGGCCTCGGGCCCGGTGTAGATCATCGTGGCGGTCGCGGTCGCGAACGCGACTGTGGTCCTCCCTTCGCCTGCTTCGATCCCGCTCACCCTCCCGATACCGGCGACGGCTGCCGTCCTGGTGCCGATGTCTTCCGCTCTCTCGTCCATACTCACGATCACTGTCGCTTTCGTGCTCGTGGTCTCGGCCAGAGAAGCGCTTCCTAGACCGCGAGCGCCCAGCAGCTTCTCTGCTGACTTTCACCTCCACCGTCTTGCCGTCCCTGTACCGCAACTCGTTGGTGTTCCGGTTCTTCAGTATAGACTTTGGCCGTTCACCCGTTTTGGCTGCACCGGCTGACATGAATTCATCACTGGCCTGGCTGGCTGGCGGCGACACAATGAAAGGATAGGTGAGCTTGCCCTCCCCGCTAGCATCCTTCGTCTCATCTCTCCTCTTCTTGTCACCGTCGGCATAATTCTCCTTCTGCGAGTGCGAGTTTTGGCTCGCAGACGGAAACGTTCTGGCCTTGCCGTTGAGCATATCAGGCTCGTCGCCGGCAGCTCCTGCTTTTGGGGGGCTGCCGGTAGTCGGCATAGACTGCATTCGGTTCAGCTTTGCCACACCGTCCGAATGGGTCGAGTCCGAAAACGATCCTCGCGCATTTTCAGAACGTCCATCGCGGCCAGAGCGTGTATCCCGCGCTTTCCGCGCCTCGGCGCTTTGTCGTGCATATTCGTATATTTCGTCGCGACTAAGCCGGCCCAAAACGGCTACAAAGTCTGGTCGTGCTTCATAACGCACACCGGCTTTCTGTAAAACTTCAGGGGACACAAGCCGCCGGCTGATCTTGGTCCAGGTGGCATCCGGCGCTATTTCTTCTCCCTGAGAGTCTGGTGCAAGTCCAGATTTAGGCATGCGTTGAGCTGAGTTTGGAAGACTGCTGCTGGCAGGAATGATGATCCCGAAAGCGGCTGATGGATGAACGACAGGTGAGTCAGTGTAGGGGGGTGGTGGGGATGCCAAGGCCGGGGGAGCTGGTGCGGGAAGCAGGGGTATATGCCGGGGCGAGGTAGACAGCAGGTCGGTCGGAGACTGTGGTGAGTCTCGTGCAGCTTTGCCAGTCCCATGATAGTCTGTCGCCAGTGGATTCTCTGGAGATGGCGACACTAGCTGTGGGTAGAGGTACGTAGCAGCCACACGGGTTGAGAGCTGGTCTCGATTTCGTGTGTCAAGCGCAACAATATCTCTTGTTGACATCAGGCAAAGGTCTTGCGAGGTTGCACCATCATCTGAAGAGGATGGTGTGGACTCATGAAGCGATGATGTTGACGACGAGCAGCCGAGTAACGATGGTGAGCGGCTTCTTCGGGTTGAACTGAGGGTTTGAGAAGCAGAAGCAGCATGTGAGGTGGTCACCTGCATATGCGAAGGTGACGGTGGCGATTGTGGATTCTGGTTTGAGTCTCGACGATGGCGCGATTGCCCAGCTGCCGATTGTGTGGAAGGATGAGGGCGGTATGGAATGTACTCGTTTAGAGGCGGCGCAACCGGCCTGCTCTCTTTCACAGAGAGTGGGAACTTTTCGTTCAGCATATCTGGCTGCAAGACTTCTTTGGGGCTGGATGCATTGTAGGAAGACCGGCGCAACGATGCCGAGTTGGCTGAGCCTTGGTCCATGATTGCAGGGGGGGCCGATGATGAGCTCGTTAGGGATGCTGGGAAATGCTGGGGAGAAGATGCAACGCCTTTATCTGGGGGCGGCGAGTGCGGTCGGCCCACGAAAATAGGGTAATGCACCTCTTGTATGTACTTGCGCAGAGCCTCCTGTGCGGTGTTTGTCAGTGAAACACTACCACAAGCGTACGAGTTCATTTGTATTTTACGTACCGTGTGTTTGCTCAGACTGTCACCCGAGCAGCCCTCATATATGAGCTCAAAGTGAAAGACGTTCCACAGTTCATCCACCGAGACGGGGCCAAGAGAGCCGACCAAGAACTGATTGGAAGTCAGGCGAGCAGCTACTGCGTCGGCTTTGTCCTTGATGTCCTGCAACTGCTGCTCATCGGATGTGAGTACAGGAGAGATGGGGGGGAGCGAGGCTGTTGGCGTGTGGGGCAGTTCGGCAGTTCTGTGCCGTTTCACATAGTTCAAGACGCCAACGATGTCGGCGGTCTGAGCGTCGATCTTGGCGCGGGCAAGGGCAAGCACGGCTTCTTCCTGGCCTATAAATGCAACGGGAGCAATGGTGTCCGTCTCGATGGCGCGGTCGACGGTGCTGTTTCTTCTTGGGCCGTATGTTTCGAATATGGACTCCAGCTGCTTGAGAGTAGAGTCGCAGTCTTCGAGGACAGGCGTCAAGTGGCGCGTGAAGACGCTGTCATCCTGTTGAGCAGTCAAGTGCAGAAGGCTGTGGGGGTTTTGAGCCTCGGCGTGCAAGTCGCCAAGACTAGAGTGCAGAGCACGGACGGCAGTTGTGACGTCGCTGTAACGGGGCCCGGATCCGCGAGCACGTTGGTAGACTGACCGAGCTTGAGCAACTACAGCTTCGACGCTAGCAATACTGGTACCGTTTCCGCCAGCTGTCATTCCTGAGACTGCAGGCGAATGTGCAATAGAGGTGGTAAGGTTTGTAAGAATGACAGGGAATGTAAGTGAGAGTATGGGGTGATGAAGAAAATAGTAAGATAAGGGTCGACGAAGCAGAAGTCGGAAAGGCTGATGAGAATGAGATAGAGGAGAAACAGAGAAGTGGAGGATTTGAATAACAGCTGGAGCCAGGAAGATGTAAGATAATGATTCCCAGATTTCTGTTAGCGGAGGAGGTGGCTGTAACGATCAAGACGCTTAGTCTGGACTGGTGGCGTATCGGGTTAGGGCTAGCAACGACAAACCAGGCTTCAAGGTTTGATACGAAAGCCCAAAGCAAAATCGACGACGGAGAGACGGAACGGATTTAGAGTGGCTAGTGGTGAGTAGGGAGGGGGTGTGATGGACGAAGAGATGACTGGTTGAGATTGTTATAATCTGACATTGGGAGGGGTGAGGCAAGCGAGGGGTTCCAGTAGCTCTTAGCCGGAGCACTAAGCGCGGAGGAGGGTATCAGAGTCGGCAAGGCAGAGCGCGAAGAAAAACAGAGGAATCCTGCTATTACGGGGTTGTCCGGACTCGTATAATAGCAATACGACACGACAGCAAAAGAAAAGAAACAGGGTAGATGGGACGGAAGAGGGCGAGGAAGCGGAAAAAGGAACAGCTGTCTTCTCGGTCTTGTCGCTCAGAGACCAATTCGTCTGCCGGAAGGTCTGCCCTCTAGTCTGCCCAGGCTTCCCAGCGATGCGATTTGGCTGCCCGTTGGCTGCATTGTGGGAGAGGGTGGCGTTTCTAGTCTTGTTTGCGAGTACATACGTCGTAAGTACCCTGGTGGCCTTTAGAGTCCATAGGTGGTTCCAGGTTCCACCGGCCTTTTGTCTCGCGCAGTTTTGCTACAGGGCTGACCAATGGCGGCATTAATGCGGCAGAGGCGGGCTTGTGACGTCTTGCCGCGAGCAACACGCGATGATGTCCGTATGACCTGCAGCTGTTCGTGTAGAACTTGCCACATTGCGAGCCTTTTTGGGCGTCGTTTCAGCACTTTGCGAATAATCATGAAAAGAAGAAGAACACAATAAAGCATCCTTTGGTGCCAGCGCCTCTCAGCTCAAAGGATCCATGTCGTTGCTCTTGGCCATCGCATTTGGGCCTCCAGCTCAGCCACGGCGAGCAAAACCTGTGGACTTGGCTAGCTGCTGCTAGAGCTGGCCAGCCCCATACTTTTGGAGCGCCGGCCCGCTACAAACGGCGTCTGCTGCATGTGCTGGATATGCAGGGAAAGGGAAAAAGAAAAAGAAAAAGAAAGAGAAAAATGCGCAATATGCAAGGCCTTTCGACTGTCAGTTTCAGCTAGCGCTTTCTTGGCCGGATGCTCGATGTTGGATGCCGGTGCTGGATGTTGCGCCTTGCAACGGTCGATAGGTCGGACATACTCGCTCGAGATCATGATCACGAGCACATACACAAACACAGCCTGCGAGGAACGTGAGTGCGTCGGTCCCCAAAAGGGAAAGAGGGGGTCGCACGTTGCGAGGGAAGGCGCGCAGGAGGACTGCCGTGGAAGCCGGAAGCGACGACCGACGGCTGTCGTAAGCGAGGCAGCAGCGTAGAGCCTCCAACATGCAAACAGCGCCGTTGGATCTCACGGCCACCCTCTTTTCCCTTCATTTATCTACGACGAGGACACATCTCCGCCCGTCTGACCGAGAGAAACGCCCATGCCTGGGAGGTGAGCGGATGACGACACGGTCATGTGCACCACCCGGCTGACAGTGGATGGCAGAAAACGTGTCTCGACCGGTCGATGGCCACAACGCCCGAAAACGCCATGGATTCTTTTTCGGCAAAACGTCCTTTTGTCTACCCAATGCTCTGCTAGTGATACGACCTGCACCATGTGGCCGATGGACGTCTCTCATCCACCTGTTTGGTCTTTGGTCGTCTCCAGTCGTCCCCCCCTCTCACCCACCCGTTTACCCCTACAACACAATCCGCTCCAGCGTGTAAGCACCCACCTTTTGGCTCGTCAGGTGGCCAATCTCACGCCGGCTTCGCTTCACCACCTCGCCGCCCGACACGACCTTGGTCGGTGTCACGTCGCCGTACCGCCCCAGACCCATCGGTGCCTTGAGCCCCAACGGCAGCATCGCGGCCGCCTGCAGGGTCGCCTTGTCCACCCGTGTCGGCCGCACATCAGTCTCGCCGGACGAGACAGTCACTGCTGACGATGCTGCTGCTGCACTCTGCACGCCTGTTGCATACCGCACAGCCTCACCCAAGATCCCGCGCAAGTACAGCGCCTCCTGTACGCCCTCGAGTGCAGCGCTGACCTGCCACTTGAGCGAGGCAAAAAAGTCGCCGGCAGCCGGGCTGACACCTCCGACAGCAATGTGTTCGGCCTCTCTGTCTGCTACTGCTGCTGCTGTTGCTGCGGCTGCGGCTGTTGCAGTCGCCGCATCGTCGACCAGCCACTCGCCCGGCCGCACCGAATCGATGCACCGGCCCAGCAGATCGGCAATTAGGCGGATGCTATAGTTGAGCGGCGTGGCCCCGTCTTTGCTGTCGCTACCCTCCATGTCGACGTACCGCGTCGCCCAGCCCTGGTCGACCAGCTGCTTGCGCAACACCTCGATCAGCGACCGGATCTCGTCCGTGCGAAAAATGCGCCGCAGCCCCAACACCGTCGCCACGGCCGGACAGCTGCCCAGCTTGCCAATAGCAATGTCTAGCGCCAGGTCGCGCGGATCGTTCTCCACGTGCTCCAGGAAGTATTCGGCCACGCGCAGCTGTTGGTCCAGCCTGTCGAGCTCCTGGTTAGGCAGCTCGCCGTCGTCGTCATTGTCGTTTTCGTTATCCACATCGTTGCTCTGGTCGTCGTCGCCGTCCTCCATTCGGTCGTCCGCACCGTTGGTCAGCAGTGGCTTGGCCTCGGGCTGCGCCTCGGCTGCGGCCACCAGTTCCAGACTGCGCATCAGCAGCAGGATCGCGCTGAGAAGCTCCGTGGCCGCCAGCTTTGTGGCGTACAGCCATCGCAGCAGCAGGTCCAGGCTCGGGTCGACGTGTGCCAGCGTGACTGGCAGCGCCTCGCCCAGGAAAGCGTCGGCATCGTCGACGCCCTGCAGCGCCGACCGCAGCGCCGACCACACGTTTGCCACCGAGAGATGGCCGGCATCGACGAGGTAGTTGACAATGTCGCTCTCGGGTAGCGCGCAGCGCAGCCGCAGCCGTCCGGCTGATCCGGCCTGGTCCACGGTCAGCACGCGTCCGATGGCGTACACGACCCAGCGACGATCGGCTTCGGGGTATGTGGCTCTCGTTGTGGGGTTGGTGGTGGTCGTGGCAGCAGCAACAACGACGGCATCGTTTGTCGATGTCTGGGCCTCGTTCACAGCCTCGGCGCCATCAGCCGCATCCAGCGGCCGTTGCCACCGCCAGTCCGCCACGTTCTGGATACTCAGCTTCTCAGCTAGGAAATCGTCAAAGGCGGCCACGTCGCCGTCTGCCAGCAGCCGGTCGGCAACCAACACGTCGGCGTTATACTGCTGCAGATAGGCGGTCGACACGGTCCCCGGCACGTACTTTCGGCCGGACAGCGTCTCGGCTGCGTCGTCGCCTTCTGATCCGGCTGGTTGGCCCTGGCCCTCCTTCCAGGATACGCCGCGTCCGATAGAATCAATCAGAAGTCCATCGGCCCGACGCTTCTTGCTGCGAGTCCGCGGCGGCTCCAGCTGCACAGCAACCAGATAGTGTGCGTCCACGAGAGCCACGGCGAGCTCGAGCTGCGAGAAGTACGAGACGAAGGCGCACGATCGACGGGGAGGCAGCTGGGCATCGTCCTTGGCCAGGTCCAGGGGCGTGGATGCCTGCAGCGAGCTGAAGACAGGGTTGTAGACGGAAAAGGTCGTGGCCGTGGACGCGAGGATGCTCGACTTGGACAGCTGCAGAAACGACGTGCCACCCGGGATGGACATATGGCCGATGATGCGCGGCACGCTGCGCGCGAGGTCGTACGACACCACGGTCTCGCCGTCGAGGGCAAACAGCGATCCAGACGCGACGTCCAACCGGAACAGCGGTTGCTGATGCTCTGTCGGGGATGATGTCGTTTCGGTGGCTGACGAGGGCAGTCGGATGTGGTGCACCTGGACCAAGCGGACGGCAGCCGAGTGGCCAGGGTCGACGACAAGCACATGCAGGTATCGTGCTGCCGTGTCTGCCGTCGCCGTGATGAGCAGCAGAACGTCCGGGTTGAAGCCGCCAGCGGCCACGTCGACTTTCTGTGCCAACACACCCGAGAGGTAGTCCTCGCCCAACTGGAGTCCCTTGAGCACGTCGGCTGTCTGGGCCGTCTGGGCTAGTTCGACCCGGAGGACGGACCCGCGTGGCAGCAAGTCCTGCGACAATGTTGCCACCGATACCTTGTGCTTCTCCTCGAGCGTCTCGCCGTTGAAAAAAGTGACCTCGCCATCCTGGCTGACGGCCAGCAAATCTGGTGGGATAAGCTGACCGTCATTGCTGCTGCTGCTGCTGCTGCTCGTCGTCAGATACACCACGGGGCTGCCTGAGCGGCCGAGGCTGGTCGACACTGTGGCCGAGGCCGTGGCGCCAGAGGCCCCAACGGTGTCCCTGAAGAGCGACAGTTTCCGGGCCGGCTCCCGAGTCGAGATGTAGGTGAAGCGGGCCACGTCGGCCTTCTTACTGGCGGCCGAGCGTAACCGCAGCGAGCAGGGCGGGCATGAGAACGTCGCCTGGGGGGGGACCGGGTATGAGGTGATAAGCCGGGAGGAGGCGATCTGGAAGTCAGTAAAAGTGAAGTAGAAGTGTGAAAGCTGTAGCAGCAAAATAACACTTACATCGTACAGATTGGCAGCCTCGCCGTCAATGCCCACGGTCACCTCGGGGCGCCGCCGCTTCTTTGCGCCAGCCTTCTGGCCGTACACATCGCCGACGAGGCTTCTGCTGTCGGGTCTTGCGAGCGATCGCGGCAGCGTCGCCAGCACGTACGGCTTCTCGATGTGGTAGTTGGAGGCCATTTCGCTGATCGCTTGTGTTCCGTGGCCGTGCAAAGATGGGGTTGTCCTTTCCCAAAGCCGAAAAGGCCAGTGTCTCTCGACGTGCGGGAGATCTGGTTCTGTCCGCTTCTAGAGGCCGAGGAAGAAAGTCGTGCTGCTTCTCGAACGACGTTCCGGCTCGAAAAAGCTTCAAGGCGAATGGAGCGGCAGAAAAAAAAAAGTCGGCGACCATGGCAGAAAAAAAAGTTGCTAGTGTGAACGTGCACCGTGCAGATGTCTCCACCAAGCTACTTTGCACACGGTCCTTGGGCACGTGTTCTTGTGCACCTTCCCCACCACTCGCGCGCTTTACACGCTGGGGACAGGCAAGACGCGCTATAACGCGCCGAGCCAATTGCTCTCTCACTTAGACAGCAAGCCAGCGTTTTCAACGAAACCTGCAAACAAGCAACGCCGACCGACGTGCCGCCAATTCAGGCACGGAGACCCTACAGACACAGTCAGGACGGAGGGATGCCATCCACGCCCGCGCAGAACCAATCTTGACGGCAATCCGGAAGGTAGGCGAAGGGTGAAGGCGAGGTGAGAAGGCGGAAGGGAGACGCCAAACCAGGTGAGGAGAACGCTGACTGGGAACCGGGTTCTTCGTCTCTGCAGACGTATGTCGTCTGCCGCCGTCGTCATTATGGCCAGCGAGCCGGCAGCCGGCCGGCCGAAGAAGCTGCATCCGCTCTTTGCGGCGCTTCAAGCCGGTGGCATCGCGAGCGAAAACAGCACGGATACAGAAGCAGATGCAGAGCCGTCACAGCCAGACATCATCGCCGCCGACCAGCGAAAGAGAAAGCCAGACGGAGGCCCGGGTGATGACACGTCCTCGGCCCAGGCGCCTCGGCGGCGTGGACGGCCACCGAAGCGACGCAAGTCGTCGCCAGCGCTGTCGGGCATTGCCAGTCTTTTTGTGCGGCCGGCCGACGACGTGAACACAGCACCAGCAACAGCAGCAACACGAGACGCACCAAAAGCACCAGACACGCCAGCAGCAACAGCAGCTCCTACGACGGCCCCACCCCCTTCTTTCGCCCTAGACCCTCGCCTGCTGGATCCTCGTCTGCTGGATCCCGGCTTCGATACGGTGGCGAGCAATGGCGAGATCTGCACACCAGCAGAAGAGCCGACGGTGTGCCGGCCTCCGATGCGTGTGCTCCAACTCAACCCCAAGACGGGCACGATCGGATCGCCGCCTCGGCCGAAGGATGCTAGCAAGAAGGCGGTCGGCACCAAGGCCAGCGTCGTGGTCGTGGCCCGATATGGACGGGAGGACGACCCTGAGCTTGCCCGCATCAGCGCAAGGATCGGGGACGTCTTAGCCGGCAGAGCCCGTATATTCCCGCTGCCAGCGTCGCCGGCAAAGACAGGCACGCGGAAGTTGGGCGCCAGCCCTGTCGCTGCCAACAGCAAGGATGGACCGAAGAAACGGGGCCGGCCCAAGAAGTCGACGCATCCATTCTTTACCGGCGGCCTGCCGAAGACGCCGACTGCGGCAGCCGAACCGTCCGCCGATACGACGGCCACGAGCAACAGCAGCAATGCAAAAGGGTCGTCTATGGTGACGAGCGCAGCGGCTGCTGCAAAGTACTATGCCTCCCTGGCAAGCTCGCCTCACGGGCAACTGAGGCCGTCGTCTGGACCCCGCATGCCGCAGTTTGGCGTGAAGAACGGGATTCTGCGGGTGCCTGGCGCCTGTCTCCCCCAGTGGCCGTGGAAGGGCACAGTCCATGTTCATCCGCCGGAGCTAGTAGTAGTAGCAGCAGCAACGGCACCCGTCTTGCCTCCACGGAAACGCAAGGGCCAGACGGTGCAGATCGAAGCGGGCGAGTCCGTTCTAGCGCAGATGTTAGAGCGGCTGCAGCTGCGACAGGTGGCGGACGAGGTGCGAAACGCCAACAGCTCGGGCTCGGACGAGCTGCCGCCGGCTCCAGCCGGACTGCGACTGCCGCAGAAGCACCTGATGAGCGGACGCAAGATGCAGGGGCGGGTGGCACCACAGCTGCGGACGAGCCATGCGGGGGTGCAGAGCCTGTTTGGGACGCTGCGGACGACGCTGTCGGCGTTTGACCAGCACCAGTGCGAGATGCAGAGCTGGACGCAAAAGTACGCGCCGACCTGTGCGGCCGAGGTGCTGCAGAGCGGACGCGAGCCGCAGATGCTGCGCGACTGGCTGGCAGCCCTCAAGGTGGTGGCCGTCGACACGGGGGCGCCAGGCGAAGGGGTGGCAGCACCAGCGACAATGGGGGCGAAGAAGAAGAGAAAGAAGAACAAGCTGGACGGGTTCATCGTGTCGAGCGACGAGGAGGACAACGACAGCGTGGCGACGGGCGACGGGCTAGACGGCGAGGCGGCTGACTGGCTGGCCAGCGGGCTGTACGGACTGCAAAAGAAGACGGTCGTGCGCGAGGGCATCAACAACAGCAGCAGCAGCAGCAGCGGTGGTGCTAGGCTCACTAACGCGATGGTGCTGAGCGGGCCTCACGGCTGCGGCAAGACGGCAGCGGTATATGCGGCGGCCAGGGAGCTAGGATTCGAGGTGTTTGAGATCAACGCGAGCAGCCGGCGCAGCGGCAAGGACGTAATCGACCGGATCGGCGACATGACGCGGAACCATCTGGTGCAGCACCGACAGAAGGCGGAGGAGGGAGGGGAAGCAGACGAGAGCGAAGATGCTGACGGCAAGAAGCAGGCCAAGGAGGCCAAGGAGGCGAAGCAGGCAAAGATGAGCGCGTTCTTTCAGCCAAAATCGGTCAGGAGCAAAGTGCGAGCGACGAACGAAGAGGGCGGTGGGAGCACGCGCAAGCCGACGAGCCAGAAGCAGTCGCTGATCCTGCTGGAAGAGGCTGACCTGCTGTACGAAGAGGACCGGCAGTTCTGGACGACGGTGACGGGGCTGATGGCGCAGTCGAAGCGGCCGTTTGTGATGACGTGCAACGACGAGACGCTGCTGCCGCTGGCAAGTTTGCGGCTTCACGGGATCTTGCGGCTCGAGGCAGCACCGACAGCCGAGGCGGTGGACCGGCTGCTGCTGGCAGCAGCGTGTGAAGGTCACGTGCTGCGGCGAGAAGCGGTGGAAGCGCTGTACGATGCGCGATCACAAGACCTGCGGGCGGCACTGACGGAGCTGCAGTTCTGGTGTCAGCTGGGGGTGGGTGACCGACGCGGCGGATTCGACTGGTTTGTGCAGCGGTGGCCAGAAGGGATTGATCTGGACGAGGAGCAGCAGGTGGTGCGGGTGGTGAGCGAGGACACGTTTGTGGGAGGGATGGGATGGGTAGGAGAGGAGGGAGGGGAAGGAGAGGCAGAGGAACTGGAGGAAGAGCTGGTACAACAGACGTGGCACAACTGGGAGCTGGACTTGGGACAGTGGGAGGATTCGCTGGACCTGGGATCATGGGCGGAAGGATGGGACCGAAAGGGTGGTGATGGAGGGGATGGAGGTGAAGCTGAGAGAGGCCAGATGCTGGAAGCGTGCAGCCGGTTTGCCGACGTGATGAGCGATGCCGACATGGTGTCGATGGGGGTGTTGGCGACGGGAACAAGAGTGCGGCTAGACGCGACGATGCCGGAGATGGCAGCCCGGACGCGAGACGACTTTGTGGCGGGAGGCCAGCTGGTAGGCCAGCCAACAGAGGCAGCCTATATGGGTGGCAGCAGCAGCAGCAGCAGCGACGACAGCCAGCTGCGACTGCCGCTGGCCACAGCGCTACGATGCGCAGCCAAGCGACAGCTGCGATCGATGCTGGACGACATCGGGACGGCCGGTGGCTGGCGGCTGGTTAAAGATCGCCTCGGCTGCGTGGACACGACACAAGCAGCAGCAGCGATCCGATATGGCCGACGTGACCGACGACGGCCAGCCGACCTGCCGCTGCGCCGCATCGACTTTTCGCTGGCCTTTGACGCGATCGCGACGCCGATGGGGGCCTATGGCGAGACGCCGGGGCCGGCTGCCCATCTGGACCCGTCCGTGTTCGACCGCAACCTGGAGCCGATCGTGACGGACGTGGCGCCGTTTGTGCGGGGGATCGTGGTGTACGACGGACATCGGAAGGCGCAACGACAGCGGATCAGTCGGTTCTTGGTCGGAGGAGGGGAGGGATTTAGGAGGGAAGGACCAAGAGGATCCGGCTCAGACTCGGCCTCGGACTATCCCCCACCGAAACGCATGCGCACGACCCGTGCAGCCCTGTCGGCGCTCGAGGGAGGCCCTCGCAGCGCGATGCGGCGTGAGCGCTGGTTTCTGGCCGATATGAACCCGGTGCTGGTGGCCCGGACGGCGGGTGAGGGCTGGGCGGAGGCGGTGGAGAAGGAGAAGGAGGAGAGAGAGAAGAAATCGGGGGAAGTGGCCGAGGAGACAAAGTCCACACCAGTGGCTCTGGATGGTGATGATGTGGACGAAGTGGATGATGCCATCCCGGTCCAGACTACACCAATGTTGGTCTGGAAAGAAGTCCAGACGGCGACATCACTGTCTGCCGATTTCTCGTCGGCACAGCGACCGCCGCGTCGACGAAAAATCATCATGTCGTCGCCGGGAAGAGAGGATTGTGGACAAGGTCAAGATGGATGAGGGTTATGTAAGCAGACAGGTCGAGAGAGGTACATGGCTGGGCATTATAAAGCGGAAGGAGCGGCTGACAGGATAGGAAAGAGATAGACTTGATATGTCTTGTATTTGAACACGATTCAGGAAACACTATCACACTTTTACTCTTTTTGTCGTTCTCTTCTCGTTCTCTTTCTCGTTCTCTTCTCGTTCTCTTTCTCGTTCTGTTTCTCGTTCTGTTTCTCGTTCTGTTTCTCTCTTTCTCTTTCTCTCTTTCTCTTTCTCTTTCTCATTCTCATTCTCATTCTCATTCTCTCACTCTCATTCTACCGACACTTCCGACGCCCGAGCCCGCGCCAGGACGTCTTCCGCCCGCAGCTGGTCAACGCGGTCCTGCAGCTGGTCTGCACGCACGCGTGCCTGCTCCTCGCGAACGCGTGCGATGCGTTCCTGGACGTCGAGCTGGCGCAGGAGGGTCGACCTGCGATTGCCAGACGGCGGACGGGAGGAAGGACCGCTGGGAGGACGAGGTGGAGGAGACGGAGACGGAGGAGAAGTGGGAGACGATGTCGTTGTGGATGTTGAGCCGGATGAGCCGAAAGAAGCCAACGACAGTCTCGACAGCCTGTGTTTTTGGCGATCGATGTTGGAGGTGTTGTTGTTGTTGTTGGCTGCGGTGAATCTGCTGATTCGGCTGATACCATCATTGCCGCCGCTCTCTTCACTCTCGCTCCCATCACTTTCGCTTTCGCTTTCGCTCTCACTCTTCACCCTCTTCTCACTCCTCTCGCTCTCGCTCGTCACCGTCGACGATGTCGGGTCCACATCAAAACGAAACCGTACCCGCGACGCCTGTGATGGCCGCGACGACCCCGAGTCTGCCGACGTCGTCGACGACCGCGACGGCCGGATGATGGGCATGGGGAGATGGGCATTGTCAGCTGACCTCGTCGTCGTCGACATCGTCGACGACGCCCGCAGTCGGTCCCGCGGTCGTTGTCGTGGCAGCACGCCGGTGCCGACGCCAGAGAGTGGAAGGCCAGGTGGCCGGGCAGCGTGCAGATCCGCAGGCGGTGGAGGCGACGGCACCGGAGGCGCTGGAAAGACCGAACCAGCCACGGAAGGCGGGGCCAGAGACTGAAATGAGCCGGACGACCGGGACGATGACCGGGACGACGGCAGAGACGCCGCCCAAGACACAGAAGGCACGTTGTGGCGTGGCAGGTCGACACCGCTGCTGCTCTCGGTCGGTCTGGACGATCTCGGTGCGGCAGCTCTCCTCACGGCCTCGTCCACTTGTCTCGACCGTCTCGGTCTCGGTCTCGGTCTCGGTCTCGGCCGCTCGTCCTCCTCGATCACCGTCACCACCAGATCGCTGCTCGCATCGGACTGTCGAGACGACGGCCGACGATACTCTCTCTCGGGAGCCTTCACCCCTCGCCGACCGGCCATCTCCACCAGCGGGGTGTTCCCTTGCGAATATAGCGACGGTGCCCTCCGCCACCGCCCCGTCGTCGACTCTTCTCTCATCGCCGGCAGTCGTCGTCGCCGCACCGTTCCGCCGTCGTCATCGTGGTCTGCTTCCTCGTCTGCTGTCGCTGTCACTACGGCTGCTGCCGCTCGGCGCGCCCTGCGCTCACGGCGAGCACGCAGCTCGTCTTCCGCGCTGCGCTCATCCAAACGGTCGTCGAAGAACCTGTCGCTCATTCGTGCCGTCCGTTCTCTTCGGTTTGCTCGTTCTCTTCGCACATCCTCACGCTCTGTCGGCCGGCTGCGATGGGCTCTCACATGCCAGGTTTCTTCTCTCTCCTCCACCACCTCCCACCTCTCCCGGTCGTCGTATGTGCTGCCACCGCGCGGCCACAGACCCTCGGCGCAGAACGTTGCCGCCATCACCGAGCCTAGAAAGAGCAGCGATGTCTTCCAGATCGGGTCGCCATGGTCGTTGTCACCGTTGCCGCTTTGAGCCTCTCTTCGAGGCGGCAGCGTCGAACGTGAACGCGAACATGAACGCGAACGTCGCCGTTGATGATGATGGCGGGGTCGCGACGACCGCTGGCGCATCGCTTTCTCGGCTGGGCTGTCAACCGGCAGGCGCCGGGAGTCGTGCTGCTGTTGCCGCTGCCGCACTGCTGCTGCTGGCCGGTTATCGGCCGTGATGACGGTGTCGCCCACAGACGAATTGTCGCTGCCGCCGCCGCTGTTGAAAGGACGTCGAGGAGGGGGTCTTCTTCGCCCGTTCATGGCCGATTCGCGATTGTTTGCTGCCATGGCTGATAGCTGCACAGGAAGACGAGCAAAGAAACAACAGCTCAGCAGCAAGAGCAAAAAGAGACGACGGCACAAACAAGGGATGCAACGGCCCGGTCCCACGGCAACACTACGAATGCCAATTCACGTTTAGGACGAGGGAATGTGATGTGCGACTAGTCTTATCCAACTTTGTCCGGACTATGGAGTGCTCATTTCAGCTGGACAGGGGTCTTGTCGCATTCCGGCAGCCAGTTTAGAGCCTCTATTGACTGCGCACCATCTACGGGAAACGACTTGCAGAGTATCGCTGGTCCTTGCCATCCTGGATCCTTGTATTCAGAGCGTGAATGAACTCAACAGGGTGATGTCAACAAATGTTGACTTGAAGTCACATGACTGCTGTTGGTCTCACAGAAGGCACGAGAAGCTCGAGACACAGACACGGCCTCGTCGGTTGGCACAGTTGCGACTTCGCCAAAGACAGCCGATCCAATGCAGACAGCAAGCATCAAGGCATACTCATCCAGTCACTGGACGACGGATGACCCCACATTATGCCAAGCTTGTAAGCTTACCAATCCCTCAATCCTTCATCTGGAGGCAGATATCTATTTATCAGCCGACAGCCACGCAGAAACGCTTCCAGACATAATACCTTGCAGCGGACATATGGCACCCACGATGAAAGTAGCAATTGTCGGCGCAGCCGGAGAGACGGGCACCTCCATTATCCACGGCCTTCTCGAGTCGTCCACCACGCAATTTGTACGTCCGGTCTGGATTCCTGCATGGACTGAAGCTGACCTTGAACAGGAAATCACGGCTCTCACGCGGCCATCCTCGCTCACCAAGACAAAGAATGTCGAGCTCGAGAGACGGGGTGTGAAGCTGGTCGCGGCCGACTTTGCCGGCCCGGAAGCTGAGCTGGTCAGGCTGCTGGACGGCATCGAGGCCGTCGTTGTGGCGGTCGACCCGCACAACTTTGGCCTCCAGATCCCGCTGGCTAACGCGGCCAAGGCGGCCGGCGTGCAGCGCTTCGTTCCCTGCACGTTTGCCACCGTGGCGCCGCCAAAGGGAGTGATGCAGCTGCGGGAGATGGTAAGCTGGAGGATGTCTTGCTTAGTGGCCGCTCGTCGTTGCTGAGACCCGGACAGAAAGAAGACGTGATCAACCACATGAAGAAAATCTATCTGCCCTACACCGTCATCGACGTCGGCTGGTGGTTCCAACTTTCGATCCCATCGCTGCCGTCCGGCCGCACGCAGTATGCCATCTCGATGTCGGGCGATGTCATTGCCGGCGACGGCACCGTTCGGTCTGCCCTGACAGACATGCGCGACGTTGGGCGGTATGCTGCCCGCATCATCGCGGACGCGCGGACGCTGAACCGGATGGTGTTTGCGTACGGCGAGGTCCGGTCACAGAACGACGTCTTTGGCCTGCTGGAGAAGATCAGCGGCGAGACCATTGAGCGCACCCATGCAAGTGCTCGCCTCTGTCGTTCCGTCTTGTCCTTTGCTAATGGCAGACGTCTGGCAGATTTCGGAAGCTGCCATCCTGGCCAACATCGAGAAGGCCCAAGCCTCGAGCGACCCCAAGTCGGCCCAGACGCTGTGGCTCGCGCAGTACATGCATTCATGGGGCATCCGTGGTGACAACACGCCAGAACATGCCCGCTATCTGGGCTATCTGGACGGTAAGGAGCTGTATCCGGACTTCCAGGCAGGCACCCTGGAGGCTTTTCTCACCGAAATCCTCGATGGCCGGGCGAGAGCTGTGTACAAGTAGAGACAAAGGACCTCTTACGGGACCAAAGCAGTCTCGGGCAATTTCCATCTCACCTTTGGCTCAGATGGCCGTAACTGCAAATTCTATGCCAAGCTCAGATATGTGTCGACGAACAGACGAACCGGACAATGCTGAAAGATTGGAAGAGCAAAGCTTCCCCTTTCAAAACATAATTTTGTCAATGTCCACCTCCAACACACAATGCCTTCCAGCATGGAGGCCAACGGCAACGACAGCTCGCCTCTTCCTGTGCCGTACTCGGTCTTCTCTCGACGAACGCGCACATTCCTTACCTACCTCCTCGGCGTCATCACTGTCTTGTCCACGCTCACGTCCACGATCTACTTCCCGCTGCTGCCTTTGCTGAGCCGCCAGCTGAAGGTCTCGGCCCAGGCCATCAACTTGACTGTCACGGCCTATTCCGTGGCCCAGGCCGTCTCACCCGCCTTTTTTGCCTCGCTGGCCGACGCTCGTGGCCGTCGTCCGATTCTTCTCATGCTCGTCGGCCTCTATGCAGCCGCCAGTCTCGGTCTCGTGTTCGCTCAGCGACAGCGCAGCTATGCCGCCCTGCTGGTCCTACGTGTCGTCCAAAGTCTCGGCGGCTCGCCGCTGCCAGCCTTGGCCTACGGCATCGTGGCCGACGTCGCCCTGCCGGCCGAGCGCGGCCGCTTGTTAGGTCCGCTGCAGTCGACGTGCAATGCCATCTCAGCCGTTGGGCCGGTTGTCGGCGGTGCCGTTGCCCGCGTCACAGCTGGCGCCCTCTGGGTCTTTGTCTTGCTGGCTGTCCTGGCTGCCGCGCTGCTGCTGCTGGCCGGCCTCAGCTTGCCGGAGACAGCCCGCAGCATTGTCGGCAACGGGAGCGAACAGCCGGTCAGCGTGTGGTGGCGGACACCGTGGCGTCCAGCCAACGCGATCACATCGTTTCGCATCTTGTTTTACCCTGATGCTGCGGCTGTGCTCTGGACCGTGGCCGCTCCATATGCGGTCTACTACACGATGCAGGTGGCCATTCCGACCATCTTTGCCGACATCTATGGCTACGATGAGCTCCAGATCGGCCTCGTCTTTTTGCCTGGTCTCGCTGGCATGACCATAGGCGGACTTGTCGCCGGCAGACTGGTCGACCGCAACTACGCCAAGATGGCCAGCGAGCATGGCATCGAGATCGAGATGACAATCGACCGCAGCCAAGCGCAGGCCGAGCTCATGCACTTTCCTATTGAGGCCGCTCGCTACCGCCATGCTCTCGTCTTCGTCGTCGTCATGGCTGTCCTCGTTTGCGGCTATGGCTGGGCCGTCCAGGTCCGGGTCCATCCGGCCGTGCTGCTGGTGCTCCAGGCACTGATCTGTGCCAGCTCGATGCTGCTCGGCCACACGGCCAGCACCCTGCTCGTCGACATCTTCCCCGGCGAGGCCAGCTCGGCCTACGCCGCGGGCCAGATCGTGCGCTGTGGTCTCGGCGCCGCCTCGGCCGCCGTGCTGCAGCCGCTCGTCCAGGCTATGGGCTACGGATGGTACTTTGTCAGCTTGGCCGCCGTCGTCGGCCTGGCCGCGGCGCTGTCGGTCGTCGTCAGTCGGTGGAAAGGAATGGCGTGGCGGCAGAGACGCGGTGGAAATGGTGGACGAGATGAGCGAGAGGACGGTTTGCCGTCGGAGGAAGTGAAAGGTTAGGCTGTCTGAGATGTTGTAAGAAACTGCTTGTAATGTCATGAGCTTTCTGTCAGTATGCATTTCAGTGAGTGTCTGCCTCGGATTCGCGTAGCTTACTAATCACCGTAAACGACAGCGGACTTAACGCTGTCAGCGACAAACGCCGGAAACGGCAACATCCCGCCGTCAGTCCCTCGACCACTCTCGACCACCCGACAAGACCAAGGACGGAATGGAAGCCCACGCACCCAACACAGCCCAGCACCTGGTCGACACGGCGCGGGGGCAGTATCTGGTTCAGGTGTCGTGGCCGCTGGACTGGACGGCGGACGGAAATCCGAATGGGACGAGCATCGACAACGTCCCCGTCATGTGAGAGCGAACTGTACTCTGTACGATACAGACTCCCAACCAGACGACTGGCTGACGGCGGGCAGCTACTGTGTCGATGGCAACGTCTTCTTCTTCACGGCGACTGACATTGTGCGCCGGCTGCAGTACTTTGCCGACAAGCGGGCCATTGTCGTGGGCATCGGCTATCCCCTCCGCCATGCCGTCTATGCAGACCGGCGGAAGGCGGACCTGACGCCGCCGAGCCTGGTGCGGCAGCCGGAGGACGTGCTCGGACGTGACGGTCGGCCGCTGCCGGATGTGCACCACGGCGAGGCCGAAGCCTTTCTCGACGTCCTCGTGGAGGTGATCGTGCCGTTTGTCGCCGTGCATGTCCTGCCGGCCGTGCCGCTGTGCCGCCTGCGCCAGGTGCTCTTTGGCCACTCGTTTGGCGGCCTGTTTGCGCTCTACGCCCTCTTCACGCGGCCGCACCGCTTCGACACCGTCGTGGCCGCCAGCCCGTCCATCTGGTGGAACGGCGCCAGCATCGTGCACGAACAGGAGCGCGCCTTTCGCGACGGTCCTGCGCCGGCCCGGAAACCACACCTCTACCTCACCTACGGCACCTACGAGCAGCACCCGCCCCGACGGCCGGCCGACTCGGACGAGCAGTACGAGCAGCGCAAACAGCTGGCCGCCGGCTATCGCATGGTCGACAACACCGTCGAGATGAAGAACCGACTGCAGACCAGCAACCGGCTCGAGACCGTCTGGATGCAGGAGTTTACCACCGAGGACCACGGCGGCGCCTCCGTGACCGGCCTGCAGCGTGGCATCATGAGACTTCTCGGCGAGTTCTAGTTTGGACCAGACGTTTTTGCTGACTCATCCATGTTTAGGATGCACGGGCCGGCATTTCTATTCTCTTGGCAGACACTACACTTTAAGCTCGACAGTAGCACCAACCACGAGCCGTTCTCTTTTGTCTGACGAATCACGTGTTAGCATGTATGTATTTCGACAGCCGTGCCAAAGATCTACACACCTTCTCCGGAAGAGCACAGTGGCGGTGGTAAAGCCAAGGCAGAAGAAGAAGCACAAGGCAATCGTGACAGGCCAGCCCTTCTTCCATCGAGGAGCGCCGTATTCTCCGGCTGTCGGGAAGAGCAAAAGAGGCACCCAGATGTTGAACGAGTACCCGAATGTCATCATGGAGCCCTTGGACAGTTAGGAAACAAGAAGGGAGACAAAAGAATAAGGACAAGGCTCTTGTTCATACCATGATCAGTGCTCTCTCTTCCGAGTCGTTCTTCACAATCGTGTTGACGGCCGAGTAGAGGATCAGACTCGCAAAGCCGGCCACCCCGAAAAAGTACCAGGCCACAAACCTGCGAGAGCAGGCAGCAGGTCGTGACGATGGTGTAGATGATCCATGACGGGTAGATGGCCGCGACAATCGTTGCTAGCTACGAGGAGACGATGAAGATGCCGCTGATTCCGGTCGGCAGCTTGTTGATCTGCGGCACGCTGTACTTTTCGGCCTTGAGCCAGAGGCTCATATAGGAGGACGGGTAGCGGGAGATGATCATGCATCTGGACTGGTCGAACTAGTTCATATAGACTGGACCTGTCAGCTGACCTTCTCTCCGCTGCCGGGTACTCGGCCGGATACCAGTCGAAGACCTCCTTCCACAGACCGACAAGGCCTAAACGCTTCTGCTTCCCCTGCGTGGCCACGACGTTGTCCAGTCGGGTCAGATGAGAAGACGGCAACGGGCCTTTCTCATGGCCCCATGGCTGCTATACCAATTCTCTGGCCGCTTACGCTACTGTCTCTCGAGGTCCAGGAGACGGAAATAGCCGATGATATCTTCGTGGCTGGATGGCGCGCTTGGCGTGTCTTCTTGTCAATCGGATCCAATGTAGTGCTCTTCTAGATACCATGAGCTTAGCCGTGAGTGCGGCGGTTACAGATGAGCGTGGCATTAACCTCCTAGCCTCTACGACACAGTGCACCAGTCGACGATTCATCTGCTACTTTCTGCTAACTCAAAGAAAACTGCTGCTGGGGTCTCTGCCCGCTGTTGATGGATTGTACATGCCACAAATATGGTAGTTGATAATAAAAAGATAAACATTACAAGGTATCATAAGATCATGAGATATGAGTAGAAGGGGAAAGGGGAAAGGGGTAGATTGTGAGGTGATTGTTGTGTAGATGGTTTGTTGATGGTGCTGACGAGCCAAGCCGAAACGACCTTGCTCAATCAAACTGTTCCTCCGCTGTCTTCCACTCGGTCTGGGTATCTTCCATAATTAGTGGGCCTCCCATATTCCGCCGAATATCCCCTGCCCAACTTCAGGCTCGGGACCGCGATTCTGCCTGTCGCAGAGAGGAAAGCAAAGAACTTAGAATAAGAATAAAATAAAACAAAGCAAAACGCCAATGTCGAATGCAAATTGAACGCCCATCCAATGCTTTCTCGTCCGCTCACACCTGTGGCGCTTCGTGTGGCGGTCGCCCCAACGAATCCAGGAGATCCTTTGGCGGAATCCACGCTCGGTTGGCTCCCGTGTCAGCCATCGACGGAGCCGGGATGTAGCCCTGCTGCTTCTTGCGCAACCGGTCAAGCAAGAGGCCAGCCGCCACAATGATCAGCATCAGGCCCAGCGAAATGGCCAGGCCGATGAGCACGACTCCGACAAGCGGAAGATGCTTGCGAGACTTGGCCGTGAAGAAGTTGTTGTTTTCCACAAAGATGCTCGCAATGCTGCTTGCCCTGTTGCCCGACGACATCGTCAACATGTACGGCTTAAACGTCTTGCCGTCGAAAATGGCTGCTGAGACGGTGCCGTAGCCTGGAAGCACAATCGAGCCGGCCAGCACTAGAACCTGATCAGAACTGAGGACACTGGTCGAGTCGTGCTTCGGCGACGCCGAAAACACCTGCAGGCTGCGAATGTTCGTGCCAGAAGAGAGCGTCTGACCGCTGGCCCCCAACGCGTCCACCCAGTCCTTGCCATCGTACTTGAGCAGATACACAGAGCTGTTCGAGCTGGCCGTGCCCGCCACCCAGAGCTCGCTCCCGTCGCTCGACCCGAGCACGAGAACATCAACCGGCCCGGGAATGACCGACGAGCCGGGAAAGCTGCTCCACACGCTCTTCGACGCGTCGTACTGGCCGAGGAAAACGGTCCCGATGCTGTCCACAGAAAACCGGCCGCCGGCCGCCAGCTCAGAGTTCGACGTCCACACCATGCTATTCACCGTGCCCGAGACCAAATTCGAGCCCGGCCGGTTCCACTGGTTGCTGCTCGTGCTGTAGTAGCACACTGCTGGACAGCCGAGAGAGCCGGCCAGTGCAAACGAGCCACCGACATAGACGTCCGTCGTGCCTGGCCGAACTTTGATGGCCATCACAGTGCCGTTGCCACCCGAAAGCGACGGAGGCTGCATGGTGAAACTGTCCGTCGCTAGATTGTACGACACCAAACCAGTCACGCTCGCCGAGTTGACCGTGCCGGTCACATTGCCCCCAGCGAAGAGTGTGCTGCCCGTGACAGCCAGTGCAGCAAAGGTCGACGAGTTTGAAATGCCCGACCCTAAGCCCGATACCGACCCATTCTTGTTGTGGTCAATGATCAGCAGGTTTTCGATTGTCGTGCCGTTGGTCGACTTGGCTGAGAAATGTCCGCCCAGAATCGTCTTGTTGCGGCTGCCAGACGTGTCGAAGACGCCCGTGAGGACACCGGCTACCGAGCTGCTCGAGAGAGTGTCCCGCTTCAATACTGCACTGGAAGAGGAGGCCGACGACGGCAGGACGTGCGCTCCAAACGACCCAATTCCGGAGTTTGTCAGCGTCGCAACATCTGTAGAGCCCACCTGCGCGTAAGAGAGAGAGCCGCCATAGAGAGCATCGGCCCCGGGCACGTTCAGTAGCGAAGACAGCAATACGCCATTAATAGATTCCACAGTCTGGTCCAGATTCTGAAGCCAATTGCCCTGTGACGGCACCCAGACACCAAACCCGTCAACAGTCACCGCCGAGTTGGATCCGAAAGCAAGAAGCGTGTCGAAGCCACCGGTAAAGGCAAAGACGACGTCGGCAGAGCTCCCTGTGATGTTCATCGTCATCGGGACAACCTTCATGACGGGCCCGTTCACGCCAGCACCGAGTGCACTCCAGACATTGGTCGTCGTGTCGAAGACGGCGACATTGTTCAGATCCGTCGCAGATCCGCTTTTGGACGAGTTGAATATGCCACCAGTGAAGAGCTTCGTGCCGTTCAGCACCATCGACAACACGCCGCCGTTCAGCCCATCGTCAAGCGACTCGACAGACGAGCCGTTGCTGCTCACCGAGACAATATTGCTGGCGTTTGTCGACGTGAAGTTGCCCGCAACGTACGTCACCTCGCCGCTGGTCGCAAGGGCCATGACGGCAGAGCCCGAGGAGAAGGCCGAGCCCAGCGTGTCGAATGCCGACGAAGAAAAGGTGCTCGTGTCGAACGAGCTCTGTGACGGATCGTATTCGAAGAGCCCATTTAAGCCGCCGGTCGAGTTGTTCAGAGTAAACCCGACACGTTGCGCCACAATCGTCATCTCGCTCAGCGACTGACCGTCCAGAGGAGTCAGGGTCACAGTTGGCCGGAAGGACTCAGTGGCCGCGTCGACGGCGCCGTAGTATACAGGATCGAACTTGTCATAGTTGTTCGTCTGATACAGTCGGACGCTCGATGTGACGCCTTTGGACATGGTTACCGTAACGTTTACCTGGCCACGGGTGCCGCAGCTGCCGTCTTGGAGGCAGCCAGGAGTGTACATGTTAACCGTATAGTTGCCAGACTGCCGAATGTTCGGAGAGAAGACGACAGAAGCAGAAGAGGAATCGATGGGCGAGGACAAGCTGGCCGTCAGATACCTGGAGCTGCTCTGGAAAGACGGCGACTCTGTCCAAGGACCCGTCGACGTAGCCGAAGACACGTCTACTGCAGACGACGCCGTGCAGTTGGGCTCGTTGAAGTCGTCGATGGCGTACGAGAATATCTCGTTTTCAAAGAGCTCTATTCCGTCTAGGCCGCCGCCGCTGCCGTACCAGGCCGAGATGTCGATGCGAAAGGAATCCATGCCGACATAGTTGACGAAATAAAAGTCCTGGTATGTGACATTCTTGCTGTGGCTGAGAGGACACTCGCTCGTGCATGTGTAATTCGCGCCGGTGTCGGGATCGATGTAAGTAAAGTTCATGATGCCGTTTAAGGGCAATGCCGTAAAACGCCAGGTTTCCGTTCCACGTCCGTCTTGGTGCGTGTTCCAGAGCCGAAGTTTGGTCGGATGGAAGCCGAAGCCAAAGTCTGCCTCCCAGAAGCCAGCTGTGTCGTCTGCGAGCAGCCAGGTATTCCCAGCGCCGTCAGTCCCGTTTGTTTTGCAAACAATGTTGGCGGGGTCGGAGAATCCGGTCGTGTCCGTCGAGCCGCTGGCAGTCAGGTTGGCCGTGGAGATGTTAATAATCTGTTCGTCTGCTTCGCTCGGCGTGCTGACGTTTCCCAGACCGGTAAAACTGCCACCAAAGATAATATGCCCATTGAATGCCTTGGCGATGGACGTCACCGGCCCGTTGAATCCAGCAAACGGTAGGGCAGTCCATCCAGAGCCGTGAACATAGGTAATGGCATTTGTCGAGCTATTTTCGACAAAGTTACCGCCGACAAAGACGGTGTTGAGCTCTTCGTCACACAAGACAGCGTTGACCTGGCCGGAGAGCCCAGGAATAGCAGTGACTTCTGTGGTGTTGGGGTTGAACAGAACCATAGCCGTGGCCTCCTGGCTGCCAATGCTGGTGAAGTTTCCGCCGAGGACTACGCCGGCATTGGTGCCGTCTTTAAGAACGAAGGAGCACATCGCCATGATCGAGGCATCGGTATGGAGAATCGTAGTCAGCGCACCGTTCGGGAGCCGGGCCATGAGTCCCTCGCTTCCATTTGTGGAGACGGTGCTCTGTGTTTGCTCCTCGAACTGAAACATCGAGATGCCTGCGAAATCGCCGCCAATCCCTATCCTACCAAGGCTGCTGAGGTCGACATTTGGTGACTGTGCAGCGGTAAAATTTAGTGCCTGTGCAGGTGCCGGAGCCATCGAAGCCAGCGCGAGGAAGGACGTCGCTGCGCTGGCGAAGGAGAAGACCGGCTGTCGCATCGAGGAAGCCGAGGCGACGGCATCCTTGCGCCGCCGTAGCGGTATTCGCATGATGTGGGAGTGTTTGTCGTCGTGATATCGAGTTTTGGGGGGGGATCTCTCTCTCTGCTGCAGAACAGCCCGCTCGTCTGGTCTCTAAAGGCAAGCTGCCTGGAAAGACTGTGGTTTTTGGGACGTTGGATGTTATAGTACAGGCATCGTAGTCGGACAAGGGTGACGAAAAGAACTCGGTAGAAAAACTGTCGGTGCAAATCGGCAGGTCTCTCCGATCGAAAAAGGAGATCTCGTCAAGTGACAGAGGACACCCGGTCGAATACTGGACGGTGAGAGGCGAGGAAAAAGAAAGACGAGAAAATGTCGAAATGAGCGTGTGGTTTCAATTGATCGAATGAATGAGAGTCGGGCGCAAAGTCACGCGCTGAGAAAATGAAGAGCTAAGAACTGAAGTCGAAGTGGAGGGAAAGTGAGCAGAGGCAAGAGAAGGCGAGAGTCTGCCGGACCAGAGACGAAGAAGGGAGGGTTGCGTAAAAGGTGGAGCTGTCCAAGGGTCAATCAGCGTTGCAATCTGAGGAGGTCGTCGTAAGAGTAGGCTTGGACGAGGTCAAAGCTTCTCCAGGGATGTGCACCGGTTTTATTTTCCTTCTTTCCTTCTCTTATTTTTTAAGGTCGGGGAGAATGAGCGGTGGGGAAGGAACACGCCGATTGAAAAGGAAAGACTCCCCGGGCGAAAAGCGCGAGGTGTGGACGGGCAGAAGAGAATGCGCTGTCTCGTCTGTTAGCGAGAAGCAGAAAAAGGGAAATACGACGATACACGACGTGGAAACAGGGCCAATCGTGATCCCCTGTAGTATTTGTCCTTCCGTTTTTCCTCCTTCTGCAAAAGAACCTGGCGGCCTAGCTCGCTCGTCGATAAACAGAGATTTGTGCCAGAGACCCACTTTGGGCAACCCTGGACGGAGAGGTCTGGCTCACTAGCCAACGGAACGTCACCAGGCCATTCACCTGCGCACACGTTTGGGTTCGCAGAACAGCTGGTCGCAGCGCTGGTCTGCACAGCCCGACTCTGACGATCGCTTTCGAGTCACAGAGCAGGAAAGATATTAAGTTCAGGCTCCAATTCAGGTCGCTAGCCCAAAATGCCCCCAAAAACGGAAGGCGACCGGAGGGAACGGAGAAAACGGCGTTCCTTACTAGTCGGGCTGGCTTCGGCTGAGCCAGCAAAGAAAACCCCTGTCGATGCCCGCCCTGGTAGCGCTCTGGCCAATCACACCGCCCATACGGTCATCGCGGTACCTGCGTCTAATCCTGTTTTGGTCAAGCCAAATTAAATCTGCCAAGTCCCTGGAAATGACGATGAGAAGGCCAATCAGAGAGCTCCATTACGGTTCTTGTGTCCATCAGGAACCTTAGACCCTCCGTTTTAGCACATGGTAATGAGTGAATACGATGGCCGTGACCTCCGGCATATGTACGATACGGCGTAATTCAACGCATCTGCATCCTGAGCTGACACATCGACTCAGAATGCGGGATTATAGTTCCAAGATGCGACGTAACCATTGCTTTTGATTTGTTTGCCTGGCTTCCCAGATTGCCATGCTGTCTCGGCTGTGCTGCCATCATAGGGATTCCAGTTATTTCGGTCTTCCTTTCGATAGAACCTCTCTATGCTGCGACCAAGCGAGCCTGCGCGTGAGAGATATGTGACACGAACATGCTGCGACACACGGCCGTTGCCGGGATGATTCGCCCGTGGCCTTCGCTGGTGCGAAGATCGGATTCATCGCCGGCTCACAGACGTTCTCGTCTCTTACGAGCATTTAAATCAGGGGTTCGGAAGCACAAGGCACCGGCAAATAAGACCTGTAAGATGGCAAGCTGGGGATTAATCTGTCTGTGAGCAATAGCGGCGGTGGGAGAATACAAGGCCCCTACTCAACCCCTACAAGGTTATTGTTAGAGACTGTCGTGGCCGAAACAGAGGAAAGGTTGAGCCAGGGGCTTACGGAGCAGAGCTGCCGGAAATGACTGTCCGCTCCTTAAAGTAAAAATAAACTACGGGGTACGGAGGATTTTCTGCAGAGTAATATATACGGAGTAAGATGCATAACATATAAACCCAGTGTACTCTGTACAGAATAGGAGTCGACCATTTTGTTCCGCTGCCAGCTGAGCGCAGTAGCCGCGCCAAACAGCGGGTTATATCTTTTGCAGTTTGTTGCACAATTGACATGGAAGTATGGCAAGATGTGATGTCTTGTCATATAAGCCCACCGGTATGCAATACCCCTCTATCGAATCGTTGGAATGAGGCGCGACGTGAGATACTCGGTGAACTCGTATTGCATTCCAGCCAATTTAGTCTCTTGTTATCAACGTCAGTTGTTGACATAAACAAAGTGAGGGGTTAGTGGGCTTCACGCCGAATGGGGCAGCCCGTTGGACCTTTCCCACGCAATCTTGCGTTCCAATTCTCCCCATACCGATCAAAAGTCTCCGTTAAAAATTCCAGCGCATCATGTCGTTTTATAGGCCTAGTCGCAGACTCTTGGCAGTATATTGTAGTACTTGTATCGTATATTCAGTCTTTTAGCAGATATAAACTAACTCTTGCATAATCAAACTACGTGGTGTCGATGTAAAGAATTGGCTTCCAAATTAGAGGTTAGGGAAGGCCGTCATTCTCATGTAGTTGTAAGAAACCAAACCGAAAGGCACCAAACGTCCCGGGTTTATACTCGGTAATAGCGATTGTGCTATACACATGTTATATGGCTTCCTGCGACTAGAAGTATATGCATATGCAATGGATGCTATTCCCCAGACAAGCGTGTTGTCTACAAACCATCTTGGCTGAGCCTTGTGGCGATCAAAAGTTGTGAAATGGAATAGATAGAACGATCGTTCAAGACGCTCTTCTATTTCTGTCTATTGCGTGTAAACAAGCAGTTATTCCGTGTATAAAACTACCCCTAGCCCCAAGTGACTTTGCAACAAGCTCGGCCGACATGTCCTTATCCTGTCTGTTTTGTTTGGTCATGGCCATTTTACCCGTCCTACAGCCTTCAACCCTGCGTCCAAATTCGTTGTTCTGACTGCCCTATGTTGCATGGCCCCCGCCATTGTCTCTAACCGCCCACTCCGTCCTGCTCCCCGATATAGCACCATACTACCACGACGTGCCCAATGGCACACGCAACAAGTGTTGCACTATTCAACATTGGGCCAACAAGAACACGTTTTGAGGCCGTATCTATGCACAGGCCAATGCGATCACCGAAATAAGAGATGGGGAAGATGAGTTCGTAATATGGAAAACATGGAGAGACCTGTTTGGCAGGGCATCAAAGGCGCCGTAGATCGTGTGTAGACCGTCGGCCTTCAACCCGGCCCTCCTTCTATGCTATGCTTGCAGACATTTATAAAAGACAGTGGAAGAAGAAAGGCCGCATACACTTTGAAAGAGAAGAGAGACAGTCGCAAAATGGACTCCAATCATAAGCATGAACGTTCCATCTCGTGCCATTCGTAAGCTCATAGCTTCTGCCCAGGGACGCCCTTGGCCCATGATGCAGCTGCGGATGCCGGCGGTGCCGACGGCGAGGTCGAGGACGAAGACGAGGACGCGTGTGGTGCTGTAGTGTGCGGTTTGGCAGCGGGCGACGTGATCTTGGCTGCCGTTCCGGCCGAGAATGTGCTTGTGCTACTCGTTCCACCTGTCGTAGACGGTTTCACCGTGGCTGGTGCAGACGGCTTAGCAGACGAAGCAACGGCAGCGGGAGGAGTGGCAGCAGGAGCCGGGAGAGCAGGCTTTGGTGCTGCTGTGGTAGGGGCCGTTGTCGTTGTGTGTCCCTTCTCGGCATCCTGTACCGCCATCCGCGTCTTGTATTCGCGTGGCGTCTCGATGCCGCCCTTACCGGCGCTACCGGCCCAGAGGCCACGCTTGCGTGTCCGGGCGCGCACCTCGGCCACGCGGTACTGAGCCTCGCGGCCGCCAAACTCGACGCCCGTCTTGGCCTCGTAGCATGTGGCGAGACCGCGCTTGAGCATGGCGAGGCCGACGTCGCTGCGGAAGAAGAGAAAGCGGCGCACGACAACGCGAGCAACCACACGCTCGTACTGGTCCTGGCGGAACAGGTACACGCGCACGCGGCGGCCCAGCAGATAGGATGTGAGAAAGTCCAGGGCCTCACCCGAGTAGGGCTGTGCTGGGCGGCCAAAGTGGGCGCACTCTGGCGCGTCGACGCCTGCTATTCTCACAGAGATCTGGGTTTCATCGACATTAGCGACTGGGCATGGGCCGTCGTAGACGATATGGACGTTGCATGTAGCTCAGAAGGAGCTACACCGATCCAGGAACGCAATCGGACAGTTGGGCCCACAGGGGGAAAATCAGGCAAATAGCACAACGTCTGGGACCGACACGATCGGAAGAGACGGGTGCAGCCAGCCGATGGCTAGAAAGGAGAAAACATGCATTTCCCGCAAGATGGGAGCCAGTCCGACAAGAAGTACAAATGAAGCCAAGTGCAGTCGACTTACCGTCTTGCCCTTCAGGTCCTTGCGGTAGGAAGGGACCTTTCGAAGCCAGCCCCAGCCGGCCAGCCAGCCACCCGGCGTGTGGTATAGATGGAAGTTGTCACCGTCGCCGACGCTGGTCACTTTGCCCAGCAGGCTGCGTCGACGAAAGTACCGCGGCTGGATGTGGTTTGTGCTGGGGATGCGCCGCAGGTAAGAGCGGTAAAAGGCCGAAAAGCCCAAGGCAGCGCCCACGGCCAGAGTCGGCGTCACCCAGGCCTGGGGGTCCTTGTAGTGCTCCCAGTTGGCCTCTTTCAGCGATTCGGTCCAGGAGACGAGCTGCTTGACCGGCGGCAGTTCTGTGAAGGAGGAGGACGAGGAGGGGGAGGACAAGTCGGCAGAGGCGGACGAGCTGGACGTCGGCGACGACACGGCCGCTGTCGCACCCTCCTTGCTCCCGTCACCGTTCCAGGGCCATCGCATCGTGGGCAGACGAGAAAAGGGCAGCCGCACAAGAGCAGGGCTGCGACTGGAATTTGGTCCGGAGTGGATCGGCGGTAAAGAGAATTAAGACGTTCCTTTCTTATTTTTGCTATGCACGAAAAATATGGCTTAGACCTCTTATCACTGATAGCAGCTGACAGGAGGGTCCCTCCTTCCTTCAATTGGAGAGGCTGGCACCCCGCCCGCAATGCATGTGTGGCTGCCTCAGGCAGTTGCTATTGGCGGTCCAAAGGATCGTATGGGAGCTGCAACAAGATATTGCAATAGACAAAGGGCCTTCTAGACCTTGACTTTTGAAATGCGGCTAAAGTGATTGTCCTTTCTTGCTGTCATGCTGTTCTTGCTCAATTTACTTTTCGTCGCTATTCTCCCCAGTAGACCACTGCCAAATCAACCCGATACTCCCAATCGCCGGACTCGTGCCTCGGCAGGAAGACGGCGTGCTCATTGAGCCTTGAATGTACGCCCGCTTGCTGTCTTGCGTTCCTTCTCCTCGTTGTTGTCTGGCCGGGCTCTCCGCAGAACTGTTTGGGTCAGTTTATGTTCTGCAGGCGAATCTCTCTCCGGTATCAAGCATACCTTGCAGGAAGTCCGCGGTGCGCTTCCGCATGCGCGAGTGGATGTACGCCTTGGATGCCTTGATGTGGTAGTGGAAGTAGTCGCGGAAGGTCTGGATGTGCGAGATCACATCGGGCATCCGCTGCGGCGTGAGATGGCGCGGGAAGAGGACTGGCTTGTCAGCAGGGCAGGGGGCAAGGGAAAGACATCAGGTAGCAAGACGGCGGCCCACGTACCAAAGGTGACATAGCCGATCTCGCCGGTGTCGGTGGTGCTCACGCCCGGCACGCCCTGCAGCTCCAGGGGGGGGTCGTTGCGGAAGAGCACCTGAGGGGCGTTCTGGATGGCGCGCCTCCGGGCATCGACAAACTCCTGGATAAAGACCTTTCCGTAGACGCGGTCGGTCTCCTCGCGGAAGACGGTGCTGAAGATAACGGTGACGCGGTCGTGGCTCGCCTTGACGTAGATGGCCTCCTCCTCGCGGTAGTGGACGGCCATGACCTCACCACCCTCGCGGATGCCCTGCGGCGCCTCTTCGGACGTGTACTTGGACGCCTCTTCCTTGAGCTTGTAGTACTCGGCGAAGGCGGCCTCGAACGGGGCGGCCATCATGTTGCGCTTGAGCAGGGCGATCTTGTCGACCAGGGCCGTGCGGGCCTCCGGCTCGGCCGGAAGCTGGTCGAGGTCGACAACGATGGAAAACTGGAAGCCGGGCTCGGGCTCCACAATGTGCGGGCCGTACTCGCGCTCCAGCACCTCCTTGGCGCCATACTTGACCAGGTCGTCATAGCATCGCAGGAGAATGGAGATTTGAATTTTCGACTTGGACTCGGGCGTGGAGATGTGGAACAGCACACCGTCAAAGTCGGACACGGTCTGGTCAATGTGTGCAGGCGGTGCCCTGAGAGGATGGACGGCAGGAGACGTCAGCAGCTTGTCGGTAGGGAGAAGGGAGGAGAAGGAGACGGATGGATCGGGGGAGAGCCCTACCCAGAGAATCTCTCTGTCAGCACCGTCTGGATGAGAACGTTCTGGTAGTCGAGCAGAAGCATCCTGGCCGGTTCTTTGGTCGCCAAGGGGGGTCCTTGGTTGGATGGAGGATGGACAGGCAGCGGCGATGTGGTCGGATGGCCTCGTCAACGGATTGAGTTGGCGGGGCGGTGTCTGAGAAGCGACATGCTGACCAGTCCCACGTGACCGCTCAGAAAAATAAATGGGTCTGGTTGTAGCAACCATGCAAGGCAGAGAGGCTAAAAACTCTGCTATGAAAATAGTCCGTGCACGAACGGCGATAAAGTGCAGATGGGAAAAAAAAAGTTCTAATCAGTAAATGCTACTGCGCAGACCAAGCGAAGCACGGCAAAGTGGTTTGGTTTGCTTTCGACGCCGCTCAGGATGGTGAAGTCATACTTGTGCGTGGGCGGTGATTGTGGTTATGGGGCCGTGGCGGGCAGTAAATATGCTGACAATGAGTATGCAGAAAATTCGAGCACGCAAGGTCCTTTGGCGTTGTGACGGCGAGCACGTCCAACGTTGTGTGGACAGGCCAGCAGCGATCGGGAACAGGAGCGGGCCAGGCGATTGTGGCAGCCAACGAAGATGTGCTCTGCTGGGACATCAAGAAGGGCGAGCTGGTGAGCCGATGGCACGACGAGAAGAACAAGGCGCAGGTGACGGCGATTGCGGAGAGCGAGGTGGACAAGGACATTGTGGCCGTGGGCTACGAGGACGGCAGCATCCGGCTGTGGGACGGGCGGCTGGCGACGGTGATTGTGAGCTTCAACGGGCACAAGTCAGCGGTGACGCACCTGGCGTTTGACAAGGCGGGCGTGCGGCTGGCGAGCGGCTCCAAGGACACGGACGTGATCGTGTGGGACCTGGTGGCCGAGACGGGGCTGTATAAACTGCGCGGCCACAAGGACCAGATTACGGGGCTGCGGTTTGTGGAGCCGGCAGCAGAGGACGAGGAGGAGGAAGCGGCAGCGACAGCGGGCGAGGGCTTTCTCCTGACGACGTCCAAGGACTCGCTGATCAAGCTATGGGACCTGTCGTCACGGCACTGCATCGAGACTCACATTGCACAGCGCAGCGGAGAGTGCTGGGCGCTGGGGGTGTCGGCGGACCTGAGCGGATGCATCACGGCGGGCAACGACGGTGAGCTGCAGGTGTGGGCGATCGAGACGGCGGCGCTGGCAGCATCGACACAGCGAGTGGAGGTGACCGGATCGGACAAGTTTCTGGTGGCGCGCGGCACGCTGCACCGGCAGGCCAAGGACCGGACGGCCGAGATCACGTTCCACCCGCGGCAGGGCTACTTTGCGGTACACGGGGTAGAGAAGTCGGTGGAGATCTGGCGGGTGCGGACGGACAGCGAAGTCAAGAAGGCGCTGGCACGGAAGCGGCGGCGAAGGCGAGAAAAGGCGGCAGCGACGGCAGAAAAGGGCGGCGACGTGGACATGGGCTCAGGGCAGGAGGACGAGGGGGTGTCCTCGGCCGAGATGGCGGACATATTTGCTTTGCACGTGATGGTACGGACAGCAGGCAAGGTGCGGTCGGCGGACTGGGCTCTGGGCAGCGGGCGGAAGGAGCTGCAGCTGCTGGTGGGGACGACGAACAACCTGCTGGAGCTGTACACGATATCGACGCGCAAGGAGCGGGCATCGAAGAAGGCAGCGGCAGACGAGGAAGAGGCAGCGGCGAGCTACAGCCGAGCGCTGGCGGTGGAGCTGCCAGGACACCGGGCAGACATCCGGTCGGTAGCGCTGAGCTCGGACGACAAGATGCTGGCGACAGCGGCGAGCGGCAGCCTGAAGATCTGGAATGTGCGGACACAGACGTGCATCCGGACGTTTGAGTGCGGCTATGCGCTCTGCTGCGCCTTTCTGCCGGGCGACAAGGTGGTGGTGGTAGGCACGAAGACGGGCGCGCTGGAGCTGTTTGACGTGGCGTCGGCGGCGCTGCTGGACAGCGTGGAAGCGCACACGGGAGCGATCTGGGCGCTGCAGGTGCACCCAGACGGTCGTTCGGTCGCGACGGGCAGCGCCGACAAGACGGTGCGGTTCTGGGACTTTCGGATCGTGCAGGAGGCGGTGCTGGGAACGACACGGACGGCACCACGGCTGCGGCTGGCGGCAACGCGCGTGCTCAAGGTGGCAGACGACGTGCTCAGCCTGCGCTTCTCGCCCGATGCGCGGCTGCTGGCGGTGGCGCTGCTGGACAGCACAGTCAAGGTGTTCTTTGTCGACTCGCTCAAGCTATTTCTCAACCTGTATGGGCACAAGCTGCCGGTGCTGAGCATGGACGTGTCGTACGACAGCAAGCTGATCGTGACGAGCAGCGCCGACAAGAACGTCAAGATCTGGGGCCTGGACTTTGGCGACTGCCATCGCTCGCTGTTTGCGCATCAGGACAGCATTCTGCAGGTGGCGTTTGTGCCGCACAACGGCGACGGCAACGGGCACCATTTTTTCAGCTGTGGCAAGGACCGGGCCATCAAGTACTGGGACGGCGACCGGTTCGAGCAGATCCAGCGGCTGGACGGCCATTTTGGCGAGATCTGGGCCATGGCCGTCAGCCACAGCGGCTCGTTTGTCGTCAGCGCGAGCCACGACAAGAGCATCCGGGTCTGGAACGAGACGGACGAGCAGGTCTTTCTGGAAGAGGAGCGCGAGCGGGAGATGGAGCTGCTGTACGAAAGCACGCTGGCGACGTCGCTGGAGCGTGATGCCGACCCGGAGGACGCCGGCTTGGACGGCCAGCCGGCCGATGTCGGGCTCGCGTCTAAGCCGACCACTGAGACCCTCATGGCCGGCGAGCGCATTGCCGAGGCCCTTGAGCTGGGCATGGCCGACCTTGTCACGCTGCACGAGTGGCGCGAGACCCGTCGTCGCCAGCCCGGCGTCGTCTTGGCGCCGCCGCAACGCCACATCGTCTTCACGGCTCAGGGCAACCTTTCGGCCGAAGATCACGTGATGCGCGTCCTCAACCGCATTCCTGCTGCCGCTCTGCACGACGCCCTGCTCGTGCTCCCGTTCGCCCAGCTGCCTGCGCTCTTCACCTTTCTTGACCGCTTCGTCCGCCGCGCCATGAACGTCCCGCTCACCTGCCGCGTCCTGTTCTTTATGCTCAAGACGCATCACCGTCAGATCGTCGCCAGCCGCACCATGCGCGCGACCATCGACGGCCTCCGCGCCAGCTTGCGCGCCGTCCTGCAGGAACAGAAGGACCAGATGGGCCACAACATGGCTGCGCTGCGCGTCGTCGCCGCCCAGGTGCGCGACCAGGCCGTCAAGAACTACGTCGACGAGACCTGGGAAGACGTCGACCCGGCGCAGAACGCCCGCAAGCGCGGCTTCGTGCAGGTGTCATAGAGTGTGTGCTTATAGACTTGTTTGGCGTTTATTGATGTGCTTCTGGTTGGACTGCTGGCGATGGTGCAGAGGATCCTATGGTGAAGTGAATGTTTCGTGCGATGAATGATTAGTCATCAACAAGGACCCCACGACAAGAGACCACCGGCTTGATGCTTCCGGACTCGCCTGCCGGTCGGCGACCATCGTGTGACGTGCGGGGAACGATCTCTGACAGCGTCTTTGTCAGCGAGACATAATTGAGGAGCCGAGACATGCAGCAGTTCATAAAAATGGTCTTGTATTGAGATCAGCCGGAACCTACTAGTCACATACGCGTTCAGGCAGCCACAAACAAGAGCAATGGGATCCTGCGGCTTTACGATCAAGGACGAGCCGGTGGAGAACCTGCGGCCACTCAAGGTCCGCGTGATCGGGGCCGGCTTCTCGGGCATCCTGGCGGCCATCCGCATTCCACAGAAGCTGCGCAACGTGGATCTCGTCGTGTACGAGAAGAACGCGGGCCTGGGCGGCGTCTGGTGGCTGAACCGTTACCCGGGTGTGGCCTGTGACATTCCCTGTGAGTTGACTGCCCTTGCGTGCGAGGTGATGCCCGTTAACCGGTCAGCCCACTCGTACCAGTACTCGTTCGCGCCGAACCCGCACTGGTCGTCGCTGTACGCGCCGGGTCCGGAGATCCAGCAGTACCTGCAGGATGTGGCCGGGCGCTTTGGGGCGACGCGGTTCATCAAGACGCGGCACGAGCTGCGGGCGGCCGTGTGGGACGAGCAGACAAAACTGTGGCGGCTGACGGTGGCCGATCTGGCGACGGACACGTCGTTTGTCGACGAGTGTCACGTGCTGATCACAGCACGCGGCCAGCTTAGCGACATGCGATGGCCGGATTTGCCGGGACTGCTGGATCGCTTTGCCGGCAAGGTCATGCACTCGGGAGCCTGGGACGACGGCTACGACTTTGCCCACAAGCGTGTCGCCGTCATCGGCAACGGGTCCAGCGCCATCCAGCTGGTCCCACGGCTGCAGCAGCTGCCCGGCACCGCCCTGACCGTCTTCCTGCGGTCGCGCACGTGGATCACCCCGCCGATGGGCGCCGATGCCATGGCGGCTTTGGGCCTGGACCCGGACGCGGCCACGGTGCCGCCAGCACAGCAGGCCGTCTGGGCTGCGGACGCCGACGCGCTCCTGCGCCTGCGCAAGACGGTCGAGGATGCCGGCAACGAAGCGCACGAGGCGTCGGTGCGCGACACCGTCCCGCAACAGCTGCTGCGCCAGGCTTTGTCCGATAGCATGCGCCAGGCACTGGCACGACGGCCGGACCTGTTTTCGCTGCTGGCGCCCGACTTTGCGCCGGGCTGCCGTCGTCTGACGCCCGGCCGCGGCTACCTCGAGGCGCTGATGGCGGCCAACGTGGAGGTGGTGACTGGGGCAGTCGTGGCGGCTACCGAGACCGGCGTGGTGGTGGAGGAGGAAAGAAAGGATGGGAGAGATGGAAACGGAAACGGAAACGGCAATGGAAACGGTGGAAACGGAAGCGACGGAAACGGAAACGACAACCGCCGTTCGTTTCCGGTCGACGCCATCGTCTGTGCCACCGGCTTCCGCGTGTCCGAGCCGCCGCCGTTTCCGGTCATCGGCCGCCGTGGCATCTCGCTGCAGCAGCGATGGGCCGACATTCCCGAGACCTATCTCTCTGTCGCCGTCAACGGCTTCCCCAATCTCTTCTTTCTCTTCGGCCCCAACGCCGCCATCGGCTCCGGCAGCCTCACCGTCATGCTCGAGGCCGCCTGCGACTATGTCGTCCAGCTGATCCGCAAGCTGCAGCGCGAGGATTACGCCTCCATCGAGCCGCGAGCCGATCGCGTAGCCGACTTCTCCGCCTACGTCGACGCCTACTTCCGCAACACCGTCTACCTTGACCGCTGCCGCTCCTGGTACCGCTCCCACGGCGGCACTGGCGACCGCATTGTCGGCCTCTGGCCCGGTTCCACCCTGCACGCCCTCGAGGTCCTCCGCTCGCCGCGCTGGGAGGACTTCGTCTACGAGACCGCCGACGACGACGTCTCGGCGCCCAACCGTCTGCGCTGGCTCGGAAACGGTCGCAGCGTCACCCAGCTCGGCCGCGGCGACCCATCCTGGTACCTCAACCCGAACCAGGTCGACGTGCCGCCCGAGGGCCGGCCGGAAGACGATCCCCGTCTGCTGGCACGACCATGGTCATACTAGAGCGTAAGAGCATGCTTATTTGATGCATACCTACATACCGCATACATGCATAAATGACAATACAAACAAATCTTCATGTATAATCAATTGAGTATGGCACACAGGACTGGTACTTGACAAAGGGAACTGCCATGCCTCGCGTTCTTCCCGCGGCGTCTTTTTAGTTGTTGCGCAAGACGTGCTTAAGCCTTGGGGGAGGCCACGATCTCTGCGCCGGGGTTAGTTTCGGATCACCGGATTGGACGGAAGTGCGTGCGCCGAGCGCAAGCGGTACGTACTCTCGACGTCAGCAACGGCCTGCTGCAGGATCTGCTGCAGGGCCTTGGGGCTCTCGAGCTCCTTCTTGATCTTGGCAATGACGCTCTGGGCGAGCTCCTGCTGCTGGCGCTGCTTGACCTGGCTTTCGTAGCGAACCCACGAGTCGAGCACGGTCTTGGCCTCGTGAGCAAGGGCCGTCTTCTGCTCGAGCTCAAAGGCCTGGGCCTCAAGCTTGGCCGTTTCCTGGACCTGTTAGGGAAGGGAGAAGACAAGCGGGAGAGTGGAGACGGCAGAAGAAAAAACGACAGGCCGGCATCCGACAAGATGGGACAGCTCCCACGCACCTTGGACACCTCAAAGAGCGTCTTGGTAATGCCAATCACGCCCGACATCTCCTGCACCGTCTCGATGCGGGTCTTGACGGCCTGCGAGTGGTCCGCCCGGGCCGCGTTGAGCACGCCCAGAATCTTGTCGTGCTGCGACTCGGCCCACTCCTTGTACATCGGCCCGCCGAACTTGATGAGCGCCGTCCAGACCGACAGCAGGCAGAACGCCACCACCGTCTCCTCGTTGACGACGTAGTACTCGTTGCTGAGCGCGTAGATCGACAGCCCGGCCGCCGACGACAGGATCGCCGACTTGCTGATCAGCGAGTTGCCCGGCAGCGCGTCCAGGATGCTCTTGGCCTTGACCTTGGGGTCGACCGTCGGCACGGCCGGCGTCGTCGACGACGCCCGCACGCTCGTCAGCGCCGTCACGGCCGGCACGGCCGATCGCGAGAGGAGAGTCGGACGCAGGCGGGCGAGCCCTATAAAAAAAGAAAAAAAACGAGAAATGGTCAGCAAACGCCCGCAGACAGCCAATGGCACCGACAGCGCCTCCGTTCACCGCCAGAACCCACCTGCCGCGTTTCTTGCCAAGCGAGACGCCATTGTGGGATGAGAGGGCGGATGATGCGATTTTCGAGATGGTGCTTGTTGATGGGGGGCCGGATGGAGCTCGGAAAAGGAAAATGAGGTTTTATCGGAACAGGTCGCTAATTGACGCCGCGGTCACGTGTGATGGCTCGCTCCAAAGGAGTCCAAAATGTGGGGCGATAAGGATAAGCAGAAAAAGTTGGCAAGCAGAAAAAAAGAGACGGCGCCCCACAGCTCCGACACTTTGAGAAGCGACCAGGCCAGACGACGACGACACGATGCCAGCAGCAAGCCAGGCGCCCGTCAAGCGGAAGCGCGCTGTCCAGGGGGAGGCGCCGAGAAAGCGGTCACGGTCAGAGAGCGGGAGCGGCGATGACGACGACGACGAGCCGAGCGGCCAGGGCCGCATCCTGTTGCTGGAGCAGGCGATTGTCGAGTCTAAGAAGAACTACAACAACATTGTCGTGCTGCTCGACCTGGCGCGGGGCGCGCCGAACGGGGACGACGAGGACGACGAGGACGACGAGAACGATGATGAGAATGAAGGACCGGCACTGACGGCGTCGGTGGCGCTGTGTCGCGTGTTTCTGCGGCTGCTCGCCGGCGGCCAGCTGGCGAACAAGAAGACGGCCGGCGAGAAGGACCGCGTGGTCGTGGGCTGGCTGCGGAGCCGCCTGGCCGAATACGAGGACGTGCTGCTGGCCATGTTGGGGCGGACGGGCGAACAGGCGGCCACGGCGCTGACGCTGGTCATGCGGCTGGTCCAGGCTGAGGGAGAGCATCTGCAGGGAGGAGAGAAGCCGGAAGAGGACAAGGACAGCAAAGCCAACAAAGGCACAAAGGGCGACAAGCCCCACTACTTTCCCCAGGCACTCTTTCGCCGTCTCGTCGGCTGCCTCGTGCACGCTCGCCAGCAGCTGGGCGTCGAGGCTGGCGAGGCTCTGGCCGACGAGTTTGTCGACCGCTTTGCCGGCTCCTTTCACGATGTGCGCTTCTATACCTTCCGGGCCGTGACGGCACTCTTGCAGCAGCACCACGGCCACCAACAAAAACAGACTGGCACCGACACGGTCGAGGCTGCCCTGTATCTGCTCTCGCTGCTGGACGCCGTGCCCGAAGAGCCGCTCGAGGACGGGCCCGAACACTTTTACGTCCGCCAGCCCAGCAGCCAGCTTCGGTCGTTGGCCCAGCACAAGAAGCAGGCACAGGACGCCTGGATTGCGCTGCTGAGCAGCAGCACCACCGCTGCCAGCACCATCATCCGCAAGCGCGCCCTCGCCCTCATGGAACCGGTCATCGCGCCCTGGTTCGTGCGGCCGGAACTGCTGCTCGACTACCTGACCGACTGCTACAATGCCGGCGGGGCGACATCGCTGCTGGCGCTCTCTGGGCTCTACTACCTCATCCGCGAGCGCAACGTCGACTATCCGGCCTTTTACACTAAGCTGTACTCGCTCCTGGACGGCGACATGTTGCACTCGAAGCACCGCTCGCGCTTCTTCCGCCTGATGGACACCTTTCTGGCCTCCACCCATCTGCCCGCACAGCTGGTCGCCAGCTTCGTCAAGCGGCTCGCTCGCCTGTGTCTGCACGCCCCGCCGAGTGCTATCGTCAGCGTCGTGCCCTGGATCTACAACTCCTTCCGCAAGCATCCGCTGTGCACCTTTATGATTCACCGCGTCCCGGCCGACCAGCACGCCCGCGATCGTCTCGCCCGTGATGGCCTCGCTGACCCTTTCCGCCCCGACGAGTCCGACCCGATGGAGACTCGGGCTATCGAGAGCTGTCTCTGGGAGATTGTTCAGCTGCAGTCACACTACCATCCCAACGTCGCCACCATTGCCAAGATCATTTCCGAGCAGTTCACCAAGCAGACCTATAACCTTGAGGACTTTCTCGACCACTCATACCAGAGTGTGAGTTTTTCTTTTCTTTTCTTTTTTCTTCTTCACCCCGCTGACCCCTCAGCTCTTCGATGCCGAGATCGGAAAGGAAGTCAAGAAAACCCCCGTCGTCGAGTTTCAGATTCCCAAGCGCATCTTCTTCCCCCAGGACCCCGCCGCGGGCCTCGAGGACGGCCTTCTCGTCAAGCTCTGGGACTTTTCCTGAGTCACGCACCCGTCGCTGACATGGCCGATACTGTGTCCAGTGGCACGACGTCGGGACTTGATGCGCACGTGGTGCGCCATGATGGGCTTGCCGGTCAAGGAGGGGGGCAGCTGCCTGAGGCGTGGCCAGGACGTTGGGCATTGCATCGCATCGCACGATATCACTTCGTTGCTGGTCGGGCTGGTGTTTGTGTGTTTGTGTATCTGTTGTGTTTTTGTGTGTGTGTTTGGGCGTTGGTTTACTTGGGCGTTCCTCTTTCTGTAATGCGTGCCTTGGTCTGGCAGAACAGAAAAACAAAGCACGGAGAAGCAGCGACAAAATAGGAGAGAAAACAAGATAGACATCCTCCATGGCCCTCCTTCCAGTCCGTCCACGCGCCTTGTATGCCTTGGGCTGACAGGAGGCCCGACACACACGAGGAGCAGTCGTGATGTACACCGGATGGCGACTGCGTCACCATGTCCTTGGGTCTGGCCTGCCCTGCCTGGCCATCACAGAGATCATGCGACTTCCCATCCGGCTCACCGCATGCAGAGGAGCCAAGAAGCCCAAGAAGCTGGTGGACATTCCGTTGATTTCATGCAGCGAACTCCTCATAGGCACGACGCGGTGTGACCGTGTGTTCGTGCGGACTCGCAACCTGTAGAAGCAGCAGATGGTGGAGAGTGGTGGCGGCTTGTGTCTAGGCAGGCTCAAACACTGTCGTGGAGAACGAGCCAGCTTTGCCAATGCTGCCCACTCGAACATATGCGAGGCGTGTTCCAGATAGATTGCTTGTGCGAGCCCACAGTCCATTTTGAAACAATCGCTCTCACGGTCTGGACGACGGAGTACGGGCATGCCGTTTGTGTCGCTCTGCTGCTGGTCTCCTCGTGCCATTGAACGGGCGACAGGCTCACAAATGACACAAATGAGGACAATGAACAGCGATAGCACCCGGCCTGCGTGCTTTGTTACGCCGCAGACAAGACGTGTTGTGGCCACACAGATCAATCGGCCACCGATCGGTATCTCACATCCCCTTGACCACCTCCTGGCTGAGAGAATCACGATGAATGCCTAGGCATCCCGCCTGGCCACTTGGCTCGCCAGAGGAGCACATGCACCGTCCTGGTGTCGGGATGGGGTGCCTAGTCCCTTTAACCCCCAAAGATGACACAAGCCTGTCACAAGCCTGTCCACGCCCACAACAGATGACTCTACGAGGGACATGCGAGACTGCGGCGGTCAACACCGACGCGTCAACGCCTCGGGGGGACATGCAGGGCACGAATCGCCATCATTACGGAGCCCATAATCCGTACATATCCATGACCGGTGCGCATTACGACGTATACAACTTGGCCTCTTGCAAAGCATATCAAACAAGGACCCATTCGGTCCCCTTCCAGACTCCTGCATGCGGCTACCCGGTATGTCCAGGCCTGTCTTTCAAAAAAGAAACGCGGCATGTGTCAAGGCTAAAAAGTAAAGAGAGATAGGCTAGGGGGTGGGAGCAGTCAGAATAAAGGTGAGAGTAACAGATGGCAGCGGAGTTTCGTGTTTTCTTCACCGCCATCTGGACGGACAGACTATGGATTCATTCCCACTTTCCAGGGGCCAATCACCGGAGATCGAGATCTCGTGTTCCGGCTGATACCCAGCATTAAACAGCTGATACGAAACAAAAACCTGAGGTATTAAAGGCAAAAAAGAGACCAGACGGTGATCCGCGAAACCACAAATCGGCAACGCGGAACGAGTATCTTACTGTTCCCCGAGAACTGTCTGGCCGTCAGGCGTCGCCGAAATGAGCTGACAGTGGTGGCTGAACAGGTCTTGTGGTTGGAGGATAGAGCCAGAGGCGAGAAGCAGAAAAGTTTAAAAAAAAGAAACGAAAATGGCGCAAGAGATGGGGCTGTATCAGCCCGCCAACACGGCGAGCCCCTCTCCCGGAAGGGACAAGAAAGTAAATATAGAACGAGAGAGCAAAATCAAGAAAAAACAGCTGAAAGAGCAGATGCGGCAATTCTTTCTCCGGCTGAGGGCCTGTGCAGACGCTGTCATGGGCCCAAAGTCGCCCTCACCGCGGAGGTGATCTTGATGCTGCAGGGGCAAACGAGACGGTGGAACGGAATACTGTCCCGCCCAGGTGACGCCTTTCAAGCATGGTCACGTTTTTCTTGCCTCGCCCAATTATTTTTAGGCTGATACTTGCATATGCATGAAATCATTGCCCAGCGCGGACTTCGATGTCGATATCATAGGCTAGGCTGGATGTGAGCATCGGATTGCGTAATGGGGTAAGACGGCAAGCAAAGAAAGAAGCAAGATAACAAAAAGCAAAAAGCAAACAAACCGAGAACCGAAGAATTGATGTGCTGCAAGGGCAGAAAAGGGTGTAGTGCCAGACCTGCCCAAGCCACACCAGCGAGTTCGATCGTGTGAAAATGCATGAGACATGGACGGAGGCAAGTCTACATCCGGTAATGAGGGCTGCTGATTTCCCAATCAGCAGGCACCGACAGAAAATGCAATGCCACTGGGCAGATTACGTTAAGCGAGACCGTGAGCAGCAGTTGGGCAACAACGTAACCGGGGCCGGTTGGGCTGACCGGCCAGAGGCAGCGAAGCGGAAGCCTGCCGTCATCCGCAAGCAGGCACAGTCGCAGGCCGATGTCCCCCTCCCCGTGCTGTCTTCACGTCAGATAGAGTTGATGTTCGGACCAGTCGCGTCTGCCGCGCTGAAACGCGAACCAGCGTAGCTCGCCCCATTCCTGTGAGAGCGAAAGTGAAAAACTTCAATCACTCTCCCCCGTGCGTCAGTCTCGTGGTTTAGCTTCGCAGACAAGCACGTGCCTCGGCATGCTGATTCGACAACAAGCTCGTGCTGTTGCCCTACCCAGACGCCGTCGTTGCATCTCATTGATCACATTGGGCTGTTATGATGAGCTTTCGGGCGTGCACTGCAGGGAGCGCGTTTGCGTCACGCCTGTCGAGCTTGGCCGCCCTGGCGGAGGCCGCCCTGCCTCGAAGCAGCGCATCGGTGAGGCAGCAGCTGCGTACAGCGTCTGGGGTAAAGGCTGCTGCGGTGAGAAGGCGTAATGGTCCGGCACCCCGAAGGTGCTGATGTAATCAGTCAGGCATACGTCGTAGGCACATCATGCCCGGGTCCCGTCGGAAGAGCTGTGCCCAACGAGTCGAAACGGGCTAGGCTCGCCCAGCCGGGATGCCATGCCGGGAACCAAACGGGCCCAACAACGATTGCAGGTCGGGTTTCCGGCCGATGCGGTGCTCGTAGTGTGGGGGTGTAAATAAGTCAAGATGTGTCCCAGAGGCGACCGGTTCTGAAACTGCAGGACGCAGTCAGGAGACGCGTGCCTGGTGAGAAGGGAAAGGCGTGGCTCACTTCCTGGCTGAGGCCAGCGAGTGGTTGGCTGCATGGGGGTGGTGGCCGTGGTGGTTGTGGTGGCCGTAGTGGCCGTGGTGACAGTAGTGGTGCTTTTTTGCACACACCGCACTTTGGCAAACGTCCTCGCGATCGTCTCGATGGCTGTGGGCGCCAGTGGCAGCGCTCGACTGCTCCTGGGCTGTCCTCAGGATGGCGGGGCACCAACTTGGCGAGCAGACGTTAGCGGGCCGCCGAATATGCGGCCGCGTGCACCAGATACCACTCGGGGCAGCCAGGACAGCCCAAACAATAACACAGCTCTGGCTGCGGTGAGAAAATGTCGGCGAGCCGGTTGAAGGGGGAACGATGCCCTGGCGAGGTAGCGAGACGCTGGTCAGCCACCTGTCCCTCTGTTCAGGGGAAAGAGGGGCCATTCTCCTTCTCTATGCCTCCTCTTTTAGTGCTTCGCTCCCTATATCTCCAGCTCTGTTTCCCGACTGTTTCTCTTTCCTCTTTTCCAATTGTCTCGATGCCTATCCGTCCTGGGCTTTCTTTTTCCGACGTCTGTGTTTCCTTTATTTGCTTTTTGCGTCCATTGCCCTTCAACCCATCCCTGACAAGCGCGCTTCTGCGCGCGGCCCTGCAGTGGTGGCGCAGGATGGAGGGGGGGGGGGCGTTCGGAAATCGATAACAGACAGACGAAGGAAGTATATGTCCCGCGTCCTCGAAGCAGGACGAACAATCACGAGCTCGGCGTTGCGAAGGGGGAGTGGAGGACGGAGAGCGAGGCAGACAGAGGCCAGACTGAGGGCAGAGAGGGCACGACTAACGAGGGCCATCCACAGTCCAGCAAGATACGGAAACCGCGGACCGCACGCGCGTGACGGAGGGTTGTTCCTGCTATCTTCGGCAGCGTTCTCCTGCGCCTACACTATGTAAGCACCAGCTAGTCAGGATTGGTAGGCTAGGAGGGAAGGAGCCAGCCCCGGCCGTTTCCCCTCTTCCCATTTCTGGCGTCTCGGTTTCTGGTTTCTGGTTTCTGTCGCCTGGCTCGCTCGTAATCGCCTCGCGCTAGCCCGTTTGGGCAACGGAGCCAGCAGCCAGCAGCCGGCCGTTTCGCCGTTGCGAACGGCAGACGGCGCTTCCTGATAGGGCCTCGGACTGCCTATGTTAGCGGTCTGATCAGGGCCCTGTCTGGCCACAGGGTTGGTCGGTTTGCCCCAATGCTGCTCCGCCCGTCGGGTAGCAACGCTTCTGCCCCTCACAAGATGCCATTTCTGCCCAACCTACGACGTAAGAGCCGGCGGCCGTGTCCTAGAACGAGGCCGTTCGACGGCCGATGCTCGAACGGCCGACGCCGCCCATTTACGGGGAATGCCTGACTACTCCCCTACCCCTGTCTCGTTGGGCTCTGCCACTGTTCTGTCGTCTGTATGGTCAACGTTCTGTCTTGTCTTGAACTTGTGCGCATTCTCACTGGCTCTCGCTCCTGTCCGTTTTTCCTCTTCTCCTGTCCTGCCTTCGCGTCCGAGATGGTGTCAATCCATCGCTCAATCCGTCGCTCACTCAGGCCATCGAGAGGGGAGCCGGGACGTTTTGCCCGTATGCCTCATCTGGCCTGCCGTGGCCCATCCTGTAACGGCCGCAACCGCGTGATGGTTGTTTACGACAATCTGTTCACGCGCATCGCATCGCTGACGCCTGGGTCTGTCTGTCTGCCTGCCTGCCTGCCTGCACCGCGCTACACGTTTCCACAAGCGATCGCAGCTGGGGATGGGGGGCATCGAGTTCGATCGTCCGGGCGCCTCGCAGCTTTGATTTGCAGGCGGCCCCCCGTGGGCAGTAGTGGGCAGCAGGCCATGGCCCAAGCCACGGCCCCGACGGGCCTGGCGGTACGAGGCGCTGGTGGCTTTTGAGGATCCCTTGGATAAGACGACAAACGAGCATCCTCAGCTGGGGAGTAATACGATAAGTGCGCAGAGATATCGTGCTGAGGGACCTGGGAGACCCACCACCCGCCTGCCAAAGTAAGGTACCGCGCTCAGGTCGGCATCCGCCAGAGTCAGGCGGACCAGACATACTACATAGCACTATGTATGTACAAGCAATAATACATGGTCACCGCAAGAAGAAAGTGGATGCGTGGAGACTGTGTGTATCGTAGGCAGTTACGGCGCAGGAACCTTGAGTCACGGCGTCTGTGGCAGCAAGCTACAAGTACCCCGCGCGGATGGCACTAACAGCCTGCAGCCAGAACCACCGAGGTTTCTTTAAATAGAGGACGGAGAATTGGCTAAAACGAAGAAAAACAATGGGACATAAAACACATAAAATAAACATGAAAACGAGACTGGAAAACAGGCTAGGTAGGAAAAAAGACAGGTAAAAAAGAAAGTGCAAAAAACTAAAAAACTAAAAAACTACGAGTATGTACGATACTCGTACTGACCAAACTGCTGCACTAGTGACCCCCCTTGTGATACCCGGACACATTTGGTCTCCCACGCCAGAGCTTGTCCTGGGTGCCGCCTGTACTCGTAGTCTCGTACTGCTCAGTATCACGCCCTCCTCGTCTTGTCTCGACCTCTTGGCTGCATGTGAAATAGAGACATCGCCCAGCATACTACCCAAACGCCCCCCCTTCCCTCCCTCCTCCACCTTTCTCCGTCTCCTTCTCTGCATCTTCCTACTTCCCCGTCCAAGAGTTATGTAGCCCCCCCTGTCAGCCACTCATTGGGCCCTTCTTGCCCCCCCCCCGTCGTTGCGATTTGGGCCGCTCTCTCGCGCACACGCTTTACGTTTACTCTCTCTATCTTCGTCGCGAAGTTATCCTGCCTCCTAGAATAAAAAAGCTCGGCCTGCCGCTCCTCTCTGCACGCTCTGTCTCTCTCATCATCAAATTCAGCTTTTCACAAAATCCTCGTTACAGAGCTGGCTTATCTCCTGCTCTGCCCCGTCCCCTCAATTGTCGTTCACTTGTCGCCGTATACGGCAATATACGCACACGGCCTCAATCTCGCGATTGATGTAAGTCTAAGTCCTACCCAATTCCTTCCCGTTGTCTTCAAATTGCTGTTGCCCTTTCTCCCTTCCTGCTCTGCCCTCTCTTCCTTCCCTCTTGACGCTTCCTGCCTCTTCGTGCTTCGTTTCTGCTTCGCCATTTCCCCTCTCGTCTCTCCTGACCTTTCTCCCTTGCCCTGCCTCCTCGTCCTTTCCCTCACCACCAGCCCACTCGCTATAATTCCACCCCACATCCGCCGCCCCGTCAGCTCACATGTTTCTCTTCCGTCACCAACTTCCTCTTTCCCCTTCTTTAAAAAAGCTCCCGCTCTCCCGCTCTCTCTTAACCATCGACAATTGTTCAATTCCTTCGCAACGTAGCCCCTTCTCTCTTACGTGCCGGATCTCGTCTTTTGACGTCTTTGCCTTTCTGTATCCTCTTTCTTCTCCTCTCCATCCTCCACTGTTCTATGTCGTATGTATACGCTCTCTCCACTCTTCTCTTACACTGAACACCCACTTCGAGCACCCCTGCAACCGTTGGCGAGAGCGCGGGATAAATTCCTAGAAAAAAAAATACCCTTGAAAAAAATCCGAGAGCCTACTCCGTACCCAAAGAAGACATCCGTACAACACAACGCCCGCCTTCCGAGAGCCGTTCAGCCCTTCTTCTCGGCAACGTCCAAGCCCGCACTAACACCGAATTTTTCCCATAGATCATCTTCTGCAGCAGATTTCTGCCCAACCCGCACAACTCGAACTCTTTCTGCATCTCTTCCCAACTCTCCTCGCTTCCGCCCTCAACTTTCATCTTGTTTACTTAACCCCCCTTCAACTCCACCCCGCACTCTCAGCGACCTGGAAAATGGTCATGACTTTCCCTATCCCCTTCTACCGGCAGCCACAATTGTCGATTGACACAGCCGGCCACATCCAGCAGAAGTACTTTGAAGAGGACGAGCGGATACTTGACGATTCTGTCCTCGACCAGAGCGCTATTGACTCGGGGCTGGAAATGTCACCGCCAATGGTAGATCGGAGAGATTCATTTGCTATCGGTTCATCCCTCTTCTCGCCCAAACAGGAGGATTGGCAGTCTGCCGAAATGCAGTCCATGTCGTCCACCAACCCATTTACCAACCCGCACAGCACCAACCCCTTCATGCGCATGGATCACCAGCAGCAGCAGCAACAGCAGCAGCAGCACCAGTTCCAGCAGCAGCAGCCCTTGAGCCACCACTCTGGGTCGTGGCCCATGAGCGCGAGCACCAGTGCCAACTCGTGCACCGCCACGCCTGTGCAGCACTTTGATGGTCTCCAGACGGACTTTGAGGCGGCTACCGCTACCATGTTCCAGCGCACCCCGATGCCACTGCAGTCGTCGCCCTTTGGCAACGCTGCCGGTCCCATGAGCGGCATGTACTCGTCTGCGCGCGGCCCTGCTCTCGGATCGACGGCCATGGCAACATCGTCTTCGATGCAAGGCAGTGGCAGCACCATTGTCAACGCCAGCGGAAGCGGCGTCGGCGCTACCATGTCTCGGAAGATGTTGCACAGTCCGACAATCCGGACCCACCCGGAGCTGCGCCGTGGCGATGGCATCCGCAAGAAGAACGCTCGCTTTGAAATCCCGGCCGAGCGCAATCTCAACAACATTGACCTGCTTATCTCCCAGACGACCGATGAACAGGAGATCAAGGAGCTCAAGCAGCAGAAGCGTCTTCTTCGCAATCGTCAGGCAGCGTACGTCACTTCCCCACCTTCTCTCGCTTCTTTCCTGTCTTACTAACGCCACCACCTCACAGTCTTGACTCGAGACAGCGCAAGAAGCAGCACACCGAGCGACTTGAAGATGAAAAGAAGCATTACACTGCTGTCATCAACGACATGGAGCAGGCCATGGAGCGCCTCAAGCTCCAGGTTCACGATCTCCTGGAAGAGAAGGAGCAGTACGCGGATTACTTGAAGACCCTTGATCTCGACAAGGAGGACATGGTTCGCCGTCACACCATTGAGACTGGCGAGCTTCGCAAGAAGATCAGCATCCTGTCCAACCACGTGCAGACGCTGGAGAATGCGGCTGTCACCATGCCCAACGGCCAGGTCGCCTACGCCGACGGCACGAACGCCGGAGTTGGTGTCGGTGCATATGGCGAGATGGAGGGCCTCAGCATGGGCGGCACCTGGGAACACGTCACCCTGTTCTCTGACATGGCCGGTGCGGAGCAGCAGCAGCAGCAGCAGCAGCAGCAGCCTCCTGCCGAGATTAAGCAAGAGATGCAGCAGCTCCTGCCCGCATCGCGCAAGGCAGCCAACAACGCCATGGACGCTGCCGGCGTCGCCACTGGTTCAGTGGGCTCGGAGCGGCCTGCCAATCAGGGCGGCCTGCTCTTCATGCTCTTCCTTGTCGGCGCCTTTGTCATGTCGAGCCGCCAGGCGCCCAGCATCCCACGCGTGTCGGAAGACGTCCGCGTGGCGTCTGCTGCACTCCTGGAGAACGTGCTCAAGGACGCAGGCGTGCCTTCGAGCACCTCGTTTTCTGCCGCGGGCCTGACGGATGCTACCGCTCTGTCGATGCCCTCGCAGTCCGCCTCTGCTGTCACGTCTTCGTGGGTGGCGCAAGCAGATGTCGCATCCAACGGCGTCGTGGAGCCGTCGATGCTTGGCCAGCTCTCTGACCAGCTGATCCAGCCGACTGAGCAGCAGACTGCCGAACACATGTTCTCGATGTCTGCCGCGCAGTATAGCAGCGTGGTGCAACACTACGAGCACCCGCAGCTTGATCGGTCTGTTGCTGCCGGAGGAAGCGGTGCCCCGAGCCGGGGACGCCGCAATCTGGCCGAGGCTCTGGCTTCGATGCGCGTGAACAGCAAGGCAGAGGTGGTGACACGATCGCTGCTTTGGGACCAGATCCCGAGCGATGTCGTTCATGCCTTTGCCAAGATGTTTGCCGACTCACAAGGCCAGCAGTAGAGCATGGGAGAACTGCTCACTTGCCTATTGGACTTTACTTTTCACTTTTCGCTTTTCGCTCCGTTTCTTTGCTTTCTCGTCTTTTACTTTGGAGGGCTTGCCCCCTCGGCGTCCGCTTCCACGCCGACATCTGCTTATCTGGATTGCATTTCCTTACTTATCTCTTTCAACTCGCGGACATGATATGACTCTGCAACGACACCAACAGATTACGACAAGCCGACAGCTACACGGCCCTGCACTAGCGATACACTGCTTCTATGCTTTATTTGATTTTCTTGATTTTTGATTTTTTGCTTATTTCTGACACTTTCGCTTTCATGACAAACAACGACACGCCTACACGCTCTATGTTCATCCGACATGATGATGACCCGTCACTCTCACTTGTTCGCCCCGCGACACACTATCGCTTATTCCTTTTGTCTTTGGGGATTATAGTCGGCTTTGTTCGGCTGTCGGGAAAGGATTCGGTAACGTCGAAACCGACGAATTACCTCATCTCCCGATTCCCGGCGCAAAGCACGCACACAATCCGTCCCAGATACCGACGTGCCAACGCACTACAACCGACCTTTTGTTTTTTCGTTTATTATGCCTACTGTCATGTTCGCGCCTTCTGTCAACTTTTTCTGCGCTAGTTTTGCTCTTTGTTTCTTGTGCTTCTAGGTTGCTATTTTTTTTTACGCGATTTTCTTTGTGGTTCCGGTCTGTTTTCCTGTTTGTTTCTTTCAAGCGAGCAAGTGAGCCAGCGAGCGAGCATGGGTTTTTACTTTAATTACGACTGAGCTCAGGCTCTATGACATGACAGACTGCCTTTCTATGGGATCCAACGAGATACAGAGCTCGTTAGGCAGGTATAGCGTTTTGCTTCTACAAGGGGTGGTCAGTTTTGCTTCTTCGTCTCAGATCTGTTTCCTTATCTCTTTATTGGCCGGGGGTTCTTCTTTTCGAAATACGGCGGCTGCGTCGGGAGATGCCTGTGTCTTTGGTTTTGTTCTTGTTTCTCGAAGCGACACAAATTTTTCAAAAGATAAACCAGAACAGCTGGAGGGTTCGCCAATCTCCCGAGGACGTGGAATATCGCCTCGGTCTGGACTGGACCGCCTCTGTCATTGCCGGGTTGCTCATCGCAAGCGGCTATCACACTCTTTACCTCATCTTGCCTACCTTGCCTGCCAGTTGCATGGTCACTGTCCCTAATGAAAGGGGGCGGCTTGCCTGCTCTGCGCGGAAGGCAGCGGAGATGGATGGTATGGTGTTGACACTCATTTCAAACAACAAACACATGGCACATACCATATTGTTGCCACAACACTCTTTTGTACACATGGCACACTCGCTATTTTCTATTTTCTATGTCGACGAGAACACAAATAACACACCATACGATACTGCACAAACCGTTGTGACGCTCGGTTTTGAAGGGAGCAAATATGGCAAGAAGGAGCTGGAGGATCAAAGATGGGGTAGAAGGGACTATTTGTCGTCCTTGTCTGGAAGTTGGAATGAATTATGGCCTTGCTGATTGTCGATGCATGATATATTTTTTGGGGTAGATTTGACTTTCATCTACAGCTATTTATCGATTAAGTTTCTGATTATTTTGATGCTGAATTTGTGTTTGCATGGCTGTTGAGATGTCATGAAGCTAGATGATCGAAGACGAAGCATGTTCTGGTCAAGTGGTCAGCTAGTCAGCTGTGTGTACAGATGTGCCCGTAGCATGCTCGGCAACGGCGGACATGACGTGTGGACACAGCCCAACGACGTGCATGGCGTCAAATGTGACGATACGTCCAGGAAGCCCCCACGGTCCCGAAGCCGCATAAGGAAATCCGCGCATTTGTGCTTGGGCAGCCATTGAGTAGATATGGGCCCACATTTAGCGTTTCGCGCATAAGTCGCAGTTACCTACAGAAGTCCATCACGTGGATCTGGGGGGGGCGGTGCTGGCAGGCGCAGCTCGCTTTGGGGGCTGCTACTCCGTACGGCATTGGCTGTGATCAGTGGTGGTGTCGGGGCCTCAATTATGGGCCGGGGCCTTGAAATGGGTTCATGCAAGAGATAGAGCTGCATATTGTTCTGTATATCCAAGGACGAACCGGGCAACCTCCTCGGGCTGCCGCCATCTGCCGGAAACGGAAAAGGGGAAAGACCATGCTAGAGGAGAGATGGCAGAGATGGACGCAAGTGCGCCGATGCAACATAACAGCTTTGGGTTGAGCTGATGGGGGCGGCAGGAAAAGGGTCCGGAGCGCTAACGAGGCCATCATCCGACTACTTTTTCTGTTTTCCCGGGTCGTATTTGTCCTTCCAAATCCTACGACGGGAAGGAGGTGTCAGCGTATGAGGAGAGAGAACGGGGGGAGAGTTGACAGAAGGGGGGGCGTGTATTCCGGGGCGTAAGGCAGCGACAAGGCGCGAAACAACAAAGCAACGAGGGCGAGCCTATCGGGGGTGGACGGCCCAGGTGATCTGTGACGGCCGACTTGGCGGCCGGCCACGCGACCAGGCCCTGTCGACGTACTGGAACGATCCCAGGAGGTGTGGGAGCAGACAGAGGGCAGAGGAAAAAAGAAAAAAAAAAGAAAAAAAAAGACAGCAAAAAAAGGGAACGAGACCAACCAAGTGTTTCCTAGCGTCTTGTTGCCGTTTTGCTCGGCCAGGCGGTAGTATTTTGCGGAGGCGAACTAGAGAGGTGCAAACACGTCGTCAGCCTCGTGTGATAGCTGGAAAAAGGAGAAATATCGATGCCCGACGATGACGCCTGACAACGCAGATGGGGGGCTGACCTTGTCTTTCTTGCAGCCGAAGCCTTCGAGATAGCACCATGCGACCTCGTTCATGGCGTCTGTGACGGTGTTAGTGAGGTGGTCATGTGAGGGTAGGAGGAGACTTGCCAGTGTCGCCGAGATTGGCAGCGGTTTCGTAGTACTGCAAAGTTAGTGTGTGTGTCTGTGTGTGTGTATCTCTCTTTGTGTCTCTTGTCTGTGTCCATCACCATTCTAGGGTTCTCCCCTCTCTCTCTCTTTCTCTCTCTCTTTCTCTCTCTCTCTCTCCCTACACTCACCTGCTTGGCCGCGATCGGGTCCTTCTCGATTCCCCAGCCGTGCCGGAAGCAGTTGGCCAGCTCAAAGATGGCCAGGACCAGCTCGCCCTTGGCGGCGCCACCCTTTTGCAGTCCGGCCTCGAGCGCGAGGCTCTCGACGGTGGCCGCGTTCGATGCCGCAGCCGAGAGGTAGCGCACGGCGGCCTCGGTGTCGGGCGTGCAGCCCCAGCCATGGCGCAAGGCGAGTCCGTAGAGCACCTGGCTGAGCGGGTTGTTGGTGCCGCGGCGATCGGCGAGCTCGCCAAACATGCGCGTCGACTCGGCCAGCTGGCCGGCCTCGTGGAGCCGGATGGCTTCCTGGATGGACGCGTCCGTCTCGGAAGAGGTGATGGGGGTGGTGGTGACATCGGAAGAGGTCGTCGTGTTGGGGGGGAGGTCATCCGTCAAGTTGCGGCTGCGGCTCCGATCATGGGTTCGACTGCGGTCCTGATCCTGGGTTCGACTCCGGCTCCGGCTCCGACTGCGACCTCGCTCAGCGCCGCCCTCGTTCCCCAGCGCCAGCATCGTCGCCCGCTTCTCCCACTGCGTCTCGGGTTCGGCCTCGCGCACAATGTCCGGCAGATCTACCGGCACGTGGCTGCTCGTCACCGGTGTCCGGCTCAGGTGCAGCCGTCGCGACAACCGGTGTGCCGACGAGGATGGCCGTGGCAGCGATGGTGAGGACGGCGACATCGGCGACGATGGAGACGTCGGCGATAGCGGCGATGCGCTGCGCCCCCGCGACGACCGGAACACGTCCAGGCTGCGACGGGCCCGCGATACCCGCCCGCCGTCCGCCGCCTGCAGGTGCTGCCCATCGCCGCGGACATTGCTGCTGCCGTCGTCGTCACGCATCCCATCCGCACCCTCGCCTTCGTCCTCGTCGCCCGACAGTCCGGCCGGCGGGTGGATCACCTCTTCGGTGTGCGTGTCTGACCGGATAAACGTAAACTCGGGAGGCGCTAGCGACTTTGGCTTCTGCTGCTGCTGCTGCTGTTGTTGTTGTTGTTGTTGTTGTCGGTACATCTGCAGCGTGTCGTCGTCGCTGTCTTCGTCCCCGCCGCCCTTCTTCTTGATGAGGTCACGTAGGCCCATGATGTACTGTCCCTGTTTCTTGGAGGTCTGGAGGCGGTCGAATGAAGGATGGAAAGTCCTCGCTTAGACCGTCACCAACAGTCGCAGGCCACATATACTCTGGTCGTTGGTAGAGGCAACCAACCGACAGCGCCTCGCTCAGGCTTCACACAGGGCTGTGCTGCCGCAGCCAAAATCAGAACATAGCCCCGCCAGCCGAGGCTTCTCCCGTGGCTTGCCTCTGAGCACCGCCACGTTTTGGGGCGCTGGGCGGCTCCTTCCGCAACGAGAACGGACCATGGTGGGTCCTTTCCTGGAGACGCGTTCGTGATGCTGCTCACCGTAAGTGCGAATTGCATCACTTGTTCCCGAGTTGCATCCCTTGGGCCTATCGTCCGACCCCCCCCTTGACGCGTACCCGTTCATGCCCCGTTTCCCCCACATCCTCCGGCTGCCGTCGAAGCTGCGGCGACGGGCACGGCGACAACGCATGGCCACGCTGCTGGCGCTGTTAGCGTTCTGTTCGCTGCCGCTGCTGCTGCCGCTCTACGTCGTGTACCGGCCGCCGGGTCTGCTGATTGCCGGCTTTGCCCGCCGCTGGCCCGACGTGCTGTGGCGCGTGAACCTCCCGTCGTCACCGACGACGTCACCGGACGGCCAGCCCGCGCCCAAGCTCGTCGCCCTCACCATCGATGACGTCCCGTCCGAGCACACGCGCGAGATCCTCGCCATATTGCGCGAGCATGACGCCCACGCTACCCTCTTTGTCATCGGCGGCCAGGTCGCCGGCCACGAGGCTGTCTTGCGCGAGGCCCTCGCCCCTGCCAGCGGCCACGAGCTCGCCAACCACGGCATGCACGACGAGGCCGCCCGCGCTCTCGCCGACGGCGAGCTCGAAGCCCAGATCCTCCAGGTCCATCAGCTGCTGCAGAATATCTACGACCACACAAGCGCTGCCACCCCCCCACTCTACTTCCGACCCGGCTCCGGCTTCTTCAGCGACCGCATGCGCGCTCTCGTCCGCTCGCTCGGCTATCGCCTCGTCCTCGGCTCCGTCTATCCCCATGATGCTCAGATCGCCCATCCCTGGCTCAACACCCACCACATCCTCGGCATGCTGCGGCCTGGCGCTATCGTCATCTGCCACGACCGCCGCTCCTGGACCCCGCCCATGCTGCGGGCTATGCTGCCGGCTGCCATCCAGCAGGGCTACCGCTTCGTCACTGTCACCGAGCTGCTGGCCGCAGCTGCTTAGTCAGATCGTTGCATATCGGACTGTGTTTTTGATGATTAGTCAGCCTCTATACATTGTCTATCCTACTGTCTGCTGCCTATTGTCTGCTGCCTGCTGCCTATCGCTACCTGCTCACTTGCTCTCGGCCTCCAGCTCGGCAAAGCCGCGTTGCAGGTCTGTCCGCAGATCCTCCCAGGCCTCGACGCCGACGCTGATGCGCAGCAGCCGCCGGTCGACGGTGCTGTCGGTCATGGCGCGCCACTCGATCAGGCTCTCGACGCCGCCGAGACTGGTGGCATGGTGAAAGAGCTGCAGCTTGCTGGGCAGGCGGCGGGCGAGGGTCTCGTCGCGCAGCACGATGGAGAAGACGGGTCCGAAGCCGCGGGGCATCTGCTGCCGCAGCCACGAGTCCGGCTGTGCGGCCTCAGGCTGCAGGCTGGCATGGATCACGCGCTCGACCAGCCGTGAGACGACGCTGGCGCTGGCTGCGGGCTTGGCCTGTTCAGCGGCCAGCCAGGCTACGAGGCTGCCGGCGCTGGCGCTCTGGCGAAGGACGCGCAGCTCGAGCGTGCGCAGGCTGCGCACGCCCAGCCAGCTCTCGAGGTTGCCCATGACGGAGCCGAGCACGAGCCGCTCGTCACGCAGGGCCTGGATCCAGGTCTTGGCCCCGGAAGCGGTGGCTGGCACCGGTGCTCCCTCGACGACGTGGCGCGGGTGGACGGCCAGCACGCCACACAACAGATCCGAGTGGCCGCCAAAGTACTTGGTGCCCGAGTGCATCACGACGTCGGCCCCCCAGCGGAACGGCTCCAGCAGCGGCGGCGGCGCAAACGTCGCATCCACCGTCAGATAGCAGCCGCGAGCCCGTGCCAGCGCCGCATAGCGCGCCAGGTCGCGCGCCTCGCCCGTCGGATTCAGAGGCGTCTCCACGTGGATCACGTCGCCCGCCTGCAGCTTCGCCAGATCCGCCTCGTCCTCCAGCTCGAGCTGCTGCAGCCCCGTCAGCTTGCCCAGCAGCGCCAGCACGCCGTGGCAGCCGTGGTAGCCACCCCCGATGGCCACCCGTCGCGGGTTCAGCAGCACCATCATCGCGTGGAAGGCCGCCAGCCCGGAGCCATATGTCAGCGCCGGGCCGCCCAGCACGTTGCTCAGGATCGCCTCCAGCCGGGTCGCGTTGGGGGCCGAGTCGCGCGAGTAGATGTGCGAGTCGAACGGGGCATTGGGCTATGGGGTTAGTTTAAGAGGAGAGGAGAGAGAGAGGAGAGAGGAGAGGAGAGACGAGAGAGGAGAGGAGAGACGAGAGACGAGAGACGAGAGACGAGAGACGAGAGACGAGAGACGAGAGAAGAGACGAGAGACGAGAGACGAGACGAGAAGAGAAGAGAAAGTAATCACTCACATCCGTGTTGTCCCAGTGCGACAGGACGTCTGGATCGTTCGAATACCGGAACGTCGTCGACAAATGCATCGGCGGCGCCACCGCCCGGTGCGAGTTGATGTAGTCATCCGCATGCATCGCGCGCGAGGCCAGCGACAGCTGATACGGCTCAAACACCGCCGCAAGATGCCCGGGGCCTTCGGGCGGGACGCCTGCGTCGGTCGGATTGCCGGCCATCTTGTCGTAATGCGGCACAAAGAAGAACGGTTCGGAACGATGGCTGTCTGGGCGAAGCGTTGTGTCTGGCTAAATCGAGGAGAAGACGACAGAGTGGATGGGAGAAGAAAAGTTGATGGTTGTCTTATCGAGCCGATATCGTCGACTTAGTTCAGCTAAAGAGCCCGATTTGCCCCAGATATTATGGTGCAATAGTATTTCAACACCATTGGCGCTAGGTCGAGTCCCACTACACGTTGACGAACGAGTGGCTTGACTCTGCCGCAGACCGGTGCACACGCAGGATGAGGCAAGTCGAAAGGTAGAATTCCTACTGCCTGTAAGATAGCACCAATGAAGCCGAGAAAGAAAAAAGAAGAAAAAAAAAAGAAAAAAAGAAAAAGAAAAAGAAAAAGAAAAAGAAAAAAAGAAAAGAAAGAAGAAAAAAGAACAAAGAACAAAGAACAAAAAGAGGGCAACCAGAAATGAGCAATGCTTTTACTCGTAGCCAGCAACTCCAGATCCGGCCCGACCGAAGCGTCAGGTCCACATATGCAGGAAGATAACGGAAAGCGAAAGAAAGACAGATCATCTTCTCAAGACCGCGCCTCCGACGCCTCGGAAGGCGATGGTTACGGGACCATGAAAGTCGGCTCCTCGTACCTGGCCGTCTCGGCACCATGGCGACCACTCTGTCCGGGCTTGTGACCAGCCGTCATGACAGCGAGAGGCAGCCCTTTTGTTGTTGTTGCTGTTGCTTCTGGACTCGATCCCGTCTGCCTGTGCCGGAGCAGTTCCTTGGACACGCGCGGACAGGTTGGGCAGCGTGGCGCGGATGTCAAACGAGCGGCGAAACGAGTCGAGAGATCCGCGGGAGAGGAAGAACGGCTCGTTCTCGGACGGGCCGCCGCTCCGCGTGTCGGTGGACGCCCGCGAGCGAAGGCCATGCGGCCGGCTGGCATCGTCGCTGGTGGGGGAAAGCTGCAGGAAAGCCGTCAGGATCAAGGCCATGTTGGTCGTCCTGTCGTTCACGTACTGGCAGGTAGACTCCGCTGTCGTTGACAACTGCAGCAAGGCATGTCAGTTTCCGTGCTGCCGACTGGTGCCGGACGAACCAAGGAGAGACCGTACCGCTCATCTCGTACTCGCCCGTGTCCGGACCGTGACGGCTTCCGATGCTCCACGTCGACGAGGACATGTACCCGGCCGGATCGACTCGTTCAGACAGCGTCGTCTGTGGCCTCTCTTTGGCTGCTTGCAGGAGGTCGTCAGCAAACCGGGGACGCCCGTCCTCATCTTCAGCAGCAAGGAACGGTCGACTGGATGGGTGTCGGGTCGGCATGGCTAAAACAAGGAAATGGTGAAGACAATGGAGTCTCGCAAACCAAAACAGACATCCAGCAATAAATGAAAAGGGGGTCTTCACGTCTGTCAGCCGCCACCGTGTCGGGTCTTCTCTGGACGATATCCATGCATTATTCATAGTAAGACACACACGGCATCAACTTTGTCTACTTCTGACGGGGCCATGGGCCAATGCCGAGAGTGGTTGTCGACACTGGAGGCCATAGAAAGCCTGTTCTCTCTAGGCCAGAAGCGTCTAGCGCGTCCGAAGCCTGCACCGTTAGGACGCATCGAAGCTGGCAGGGAGCGGCACATCAAGGAGACTAATGCCTAAAGAGGGTTATCAGATGGACATGGGGCAGACGCCCCCCCCCGCAACAGGCCTCGACCCATGCGCGTTATTATCAGATCGAAATTCAGTACCCCCCTGAGCACAGTTGAAAAAGACCGGTTTTCCTTGCAGCGTGCGTCGTCATGACCGAACCCGGCCTCGGGTAACGGCAAAGAATGGCAGTCGTCGTGGCTACAGGGGAGGGCGCCTTTCCAGGCCTTTTTTTCTGCTGCAGCACATACAGCATGTCCAGCACTTCTCTTGGCAGCCCCGAAGTCGGCATGGCCACCGATTTTGAGGGAATTGCGTGCGTGGCGAACAGCCGACTCTCTGCTTGTCAATAATCCACGATCTGCAGTCGTGCCAGGGCTGGCTGGCTTGGCCGAGAAATCTGTCCGAGAACCCCGGATCACAGCGACGTGTCTAGGTGCCATCCGAAGCAGAACATCCTGTCAAGGTCTGCTGCCGCATACCGGCATCTCTCTCGTGGACATCTACGGAATTTTACACTTTTTGTTGGCCTCGGTCAGGGATGCCCTGTGACTAGTAGCAGTTAGTGGCTGGATGGTCTCTGTGAAAGTATTTGCGTTGTTTATCACAGGTCAAATTCCAAGGGCACATAGCACGTGACATTTCCAGTTGCCTTCTACATATACACCGTCTCAACTCGGAGTTTGCTAGGTGGGAGCACGTGTGTGGCATTGGGAGCAAACACGGAAACGAGCAGGATATGGCTGTCGGGAAGAGGGAACCAATATCCGGAAATAGTCATAAAGACAAAAAGACCGTGCCGCGATCCCCATCACCATAACCTGGCAGGGCATGTGATTATTAGGCTTTGTCTGTTGGACAGAAACTAATTTGCTTCCAGGGTCAAGAATACCACAACTATGGGATTACCAGTCCATTGGAGTGGTCCCAGCTTCCAAAGCCAAAGCTGAATACGTGATATAATCGAGACCGAAAACGTTTAAACTTGCCAAAAACCACTGAGAACGGTTCTCTTGATGAACCATTTCCACGTCCAGAACTTATGTTCCAATGAGTCTGCCCAACACGCTTAGACCTTACACGTTATCAGTACATTTTTCGTGATACAGGTCTTGAAGTTAAGGGCTCTGTAAACAACCTGGACGGAACCAATGCCGCTCTGCTTTGCTCTGCTGACGTCAGCAGAAGACCCAGGTTTAGCCATTGGAAGAGACTTGATCCATGAAGATGAGGCCTGTGTACTCTCCATTGCTGTAGTATTGAAATCAAGAGAGTGGTTGCGAGTATTAGCGCAAGCTTTGGTGTTGATGAAGATGACGATTTGTTCTGCTAAAGCTCCAAGCCTCCTTCCATGACTCCCGTGCCAGGTTCTTATAGTAGGCTGATCTGCTGACAGAGACCACGGCCCAGCAAATCCAGACAAAGCGGGATGGAGTGCTGAATTGCGGTAACTACAAGCATGACATTTGGCGGGCCCTCTGGCGGGGGGAGGAGAATCTATAATTATCCTTCGAGGGCATATGGATGTGACTTCCCACGCACTGAACACGCTCAGCCTGTCCGTCTTCGTTCCAGTAGTGGTGCTAAGAAGGTTATTCGTAGTTGGCACAAGGGCTGGTTTGAACCATCTTCGTTTCTTTGTTGTCCGACAAGGAGCAAAATACGCAAGCGGACATTTTTCTCCCAGGACAGGGATTCCCACATGGCCCAGCTTTCTATTTAATAGGGTGCAAGCTCCTCCCTTGACAAGGGTATCTCAGCGCGCATCACCTAATCCAGCTTCAGATCTGACAGGTCCCTTCCACATCCTCGCCCCATCATGGCTAGCATCTCCGGTGAGGCCGATGAGACTGATGAGACTGGCGCAAGCATTCTTACTGACAAACTCGAGCTGCAAAACATGAATGGGTGGGCTGGGGAGTGGAAATCTAGAAGGCCTATCAAAGCTTGATGAGCTCCGCGCCTACTCCAAGAGATGAAAACAAATCGGCACAAGAAAGCAAATATCATTCTCGGCATGTTCAAGAAATTGTTCAGATACCGACATACTCTGGAATATTGCTCAGTCCCTCTAGGCCATGCATGACACACGACCTTGGTAGAGTGATTTAACTTGAACAACGTTCTAGAGTCTCAAAATACGAATGTACGCAGTCTTACTTGGGTCCGCCTTCCACTTTGCAATTCTGCACGTATAGAAAGTGGAACTGATGCCTTCTGTCTGAAAGGGTTGAAACTTTATGAGCAGTCGAATCAATTGCTAAGAATATTCGACAACCTGGGCTGTACGTACCTTTCACAGATTTATCATGTCTGATTTATAACTCTCCCCAGCTACGAGACGGGTAGATCGGGTTACTTTACATATTGCTTGCGGGCTACAAAAGATTCGCTTTTTGCAGAGGCAGAGGACCTCCACGACCGGATGGTAAGCGGCAGACTGGGCGACTACGACTGCGCTGCTGCTGCTAAAGACTATAGCTCCGTGGAAAGAACGCTGTGGGAATTCCACGACTGGATTTAAATGGCCCCCTTCAAGGTCCGGTCCTATTGCCGGTACCCGGAGTGGAGCATAGGTCAAAGGCAGTATGAGTTTGCTTTCGAACTGGGTTCGTGCGACGAAGAGTTTGATTTTTCAAAGCCCGGGGCCAGTCGGTGGAGAGTTACCAGAAAGAGCTGACGGGATGATCGACATGGCAACGAGATTCTACGTGGAAGGCCGGCGCCCCAGGAGAATTGGACGGAAACGGGGTTTCAAAAAATGTGCATACAGGGGTCATGAGTAAGAGGATACTCGACCGTTTAGTGATCATCAGACAGAAGATGACCGAACTGGCTATCTGAACGGTGTGTAAAGAGCCAGGGGGGCGAGAAAGAGGAGTGAGCCGACAAAGAGGAGGGAGCCATTGGGCTTGAGACTGATCCTGGCTCTGGTGAACAGAAAGGAGACCCTAGCGGCGGCGAGCAGCTCGCCAGTTCCTTCATACGCTCTCGCTTACCGTTGTCTTTCCCTGTTTCCTCGCCATTTTAACTCGACGATGTTTTACTAGTGTGCTAGTTAACAAAGACATGTACGTGCGAATTTATGAAAACGGATATTGTTGACACTGTGTGGCTGAGACCCCACCTGGCGCCACAATGTAGCTTCCCGAAAACGCGACAGCTTGATTGCCTGGGAAGCCTTGCTCGAAACGTCGTCCAGCTCTGGGAGACTTGCTTCGCTTTACTGACCCCCCCTCACCACCGCCACCTGTCCATCCGGAACACACGACGACGGCCTTTCCACACACGAAAGAATAAACAGCACGGTCAACAAGGCACGACAGCAAATTCGGCATCGCACTGCGACCCGGTCCTGTTCTCTCTAGCCTCTTGTCTTCTCCAGTCGCAGGGTGCTTCTGCTGCACATAGCTTGCACGATGGTGTGTATCCGCAGTCTGGGGGCTGTCCGGCACTGCTGATCCGGCCTGGCAGGATGTGGTGGCCAGTTGAAGTTGCCACGGGCTAATGCTCTGCTTTCCAGACGTCGATAGGAACTGGCTACGATCTTGCCAACTCCATCTTCTCGCCCGACGGCCGCAACTTCCAGGTGGAATATGCCGTCAAGGCGGTCGAGAACGGCGGCACGTCAGTCGGCATTCGCTGCCGTGACGGTGTCGTGCTGGCGGTCGAGAAGGTTGTGGCGTCCAAGCTGCTGAAGCCGGGTGCCAACAAGCGCATCGCCACGATCGACCGTCATCTAGGCATTGTGCGTTCTTTCCCCTCTTTTTCCTTTTTGCCTTGTCTGCTCTTCGTAGCGCCTGTCTTGTTACTGGCCTGGTTTCGTTTTGTTGGTCTTGATGCTTGCCTTCTCCTACCTGCTGACACGTCCGTCCTCGCCACAGGCCTACTCCGGCATGACGCCCGATGGCCGGCAATTTGTGGGCCGGGCCCGCGACGAGGCGCGCAGCTGGCGCGAGACGTTCAAGACGCCCATCGGCACGGCCGAGCTGGCGTCGCGTGTGGGCGGCTTTTTGCAGGCATACACGCTCTACCAGTCGGTGCGGCCGTTTGGCATCACGGCGATCCTGGCCGGCGTCGACAGCGATCGCGACATGCCGGTGGATGGCGAGGTCGGCCAGGGGCCACAAGTGGGTGCCGGCGGGCGCCTTGCCGGCAAGAAGCACGGCGGACCGGCGCTGTACATGCTGGAGCCGTCCGGGCTGTACTGGGGCTACTACGGAGCCGCGACCGGCAAGGGCCGACAGGCAGCCAAGGCCGAGCTGGAGAAGCTCGACCTGGCCGGCGAGGGCATCTCGCTCGAGCAGGGCGTGCGTGAGGCTGCCCGCATCATCTACGTGGCACACGACGACAACAAGGACAAGGACTTTGAGCTGGAGATGACGTGGATCAGCACGGCCGACGGCCCGACGGCCGGCCGCCACGAGGAGGTGCCGCGGGCGCTGCTGCAGGAGGCCGAGCGCCTGGCCAAGAAGAGCCTCGAGAGCGACGACGACGATGACGACGACAAGAAGGACGACGACAAGATGGAGGACTAGCCGGGCGGCGGGGCTGGTGCGGAGGTGCTGCGAGGCCGGACGCCGCACGGACGCCTGGGAGAGGAGCCACAACGGACCACCATCTTTATGTATCATAGTATGGGCCAGCAGGCGGACAATGTTGCCATTGCAGCTTTTCAGCTACTGCTCCATGTTCTGTTCACGTGCCTCGGGAATGTGTCATGTTTGCATCGCTCCTTCCCTTGTCTGTTCTTGGCTCCTTCTGCCTTACAAAGTACTATCCTCTTTTGCATCCATTCTCCTCTCTCACATTCTTCTTATCCCTCTCCTCTCCCATCTCCCATCTCTCATCTCATCCCTCTCCTCTCGTCCCAGGCTCCACGACCTACTGCCGCGTCCGCACGCTCTGGCACCAGTTGTACCAATCGGTAAACAGCGACGCACGCACGTTCCATCCGTCCAGCACCCAATGGTCTTGTGTCTGGCGATATACGTCAGCCACGCGGCGGTAGGCATTGCGGTCAGCCGCGAAGACGGCCGAGGCGATGGCCAGGCTGGCCGCGGACACGGCCGTGGCAAAGGCCCGGCTGTCGGCGCGATCGGTGGTGCGATGAATGGCCTCGAGGGTATCGATGGCGAGCTCGACATTGAAGGTATCCGAGCGGCCTTTTGCCCTTTGGTTCTTATCTTGTTCCTTTTTCTTTTCCCCCTTTTCTTCCTCCCCCTCCCCTTCTACAGTGCCCCGCGCTCGCTTCAGCTGCTGCTGGGCTGTCTGCACAATCCGCACGGCCTTTTGCGACAGCGCCGGCTCCTTGGTGTCGCGGACCAGCTCGACCAGCGGCACCAGCAGACGGAAGACGAGTTGCTGCTGCGACCGGCTCAGCAGCACGGCAGCGCGCTTGATGTAGACCTCCAGCAGGTCCAGCACACGGTGCTTAAAGGCCACAACGCGCTTGCGCGAGTCGTCGCGCTCCTTCTTGCGACCCTCGGTCCTGCTCTTGATCAGCTTCATGTGGCCGGCCAGATGGCCGTCGAGAGCCAGCATCGCGTCGTCGCTCATGTCCGACTCGGCCGACGAGTCGCTGTCGTCACCGTCATCGTCCTGGACCTTGCCGAGCGCGAGCTTCTTGGTCTTGAACGTCTTCATCAGCGCCACTTCCAGCGCGTTGGCCTCGGCCTCAGCCGCTTTCGTCTTGCCGTCATTGCCGTTGTCGTCGTCGTCGTCATCATCACCATCACTCTCGCTCTCGCTGTCACTATCAGAAGAACCCGAGTCCGAGTCCGAAGACTCGTCATCGCTGTCGTCCGATGCGCTGTCTTCGCCCGCCCCAACTTGCGTGATCTCGACATCGCTGTCCATCTCGATATCGCTGTCGTCTCCGTCTTCGTCCTCGTCTTCGTCATCCTCACCCTCCTGGTTGAAGAGAGCCCGGTAGCCAGACGTGTTCTCCTCGGCCACCAACACCTCAGTCAGATTGTCGAGCGCGCGGGCCGACATGTACGGAGCAAAGGCCTCAAAGACCTGCAGCGACGCCTGGCGTGTCAGCTGCGACGAGTCGGCCAGCATGGCCAGAAGAACCTCGATGAGGACCTCGCCAATGTCGGGTTCGTCAGCAGTCGCATCGTTGGTGTCCGTCTTGTCCTTCTTCGCCTTCTTGGCCTTCTTCTTGGCCTCTGCCTGGCTGCTCTCCAGGGCTGCCAACTTGTCGCCACAAGCCTTGATGTCCTGCAGCACTTCGAGCGCGTCAGGTCGCGGCTCGTGGTATAGCTGGAGCAGAGATACAGAGAGCAACACGGCCAGACCTTGACGGGCCCGGGCGCTGGCCGCTGTCGTCTTGTCTCCGTCATCCCGCAGCAAGAGTTTTAGCTGCTGCCTCACATCGATGACCTGCGCCTGAATCTCGTCGCTCATGGCAGACCCGGCCGCCGCGGGCTCGATGGAGAGGACAGTGCGGCAAAAGCTAGTAAAGTCGTCCGTCTTCTTCAGCAGGGCGCCGGCGGCTGACAAAAGGTACGTGCGGCTGGCCGTCTGTGTCTTCTCGTTGAGGCTGGGCAGAGGAGCGGGAGAGGAAGAAGAAGAGGAAGAGAAGTTGGATGCCTTCTTTACCAGCTTGGTCTTGCTGCTCGGATAGGCAATCTCGGCAAGGGATTGGAATGCGACACCGCCGACAGACACGTGGCCATCCTCATGGCCTTCATCCGAGTCGTTGTCGGTAGCCGTGCTGTTGTTTGTCCGGCTGACCAGACGGAACAGATACTCTGCATAGATACGAAGCGGCTTTTGGTCGGCATTTCTGCGACGCAGACATTAGCATCGGGATGCAGACGAGTGGCGGAGAGAGGGAGATAGACAGGGGATGGCTCACGCATCTGGTGCCCGCAAAGCACCTTCACGCAACGTGTGGACGACCTCGTCAACAGCGTCAACGCCGACAAAGCGCAGGATGCGTTCTACGGGCTTTGTGCCGTCACCGGTGCCCTTGACGCGCTCATCCAGATCAAAGAAACCATGTGCCCCAGGAACACAGCCCAGCAGCGCGGCGACCACAGACACAAGCACGGCCGGACGGTCCTCCACCTGGCACTCAATGGCACGCAGCACCTGGACGGCGGCACGGTGCAGCCGCGGCGTGGTGTGAGACGCCTGGTTGACCAGACAGGCAACGAGATTGCTGCTGAACAAGACGGGACGCATGTCGCCGGCGTCAGCACACAGAGAGAGCGCTCGCTGGAAGACCTTGAAGCCCGTGAGCTTCTGGTGGTCGGATGCTCCCTTGGGGAAGTACACCTCTGGACGGATCAGCAAGGGGAAGATGAACAGAAGAAGCAGAAGAACGGAGAGAAACAGAAACTTACGGTCCACCACGGCCACCCAAAAAGCGTCAAACTGCTTGGGTGCCTGGCGCAGAGTTGCCTGCAGCAGAAGGTCCCACACAAAGTGCAGCTGGGCCGATGCGTTGCCTTGCTTTGCGGCCGTCTGCTTTGCGGTTTTGGGCTCGTCGCCATCGCCGCCGCCACTGGCGCCGCTGCTGCGCAGCACGGCTACAAGCTCCCGATGTGCGCCTGGTGCCAGCGGCGTCTTCCAGGGCGCCGGCAACGCCATATCGGGGAAACGCTCGAGGGCAGCCAGCCAGATGCCGAGGCCCTCTGGCGTCTTGGCCAGATCGGAAGGGAGGTCGGAGTGGCCGGCCGTCTCGCCCTCGCCGCCACGGGCAATGGACTCCAGGGTGGCGACAACGGCGGCCTGGTCGGGCAGGTGGCTGCGCCGGATGGCCTGGACGACGACGAAGCAGGCCTGAGGCCGCAGCCAGATCTTTTTCTGGCCGAGCTGCAGCAGACAGCGCAGCACGCGATCCCAGCGGCCAGACGAGCCGCTGCCGAACAGTGCCCCCGACTCGACGAAGCTCTGCAGGCCGAACAGCTGGCCCCAGTAGTGATCGCGCTCTTCCTGGCCGGGAACGTTGGTCCCAGGACGGGTCTTTTCGAGAAGCAGGTCGAGTAGCCGGTCAAATGTCAGGTTGGGATATGCATCCGTGCTGCTGCTGCTGCTGCCGAGCAGTTGTCCCAGCAGCTCCGACAGCACATAGCTGAAGCCGATGCGTGAGGCCTCACTACCGCTGGCAAGGCCGCGCATCAGACGACGCTCAATGTGGCGCAGGAGAACGGGCTCGGACACGCCGGCGAGAGCGGACACGATGACGTCGGCCGCACGCAAGCGGTCGTCCATGTCGGGGCTGCCCAGCAGCTTGTAGAGGCGGCGTTCGCGGTCGTGGTCGGCGCGCGAGAGATCGGCCGCAAAGACTGAGCGATCAGCCAACAGCGCGTCCTTCTCGGCCTCGTCAGCATTGCCGCTGCCCGGACGAATCTCCTTCTCCAGCACAGCTTCGCCGGAAGAGTCGACGCGGGGCCGCTTGGCCAGAGGCGGATGTGAGCTGCCGCTACTGGCCGCTGCCGCCGCCGCCTTTCCGGACCGCTTTCGCTTTCCCATCGTCTTGGCTTTGTTCGTCTGGGGGGGGAGGATTTCGCGTCTTTTCCGTCTGCACGATGTCAAGAGTATCGTACAAGACGCCTGCAGACAGGTAAAAGCGGCCTATCAGAGGCTATATTACAAGTGCCTTTTTTCTGGCAGAAAAAAAAAAAGTCGGTGAAACTTATTGCCTATCTACACCGCCTTCCGTCACTGGCCATCCCGCCAGGCTGGCTAGCCTCGCCTTATTACGGTCACTGAAACGGTATCATGGCAGTGGATTCCTCCTTCCATGTATTGACATTGATGTGATCCGGCCCGCTAGCGCTCCTTGTGATGCAATTCAAATGAGAGAAAGATGGAGATAGAACATGGTATCATCGAAAGGCCCCGAAAAGGAAACAAGGACAGGAAAAGAGATGTGTCGGATTAACAAGACTAGGGAGAAACAGACTGCTTGTCGGGAGCTCGACGAATTCCCAGAACCGAAACAAGAAAATGCCACAATTAGCCAACGAGACTGCAACACGGGAGTAGAGCCCGAACCCCCGGCCAGCATTGCCCTGCATCTACCTGCCTCCCCGTCCGAGGCCGTAGTCCGTTCTTGCTCTCCAATCCCCTCAGGCTCCTTTTTAGCTCATCTGGTCGTTATGAAAGATGGGAAGTGATTACAACGATATAACAAGAGGCGTGCTCTCCCCAAGATGAAGACAGACAAACAGAAATCAGTAAATTAGAAAAATCAAAAGGCATCCTCAAAAGGGCAGTCCACGCTGTCGTGGCCGTCACGCTCGCACAGCGCGCACCACTTGTCAGTGTCGATCATGCCGCTCTCCTTGCCGGCCACGGGACCCGACTCCAAGGGGTTGGGCAAAATCTTGACCTCGGCCGGCACTGCCGTCGGCGTTGTCGTCCGGGCAGGCGATAGCGGGGCGACCAGTGGCGACGGCTCGTGGCCGTTAGTCTCGACCGTCGGCTCTGTTTCGGTTGGGCTCTGGTCCTTGCCGGTGCGGATATCCGAGGAGACGGACGGGTCTGGTGTGGTCTCCTGCTGCGGTGCCTGTTGCTGCTGCTGGCTTTGTTGATTCTGCTGGTTCTGCTGGTTCTGCGGCCCAAACATGTTGGTGCACGTCAGGATGTCGTGACCGTTGGCCTCACAGATCTCGCACCACAAAGTGCTCGCATCCGTCACAGACGAGTAGGCATCGCTCTCGGGCATCGTGTCCAGCGTCGCACCCCGGGCATGATGCACCTTGCGCACCAAATCCGGCGACCTGCTGCCGCCGCCGCCGGCTGTCGTCTCGTGGAGCTCGCGCGGGAGCACCATCGTGTCGCGCGAGTCGCGCAGTGATGACCGGCTGCTGGCCGTCTTCATCCTGATGTGGTGCGTCTGGCTGCTCGTGGGTGCAGCTCCACCTCCGAGTCGCAGCTGCTCCAGCTCCAGCTCCATCTCCGTCTCCCGTGCCGACTTCCTCTCTAGCAGCACATGCAGGTCCGACACCTCGCGCTCCAGTTTCTCGCGCGCCATGCGTTCGTTGATCGACTCACCGCGTCGGTGCTTCGACGGGGAGCCAGGTACGGCACCGCTGTCCTTCTCCGTCAGCTCGGCGCCTGCGTTCCGGCTCAGCGAGTGGATGATCGCCTTGAGACCACGGATCTCGTCGTCCTTTTGCTCCAGCTCCTTCGACGTCTGCATCGATCCCGGCGCAGCCGCATGGCCGTTGCTGTTGCCGTTGCCGTTCGCCAGCTTCTCGCGTTCGCGTCGCAGCTCTGTCCGTGTCCGCTCAACCTCACCGCGGAGGAACTCGACCTCTCCTCGCGCCTCGGCCTCGCCACGACGGGCGTCCTCTAGGCCCTCCTCTAGCTCCTGCACGAGCTCTTCCAGCTGCTTCAACTGCTGGGCCACCGCATCCACGTCGGTCGTGCGGCTCTCTAGCTCATGGATCTCCTGCATCAGGTCCTCAATCTTCTTCTCGTACACTCGCTCTGTCTCGGTGCTGGCCATCTCCAGAGTGTCGATAGTACTGCGGAAATCGGCCCGATGTGTATCAAACTCGGCCGTCAGCATCGCGATCTTCTCGTTCCTCTCACGCAGAAGAGCGCGCAGCTGCGCTGTATCCTTGTCGTCGACACTGTCGCGGCGGTTGTTGGTGACGCCGCCGTCGCCGCCGCCACCAGTGCCCATAGGCCCGTCTGGGCTGTCCATCAGTGTCTGCAATTCGGTCAGGCTGCTCTCCATATCGGCAAGCGTGTTTGCTTGTTCCTTGAGCTGGCGCTCCCGGTCTTCGAGCTCGGCACGCAGCCGCTCCAGCTCGGCGTCCATAGCCGTGGGTGCGACCGGACTTCCGTAGTTGGCATTGCTCGCGCGGGATGGCGGCCGCATTGCACGAGACGGGGACCTCAGTGTGTGGGACGGAGACCGCTCCCTCTGTTCGAAAATCGGACCGTTTGCGCTGCCGCTGCCACCGGCACCATTCACCCTCGTGCGTCCTAGACCCATGGGAGGTACGTCATCGTCGAAGCTGGACACCGACGCAGCGCCCAGGGCCGAGACGCTGCGCGGACCAATGCTGTTGGAGTAATCGGGTCGAAGGGAGAGGCCTCTCTTGCTGGGATCTCCCACGCCGGCGGCCGATGGGGCTCGCAGGCTCTGGGAGAACTTATTTGTTGGGCTGGCAAAGCGCCCGGGCGCAGGCGTGATGGACGGCCGCTGTGGGACTGGTGTCATCTGCATGCGGCGAACAGGAGATTCAGGCCGCGACAGAGATGTTCGGAGCGACGGACGCTTGCCCTGGGGACTGGAGGCGCGGGAAGCACTGGCAGCGCTCATAGACTGGCTGAATTTCGACAGTGACGGCGTGGGTGGGGTGTAGTTTGTGGAGTTCTGGTTCCCTAGCTTCAGGCCGATGCCACTGGCGGTGGGAGATAGCGGCCCAACAGTCGAGTCACGGCGCTGGGCCTTGGAGACGGGAAGGAAGATGCCGGCACCAGGTGTGGCAGTGGAAAAGTAGGAAATGCTGACTGGTTAGAGAGCAGAGACAGTACAGAACAGAGACGGAAAACAGAGACCTGAGCTTACCCATCTACGTCGCCGCTGTTCTTGCCGCGAGATGCATATTCGGAGTGCAGCTCGACGCCTGCAAAGACGCCTCTGCGGCCAGCAACAGAGCCAACAAAGCGTACGACGCCGGTCAGGCCACCAGGCACATCGACAGCATCGCCGACAGCAACGTCGGGGCCGGTGGGCAGAGATGAGCCCGGGCCCAGAGAGAGGCGCCAAAGCGGCTGCTGGGGGTCAGGGGAGCCATGCCGAGCGACGGAGACGGCGAGGCGTGTTTGGAGCCAAAGGCGGAGGAGGGAACTTCGTTCAGAGTGTCAAAGGCGTAGAACTCGGTGTCATCGGGGATGGTGGCCAGCGAGGACGAGGTCAGGGCAGCGACCGAAGCTTTGCGGATGAGCAGCGGAGGCGGCACCGGGGGCAGGGGTGGTGGAGGTTGGGCCTGGCCCAGGCGCGCGTGGGAAGCGAAGAGAGAGCCGAGATTCGGTGTCGAGACGGAAGAGATGCCGGAGCCGCGAGAAGAGGTCGGAAGCCGCTTGCTGCGCAGAGACCGGGGGATGGAGCGTGACGGCGCCGACGATACAGCAATAGGGGCGGAGTCAGGAGCGGGAGCGGTAGCAGTGGCAGCGGTGGTGACGGTGGTGGCGGTGGTGGATGTTGTTGTTGTTGTGGGAGACATGACGGCGGACAGAGGCGAGAAAAAAAGGGCGGATTTAATTTAAATGGACAGGCTGCTAATTCGGGACCCAACAGGCCCAAAGATGCGGCAGCGCGGGTTCAGGCGCCCAGAGGCCAAGCCAGCGTGCAGCGTGCAGCGTAGGGCGTAATTTAGCGGTGCGTTCCCCTTTAGCGTGCGCTAGTGGCAATGACTAGGGGGTCTGTGGTTGGGGGACAGAGCCGTTGAGAAGCTGCAGGGGAGATGGCTGACGGCTGACGGCTGACGGTTGGCGTTCGGCGTTCGGCGTCGATGGCTGCGATGGAAGGCCGCGTTCGAGGGCGGCGGACGGTTGGCGAACTGAAGATGCAGAGTGCTGCACGTAACAGCGTCCAGCTTATAAGGATCAAAAGAAGCCTTTCGGCCGGCTTGCGACAAGAGAGAGAGGGATCGACAGGGCGAGCGGATGCGTGTGCAGGCGGTGGCACACTGCGCAGAGAGGGAGGGAAACAGCAAAGGGAAACAGGGAAACCGAAAAAGACGAAGAAGAAGGGGGAAGAGAAAGGATGGGAGAGTATGAAGTATGTACGGAGTAGATGGAAGGTGACAATGCAACATGCAGAGCGATATTAGATAGTATTAAGATACAAGCCGATATACGTAGTAGTCGCTTTAGGAAAGGGCAACTTGGGAAAGGGGGGAAGCCTGAAAAGGAGGGGCGCGGACAGAGAGAGGGAAGGAGCAGGTCATGCTGGTTTTCTAGTCTTGGTTGTAGGAAGGTGCCATTGGCAGATACTCCGTAATCGTCCAGCTCTGCTCTCTACTCGTTGCGACGCCAGGACCTGACGATCCCGTTCGTCTTGTCGCAGGATGTCGCATGAAGAGGTCCGCCACATCGCGGCGGGCCCAGCTGACGCTGCGGCGGGCCTGCAAGCGCATGCAGGTATGTGCGGGCGTGCTTTCTGGCGTATCCGTCTGGCCGGTGTTATCTGTACTGCTGTCCTTTTTTACCGGTACATAAGATACATAGACAGGATTGGTTCAGAGAATTCGTGGCTCGTATTGTAGCATACGATTGGGTACGGAGTATTTCGTATGGAGTATCGTACAATGGTACAGACTATGTAACAGTAAGGTAGGATGCCTTACTACTGGTCAGTACTCCGTAGTGAGCAAAACTAGCTACTAAAATCTCCTATAAGATGGCTAGATCGAATGTCCCGACGGCAGCACCAACCACAGTCGCTGTGGCAACTCTGCAGCACACTGCGGCTCACCGCCACGGCGCCCGCCATCTCTGGCCGCTGACGCCGGTTCATCAGGGCCCTGTCGCCCCGACGACGGATTGCGTGCATGATCCGTCCGCAGGGAGAGGCGTCCGAACAGCAGACAGTGGCCTTTCGTGCAGCTCCGTCCACAGGGAGAGGCGTCCTTTTCGTGCAGCCCCGCCGTCCTGCAGAGAACCCCTGCATGGTCCCGGTGGAGCTGCCATGGTTCGTATCTACATCGCCATCGCTTTACAACAACACACGTCAGATTCAACAGCAACCTGCCCCGTTTGCACGTGACGGCCAGCCGCTCCTCTCACGGCCGCTCACTCGCTCTCACGCTCAAAGATGTCGTCGCGCCTCAGCGGCCGCGTGCCGTCGTTGAGCACCATGGCCTCGCGGTGCTGCCGCCGGATCCGCTGTCCTTCCTGCGTGTTCTGGCCGTGCTGCCGAGTCTGCGCCGACGCCGCATCGTGCGTCTGGGACTCGTCGTCCGCGGGTGGGGAGTCGTCCTGGCTGGATGTGTCTGCGCGTCGTTCCTGATCGGTCAAAGGCTCTGGGCGGGTTTGCACTGGATGCCTCTCGACCGTCTCCCTCTCCCCCGGCACCTCGAGCGGACAGTCGTACAGCCGGTAGTGGCGGTGGTGGCGGTGGCTGTGCGGCCGGACCAGACGGGCGCGCTCGAGGGCGGCGTAGCCGGCGGGCGAGTGGTAGAGGCGCTTGCAGATGTCAGCGATGCGGTTGCCGCGGAAGCGCAGGTAGCGGTCAAAGTTGTCGATGCGCTGGTCGTCGGTGGTGCCCCAGCGCTGTTTGGCCAGCCAGCGGTCGACGAAGCCGGCGTGGACGAGGCGGTCGACGCCGTGCTTGCACTTGTGGACCAGCTGGTCGACGAACATGAGGCAGAGCTTCTCGGCAATGTCGCGCAGATAGTACTCGTCGAAAAAGTCGTCGTCGATCATGTCGTACTGGGTCTCGCCGACGCAGAGCTGCAGCGACCGGACAAAGGCCGAGTAGGCCGTCGGCGTGTCGAGCAGGTGTAGGCTGTCTGGGGGGGAGGAGCTAGATGAGCGAGAGACCAGAAGGACAGAGAGGGACAAGCGATAAGTGAAACGCACCTAGATCGGTCAGCATCGCCAGGGCCCGTAGGTTCTTCATGCGCTCCTCGTAGCTGTCGCGCGTGATGCCCCAGAGCAGCAGCTGCAGGGTCAGCGGGTCATTGACGGCGCGGTCGCACACAATCTTGGCCGTCGTCTCGCGGATGGAGTAGTTGTAGTGGCCCAGCAGGCGTCCCAGCGTCGCCGCCGGTAGCGCGTCCTCGGTCTCTTGCGTGATGTAGCGTAGCTTCGGCTGAATCGGCTTGATCTCGCTGGAGTCGCGGAAGCGCAGCAGCACCGCCCGCATGCCCACAAAGATGCCGACCGACGCGATGCCGAGACCGACCAGCATGGCGCGGTCGTCGCGCACGAGCGAGAACAGGCCCATGGTGTTGTGGATGGAGGTGACCTAGACGGAGAGGCTCGACGATGTGTACGGAGCATTTCGTACGGAGTACATAATCATCAAATGGGATGTTTCTGCCTTTTCTGACCGCCTTTTCGATAAGATAAGACAAAAAAAGTTCGAGGCCCACCGCGAGCAGACGAAAGCGGCAAGAAAAAGTCTCTTGGAACAAAGACAGACACCATCGTTCTGGTCCTCTGGCCCGCCATTCACATCGACGACAGCAGCAGCGGGCGCGCCACATCCAGCGGTCACCATGGCAGGGTCGCAGCTGAAGCGGCTCAAGTCGTCGCTGCGCGAGCAGGGCATCATCGGGCCGCAAAAGTCGAAGAAGCAGAAGAAGCAGGCAGCCGAGGAAGCGCGGGCGAATGGCGGCAGCGAGAAGCGACTGCGCAAGACGGCAGCGCTGGAGACGATCCGGGAGCAGTTCAACCCATTCCAGTTTAAGATGAACGCGCGGGGACCCAAGTTTCCGGTCACAAGCCTGCGGACGCAGAAGGAGGGCCTGCGGGGGATCAAGGGACGGCCGCAGGTGGCGCTATCCCGGAGCGAGGAGAAGCGGCGGAGCACGCTGCTCGTCGACATGCAGCGGCGCAACAAGGTGGGCGGGATCCTGGACCGGCGGCTGGGCGAGGGCGACCCGAACATGACGCCGGAGGAGCGAGCGCTGGAGCGGTTCGCGTTTGAGAAGCAGCGCACCCACAGCAAGAAGGGGGCCGTATTCGACCTGGAGGACGACGGCGACGACGACGTCGGGCTGACGCACATGGGCCGGTCGTTGGCGGTCGGCGACGACGGCGAGGCGGCTGAGTCGGACGAGGGTCTGCGGCTGGTCGACCATCTGCGGGATGACTTTGACGAGGACCTGTCGGACGGCGAGTCGGACGACGACAGCGAGCAAGACGTCAGGCTCAAGCAGCTCAAGCGGATGCGCAGCGAGGCAGCCCTGGCCGAGTCGGGCGGCGGGACGGACGAGCCCGAGCGCAAGAAGACAAAGAAGGAGGTGATGCAGGAGGTGATTGCCAAGTCGAAGCTGCACAAGTACGAGCGGCAGGTGACGCGCGAGGCCGACGACGACGAGCGGGCGGCCCTCGACAAGATGCTGCCGGAGCTGCAGTCGCTGCTGCTGGCACCACGCGCGGCGACGACGACGACGGTCGGGGACAAGACCATGAAGCTGGCGGGTGGACTGCTAGCCGACAAGGTCGACAAGGCGGCACTTGAGAAATCGTACGACGTGCGGTTGCGCGAGCTGATGCAAGACAAGAAGGCAGAGCCGTCGACGCGGACGAAGACGGAGGAGGAGGTAGCAGCCGAGCAGTCGGCCCACCTGAAGAAGCTGGAGGAGAGCCGGGTCAAGCGGATGCTGGGGCAGGTGGAGTTTGAGGAGGGCGGCGAGGGTGAAGAGGGTGAAGAGGGAGGTGGCAAGACGGACAAAAAGGACAAGCAGGCCAAGGACGACCGGCCCTTCTCGTTTCCCGGCCAGGACGACGAGGACGAGTTTGCGTTGGGCCAGGGCATCCGGGTACGCCACACGGCAGCCGAGTTGGGGTTTGACGACGAGGACGACTTTCTGATCGACGACGATCTCGTGGCCAGCGGCTCAGACGTCGAGGAGGCCGACGACAGCGAGAGTGAGGAGGAGAGCGGCGGCGAGGAGGAGGAGGAGGAGGATGACGAGGACGACGAGTTCACGCGTGGCCTGCTTACTGAAGAAGAAGAAAAGGACCCGGCTTTTTCGCGGGCAGCAACAACAACAACAACAGCAACGGACGACGACGGCATCCCGTACACGTTTCCGTGTCCGCAGACGCACGCCGAGCTGCTAGCGGTGCTGGAGTCGGTGCCGATGACGGGGCTGGCGACGGCGGTGCAGCGGATCCGGGCGCTGCACCACCCGAAGCTAGAGGCCGGCAACAAGGAGCGGCTGGGCCGGTTGGCGGCGGCGCTGGTGGTGCACGTGGTGTATCTGGGCGACCAGCCGAGTCCATCCCACCACGTGATTGAGAGCCTAGTGCGTCACGTGCACTCGCTAGCGAAGATGGTACCGATCGACGTGGCGGTGGCCTTCCGGGGCGAGCTGGCGCGGATGGTGAGCGCCAACAGGCTGACGCCGGGCGATCTGGTCCTGCTGGCAGCCGTGGCCATGTTCCCGACGTCGGACCACTTCCACCCGGTGGTGACGCCGGCCGTGCTGGCCATGGGCCGCTTTCTGGCGCAGCGGCCGCCACGGACAGCGGCCGACTGTGGCGCCGGTCTGTTTGTGTGCACGCTGCTGCTGCAGTTCCAGCAGCGGGCGCGGCGCTACGTGCCCGAGCTGCTGACGTTTGTCTGTGGTGTGGCCATGGCCCTGGCGCCCGTGCCGCTGTCGCCGGCTGTGCGTCGCCGGCTGCACGGCCAGATTCCGCTGCACGCGTCGGCAGAAGCGTTGCGGGTGGCCACCGACAAGGCGGAGCCGCGGCGGCTGCGGCCAGCCGACTGCCAGCCTGACAGTCTTCCTTCCGAGGCGCTCAAGAGCTCCCTCCTGGCCACCGCCGTGGCCGTCCTCGAGGCTGCCACGGCTCTCTGGGCCGACAAGGCTGCCGTGGCCGAGTCGCTCGCTCCGGCCATCGAGATTCTTCGACACCTCGCTGCTAGCCCGGTCGGCTCCCTTCCCGCTTCTGTCCGACAGGCTGTCACGCGCGCGCTTACCACCGCCGAGGCTGTCGGTGCTGCCGCACAGCTCGCTCGCCGGCCGCTCGAGCTTCACCACCATCGGCCGCTGGCTATCCGCACGCTCGTCCCCCGGTTCGAGGACGAGTTCGACCCCGACAAACACTACGACCCCAACCGCGAACGGGCCGAGGCCGCCAAGCTGCAGGCTGAGCTCAAGCGCGAGCGCAAGGGCGCGCTGCGCGAGCTGCGCAAGGACGCCGCCTTCATGGCGCGCGAGCAGCTCAAGCTCAAGAAGACACGCGACGCCGCGTACGAGAAGAAATACAAGCGGCTGGTCGCCGAGATCCAGGGACAGGAGGGACACGCGGCCAATGAGTACGAGCGCGAGCGGCAGAAGCGGAAGAGGAGGTAGGGGGGAAGAGATGGGAGAGAAAGACGAGAAGGCAAAAAAGTTGGAGGGGAGAAGATCGGAATACAGACGGCGAAAAGAAGGGAGGAGAGAAGGAGGGCGAGACAGATACAAGAGGACAGCGGAACAGAAGACAGAAGAGCAAGGGAAAGGAAGTAAAAGGCAACTGGATGGTCTATACAATATATTATTCTTCAAAGTTGGTTGTCTTGAAGAAGACGCTCAGATTAATCGACACTTTCCAACCCTTTACACTGTTTCCACACTGTTTCCACACTGTACTCTGTACTGACACAGTCCGTCACTCGACCGGAAGGAACGACCGGCACTCCTGCAACTCTTCTTGGGTATACTAGTATTATGAACATGATTCGTCGAGCATTACGGCCTCCCGCCTCCTCTTCATTCTCGCAGATATCGCCACAGCAAGCTGGCCCCCTTGATCGCCGGCAGGTTGTGTCGCCGCACGCACTGCCGCTGCAGCCGCCGGTCACCGCGCCTGCCGCCGGCCACGCTGCCTGCCCGACCGCCGTGCAGCCGGCCGCTGTCGAGATAGTCCTGCGGGCCAGCATAGGGAGTATAGTGATGATAGTTGTTGTGACCGCTGTAGCCACTATAGCCATAGCCGCCACAGCTGCTGCTGTCACCACAGCTGCTACTGCTGCTGCTGTCGCCGCTGCCGCAGCGATGCCGTTGTTTTTGGTCGTCGCTGCCACCACCACCGCCCACCACGGCCGCCACGACAGACCGCTGGAAGCGCCGCTTGAACCGGCGCCACTCGTCGTTGGTCGGCCACGGGTCGCAGTCGGCCGCGTCGTCGCTGAGGCTGCCGCCAGCCGCGATCGTGGCGGCGGCCCCGCGCAAGAGCATGTCCCAGTCGTCGTCGCTGTCGGGAGTGTCGGCGCTGGCGGTCGTACTGCCGTGCTCGAGCGGGTAGTAGAGCAGCTCGTTCAGGTGGGGACGGCGTCGGGGCTGGCGGTTGATGCTGGCCTCGATGTCGAACTGGAAGCGGTAGGCCTGGTGGATGATCTGGGGGTGGGCTGCCATCTTTGCGTGTCTCCCTCCCTCTCCGTCTTCCTCTTCCCCTCCTTCGCTCACGCTCGTCGAGCTCGTCGGCGTCTCAAACTGAAACTCTTGGTGCACCACAAACAAGAGCGTCCGCAGCCGGACAAACCGGCCCAGCGCCGCCAGCAGACGAGCTGTGCAGGCTGGCGCCAGTCGGCCCAGAACCGGGTGACAGACCTCCCCGGTGTGCGCGCCGTAGCTCGTCCCCAGGGCCAGCGTCACCAGGCTGTCGCGCACCAGCGGGATGCGCCCCAGAAAGCGCAGCGTGCGCAGCAGCCGGCGCCGCAGCAGGTACGGCTCCAGCAGCAGCAGGTCGCGCGTCAGGTCGACGTGTTTGGTCGTGGTGCCCAGCCGCAGCGGACGGTAGCGTGCCAGTACCAGGCGGCGGGCCTCGATGCAGACGGCCGCCAGTGCCGGCGGTGGCGTGTCGTGGGCCTGCGCAAACATGAGCCCGGCTGCCGCTGCCATAGTCTGGCGGGCGCCCGGCACGTCCAGGACCTCGTACACGCGGGCGTCGGGCAGGGCCTGCTCCCAGACCATGGCACGGATCTCGGGCGGGAGACGGCCGAAGAGGTGAAAGGCCATGGGAGTGGAGGTGAAGGTGGAGGAGTTCAAGGTGGAGGAGGTGGATGTGGTGGATGTGGTAGGACGTAGATGTGGTTGGTGGCTATGTTGGTGTAGATGGTAGATGGTAGATGTAGATGTAGATGTAGATCGAGGCTATGGTGGCCGTAGTCCAGATGGGTAGCGAGGACCCTGTGGTAGGTGTCAATAAAAGGAGCAGACTAGGCTGCAGACGAGGATGGATTCGACGTGGATGACTGCACAGAGATGTTCGACGTGGACTGCGCAGAAGACGGATCGACGTAGAATCGGACACATGGACGAAGAATGTCAGTGTAGAAGCTGTCCAAAAGGTAGACATGGACTGGCCAACATAGACGCAGACACACAGACATGCACGGAATATCTACTCCGTCACCCAGCACCCCGACTTATACATGGCTGTGGGGTGGCGGTCCCACCGCCAGATGAACCGCTTCTATTATTGCCTCTTGTGGGAGGCAGTTCACATGTGAGGTGAGAGCGGGTGAAAATCCCCGGCAGCCGCACCGGCCGGCGACCATGGCAAGCGAGCGCACGCGAAGGGACGCTGCTGCAAGAGGGCCAGGGAGCGCTGCACGACAGGGGGGTGGGAGCCGCAGCCGCAGCCGATCGAGACAGCCGTCTAGGAGCACGTTTAGCTGCTCGGATTGCGGTTGCAGGTCCAGGACCAATCACGAAGGCGGCAGCGTGTGTGAGCGCATCCATGGTACGGCGTAGCGTGCGAAACAAATCAGGTCCAGGGGCCAGGACAAGGAGGCAAGGAGGCAAGGAGACAAGGAGACCAGAGGCCAGGTTGCGCGATTCCAAAATTCCCCCATTCGAATGCGCACAGCCGTTGTGCGGTCTCCAGCAAAAGTGAAGCCTGGAATGTCGGGCTGCTCCCTCAGCCCCGCGGAGAGACTGCCCAGTCTGGCAGCAGGCCCGGCTGCTGCTTCCTCGTAAGCCGCGTCCACAGGCGTCCACAGGCGTCCACTCACCCACACCCGCCCACACGTCGCTTCGCTAGCCGCTGCCCGGCACTCACCTCTCGTGCGTCCCAAAGAAGCAGGGCCGGCCGCCAACCTCGCTTGCGCCCGATCGGCCTCGTTTACGAGAGACTACGGAAAATGTACAATGTACAATGTAGCAGCTGCTGCCACCACGCCTGCCGCCGTACGACGCCGCTGCTGGCCCGTCACAAGCGAGCACCACCTCCCACCTCTCCCATCCTTTTGTGGGCCGCATCGTGAACTCGACCGAAGCTCGTCCTGCGACATCCTGCCACGTCGTGCCTCGACACCCCTGGAAGTAGCTTAAATCGGAGTCGCATCACCTTTTGCTTCGTCACGGCCTCCATCACCGCCCGTCGTCCGTCGTCCGCCTTCCGCCTTCCAGAACGTGCCCCGCCTGCCCTGCACAGAGGGCAGCGCATGAACACTCGCCTTCCAGCCCAAAACAAGCTCAGCCCAGCTCAGCTCACCACCCTACCGAATCCCACCACTCGTCCTCGTACAGCCCGCATCCTGGCTCACCCGAAACCCCCCCTCCGAAACTCAGCCCCTCGCTTGTGTTTCTGATTTGTCTTTTTCCTCGCCGCCCGAAAGGCCAAAAATACGGAATACGGAGCAGAAAGATCAAAAAAAAAAAACCGCGCACCAATGCCTGCAAAATGCTAAATCTGACCGTCTGTGCGAAAAAAGGGCTACGAGCATGACTGGAAAAACCTCCCATGATTACAAATTTCGGAGTATCCGCGCACGTGATGTCCTGCCGCTATTTTCAGCAGCCAATCATGGCGCGTGCGCATCAGCCCCACTCGAAAAATGCCTATTTGAATCGCTCTTTTTTTCGTCCCTCCATGCTTCGCTCCCTCTCTCTTTTCCCTCTTTTTTCCCTCGTGCGGCTGGCATGACTCTTATACATCTACCCGTGTTGCTCGAATTCATCTTCAATGGAAGAGCCCAGAGTCGGGGGGTGGGAGCTTCTTCGGAGGAGCCCGCCCGCCCGTCTCTGGTTCTCGCTTCGCAGCGTCAGTCATGTCACAGAATAACGGAATTGCACATCGGCTTTCGCCTACTGGACTGTCTCGCTCTGGGATCCGGATTTTATCTGGCCACGGAGCGGACGACGGTAGGGGTCGAACATATTTTCACCCAGAGGGAACCACCAGTCATGTTGGCTCAGGGATCCATGCCGCAAGGAGACCGCAACATCTAGATAGGAGAATAGTCTCATTCGCTGTCTGTGAAACGTAGCATGTCTGCCTTGTTTCGCGCCCGAAACCGCTCAACCATGGTATCCCGGCAGGCCTGTTGACGAAACCGACATTGCGTGGTGACATTGTCATGTCGGCTGGCCTAGATTACATGTTCTCGGCACGACCTTGGCAATATTGCCTGTCCATCTGTCTATTTCGTATATAAGCTGTGGGGTTTTTCGAGCCCACACGCACAGATCCGAGAGCATGACCAAAGCCCATGTCATCTCTCTCGCTCTCGCTCTCGTAGGAAGCAACGCAGCCAAGTGTGACCTTGTGTGGCAAAAAAAGGGGGGGACGTCGTCGCTGTGGCTGCTTCATTATCGTTCTGATGCCGTGCGGGTCCGCCTACTCGCCCAGCTCGTCGCCAATCTTCTCCAGCTTGCCCATCTCCCGCTTCTCGCCCGACTCGCCAATCAGCCGCAGCCGGTCCAGTCGCACCTTGTCGCCGTCGCCGTCGGCCGACACCACAAAGACCACCAGCGTGTTGACCTTTTGGAACTTGACAAAGCGCAGTCCGATCGAGGCCGTCCCGTCCGCGTTCCAGTCGGCCTCGCCCAGCTCGACCTCCTGCGTCGCCACCGTGTCCTCGGCCTCGTCGAAGCCCAGGTTGTGCGGCGTGTTGCTGAAGAGCTTGATCAGCCGCGGCCGCGCCGTCTCGCCGTCCGAGCCCGGCAGCGACGTGATCTGCAGCGTGTGCAGCTTGACCATCGACATGAACGGCACAAACAGCATGATCTGCTCATCCGTGTCGCTCTCGATCCAGTCCTGCTCGTCGCTGCCCGGCCCGCCCGGGGCAAAGAGCACCCGCACGCTGCCGGTCGCCGGGTCCACGTTGAGCAGCTCGCACCGCGTCACCTCTACCTGGTCCGTGATGTCGCCGTAACCACGCGGCAGCGCAGCCCCGAGCCAGGGGCTCGACCCGGACCCGGACCCGGATCCAGACGAAGACCCGGCCGTGCTGGCCTCCTGCACCAGCTTCGTGGCCAGGGCCTCCAGCCGCTTCGGGTCCGCACCCTGCACCCGGTCAATCACCTTCCCGTCTCGAAACAGCACAAACGTCGGCAACGAGGTCACGCGGTACGCCTCCGAGATCGCCTTGTGGGCCTCCGTGTCGACCTTGACAAACGTCACCACGTTGTCCCGCGCGAGCGAGTCGGCCAGCCGCGCAAACACCGGCGCGATCATGTGGCAGGGGACGCACCACTCCGCAAAGACTGCCGGCAGCGTTAGCAGGCGAGGTCGTTGAGCAAAACAAAAATACAAAGACAGGCCGGCAACGCACAGTCGGCCACCACAATCTTGGACGTCTTCAGAAGACCGTCGAAATGGGCCGGCGAGCTGATGGCCACCACTTTCGACATGGCTGCGGCTGTCCGACGCAAAAATGCTTGTTTGTCTGGGTGTCTGGCAGCGCTCCTGGAGATCTGTTCGTCCTGCTTCCGTTGCTGTCGTCGGGCAGAAGAGCGGTTTTGTTTGCGGCTCAGAAAATGCCCCGCATTGCTAGACCATTCTCGAGTAGCTGACAAAATCGGTGATCGCTGCAAGGCACCAGGCCTGTTGCCTAAAGCTCGGAGGGGCGAGTCACGTGCAAGTTGGGCTCTTTTGGCCTCTCCGTCTTACTTTTCCCATATTTACTCGTATTTTGTTCTTGGTCTTTTTCTTCCATGGCTATCTATAAACATGTCCAAGTACAAAGGGCATAGCGGCTGTCGGACTGTAGCAAATCCAGTAAAAAGCGCCTTCCAACGGGGAAAATATACCATGCATCAAACAGCCCCCATCATCGCCAACACGCTCACACACCCACCGTGTGACTGAGCACGCGCATAGCCAGCTGGCTGAGCAGGCGAGCCCGATCGTCAGACGGCAGCTCCTGGAAGACGGCGTAGACGCTCTTGCCCTTGGTGTCGCGGATGGCGCCCAGCCGGTTTCCGGCCACGGCACCGGCCATCATCCCGGGTACGTTGGCCACGATGAAGCCGAGGGCGCCGCCGCTAATGCCGCCCAGCACGCCCCAGATGTTCCCAGTCGACCCGGTGCTGGTGCTGCCGCCGCCGTTGGCGTCCTCTTGCTCGGCCATGCCCTCCTCGCGCATCATCTCCTCGAAGACGTCGGCGAACTGGGCTTCCTCCGTGCGCTGCCGCGCCTCCTCCGGGCTCGCCTGGCGCCCATCGCTGCCCGTCGCCGGCTGCGGGAAATGATCCCAGGCCCACGAGGCCCCGCCGCCGCGGCCGTTGTCGCGCACGCCATACAGCCGCCGCTGCGTGTCGTACTCCTGGCGCCGGCCGGCGTCCGAGAGCGCGTAGTAGGCGTCGTTGACCAGCTGGAAGCGCTCCGTGCGCCGCTTGCGCTCCGGGCTGTCGGCAGGCACGCGGTCGGGGTGGGACTTTAGGGCGGCACTGCCCAACACAGAATCAGCATCGTCGACCAGGTCGCCCCGTCCACACCACTGCTCGTACAGACTCACCGCTTGTAGGCATCGCGGATCTGCTGGGCGGTTGCCTTGTCCGACACCTCGAGAACGGCATCTGTGGTCGTGATGAGCAACGTGATCCAGTCCACCCAAACAGGGTCGGCTCACAATAGTCTGGCGGAGCTGCCCGTGCCATCTTGGGAGCAGGCCGCAGAAGATTTAGCAGCAGCAGCAGCAGCAGAGCGAGAAAGCACGAGCGAGAGCGAGACGGAAAGCTCGTGTGTGGCAGCCGCTCAATATCGATGCGTGTCGGAGACGAATGTCGGGGCAGGCAAAAAGTCGCTGGCGAAGACGGTCCCGGCTGAAGATGCCTGACGGCGGATAGTTGCCACCGGCCACAACGTCATCAAGCCAAAATCGAGACGCTGTAGCGCGAGGGAGGCACCGACATCACTGCAGCCGGTGTCCACCCTCTCAGAGCCCCGCCCAGACCATACTTGTCAGTATCTTACACGTGCACCACGCGCAAAGTACAGGGGGGTCGGTATGATTGTGGCCCTTCTCAGGTACTCGTAGAAGACATATCTTAACGCTGTCTACAGAGTATGGGCTCAGTCTACACGCTGGCCGGGTCACGTGCCTGGAGGCGTGGCGAGTAACTTGGCAGGAGCTCTCCTATCTTGTGGCGACGTAAAAGACGCAACCTCATGACTGCTCCTCGCTTTGCTGTCTGTCTGCCCAACGGCTGTCTCGAGCCCAACGAGGGGCTACGACGTCTAGTTTCTTAGAAGGAGAGGCCCAAGTGGACCTGATCGTCAGATACGAGCTGTTACGGTGTGCAATGTAACTGTCTTCAGGCTGCGAGTTGCCGGCAGACAGCGGACGAAGACCAAAGAGGAATCGTGGTCCTCTGGTTCCCCGGTCGCTCTTGCCCGAGCAGGAGAGCGTCCACGTCACTTGCCCGTTTTCACGGAACCACGACACAAGCGTCGAGTCCGGTCGCTCCTACCAACGTGATGACCCTCCCCCACCTCGCCTGGACCCTCTTTGCTTCCCCTCCATGATGGTGGCGTAGCCGCTAGTAGTATTATTCACCTCTTTTTTATCAGTCCATCCGACAACCCCCTCGTTTGCCTTATCTGCCTCTGCTTTATATACCGACTGCCGTCGTCCTTCTCCTGTCTGTTCTGATCTGCTTTCTCGGATCGCTTCTTCCTGCTGGCAGCCAGAAACTGCACCTGTTTGGAAGTTCATATAGCATAGCCAAAATAAAAACACCAATTATCAGACTCGTTCCGTTTTGGGGAAGTCGGAAGACCACTCTATACGCACACTCGTCTTTCCTGGTACATATATACATCTGATATCAGAGGCGTGTTTCGACCTTTTAGAGAAGACTCTGCTTTCACTGCTGCCATTGGTACACACGTGGAAGGCGGGCGTCTCACATACACGGCCAGCTTCTGCTAACACGAGCACAGGCTTTGCACTGCGCTCCTCTCTACTATGTTTGCCGTTCAGTCTACCACAACGACCATGCAGGGCTACGATGACCTTGCAGCTCTGCTGGCCAGGAATCTGACGCTCAATCCCATCCCTGTGGCTGTGCCTGCGCCTGTGGAGGAACAGACGCCTTTGCCGCCCAAGATCTCCTATTCCATCTCGCAACACTATACCCATTCTGCTCACATGCTGCAGCGACAATACCAGCAACAGGAAGAGCTCGTCGACCCGGAGCAGCAGGCTGCCGAGGCCCTTCTTAGACAGCACGGCATCGACCCGTCGCGCCTGACTGCCGTGCAGCTAGCGCTGTTTCGCATGTCCACGCCAGACCGTCGTGACTACATCATGCAGCTGTGGCGGATCTGCCCTCCGACGACGGACGGCATGGCGGACAACGAGGTGATGAGCCTGGACGGTACGGCCGTTCCCGTAGCGTCACAGCAACACTTCACCACGCAGCAGGACGGCAGCGGCCGCTGGGTCCAGTCGACTTCGCACAGCTATACGGAGCCCTATATGATGTCTGGCTACGAGGAGCTCGCGCGCCGGGAGTACCAAACCTCGGCTTCGGACGATTCGTGCATCCCGCGCTCCGCAGGTGTGGCCCTCCGCACCGACCCGGTCTACAACAACCGGCTGGACATGTCCGGTCGGGCGTCGTGGCCTCCCCAGAGCCACCTGGCCTGCACGGATATGGAGAACCAGTATGGCAAGCTCATGGCCATGCGAGACAGCGGTGCGATGGAGATGTGAGACGCTTTTTGCATAGCTTTTGCATAACTTTATTTTAGGGGTTCATTTTTGTATGACCGAGGGCATAGCCAATGCCTTAAGTGCCAATATCATAGAAGCTATAGGCCAACACGTGCAAGCACACACCAGTAGCAATTCTAGCGTACACTATGATTTTTAGATCCTTGATGCTAGACGAATGTTTGCTTGCGGCCGTCCTTGTCAGGGCGTCCCTTTCGGATCTGGCTTTTCTGTGTTGCCCAAAAGGTCAGATGGCGTCGAGGCTTACCGCTTGCCCTTGCGTCTGACGGCCTTGCCGTTGTTGCTGCCCGAGACGCGGGCGCGGCCCAGCGACTCGGTGGACGTGCCGAGGAGCTCAAACTCCTCGTTGGAGTCGGTGCTGGGGGTCTCCTTGCCGGCGGACGAAGCCTCGTCGTCCACATCGTTCTCGTCGTCAGCCGCAGCAATTGGCTTGTAGCTACTGCTTTCCTGCTTGCCGGAAAGTACTCGACCGACGGTCAGGACGTACAGCCAGGCCGGCAACCGGTACACGGCCGTGTCCCGGAAGGTGGGAGGGTGGATGGAGTTGATCTAGCAGAGTTAGAACAGCTTTATCTGTTTGTTTGGGGGGGCAGTTTGCTTACATCGAGCAGCAGTTCTTCCACGTTGCCGTCGTCGTCGACCTGCTCGAGATACACGTCGCCGAGCGAGTCGACGACCAGGACCTTGCCGTTCTGGGCCACGACGCGCTTCTTGACCCCAGTCGGTCCGCCGGTGGGCGAAGTGACGGGCGTGGCGGTACCGCTAGCGTGAGCCGAAGCCGAAGCGGTGGCGGCAGCTGTGGAGCGACCGGTCTTGCGGGCGACGACGCTGCGACGGCCGGAGCTGGCGGTGCCGCCGCGCTGGTCCTCGCGCCTGGACTCGCGCTCCTGCATGCGGCGCTGCTTGCGGTTGAGGGCAGCCGCGGGGGCGGCATCGTCTTCGGGGACAGGAGCAGCCGCAGAAGCAGCAGCAGTAGCTACAGCAGCGGAGCTGAGATCCAAACCCAGGCTGTCGCCCCAGGCGCTGCGGCGGGCATGCCGGACGTAGCGATCCATAAAATCGCGCTGGCGCTTCCAGCCGGTATACAGGGCGACGTAGTGAGCAGCACCGCCGACAAAGACGAAGAGGCCGAAGAGGACGGTGCCGAAGCCGGGACGGTAGCGGTTGTAGTAGTAGCCCGTGCCCTTCCAGACGGGGAAGCCGTTGGCCAAGAAGTGGTCGTAGCGGTCACGCCCAGAGCCGCGCAGGATGTTGGCCACGATGCTGAGGCGCGCCTGCATGTCCGAGGCCTTCTTGATGGCAGCGCGGACTTCGGCAGCCGAGGGTCCCTTGGGCTTGGCCGCGCTTCCGCTTCCGGCGGCGGCGTGTTTCTTGGTCTTGCCGGCCAGCTCGGCGGCCAGCTGCTGCTTCACCTTGTCCGGGTGTAGCGAGCGGGACCGCTTGCGGTACGCCTTGTTGATCTCGTCCACGGAGGCCGAGGCGGCCACGCCGACAAAGTCGTAAAAGCTGACGTCGGCGCCAAGAGCCCCGGCCAGCTCGTCCCGCACACGGAAGATCTCCTGGTCTGGCCACGGGCGTGAGCGGACGGACAGACGACCGACAATGGGAACGACCACACGGACATACCTTCTTTCGACCAGGAGGCCATGACGGGAGCGACGACGGCCAGAAGGCCAAACACAAGCGTCGAGAGCCTCATGCTCGCATAGTTTGGGCGGGAAGAATGTAGGAGACGCAGCTAGGACAACGGATACGCCGTACAGGAAAGCAACAAAAAGGACAAGACCGGCTGTCGAGGACACAAAAAAAACGGATGGAAAAGAGGTCTGGACGAACAGATGCCAAATCAGCAGCGCAGCTTTTTTCCCGCCCATTTTCTGGCCAGTAAACTCTAATTTCGTAGCTGACTAGCGCCGCAAGTCCCCATGGCACAGGGGCAAACAAGCCACCTATGCAGGAAGGAGCAGGCAGTGGTGAAACTGCCGAGTTTAGGATACGACAAGCGCCTGCGTTGCAGCAGAGCTGTCTGGGCAACAGCTTCAGCGGACACGTGACGATGAATGGCTGGAAGGAGTATCTTACTTACGAGTACTCCGTACTGTACTCCGTACTCCAGTAATACGGAGTACTCCGTAACAAACTGCTGCCTGTTAATAGGGCCGTCCAACACGTAACCACTCAAGATACAGTGGCTGTGCGCTATTATGCACGAATTTCGCCTGTGCTTTCCTCTGGCCATCTCTTCTCTCTTTTCCCTCCTTCTCCAGTACTTTTTCGCCAGCTTCTCCGTGCTCTCGCTCTCTCGCGTCCTCTCACTCTCTTTAGCCGCTCCGCCTTGCTCAAGCCGCCAATAGGACTTTCTGCTCCTCCCTCCTCTTCAGCGCATTTAGCACCGTTTTCTCAGCTGGCGTGGATGTTTATCGGCTAGAATCGCGTCTGCATATAGATAGGCTGCTATTTCTCACCGTCTATTCCATCCCGCCTTCTGTTTTCCGTTTTCTGTTTTCTGCCTTCTCTCTTCTTCACCTTTTGAGAGCCTGCCTCCCGGACCAAGATGTCGCGCATACAGATCCCGCTCGACATGATCACGTCGCGGTTCAACTTCGGCGACCGCTTCGCGAGCGTGCGGTCGACGTCGCTGGCCACGCGGTTCTCCAACCTGCGGCCCCTGACTGAGTTCTTCGACGTCAAGCGGATTTCGAAGCCGGAGAACTTTGCGGAGATGCAGTCGCGCGTCAACTACAATCTGGGGCATTTTTCGAGCAACTACGCGATCGTGTTTTTGATGCTCTGCATCTACACGCTGCTGACCAACTGGTGGCTGCTCTTCGACATCATCTTTGTCGTCCTGGGCATGTTCCTCATCGGCAAGCTGGACGGCAATGACCTCGAGATCGGCACGTTCCGGGCGTCGACGTCGCAGCTGTACACCGGTCTCTACGTCATCGCCATCCCGATCGGGCTCATCTCGTCGCCGTTTGCCACCATCGCCTGGCTGATCGGGGCCAGCGGCGTGGTGATCATTGGTCATGCGTCTTTTATGGACAAGCCCATCGACGAGGCTTTTTCTGGGGAGGTGGTCTAGATGGTCGGCCACGTGCTCCCAAACACAGCCCCTCCTGGGGAAGACCATCCAAGCGCGGCGCCCGAGCGGGCAAGAACAACAACCGGGATTCTTATATCAGCGACAAGGACATTTGGAGTTCCTTCACCAGCGGCAGCCGCGTGGTGGAGGAGGTGGAGAGCAGCAGCAGCGGCGACGGCGGCGGTGGCGGCGGCAGTGGCAGAAAAGGGAAGGCCAGCCTAGCAAGAAGGCACCGGGGACAGGGCGTTTCGGATGCATTTTCAGCGGATGCGGGAGTGACCCGGCGGCGAGGGAGATTGATGCAGGCAGAATCAGGCTCGGACAAGGATGACGACAGCTCCGAGTCGGAGTCGACGTCTGAGAACTCAGACTCCGAGTCGGACATCAGCGAGCCGGGCGAGGAAGAAAAGGCGGCCTTGGCCAAGGCCATGGCCCGTATAGAGCGAGCCAAGGCCAAGGACAAGGCCCAGGTGAAGCTGAGCAAGAAGGAGCTGACGGCTCTGGGACGGCACAAGGAGCGGCTGCAGCGACTGGAGCAGCAGAAGAAGCGGCGAAAGGCGAAGAAGGAGAAGAAAGGGAGGAAAGACGAGAGAGAGCGGGTAGCGATTCCGCTGGCGCATCTGGACTTTCCGGCGATGCGCACAATCGGGAGGCCGCCGTCGCCACTTCTGTCGGGGGACGACAAGGGCGAAGCACGTCGCGTGCCTGGGGCATTTGAGCGCGAGGAACGGCCGAAGAGCGAAGTGTATCCGCCCAAGGGCCAGCTTCCGCCGCCACGACCGCTCTCGATGGCCAGCGGTGTCGGTGGATCGGACCGGCGACGCAGCGCGTCTCCCTTTACCTATGCGTACCTGCGTGGCAGCGGAGCGGCGACGGCATCGACAGCAGCGGCAGCCCGACACGTGTCTGACCCGACCGCATCGCAGGGCAATGTCAATCCGTTTCTGTTCATGACGGGAGAAACACAGACGCCGTACTATGGGTCGGTGGCAGCGGCGGTAGAGCGGTTCGGCGGGCCAGCAGTGGCTGCCACTACAGCCCGGAGCCGCGTAGACCCGTTGCTGTACGAGGTGTCGGAGTCGAGCGGTCAGGACGAGACAGCGAGCGGCGACGAAGACATGGGGGACAGGCGGCGTCGGTCAGTGGTGGACCACACACAGTCGCAGACTCGGATGGTCGATGACGGGTTGTCCAGACGGCGTGGACGGGAGGCCATTGTCCATGCGAGCGAGTCGGACTCGGAGGCCGGGGCAGATGGGCGGGAACGGGACCGTGAACGGGATCGTGAACGGGACAGGGAACGGGAGCCGGAGCTGCGGCCGGTACAAGAGTCCAAGGCGAAGAAGTCGATGCGCAGCTCGTCGACGGCGATGGCGTCCAAGCACAAGACCAGCAGGACGCGCAACAGCAGTCCCAGCGTGCAGCCGAGCCGTCGGAGACGGGCCAAGTAGGATGGCGTTTGGAAGGATGGCTAAAACAAGGGTGGCTAGACGAAGACAGATTTTGAACGATGCCCAAATTGATTGATTGAATACAAACATACAAGTACAAACAAGACAGACGTGTAAACATTATCATCCCAAACGACGTGGTATCCAACCGTTTTCGGCACAATTCCAGCACATCAGCAGCTCAGCATCTCTCACACGTCAGGAGAAGAACCGGGCGAGACTAGCACCCCAGCCGCCGCCACTGCGGCCATGGCTGCTGGTGCTGTCGCTGCCGTAAAAGTCGGTACCGGTAGTGGAACTAGCAGCAGCACGGCTGGCGCGGAAGTAGTCGCGCTGCTGGGCCGGGGGGTGTCGGAGGTTGCGACTGGCGCCGACGCCAGCACCGGCACTTGCAGCAGACCCGGACGCGGCGCCGGTGACGGAAGCCATGCGGACAGCATCGCTGACGACGCCGATGCTGTCGCTGGACGCGGCAGCAGCGCGAACGCCGAAGCCGAGCATGCGCGCAATAGCAGGCGGCAGACGCAGGCCAAAGCGGGCGAGCAGTGCCGCCAGAGCGCCGCCGGTGAGGAGTGGCATGACGGCCAGCAGAAAGACCTTGAGCGGGTGTTTCTTGGCGTAGTAGAGCAGGTCGCGCAGCAGGCGGCGCAGCTTGCGGTAGGTGCGGTGCAAAAAACCGGAGCGCGGCGAGCGCCGATAAAACGATGCGCCGGCCGGCCGGCCACCGACGCCTGAGGACGAGAAGACGGAACGCGCGCTGCCGTTGGGCTGAGCAAAGAAGCCGGCACCAAAACCGGCAGGCGAACGGCTGCGGCTGCGGCTGTGGCTGTGGTGGCCGGCGCTGTGCTTTTTCGACTCTGCCTCCTCGACGTACTCGTACAGGCTGCTGCTCGCCCTCGCGTGCCGGCCGTGACCCTTGTTGTTGACGCTTTCGAGCCCGAAAAAGGTGCGGTTCGTCGGAGCCGTCGCTCGTGTCCGGCTGCGGTCACGCTCTCGCTCCCGGTCGCCGTCCCGGCTGCTGCCGTGCTTGTGCTTGTGCTTGGACGACGAGGACGGCGACCGGTAGTGCGCGCTGCGTCGCGACACCACCGAGCCACCGTCAATGTCCAGAAAGCCCATGGCGTGTGGATCAGGGTGTGGAGAGAGCAGAGAGAGAGGACAGAACAGGACAGCCGACAGGGGAGAAGGAGGGGCGACGAGAGGGGCGAGGATTGAGACGAGAGAGAGAGAAAGAGAGAGAGAGAGACAGAGCAGAAAACAAGAGAAGAAATTGAGACGACAGACGGCGAGACGACAGAGAGTCACAGGCCCGACCACAAACCCAAAAACCCAACTCGTCCAAATCGAATGGGCGTTGGGGCAACACGCGCAAAAACACGGCTGCTGCGCTGTCTCTCTGCAGGCAAGAGGCGAAACCGACTTCAATAAATCGACGGACCCAGTCGAGCCCCGGACGACGGTCCCAAGACGCAATAGGCTGCAAGGTTTAGATGGGGATGGGAATATGGGGATTTGGGGGGGCCTCGAGGTGAAAGAAAAAGGTCAAACAGACAAATAAAGGTAGAGCACGTCTCTACAAGCGCCAATTGGCTGTGACACCGTGAAACTCGTTCCTTCCCCCCCCCAGCCGCCTCTATTTTCGCCAAATAAAACACTCCGTATATTAAAACGCAATAAATGCCGTGGCCACGCTACCATGTACTTCACCTTGGAGCGACAATTAAAACCATAACCACAGATCCATGCGTCTGCAGGATGCGCCCCTCCCAATCCCCGTTCACCGCTTCTCGTTGGCTATCGCGTCTTGTTCTCGTAATGGCCTCCTCCGCCAGCTGTGGATCCCACCCGTCTCCGGTAAGATACGAGCGCTGTACGGAGTACTGCGTAGGGGCTTCTGCTCGTGCGATAGCTGGGGGCAGATAACAATACTCCGTACGGAGTACTTCATACGTTGTACACATTGCTCCTCACCTCACAGAAAGCCTTACCATAACTGGACTTGCACTAGCGCACGGACCCTAAATGATCGCGCCAGGGGCCGCAACGCTAGTCAACAGTCACGTGATTTTGCACGTGCTCTTTGGCGTATAATAGACCAGCCTCGTCCACACATCTCATTGAGAGACCATCACAGGTCGCAATACGTACTGTACATGCCGTCATCTAAACTCCACTCCATGCAAGGATTCTGGTCTGTATGACGTCCCATCATATGCTATTCTAGGTCCCCGGAGAACCCCTGTCCCTGTCGTAGTACCGCCCTCTTTGCCTGCCTCGCCTAAAGCAGGGCTGGGGCCATTAGAAGTCTTTGGACCCGAAGTTGTATGTATGCCTCGAACTTGTAGCATGGCCGGCCCTCTCCTTGCACCAGAACGCCATCTTGATGCAGCAGGGCAGACAATGCCATTGACAGGAAACAGAAAAAAAAAAACGAATTCGAAGAAAAGAAGAAAGGGTATATAAGCATCACAAAAAGTCCTGCAGCCGCTGAAGGCTGTCGGCCGCCTCTAGTTCGAATAGGAATTATGCCCGTATTGCGTCGGGTGCGGCTGCTGAGGTGCGTAGCCTTGTGCTTGTGCCTGGAGATGCTGAACAGGCTGGCCTCGCACCTCTCGGAAGTGCATCTGCAACGGCTGCATCGACTGCATTGGTTGCATCGACATCGACTGCATTGGCTGTATCGGTTGCATAGACTGCATCGGTTGCATCGAGTGCATCGAATGCATCGGCTGCAAGTGCTGCATTGCTTGCTGTTGCAGCGCCTGGGCTGGAGTCAGAGCCAGTCCCTGCCGCATCGCCGATCCCCCATATGATAGCCCCTGGAACTCCGGCACAATCCCCGACCGCAGATCGTTTCGCCGTCCCAGTGGCTGGTAGTACATCTGCGTCGGCGGAATCAGCAGCGCACCGTTGGCCTGGTATTCCTGCAGACTCGACGATGGCGGAGGATTTAGCAGCATATGCACATTGCGGATCGGACGGTACGGACTCGCCCGCTGCTGCAGGTAGATTGACGGTGAGTGCGAGATCGGCGTGTGTGCCGACGCCATGTGCGGAAAGCTGTCCGTGAGCGGCGACGACGTCGGTGCCGCAGCATACACAGAGGCCACGCTCGGCGTCAGAGCATTCAGCGGGCTCATCCGCTTGGTCGGCGTCCCAAACGAAGGCGCCGCATACGCCGTAGGTGTCGACCCGCCCGTAACGCCGAGTGTCGTCGCCGGCGGCACAGCTACGCTTGAGCCTGCCGTCGTCATCATGGAAAGCTTGGCCGGGAAGGACGCCCCGCCCGCCACGCCGTTCACTGTCGACGGAGCAGGCAATGCACCGACTCCCGCTCCGACAGATGTCGAGATCGCTCCGCTGTTCGAAGGATACACCGTCGCCATAGCACGCATGCCATGCGCGAGCGGTGGCAGTGACAGGTTGCTCTGTGCCGGCTGGTATGACCCGATAGCCGATCCCGGGCCAGGTATCTGCGTCTGTGCTGTGTTTGTGTTGAGCGTCAGGTGAGGCACCGGCAGCCGCATGGTCTCGGCCACAGGCCCGCTTGATCCAGTCGACGCCATGGTGCTGAATGGATCGGTCGCCTGGCTCGACATTGGCATAACGGACCCGAGAGACGTGACCGTTGGCGGTAGACCGGGCCGGACAAGCCGCTTTGGCGGTGGCTCCGTGGGGTCATCATGGGCATGCGACCTCTTGCCGAATGCGTTCATGTCCGACTTCATTGCCAGCGGAGAGACAGCCTGCGTGCTTGCATATGGCACCGGCCACGACTGCTGCGGTGCCATCTCCGTGTTGCTGCTCGCGTAGAACGGCCGGGCAGTCGGAGAACAGCTCGAGGAGTCATACATCGGAGGCACGCCCGATCCGGTGCCGAAGCTGTGCACGCTCTGCTGGGCCCCAGTCGGAGACGCGGCAGGAGACGCAATTGGCCGCTGGGGTGAGGCGGCAGAGTGGGGCGATACTGCTGACGTTGTAGATGCGCGTTCGTAGTATATGCGGAACTTGGCTAGCTTGACCAACCATTCCTTCCATTCGGTTGCAGACACCAGTAGACTGTAGCGCATGTTGCTCAGAAACTCCACCTCCATAACATGGATGTCCTTGACGTTCAGGGTAGACACATCTGACCATGTCTTGTTGGTATAGGTATTGTCGTCCAAAACTGCACAGTTCTCGTGTTAGCCAAGCCAAGCCAAGCCTACGCGGACTGTTGCCAGAGGCACCGTCGTCTGCTCACATTTGTTGCCCAGCATCAGAGCCACCGTCAGAAGGCGGAACTCGCTGCCTGGTTTGCCTCGCACCATCGGGTTCAACGACTTCAGCCGGTAGATGAAGAGCAGGGCCAGGAAGACCACATTTTGCGTCACCTGTGTCGTCGTGAGAATCCGGCTGACCCACGCCTTGAAGCTCGGGTTCGGAATGGCGTTTGCGCAGATCCGCGGGATCCACACTTCCTGAGGAATCATTTCCATATTGTCGGCTAGTTGGTATACAACCGGGGATTCGAACCAAAACAGACACGTCAACTGTGTGGCGTTAGCAGGCAAGGCAGCCAGTGGGCAAAGGGGGGGTCGGACTCGATTTACCTCTGCGGTGAAAGCTGCCAAGTTCCCTCCAGCGGGGCTGATGCACTTGGGAACCTCTAAACTGTGCATCACCATGCAAGCAGAATCTTGATCTGAGATGGTGATGGGCGAACGGCCCGCCGGGTGTGACGGAATAGCAGACTTCGAGCTGGTTGGTGTTAATGGACGAGCCGGATAGCCGGAGAAGGCATGGGCTGCCAGTGCTGTCTGAGAGCTATCTCGAGCCGATGCCGAAGTCACGGGCGGCAGAGCTAGGCTGGGTCCAGGGAGAACGGCACTGTCTGCCTGTTTCTGCAGCAGCCGTTGCTGGGTAAAGAGGGTCTGGGGCTGACCGTAGCCCTGAGGCTGTAGCGGTTGGGGCATTGTCGATACGGCGCCAGCGTACTGCTCGTGATCTATGGTATAGGTGCTGTCGGTTCTGAAGCTGTTGCTGCTGTTGCTCCGACCATTGCCGATTGCTGCGGAGTTTGTGAGGTCGCTCAGGATCGTGCGTTTCCGGTCGGCGTCGGAGAGCAGCTTGGAGGAGTAAGAGGCAGGATATGCCGGGCCGTGTCGGTCATCGTAGCCTGCCAATGGGGGTTGGTAGGTAGTACCCATAGCACCGTTGTCACAGTCGCCTGGGGGCGTCTGCAGACCACTGGGAAAGGTGGCGACTGATCGTCCAGTGTTGCCGGCTGAGTTGAGCTCGGTTCGATCAAGAGACAGCGAATGGGGGATGCGCCAGGCTTGGCTGGACCTCGTCGACGGAGAGAAGCGAAGGATAGTTCGTGGTAGACTCAAGGGCACAGAATGCGAATACATCTGTGGGAGGCAAGAGTAAATAGGCGAAGTCCTGAATGGGTCCTTTTATAAGTCAAGCATGGAAGTAATGGTTGCCAGGGTAAACACCACAACGATTTCTAAGCTGTCGATTTGACGTTCACGTCATTGAAGAGGTGAAAAGAAGCTGGTGGCAGGATGCAGGCAGAATTGGCGTCAACGTCAAAAATCTGCGTGTGCTCCTCAATCCAAGTGCCTCGTTGCCTGTCTGTTCGTCGAGCTCTTTCAAAGATCTCGCAAACATGCAAAAGTATCGGTGGTTGCCGGTTCGGGGCTCGCCCTAGTCCACTCTCTAGGTGGATATCGCTCCCATTGTCGGCGGAGCCGATTTGAAGACAGTTTCTCCTTGCCAACAGGGCGAGCACAAGGAGATCGTCGTGTTGTGGTCGTTCGTTCTGGAAGCTGGTGCTGGCGACTGGCGCTCGGCCTGGGAGGAGACAGAAGACGCAATTAGCTGTATGTGGGAACAGAATCGTAGTGCCAGGCGTACAAGACGTAAGGAGGGCGTGCCGAAACAAAAGAGAGGAGAGGTGAAGGAGGTAGGAGGGAGCGAAGAAAAAGAATAGTAGCAGAGCGGATAGGAATAGTAAAATTTGTTGAAAGGAAGTGGCAAGAGACCGGCGATCAAAGGAGAGGAAGACAGAGAGAAGTCGACATAGAATGCAATTAGTGAAGTACTCGTACCCGTAGCAAGGTAGTGGGGAGGTGATTGTGGAGGATGTGGAGGTGATGACCACGACGTCGAAAGAAGTCGGGCCAGTGTGTATCGAAGGCTGCCAATAAAAAAAAAAAAAAAAAAAAAAAAAGATACCAGCAGTCTGTACGCTGCGAAATACCTAGGTACCTCGGAGGGGGTGTACGAGTATACAAGAGCTTTCTGCCGTGGTAGTTTGCTATTTTCGAGGACAAGGGTCGAATCAGAGGAGGCAACGGTCGGTGGAGGAAGACAGGGAGGAAGGGAAGGCCGGGAGGGTACGTTGGATTGAGCTAGGCTGACCGCGGCAAAGGGCGAGAAATAAAATTATGAGCGAGAGAACAGAGGTCGACGGAGAGAGGCCTTTCCTATCTTGATTGCATGGGATCCGGCTCTGCCTCGTCCTGTGTCTGTCCGTTTCCCACCCCTTCCGTTTCCTCCGTTTCCGCCCTTCCCTGCCCTTCCTTCCCATTGCGGCAGAAGGCGAGACAGCCGGGATCGCGCCTGCTGCCGGTGCTGTTTTTATTGCGACAATACGAGGCGCGCACAGCTACACAGTACCGCGTACGAGACTACGAGTCAGTGATAGCGAGCAATATACTGCTTGTATGGCAGGAGGTATCAGAGGCGAACTGGGTCCATTTGGGGTTTCCTTGTTGGGTGGAATCCTGTTGGTGGGAAGCTCTCAGTGTGGAGTTGCCGACAAAAGGTAGCGCAGAAAAATAAAAGGGGAAAAAGGTCAGCGGGAGACGACCGGCGTCGTGCTCCACTGCGCAGAGAGAACGCAAGGGAGTTGGCAAAGAAGCCGTGAGGAGAGCGACGAAAGCGACGAGAGCGAGTAGCGAGTACGAGCAATCTCGTTGATCGCAGAGCGAGGAGCAGAGGGGCTGCTGGCAGCACCGCGTACACACATAGTTATATGCGTACTCCGTACTCAACAAAACAACACAGACTGCAGATTACAGACTGCTGCGTGCAGAGAGAACCAGGCAGTCTGGGAAGGCACGATGCGAAAAGTCGCTGTACTCGGTACTCTCTGTCTGGTACAGCCGTCCTGTCAGCACAAGGTAGGTATCCATTACTCACCCAATCTTGTGGCATCTTTTCGGCACCCCTCCCCCTGGTCGTGCCTGCCTTGTCTGGGCACGGCTTCTCGTTGGCCGCCCAGGGTGAGCCATGGCGCGTTGCTCCTGTGGCTTGGAACATCCGTAATATCAGGCCCTCCGTGCCCGCATTCGTGCAAGACGAGAGAGCACGGAGTATCTCACCCGTACTGTGTGTCTTTCGGGGTTCTGTCCTCTACACTCCCGTATTGGCTGCATTGACGCATATCTACCACGTACGCGCACCCTGTCCCTGTAGCGCCCGAAGGAGACAAAGAACAGGTCCGGCCACGCCCATAGCAAAGCGCAGCGTGATGTACGTCGTAGGTGTCCATTCTGGATCCTAGCGACCGGCCGGCCTCTTCCCCTACGCCAGAGAGTCACCCCTTTGGAGATACTCTTTCCTCTTCAGGCTAGCAACGCCACTGTTCGATGAGGAAGAGAGCGTATGGAGTATTGGTAATACTATGTAGACAGGTCTGTGTTCACTTCGCTGGCGCAGCGACCTCATCTTTTAGTCCTCCTGTCGGCGAGGGGGGTGGATATTACATGGAGAGGTACAGTAGAGAGGGGTTTATCTATTCATACTCCGTTTGGGCCTAGCCTCTGCTTCAGTGGGGCTGTCTTCTGGCCAGTTTCTTCGTTCGTCTTGCAGCTCAGCTACTTCTATGTACTATGTAGTATCTTACCTTACCTGTGCTATCATATGCTTTCTTTTTGATTCGCCTTCATCTCTCTCTGGCATGCAAGTCATGTCGCTGGGTGCAACGAGCTGGCGAGACCAACAAGACATTCAAGGCTTACCAGATGAGTACACAGACAGGCCGCGATCGACTTAGCAATACTCGGCGGCACAGCATCCTTTTTTGTCATGAATGCAGCTGCTTTTGGAGGTGTGCCGCCACTCTTGCAGAACAGGCTATGCCCGTTGTGACTCCTGTGTCATGCCCAAGCGGCTCCTGGTCAAATGGTGCACGTAATAGAACTCGCATCGTCCTCGTTATACGGCAGCAAGTTGCCAGTCGCTTACTTCTGCTGTAATACGCATGGCCAGACAGAAGCGCAAATCACTGTGGACTGCAAGAGCCATCTCTCAGGCCGTCATCTAAGTCGCTGCAGAAAGCGGTTAAGATCTTCCTGCACAGTCACTTCGTCTGAGCATTATATTAATACAGTCCCCCTACGAATACTCCGTACATATTAAGATACCTTAGTGCTCCGTACTCGTATCTTACTATGTAGCAAGAATCGCCGCCCCCGCCCGCAAAAGGGCAGGCCGGGTTACTACGGCAAGACACGTCCGCCCGAGCACATGCAAAAGTGGTCTACAGCTCTGCAAACATGACCTTTCTCTTGACTAAATTATAAATGGATTTCTCGCCTGCCACCGAGGAATGGACGTCTATTTCTACGACAACAAGGAAACTAATAGTAACCAAACAGTACAAGCACAGCATCTGGTAACTGTAACAAATCTTAAACATCTCATCTACGGATACTTTCGTATCCTGCCATGCAGCCATGCAGGCCGGCACGGAGAGCGTCCGTATCGAAACGGTCCTTTTGGTGCCGTGCTCCATATGATATCGTCTCGTGTTCTATCTAGCACACATGTAGGCTAGGAGGCCTTCACGTCACCAGATTCTGGCACAGGATTACGATGGTCGATCTCGTCTCGTATCAAGGGGGAAGGGGGAAAGGGGGGGTGTGTGGGTTGGAGCCGACTCGTGAAGTCATGCATTGGCCGATGCAGGTGAGAATGCTTTTTTTTCCTCCTCTTTTGTTGCCCTTCCTGGTCTGGCTGTCCAAAAGCAAAGAGGGCTGATCCAAGGGAAAACCAGAGACGAGAGTGGCCAAGTTCTTCTTTGGCCCGCTCTGCTTATTTTGCGCTCGGCTAGCGCTTAAAGAAGGGGGGCGGGGTGTGGCATGTGTGCTGGGAAGTGCATGGATAAGGAAAACTCGTAATCAGGAGAAAATGAGCGAGCTACAGACTTACGGAGTAGTATGGCGGCCTCGCGGTGCCTTAGCCTCCGCCCGGAGTGGTGTTCTTGAGTGTGTCGGTGGATGGGACGAGACAAGTGCTCCGTAGCTTTTTATGAGCGCAAGATATTGCGCTGTGACGCGGCGTAAAAACCCGTCTTAGCTGAGCTAGGATATCTTTTTTTTTTTTTCTCGGACAGTGGATCACGATCTGAACACACCAGCCAGTGTCTACTTTTACATTTACTAAGATACTATGTAAGAAACTACCACGACGCATGCATGTACCGAGCTCGTCTTCTCACGTCGTACGTTGCATGCTGTCAGCTCCGGCAAGGGGGGGGGGGGGAATACAGGGAGGGCCAGCGAATTTCCTCATACGGAGCGTAATAGGATGCATGGTATGCAATGTCCTGCCATGGAAAAGCGCACGGGTACGGATACTCGTACAGAGAGAGTGTCATGTTCGCAACATTTGCAACGGCTGAGCGCTACTGCTACGGAGCGTGCAGAAACGCTGTGATTTCTCGCAGCCAATGTCAGCGAAGTGGTGTCTCTTGTGGTGGAGAGGACCTGCCGCATTTAGCGGGCCTGGAGCGCCGGCGCTCGCTGGGGTGGTTGCGTGGTTGCGTGGTTTTTTTAGGCCCAGGCAAAGGGCATGGTGGGCATGCATTAGTGGGCCGGGCACTCCTGCTCCGAGGAACATACACGTATTACGGAGTTAGACAGGCTGGGAATGTCGGGAGCCCCAGGGCTGCCTTTCCAGCAACGATGAATCCAGAAGTTCGCCCGAGACTGCTCGTGCAGCAAGCTGCCTGTCTGCAATGCGGCTTCCGATCATATGACGTTCCTATTGGGAGGGTCCTGCCTGCGATGATGGGGCGAACAGGATACATGGCAAAAGGCACATGTCCATCCTCCCGTACTTCGTGCCCATCTGGCGCTTCCGTCTTTCTCTGGCCGAGGTGGCAAAACGCATAACGAATAGGCCGGCGGCGTGCCATGGCGAAAAGCAGTGCTCGTAAAAAAAAAAGATTGCCAACTGTTCCCAACGCGTATTACGGGGATTGCATCTCAAAAGGTGTACTCCGTAATGCCCTTTTTCCCCCTTCCCACAGGCTGGGGTTCCTGCCATGCACAAAGAGATAGCGTCTACAGCGAGAAAAGCGGGGGAATGATACGTTGGTACATAGGAGCAAGAGCAGAGTTGCGCTGCCCGACTGCAATTGGTCACCATGCCAAAGGCCGACCGATTTCAGGCGCATTCGCTCTCCTCTTCGCCCTTGTCCAAGTATTTTCCAGTAGGATTTCTGCAGGAGACTACATACATAGTAGTACTCCGTACCAGCAGAGGAAAGGGTGTGTGGGCATCCCGTTTTTCTCATTTGCCTCGTCTTCCGCCTTTGTGCGGTATCCTTGGCTTTGCAGGTATTTTCTTTGCCTTTTACCCTAGTTCCTGAGGCAGCTGTGCACCGTAAATTGCGCAGGAGACCGATCAAGCCTATTCCCAAACTTTAGTACGCCTTCACTTGTGCCCATGCGGACAAGGGCGAAGCTCGATTGTCGGCGGGCAGGGGATGGAAGGCCAGCTTTTCACACGGACAGCGGTAGGAACGTGGCGGCTGTCTCGTGCAAGAAGCCAGTGCATGGGTTCGAAATGATGGCGCTTGCGCACTCAGCGCATGGACTCGGCGTATGGACGCCTGGAAGGCTGCCTCGTTCTCTTGGCGGATGGCTGCTGCTGCTGTTTCTGCTACTCCATACACTGCACATCGTTCTTTCGGACTATGCTGGCGCGTGCGTGATGGGCTGATTACGACACGGCAGCGAAGGAAAAGGCAGCTCGGCCGGCTTCAGTCTAGGACGCCTCCAGTCATGCAGACGCCGAGCCAGTGAAGGCAGAAAGACAGTGCTGGCGGCAACAGTGGATACGTGCGGGTTTGCCTCCGAGTGCTGCCGTGTTCGTATCTTACCTTTGTCGGATGTGTCTTTTGGTTCTGTCTTGAAAATGCAAATCCGAATCGTTCTCGGATGTTCATGGGGCGATGGGCGAAAAAAGGAGAAAGAAACAGATAAACAGGCTGGCCCGAGACCTGTTTATTTCTGTTGGTTGGCCTTTGCGGGGGGGGGAAAGGATTGATGATACTCTCTGTGACCCCGTGCCCCCCGGCAAGCGTCTACATACGACGTAGAAAGATACGGATACGTACTCCGTACGGAGTACTCGTGGTATCTTATATTACGCCTCTGGTGGCTGTCGGCGAATGAGACGGCACTGTTCCACATGGGGGGCGCCCCTCTGCGGGCTAGTGATTGCATCTATACGACGTATGTGGCCATGCGTTTGCGTTTCACGCAAACGGTTTGCGCCGGGTGAATCAACAGGAAAAAAGAAAAAGACGGCCAGGTGAAGGAAAGAGAGAGGAAGCGTGGACGTACGAGTGGAGCGGGTTCTCCTAGCGAAGTCGCATTGGGGAAGAGAAGGGAAAGGAGGAAAATGTTGGACACAGAGAGCGGCTGGCTCGAAAGCGGGATTGGGTGGCTGAATTTGGACGCGCCGTGTGGATGGAGGAAGAGAAGGAGGAGGTGGGAGAAGAGAAAGGAGAGCATGCAAAGGCATGCTATGTATCGCATATCACAGCCGGGTGGTGGCGACAAAGCCAGATTGACAGATATTGCAGTAGACGTACGAGCCGTACATAGTAGGGGGGTGAGAGGGTCCGGACCAAGAAGGCTGTGTAAATCACTACATAGTACGCTGTACCTCCTTCATGTAACTTGTCGAAAGCGGTCGGTGATGGAATGCGTCGTGCATTGTTCGGTGTGGCCTCTTGTACCTACGAAGAGTGCAAGGTCGACAGGTGGACAAGGCAGTCAGAAAGAGTATGGATCAAGAGTAGGTGCTCCGTATGCTCTACATAGTACAGCTGTAGAGAGCATGTTAAAAGTTGAAGCAAGGAGTAGCAAAGTAAGATGAAACAAAAATAGAAAAGTAGAAAATAACCCACACCAGCACGACGCCATAGCCAAAATGCCTTTCACCTGCGTATGAGTAAGATACATACGGGGTACGATGTATTGGTTCTAGCCAGCTCTTGATTGGCCGTGTCTCCCAGACTCTAAGAGCGCAGCAGCGGGCGTCGGCGTTTCCAGCGACGCTGCCACCGGCCGCAGGCATGCTCCGTACTCGTACGTCTCCTGTCGTATTTGCACACACCAGTCATCATGGCGCCAGAACAAATCCGGGCCGACGGCGTCAGAGAAAGCCCACCGTAACCAGAAATTGTCCTGCGGCGACAGCGTGTCCTAGGGTCTGCCAGCACGACAGCAGCCTGTAGGGGTCTGTAAAGGGGGACGGACAGAATGCGTGGCAGATAGGACTAGCCACCCTTACTGATCGGCTATACTATTGATACGACGTCTGGCCAGCATCTTGCTATGTACTTTGTAGAACAGTGGGTTTTTCGGGCTGTCGTCGCTCGCACCATTCAGCTGATTCTGTGCCACCTGACGGTAAGACTTGCCCTGGCCGCTCCTTCCCCTTTTGATTTGCAGTGGCGTGAATGTAGAAAAAGGCAGAAAGACAGCGGTTCGGAGAGAAGGAGCGATGGTGTTCTTGACATGGCGCAGACAAGCATATTATACGGAATTGTACATAGTAGTTGGAAGGCAGAGCAGCAGGCACATGTAGCAGGGCGAAAGTGCTTCTATTCGACTGGCTGTATATCAGTGTCCAATCAGAGGAGTGGGAGTGAATGGTCGCGGCAATGGCTGTACAAAGATCCGTACGTCGTACACATATAGCGGCATATGATTAGTCAGCAAATGTGTATGATTTCGTTTTCGTTGACCTGGTTCATTTCTATCTTGACCGGTCAAACACGCTTCACCAAGTTCCGGGCGCGGCGGCGCTCGTCGTCGGACAGCAGCCAGACGATGTCGTCATCGTCGTCGGCATCAGCGGCGGTAGCGCCGCCGCCGAGCTCGTCCCACTCGTCGTCGTCCATGTTGGCGACCATGAGGATCTGGGTGGTCTTGGCGAAGAGCTCGCGGGCGCCGTAATTGCCGCGGGCGACAGCGGCGACGATACCGTTGAGGTCGCGCTCGAGGCGAATGGCACCATGGGGGCTGGCGCGGCCGACATAGCCCCAGACGCGCTTCTCGAGGACGCGGGCAAGGTAGCGAGCGGCCTGGTCGGCGAGACCGGCGTAGGTGCGGGGGGTCATGATGCGGGCGAGCGGGCGCATGAGCGCATCCCAGCCATGAGCGAAGCGGCGGGGAACGAGCTCGAGCAGCAAATCGACGTCCTCGTCGTTGGCGTCGGCGAGCTCGAGAAAGTCGGCCTCGGCGAGTCCATAGTCGGCATCGCGAAACGTGTCGGCCAAGACGGGACGCAGCCGAGCCTTGGCGACCTGGCCGAAGAGCACCTGGAGGCCCTCGCCGAGCAGCTCGGCCGCGGTGGTGGCAAAGGACGCGTGCAGGCCGGCCAGGGCGGCGGCCACGGCGGCAGCCTCGTGCGCGAACGAGAACGACTCGCGCAGAAAGGCCAGGACGGCGGGGGCAGTCGGACTCGGGACGGCGGGCGGTGGTCCACCGGCTGCGACGGCTGCGCTGCCGGTGGTGCCGCCCTCGGCGGCCGTCGTGGGCCCGCCTTCCTCCGGAGTCACGCCCATGCGCGCCGACACGATGCGGGCCAGATACTCGACGGCTAGGTCGAGGCTGTTAATCAGCACGACAAAGGCGATGATCTTGTCCTCGGGCGGGAAGCCACCCGAGACAGCCGGCTTTGGATAGGCCTCGTCGCGCATCTTGCGCTGGACCATGCCGATAAAGTCGGAGCCCAGGACGCGGCCGACGGGCGGGACGACGCCGACGACGACGTCACGCTGCAGCGTCGAAACGGCCTTTTGGATGACGGCGCTGACAATGTACATGACGTCGTCGACGGCCGAGATGATGTAGGGCGCGTTGGTGTTGTCGAGCGGACGGGCCATGCTGAGGGTCAGGCCGGCCGGCATTTCCTCGAGCTGGAAGGCCTTCTCGACCGAGCGGCGGAAGAAGAAGGTGCTGAGGAGGTTGTAGGGCGTGATGAGGCGGGCGGCGACCTTGCGCTGGAGGACCGACTGGGCGATGACGGGAGGCAGAGGAGGAAAGTCGGAGGTGTCATCAGGAGGCTTGGGTAGTTAGAGAGGGAAACCAAAAAGACGTAAAGCAGTAAACACACACACGCACCCTGCTCTTCATCGCTAGAAAGCGCGAGTACAGCGACCACCGTCCCAGCATGACGGCGATCTCGCTCAGCAGCCCGTCGACCTCCTTCATGTTCACGCCGCCCTCGTCCTCGCTCTGGCGGGGGCTGACGCCGTCAACGTCGGCCACAGCAGGCGAGCCGATGCGGGGACTGGTGCCGAGACTGGTGCCGGTGTTGCCGTTGCTGGTGGTGCTGGTACTGCCACGTTGCTGCTGGGCGAGGAAGCTCTGGACGAGGAAGGAGAAGGGGTAGCTCTTGGCGTCGGTCAGACGGCGGTCGACATGGCAGCGGTCGCCCCAGGCGTCGATGATGATGCCGCCCTGCACGTCGGCCTCCTTCTGGAGCCGGGCGACGACGCGGCCCATCTGGCCAGGGCCGTAGTGACGTTCCACGAGGGCGCCGTGGGCCTCGACGATCTGCGAGATGTGGGCGAACAGCTTGGCGAGCGCGTTGGGATAGAAGAAGGGCGAGGGTGTTGCGGAAGCCGCTTCGGTTCCCATCACTGTCCGTGCTGCAGCCGCGACACCCTGGCAGACGTAGCGGCCGTAGACATCGAGCCCGACATCGGTGCGGCCGATCAGCGGGAACAGCTTGAAGAAGCGCGTCACGCGGGCATCGTCGCCGTCGTGCGCGGCACGCTCAAACTCGCGCAAAAAGAGGCCGCACAGGCTCGCCCGCGCCTGTTCCAGCGTGGCTGCTGGCGGATCCGGCACCTCGACCGACGGCACCACGGCTGCTGCGAAGCCGCTCGCCACGATCGCTGCCGGGATTCGACTGGCGCGTGCCAGGTAGCCGGCCGCGGCCTCCCAGTCCTGCGGCGCGCCCATCGAACCGACCACGCCGGCCACACAGGCCCGCAGCTCCGCCACCTGCTCGGCCACCCGCAGCGTCGCCTCCACCCGCGCCTTCTCGAGGTCGAGCCGCCGTACGGTCGAGGAGAGCCGGCCGGCCGTCGTGGCTGCTCGTCCCAGCTGACTGCTCGCCATCGTCCGCGTTGCCACCACCTGCGCGCCCACCGTCGCTCGCTCCACGTCCAGACGCACGAGGTCACGCGAGAGCCGCTCGCTCGCACTGCTGCTGCTGCTGTTGCTGCTGCTGATTCCTCCGGACGTCTCTGCCTGCAGCTTCTTTCGCAGGGCTGCCTCGCGCTCGTGCAGTCCCGCCAGCACGGCCCGCACGTCCGCCGCCGATGCTGCCGTCCCAAACGATGACCAGCCCGATACCACCACGTCGCCTCCGGCTCCCTTCTTGCCCCCCCGCCCACTGGCCGCCGTCGAGCTCATCGGAAGAACGATGCCGTCCGTCTCGGGCTCAATCACTGCAGCCGCCCACCCGACCGTGGTCTGCCTCTGGTCTGGACTGTCACTCCGTTTCTCTGTCGCTGCTGTCGCTCTTCTCTCTTGTCCCTGCTCCTTTGTCGTCGTCGTCGTCTCTGCTCTGTCTACCGTCGCTTTGTCTCGACAGCTTGACACAACTCACATCATTGCGCTAAGACTTCGGGGCACAGTGCATAAATGTGAATGCATATTAACACTGTATATTGCCATCGCAACTTCCTCTTTGGTCTGTCTCTGTGTCTGCCTGATGTATTACATGGTACCTGACTGGAATCCTGCTTTCGTAACATCCCCCCAGCCTCTTCGCTCCTCTTCTCTCCTCATCTCACCCCATCTCACCACACCACACTCACCGTCAGTCCCTCGTCCCGCCAGCCAATCACAAAGACGTTGCATTCTCGGTCACCATGGTGCCTGCAGCTGGTCCCGCCTTTCGTGTTGGGCACACCCACCAGAAACGGACAGCTTGTTCTTGAAGGCGACCTCCAGCCAAGTTCTGGGGCCGGTGGCCTTTGCCGCCGGGTGTCTGTCTCACGACTGCTTCCCGCCATCCATCGACTGTCCTGCCCCGGTTCAGCATGCCCGACCCAGGCCTGATCGCGACGCTCCATGTGGCCGGTCCGCACGAGTCGAGGAAGACGGCTGAACGCACGCTCATGGCGAATCAGAACCGATTGCCATTTATCAGCAGTTGTGGCAGCAATGGCAGCAGTAAGATGTCTGGCCTCTTCCAAGCCGCCCGGCTGCAGCTCCGCTTCGACAGCCTGCGACGCAACCGGGCCGGCTTCGTCTTCGGCTCGAGCACGGACTGCGATATTGTCCTGCCCAGAGGCCTAGCGCCGTATTTTTGCATCCTCGCCTTTGATCTGCAGCGACGGCTTATCCTGCGCGAACTGCAGGGCGCCAGCCTCTCGGTCCGCTACGGCGACAAGGCCGGCCATCCGCTCTCCGGCGCCGTCTGGCTTCTCAGCGGCCACCGCTTCACCGAGAAATATACGCCTTTGGTCATACGGCTGAGCGAGACCCTCAGCTTCCGCATCGAGGTCGCCGCTCACCACATCGACTCAACTGTCTACCAGACTAGCGTCGATCGCTTTCCCGACCACTACGACGCCGCCTGGAACCTCGTACCTGACCCCGGCTTCACCCACGACGATAATCCCCCGCCCGGCCCCGCCTCCGTCTTGCTGGATGATCGCCAGCTCGGCCGAGGCGGTCAGGCAAGAGTCGACCGCGTCTGGGATGCCCGCACCGGCATCTACTATGCTGCCAAGATCCCTCTCCGTGACTCCTGCTGGAGACGGCTGAAAATTGAGGCTAGCCTGCTGGCAAGAATCGACCATGTAAGTCCGTCCCCGAAATTGCCGATCGTTGGCTAGGATATTCACCCTGTCAGGAACACGTGATCAAGCTGCTTTACCTGTCGCCGTCGCCAAACCGGCGGCTGATTCTGGAGTACGCTGCCGGCGGAACGGTCGCCAAGCTAGCAGCCGATAAGGCCATATCCTGCGACGAGAGCCTGGCTGTTGTCGGCCAGTGTCTGTCTGCCCTGGCTTACCTCCACCGCGGCTACATTGTCCATTGCGACATCAAGCCGGCCAACATGCTCGTCGCGTCACGAGACCCCCTCCGCGTCAAGCTGTCCGACTTTGGCTACTCCCGGGACGTCGGGGACATGCCCAACACGCGCATCGGCACCAGCCTCTACATGCCCCCTGAGGCCCGGGAGGCCCCCGACGTCCGCGAGGGCAGCCAGTATACTTGGGCCGTCGACATCTGGTCTCTCGGCGTCGTGGCCCTCGAGCTCACCCATCGCCTCCCGGCCTACCGGCCCAGATACCCCCGAAGGCTTGTCCGGGACCTTGGCGAGAAGAAGAAGAATCGGCACTGCCCCCTTCTCGACTTTCTGTCTACGGCCATGGTCGTCATGGACCCCCGGAATCGCTGTTCGGCCGACGTGTGCTACGACGTCTTCCATCACGGGTCGCTGTGCTGCTGTCCGCCCGTGTTGGCGACGGCGACGACAGAGCCTCCGAAGCAGGAGCTGGCTCCGGAACAGGGGCCCACAGAGACGACAGAGCCCCCGTCGTGGGTCCGCGAGACCCTCGTCCACGCCGACTACACCGAAGACGTGCACACGAGCCCATGCTATGGCGTGGCCGACGTCTGCTACAGCCGCGACGGATATGCAGTGCAGGCTGTCTACAGCTACTTTCCCGGCCTGACCGAGTCTGCCTATTCGGAGCAGCCAGGACAGGCAGCCATGCCGACGGCATTCGACTGCTAGGACGACGTCTGCGCATCTGGTCAAACGATTTTGCTACATGGTTTCTGCCTATGTATTCACAATGGGTCATCGTCTCGGCCGGCCCGACAAACCCCGTACCCCTTTTTCCCAGTTCGCCTAAACTCCAACTCCGTTGCTCGGCCACTATACACTCATACTGTATCCGCTGCTGCTGCCGAAGCGCTTGTTCCGGCCGTAGCGCCACCACTTGCGGAACTCGTCGGCCCAGAAGACGGTGCTGCACAGGACGGCTAGCTTCAGCAGGTCGGACAGATACAGAGCCTCGGTCTGGAAGACCTCCTGCAGCCAGGGGAAGTAGATGACGAGCAGCTGGCCGACGAGACTCAGCGACACGGCCCAGTTGAAGAGCCCGTTGGAGAACAGGCCGACTTCACCGCGCAGCACCGATTTGGACTCGGACCGACACGTCAGCGCGTTGAACATATCGAAGAGCACAAAGCACGTGAACGTCATCGTGGTATCGCGTCGCGTCACCAGGCCGTCCTCGAGCATCTCGTGGCGGTACACCAGCACGGTGCCGAGCATGATAATGATGGCCGACTGGGCGACGCGCCGGATGAGCGCCCGAGTCAGCACCGCGTCGTTGCGCTTGCGCGGCGGCCGGTTCATGACGTCGCGGTCGACGGCCTCAACGCCGAGCGACTGGGCAGGCGGGCCATCCATTATGATGTCTGTCGGTTAGAGGAGACGATGGGAAAAGGGGGAAGGGGAAATGAGGGAGAAGGCCAGGCAACTCACTAATCCACAGGATCTGCATCGCGTTCAGTGGCGACTTGAACCCGAAACAGGTGCAGAGCAGGACCAGCGACAGACTCGCGGCGCTGGTGCTCAGCTGGAAGGTCAGGAAGTTCTGGATGTTGTTGAAGATGCCCTTGCCCTCCTCGATGGCGTGCAGGATGGTGGAAAAGTCGTCGTCGGTCAGGATCATGTCCGAGGCCTCCTTGGCCACGTCGGTGCCGTGACGACCCATGGCGATGCCAATGTCGGCCTTCTTGAGCGCCGGCGCATCGTTGACCCCGTCGCCGGTCATGGCTACAATGTCGCCACGCGCCTGCAGCGCCCGGATGATCTTCATCTTGTGGTCGGGGTTGGTGCGCGCAAAAACGGTCGTCTGCTGCATCGCCTGCGCGAGGTCCTCTTCCGACAGCTCCTCGACGTCTTCGCCACGCAACACCGGCCGTACGGCTACCTGGCTGGCCGTGTGCTCAGTCGACTTGGCAATAGCCATGCCGAGTTGTCGTCCAATGGCCACGGCCGTCGTCTCGGCGTCGCCCGTGATCATAATCACCCGCACACCACCATGCATCAGCTTGCGGATCGACCGCCCGACGCCTGGCCGCGGCGGATCGCTCATGCCGACCAGTCCGGCAAACGTCAGTCCGCGATACGGCTCGTCGGTGCTGCCACCGGTCTGTCTCTTGCTCGGTCGACTGACGGCACCGCTGGCAAACGCGAGCACCCGCAGTCCCTGTGACGCCAGCTTCTCGGCCTCGTCACGCGCCTTCTGCTTCTGCTTGCTGTCCAGGACGAACTCGCGCCCATCACCGGCCACATACGTGTCGCACGCCTCCAGCACGCGGTCCAGCGAGCCCTTGATGTACGCAAACTCCTTGCTGTTGCTGTCAGTGCCAATGGTCACGCCCATCCATTTGCGCTCGGAGCTGAAGGGCGTCTCGGCCGTGCGTGGCCCGATGGCCTCGCGCACGTCGTCCTCGCGAAACCGGTCCAGCAGGTCTAGCATGGCCACGTCTGTCGGCTGGCCGGTCCACCGGCTGACCGAAGGAGCCGGTTCGTCTTGACGCTGCGTCGACGACAGCACCGCCCGCGCGGCTGCGCTGCCACCGTCTCGGTATTTGTGCGCCACGCGCGCGTTGTTGGCAATGTTGCCGATGCGCAGGATTCGGAGCGTGGCCGCGTCCGGCTTGGTCTCGGCAAAGTCGTCGTCGGCTTGCAGCTCGACCGGGCGGTCGCGGCCAAAGTACCACATCTGCGTGGCCGTCATGTGGTTCATCGTGAGGGTGCCAGTCTTGTCGGTGCACACGACGTTGACGGAGCCGAGGGTCTCGACCTTGGGCATCTTGCGCACAATGGCATTCCGGCCGGCCATGCGGTGCACGCCGAGCGCCAGGGTGACGGTGACAATGATGGGCAGACCCTCGGGAATGGCAGCCACGGCCAGGGAGACGGAGATGGTGAAGATTTCGAGCAGGTCCTTGCCCTGCAGCCAGCCGATGAGAGAGATGAGGCCGATGACGACAAAGGAGAACTTGCTGAGTTGGGCGCCGAGCTCGTCCATGGAGATCTGCAGCGGCGAGCGCGGGCTCTCAGTGCCGGACACGCTGAGCGAGATGGTGCCAAAATGGGTGTCTCCGCCGGTAGCAAAGACGATGCCCTGGCCGTGGCCCGACTTGACGAGTGTGCCCATGTAGGCGATGTTGGAGGCATCCTGGCCGTGCGAGGCATCCTTGTCGATGCCAAAGGGCGGCGGTGAGGGCAGCGAGAGGCTGCTGAGAGCCTGGCCGAGACCGGGCGAGAGCGACCGGACAGACCGGCGGCGGGCATCGGCAGTCAGCCGGACAGGTTCGTTCTCGCCCGTCAGGTTGGAGGCGTCAATGGTCAGGTCAACGGCCTTGGTGACGCGGATGTCGGCGGGAATGCGGTCGCCGGTGTTGAACAAGACGAGATCACCGGGTACGAGTGAGGCGGCGAGCACCTTTTGCGATGTGGCTTCGAGGACGTCTTCGGGCGGGGACTCGATGTCGGAGAAGTCGGCCGGGTCGACAGAGCCCTTGGCGCCGCCTGTAGAGGGCGAGGGGGAGGCGGAGGCGGAGGCGGAGCTGTTGGAGCTGGACGAGGCGGTGTTGCGAATGAGGTGGGCATGGTCGGGCACGAGATGGTTGAGGGCCTCGATGGACTTTTCAGAACGGTATTCCTGGACGAAGCCGACGGTGACAACAATGGTGACGGCGACAGTGATGCTGAGGGCGTCGCTGGTGTTGCCGACAAGAACGGAAGCGAGAGCGGAGACGAGCAGCAGCAGAATGAGCGGTTCCTTGAACTGGCCGAGAAAGCGCAGCCAGAGCGGTTCGGGAGCCTCGTGGGGGATCTCGTTGGCGCCATTGCGGAGACGGGCGGCGCCCTCGGCCGGCGTCAGGCCACCGGTCAGCGATGTCTGCAGGCGGGCGGCAACCTCGGCTGGACTGAGAGAGGCGTACTCGTCGGCAACGCTGCGGGACTGAGCCGACGTTGTGCGCATGTGGCCGGGCGGCCGGGGACGGCGGCCATCGAATCCGTCGATCGGCGGAGGGGTGGAGATCAGCGGAACGTCGACTGCTTTGAACCGGGACCCGTTGGCAGTGTGCCGATCCATGTCGGTGGCGAGAAGAGAGCGTTGGAAGCGGTGGGGAGAGACGGACAGAGAGCGATGGGCATGGGAGGAGTGAGAGTGGGAGATGTTTGAGGAGGGTGGTAATGGTCGTGAGAAGGGTCGTGAGGTCTAGTGAGAAAGCTGTTAGCTAGTAGCATCGGTGGAGACCCAGTTTCATCCATTCTCACCGGTATATAAGAGCCCACGTCTAAAAGGGGCCTGGATTTTAGCCGGAAGCCAATTGGAAGCAAAGGAACGGAGAAGAAGCAAGAAAAGGCGGCACGCGTAAGAACAAAGGGCAGGCGGTCCGATGGCAGGTCATGGGCCGAGGAAGGAGAAGGAAAAGCTGCAAAGGACGGTGGTGGTCGCGTTGTCGCGAGAAGAAATGGGTACGAGAGAAGGGGAGAATGTGTGTGTATGTGCAGGTCGAGAGGGAGGAATTATTGTCGAGAAAGTGCCCAAGCTGGCCGAGAAGGTCTGGCCAACGAAGAGGCTTAGCAGGCCGGCTGCAGGGGCAGATGGGTGGGGTTAATGGTAATCGGTACGGTGAGTGTTAGTGGCTGCCGTAGTGGACAGCTTGCGCATTCGGTAGAGGGAGACGGCGTGGATTTGACGAGTCTGCAAAGAGCTGCATACGCGTACGGATATCGTGCCAGCAGCATACAGCAGACACTGCGGAGTACGAGGACGGAGCACGGAGTATTACTCCGTATTACAGGCACAGATCTGCGTCGATTACTCATCCACATCACGTGTGCACCAGAATGTGCAGCTGTGGCTGGCAAGGGACCCCAGCCACCCGATTAATTTCACCGTACGACGAGTCCCGGCCGTTGGCCAGTCAGGCTGTCCAGCCTAAGAAGTCCACCTTCCCCCCACCTCTTCGCTCGTTTTTCCAACCGACTTTCTCCATCGCCAAAACAGGTGCGCCCTTTCTGTTTTCCTCTCGCTCTCGCTCGTCCTGCTGCTGCTTGCCGCGACACCACGCCCGATCCGGATTGAAGACCCCGACAGGCTCGACCCGACCAGACCGTCTGCTGCTGTCCCGTCCGACGCGTGTCGCTCTCGTATTGCTTTCCCCCCGACTCTAGGGGAGGGACCAAACGCGATTCCCGCCAAACTCGCCCCCAAATCCAGTTTACGCGCCTCTGATTGTTTACCTTTTCCACCATCCCCCTCATCGCCAGCCGTCCATCCTCGATTGACTGCTGCACGAACAAGACGTCCCCTGAGCCGTCGCTCGCTTACTTTGTGTCTGCGTCTGCGTGTTCATTTCGACGCTTCCTCTTGGACTGGCCGGCCAACGATCGCGCCTTGCATTTTCTGGGCGCATTTTCGAGGAAAGACTCGAACGTCTACTTCCACAACCACACCAATAACCATTCGCATCTCTCTTCAACATGTTCTACTCGGAGACCCTTCTCTCCAAGACGGGGCCGCTGGCCCGCGTCTGGCTCTCAGCCAACATTGAGCGGAAGCTCTCCAAGACACACATCCTGCAGTCGAACCTGCAGGACAGCGTGGAGGCCATCATTACGCCCAGCCAGGCGCCCATGGCCCTGCGACTGAGCGGCCAGCTGCTGCTTGGTGTCGTCCGCATCTACAGCCGCAAGGCCCGTTATCTGCTGGACGACTGCAACGAGGCGCTGATGAAGATCAAGATGGTAAGAGGCGATGGCACGCGATCACATGGTGATGAGATGGCCAAGACAGTGATTGTGCTAACACCCAGCAGGCCTTCCGGTCCAGCGGCAACAACGATCTGCCCGCCAACCAGCAGAGCTCCAACCGGGAGTCGCTGCTGCTCCCCGACCGCATCACACCCTACGACAACCTGGACCTGCTGCCCCGGCCGGACCCGGACTTTTTCCTCTCGCAGACAGTTGAGGAGTTCACGGCTACGCCGTCTAGTAGCCGGCGGGCCGGCCGCGGCAACAACCGCGACATCAATCTGCAGGAGGACTACAACAACAGCCAGTTCCTCGAGGACGCCTTCAACAAGGACGACGACCTCGCCATCGCAGGCAAGGACGACCTGGAGCTGGACCTGGACTTTGGCCTCGACCTGGGCGACCCGCTGCATGGTGCCGCCGGCGACGCGAGCATCGAGATGGGTCGAGACGCGCCGGCACCCCAGCCGTTTGAGGATGACGACATGTTCGACTTTGACCTGGAGCCGCGCGGCAAAGACGGCCCGACCGGCGACCTGACGCTCGGTGACGGCGTCCGCATTGCCGACGATGACGGTGACATCCGCATGGACGGCGACGACATGCAGTTCAACCTGGGCGAAGCATCTGTGATGCCGGGCGCCGCCGGACTTGAGATGGACATGTCGCGGGCGCGCATCTCCGAGTCGCCGCTGTCGGACGTCAACGATGACGATGTGCGCCAGGGCGAGCTTGAGTTCTCGCGTCACAACGGCCTCGACATGTACGACGCCGGCGACAGTCAGGGCCAGCAGGTGTCGCGGCGTGCACCCCAGCGCATCAAGCGCATGAAGGTGCTCGAATCCGACGCCGAGACCATGCTGGCATCCAACGTGATTCGCGACCAGCAGTCCAACCGCGACGGCATCCTGAAGCCGCAGTCGTTCCTGCCCCAGGACGCTTATGTTCTGGCCCTGATGGAGATGCGTAAGGCCAACGGCTTCGTGTCCAATATTCTGCTGGGCAGCCGCAGCGCGGCCTGGGCCCCCGAGCTGCGCGGCCTGCTGTCCTACGAGGCCATCCACGGCGCCAACGAGCTCAAGCGGAAGCGCGACAGCGGCATCGCCGACATGGACAGCGACCAGGACCTGTCGCACTACAAGTCGCCGCGTCTGGACCTGGGCGCCGCCGACGACGACGACCACCTGGGCTTTGAGCCGAGCCTCGGCGGCGGTGCCGACCTGGGCAACCAGTCAGCCGTCCTGGGGCCGGACGGCACCATGCTGGAGATTCCGGGAGCCGGCTTTGACGACGAGACCAGCGCCGGCGGCGGCGACATGAACGTGTCGTCTATGAGCAGGCACGCGTCATCTGCAGCAGCAGCAGCTGCTGCTGCTACCTCGGCCGACGGACCGCTGCTGTCGCTCGGCACCAAGCATGCGGTGCACATTCTCCGCGACATCTTCAGCCAAGAAGCCGAGGGCGCCAGTCCCGGCAGCGGCAGCAGCAGCAGCCACCGACGGAAGAAGACGACGGCGGTGCTGCAGCAGGTGCTGCCCGAAGGCCGGACAACCAAGGCGGATGCGACGCGCATGTTTTTTGAGTGCCTCGTGCTCGCGACCAAGGACGCCATCAAGATCGAGCAGGCCAGCGACGCGCTCGGCGGGCCGATCCGGCTGCAGAGCAAGAGCGCGCTGTGGGGCTCGTGGGCCGAGCGCGAGGACGCTGGCGAGACCGAGATCGAGGACGCCGGTGAAGAGCAGGAGGGCGCCGTGCTGGCGAGTGGCCCGGCCATGGTGTCAGCGCAGGCATGAGGCTGGAGACAGCTGGCAGGCAACTGGCAGCTACACCCACAGGCATCCATCTTGGAAAGGAGTTTACGATACCAAAGCATCCATAGGCAGGAGCAGCAGCGGCGGGTCGTCTGGATATGGCAGGCATGTATTATTTTCAGCTTCGGGACTTTTTGGTCTCTCCGTCTTTTTGTCTTTTTGTCTTTGTCTCTCCTTGTCCCTTTCTTCTGGCGGTAGCGTATCCGTTCTTTTCTCTCGTCGCCTCCCTCTCTTGCATTCGTCGGTCTGGTCGACGGAAGGATGACCGGGAGCGTGCGGCCTCGCTTTGGAGAAGAAGCAACGCAGAGACAACGCGCAGAGAAAGAGGCGTTTTCGGCGTGCAGGTGCGGAAAAGAAGGGCGTTATGATACCAAGATACTCTTTTGGTCTTCTGGGGTCCGGCCGGTGGGAACTCGCTTGCTTTTTTGGTCGTTGGGACGTAGGGCAGATTGCCCTCTCTCGGACCGTCTCGCTCCCTCGTCTCTTCCGTCTCGTTCTCCTTCTTGGGAAGACTCCTCCTTGTTCATAGCCAAGGCCACGCGCGCTCTCTGTATGTAGGATAACAGAACAAACACTAGTTTACAGCACTGGCCCGCAGAAGACGTATAAGGCACGGACTCTGCAATCTTGGACTTTGCCTTGAGCGTGAAACTCGATCAACTAACATAAAATATAGCGGGAAAAGCGGCCGCCTGCTGCCAACATTAGATCCATCGTCAGGTCGCCATTTTGTCTCTCCTTCACGCCGTCGCCTCTCCCATCTTGACGTCCTCCTCGTCTGGCTGTTTCCGCATCAGATAAGCCGTCATGGCCCATGTCAGCTGCATCGCCGCCACGCGGTCCTCTGCCTTGAAAAAGTCGTACCACGGGCTACGCACCACCTCCAGCTTGCCCCAGCTCCTCTTTCCCAGCTCATCCTCGCTTTCCTCTCCGTCCAGCACGGCCAATAGCCGCAACGGCACTCGCACCCGCACAATGGCTAGATGGTGGAACAGCGCGCTGACCACAAACACGTCGTCGTAGTCGGCGCCACGTGCCCGCCCGATTGCCTCGTACCGGGTCTTCTTGTCCCAGTTTGAGCTAGGCGGACGCACCATGCGGTAGTTGTCGTAAATCGCCAGGCCCTTGCGCGGCTTCTTGGCTGCGCTGCGGCTGGGCAACGCCGGTCCTGCAATACCTCCGGGAGATGCTCCTCCGGGTCCACGGAATCCACCGCCGCCTAGTCTCGAAGACGACCCTGACGACCCGCCTGACCCTCGAGACGAAGCCCCTGCTGCACCGCTCAGGGTCCCGCTTCCTTCTCCCCGGTCTGCGACGACCTCGTCCGTATTTGGTGCTGCATCGACCTCTCGCCCGATTGGTCCACCCGAGGCGCCTCCCCACCGGCGCTTCGTCGCCCACCACTCGCCCTCACCCAGCCGTCGCTCTGCCCGGCCATGGCGTGCTCGCTGCTGGGCCGTCAGAAGCGCTGCGACCAGCTCGCGAGCGAGGTCAATGCAACCGTCCTTGTCCTCGCCCCAGGGGAGCACTCCATCTACAAAGTCCTCGTCAGAAGGGAACGAAGTCGAGTGCCGCGCACTGACGGCTGCCATGGGCCCTTCGACGATGCCAGCACGCGCGGCCTCACGGGTGGTGGCCATGCGGAAGACGAAGATGCAGCCTGAGGTAAAGTAAGAGCTCAGGCCCTTGCGTTTTGACGGGGGCACAGGCTCCTTTCCCTCCTCAGGCAGCGGCAGATTGCCGGCGTTGAGATACAGCCTCGGCTCCATGCGCGGCGGCGACACGTTGCAGCCAAAGTCATAGGCAATCAGCTTCAGAAAGGCCGACAGGATATTGAGCCGAAGTTCGGGTGGCATCTGCGAGCCTGTGCTGGACCGGTAGAAGCGAATCTCGGGCGGTCCGCTGTCTTTCTCGGGGGCCTTACCCTCAGAGTCAGTTACAGCTGCTGATGAGGCGGACGAGACGGAGTCGACATCGCCATCGCCATCCTCTCCGCCGTTCGTCTTGCTGCTAGCGGTATCGGCCGCTTTAGACGGAGACGAAGGAGCTCCGGAGGGATCAGATGTGTTGGCCGCTGGTCGCCGTGGGGTTGGTGGTGGCGGTGGCGTGATGGAGGTGTCTTCCCAGAAGGTCGTGAAGCTCTCGAGCTGGCGGAAGAACTCGTAGGCATTGCCCAGACGCACGAGCTGCTGGCCCTGCTGGGGCTGTATGCGACGCACCGAGCGATAGGCGGCATTGTTGTCGATGGACAGCTCGCGCTTGCGATCGAGGTATGTCTGGATGCCAGGAGACCGGTTGCCGTTGCTGATGGGATGGCGGGTCTGGTCATTCTGGCTGCGGGCAGCCTCATATTCGGTCTTGTCCCAAGTGGCAAAGTCCGGAATCACGCTCGGGTCCGGGATGAGGTCGGCGAGAGTGGCATCGGGCCGGACGTGCACACCAAGGGCCTCGAAATGCTCGGCGGTGACTTCAGTGGGGCGGACGACAGTCTGCAGCAGTCGAGTGAGGGGTTGTTTACAGCAGCGTTCACCCGTGGTTGTGCTTGTGGAGACGGATGCGGCGTCGTCCGTCACCTGTGGGTGGCAGCGGGGAAAGTGGATGGGTGTAGGTGGTGGCACATTCTTCGGTGGCTCTGAGGGAGGCAGGGAAACAGCTATGCGAGGAGAAAGAGAGGTTAGATAAGCAGAAAGAGGTTTATAGATAGCAGATATGTAGGTGACGACGAATGGAGAAACAGGCAGGACGATAAGAAGGCTGACAAACATTCGTCAAGCTGCTAACCAAGGAAAGGGCAGCTTGCACAAGATTAGGGACAGAGAGAGAGAGAGAGAAAGGGTGGGAGAATGGAGTAAAGAGAGGGTGAACGGAAGAGAGGGTGAACGGAAGAGAGAAAGAAATTGCCGAAGAAAGTGAGATTGACAGCCAGACGAAAGAGCCGGAGCCGGAGTGAGCATCCGAGATGGCAAGGAAGAGGGGTGGTGACATTTGAGGGACGAAGGGGTGGTAAGAAGAGGGGAGACAGCAAAGACATGCTTACAGAAATGCGTCAGAGACCCGAACATGGCGACGAAGCAGCGGCTATGACAGCCTGAAGAAGCAGGATGTGAGCAAGAGGGGGGGGAGAGAAGAGGAGGGCAAAAGAGAGGAGAGAACGAGAGAGAAGGAGAGAGGAGGAGAGGAAAGAAAGGGGAGAGAGGGGAGAGAGGGGAAAGAGAGTGGACGGGATGAAGAGGATGTTTTTTTTCTCTGGCAGAGATGGTGGAGGAAGGCAGAATCCGATATTGTTGGAGGGGGGCAGAGAAAACGGGAGACTCGTCTACTGGTTGCGGCAGGCGAAGGCCAGGGTCCACGCCTTCCTTTCCGTGCGACTTGGAGGGATGGTTGCAAGAGCGACTAAATCGGATTGCACTGCTCGGCTCACTGGCGATGGCTGGGGCAAGGCAACAGGACAAGGGAAAGAGCGAGCGAACGGGTGGGCGGGTGGGCAGCACACACACACTTGCGCAGCTGCCAGCAAGTAGCATCGCATCAGGCGAGGCCGTGTTGGGCAGGAACTATCCTCCGTGACCCCCCCCGAAAAGCCAGAGCAGGTTGGCCAGCTCATCGCCAGAGCCCCGCTTTCTGTGGAGAAGACGAGCTGCTGTGGGAATATGCAATTATCGGGTATTGTATTGAGCGGACAATTGTGTGGCGTCCCTTGCTGGCGTGAGGACGGTCCTACATAGTACTCCGTATTCTGCGTGGACGCGCCGTCCTGCTGCCACCTTGCAGCAGGCTGCAGCGGCATCCTCCCCGAGCAGCCGTCAGCCGCGGGGCCGGAGGGTCTCGCCAACCTGGGCTGCTGTGGCTGGCCGCTGTGGCGCTACAGGGCGGGAGCTACTTTAGGTCCCGCCAGCGGTTTGCGAGAGGTGCAAAACGGGCGGCAGTCGTTGAATTGGTGAGGCCTGCTCTGTACAGAGTCTACGGAGTATTATGTGGTTCTGCGTTTTGCCGGTGGCCGGCTTACGGAGTACGCAGAGCAGTGGCGGGGAAATGGCAGAAGAGGTAGGAGCGATGAGAAACGAATGCAGGAGAGGAGGGAAATAAAGCGGGAAAAGGGGGGTGACAGTACGACGTTGAGGGCGCACTCACCCTAAAGGGGAAGGGGCCGGAAATGGAAAGAAAGAACGACCTGCTTGGTGGTGGCCGTGCGCTGTCCACGACAGTTGGAGATGTTTTGGCCGTTTCTCTCTCGGCCTCGTTTGACGTCGCCACTCTGGCCCACAGCCCCAGACGGCCACTGTTTCGTTTCGGAGTCTGGTCTGTCAAGTGCCGATCGTGGCAACGGCATGCCCGACGAGACAGATTGTGCGAGGAGGGAAGATTGCAATGGGAAGAGTCGATGAGCGAAAACCGAAAAGAACAGAAAAGAACAGATTGAAGAAAGGAAGACAAAGACGAAGATTGAAGAAACAGCAGACAGCAGACAGCAAAGAAACGACCATGAGCCAATGCCATTCGAACGGCGATGCGCATACCCCTGAGCTGCCCAGCCCCTCCGCGCGGTCTTGTGTCGTGCGTCGTGCTTCAGATGTGTCGCAGAACAGGGGATCGGACCCGGCTTTTGCGTGCATCAAAGCGCGCATTGGCAGCCGGGCATCGGCTCACGATCCGGCCACGCCCTGCTCGCTCACACGCGGGCTCTCTGCGGCGGGCTCCCCTGAGCCTGTGTTGCCATGATCAAACCAGGCTCAGTCGCCTGTCTTTTGTGCGGCACGTCTGCCGGTTCTCGCACCTTTCGCTTTTCTTGCACGTCTGGCACGTCTGCTTTTTCCTTCCACCCTCCATTCCAGTCGACGGTGGACTTTGCACAGCCTGGGCCACGTCCTGGCAGACCGGCTTGGTCCTTCCCGAAGCATCTTCTGTCTCCTCGTCCCCCGAGATCCTCGAGATCCTGTCGCCGTTTTGCTTCTCTCGCCAAAGAGGCTTAGCCGTCCGTCTCGGCCACCTTCTGCTTCGGTCTTTTCTCAGCCCACGCAGGGAGAGGTCTCGCCCTGCCGCACCATCAACCACCCGCTGCCAATCTTCTCACGGCCTGGCTCTTCTCTCGCATCCTCCTTCGGACACCACCTTTCATGATCGTTCTTCTCTAGACTCGGCCCCTGTGGCCCCCCCTTTCCTTTCTCCTTTTCGTTCACATCTGGCTTACACGACTGGAATTGCCCGGCGCTTTCGTGCTTTCGGCCATTGCACTTTTATTTCTCCTTCAGGGTCGGCTGGAAACGATCCTCCCCTCTGAAGACTGCGTCTTCTTCTCCGCGAACACAGCCGCATCACTATGTCGACCAGCGCCGCCTTGCCCTCCGGGCAGTTCATCACGAGCATAGGCGGAAAGCGTTGTACGGCTGTGCCCCGAAACATCACAAGCACCGGCAGCTCCAACGGCAGCGCCGCGACTGCGACGCTCTCCTCTTTCTCCTCATCCTCCTCCTCCTCTTCTTCCCTCGCACCCTCTTCGTCCTCCTCCTCCAAAAAAGCTGCCGAGACGACGACGAGTAGCATCATCAGAAGCAGTACCACTAGTGCCGCTGCAATCAGCAAAAGTACACAGGCAACGGCCAACGGGGCCGCCATTCCTGCCCCGGCCGTGATCGAGGCATCTACTCAGAGTACGACGAGCGTTTCCTCCACACCACTACCGTCACCGTCATCATCATCACTGCCACGGCCGCAATCGACATCACCAGTGCTGTCATCCTCCCCACCTTTATCCTCATTTGCATCTCCATCTCTGTCACCCTCCCCTTCACCGTCATCTTCCCCCATTAAAGAGTCAGCTGTGGTGCCTCCAGCGGTCGTTGTTGCAAGTGGTTCATCTGACACTGCCTCTACTGTTGCTGATGTGCCAGAATCGACAGCTACTGATATCTCGTCATCCGTACCTGCTCATGCCCCGTTCGCTGCCATAACACCTGTTGGTACCGTGCAGTCCAGTCAAACGGATAGCGGCGTCATAGCCAGCCCGACTGCAGCTTCGGCTACATCCGTTTCCGTTATCGTCACCTCGACGACACCAACGGCGGAGGCAGACGTTGGTCAGACAAGCAGCTTCCCACTACTCTCGGCCACGTCCAGTACACCCCAAAGCAACCCCTCCAGCAACCCCTCCAGCAGTACGGCAGTAGCCGCTTTCACCACCGACGGCGGCGATGCCTCGTCCTTTATCACATCTGTCCAGCTTAGTACAACCGATGGCGCCTCTTCCACAACATTAGCCGTAGTCACAACTACGAACAGTTTGAGCAACAGCGGGGCCAGTGCAGGCTCGTCAACTCTGAAGAGCACTTCATCGAAAACGAATTCAAGCAATACCGCAGCTGTGGTTGGCGGCGTCATTGGCGGTCTGGCATTGCTGAGCCTGGTGGCACTGCTGCTGTGGCTATGGCGGCGCCGGTTGAGACAGAAGCGCCGAAGCACACTGCTGACGCCGTTGTCGGCGGACCCGGCAGTAGCTGCAGGACGCGGAAGACAGCGTGATCAAGCAGGCCAGGTCGGTGGCGTCAGCGAAAAGGGTGCCTACGAGATCAACCGCGGCAGCATTGGCCCGACTCCGGTAGCTACACGCATGAAGGCTTCCATCACCTATAACCTACAGCAGGCACGCAGCCGGGTTGAAGGACTGCTGAGTGGTGGCGGGCGGACCATGCTCCCAGGGGCAAGAGGAACATCACCGCAGCCGAGCGTGAACATGAACAGAGGCAACTCACAGTTCGGCAATGACAATATGGGAAGTCGCAAAGTCGGGTTGACTCCTCTCGACCGCGCCAAGGACTGGTGGAGCCGTATGGCGAACAATGCGAGCATTCGTCTGCGACAGATGCGTGGTGAAAACGGCGGCGGCATGTACAAGACAAGCGCAGGGGCAGTGTCCGTGCGAGGCACTGCGCCGTTGGCAAGCGGAAATGGCAGCCAGCAGCAGCCTGACTTTTTAACGCTGCTGGGTATGGACGAGAACGAGCTGTCACGGGCAGCCCAGAACAAGCGCACCAAGAAGCGGCGCTCCAATGGCGGCAGCAGCAGCAGCAACAACTTTCTCGGCCCCCTCAGTGTCGACTATTCGAACAACCCGTTTAGCGACAACAATGTGCTGGACGGCAGCCCAGCAGCTGGCCAAGCTACTACTGCAAGCCGGAATCCCTTTTCGGACGACTACGCTGCCATGCCCACTTTGCAACCCAATACGTACGCGGCCGGTCCGAGACGTTCACGGGGACAGGCTGCAACGCCATTGCCACAGCCACTGCCACCGCCGCCTCCGGAACCGGCTTCGTCCAGCAGAGAACCTGCTTCTCGTGCATCCAGCAGTACAGTTGCTACCGTTGACACCCGCCGCAACCGCTTCCGGTCCGATCCATTCGACCTCGAGCGACCCGAGCGACTACAGGTGTCGGGAGTGCGCGAGCCGATGCCGGCTGCGATGGCTGCGACACCGTCTACCCTGGGCACGTTTGGCGGCCAAAAGCTGGGCGGGCAGGCCGGTGTGCGTATCTCCGGCAGGAGCAGGAGCGATAGCCGTCCTGCCAGCAGCACGTACACACGCACTGCCAGCTTCACGAGCAAGTACTCGAGCGGCGCAAGCATGTACGGCTGGAATGAGCCCGGTCCAGATGTCGGGCCGGTAACAACGCAATGGGACGACGCTGAGGCAGAGAATAGTGGTCTCTCGAATAAGAGAAAGAGCGAGCTGCAACGGAATCACAGCACCGGCAGTGGCACCAGCGTGGGCAAGGCTTTATGAGGGAGAGGTCAGCTGAGCTGACAAAGGGGGTGAGAACTGTACGAGTACGAGTATAGCATCATGATTTTCTGTTTCCGTTTGTCCTGTCTGTCTGTGGGCACTGGGCAGAGCTCTCTTCCACTCTTTAATATCTCTGTCATCGGGAGGTTCCTAAACAGGGGAAAACGCACATATACGGACGGCTACCAGAGAACTGCCTTTTTCGAGCGCGTTGCATCTTTTACCTTATCGTCACGATCGTTTATATGTCTCTCTTTTATATATACCTGGACAGCCTGTCCCCCCCGATTTCCTTTTTCAAAGGCCCATGCGGCGTTGCGGCGTCCTGCAGCTAGTGATAGTCTTGCGATGCATCATCCGATCGCTATTTGATACAACATGTCTTGGAAGTATCCCACAAATATGAGCAAACGTGGTGCTTACATTTTCGTTTGTCCGATGCAAAAACTTGTATTGCCGAGTTTACCGACGATGTCGTCATTGAACAATTACCACAAAGGCCCAGCATGCAAGCCTCTTCTTGGACGCATGTCATGCATCGCATACACCTCTCTAGTAAGAAAATAGCTCGTCTGCCACGTTTTGGAGTTTCGCCACCGCTCCTCTCATTGGTCTAGAGGCTCTTAAACATCCCCACTTGTTTTTCTAATGGAACGCGCCCACGACGCGAAAAGTCGCGACTGAGTGGCGAACCAACGACCAACCAAGTCGCTCAATTGACGCTGCTGCTAAAATCCTGGCCGGATTCGTCGTTTCGGCTCGCCATTCATACTACATATCCTGCGATGCCGCAATACGTCTGAGTCGTTTGGTGGATCATTATACATTTATTCTGAGGGGTACGGTATGGGGCTGCCATGGTCTGGGTACGAGTAGATACAGGATGGAATCCAAGCGGAATCAAACACACTCACTAGTGCTGCTGTTCCCCTCCTCTTGGTCCGCTCCTAGCCCCTCTTTGGGGCCGAAGGAGGTCTACCACAAACACACTAAGCAGAAACAGAATGGACTCGGGGGTGGATGCAGCAACTGTTGTACAGGGATGATAAGCAACACAAATGCTTATTGTAAACGTAGCCATAGGAGGGGGCGTTTCGCAAACGGGAGAAAAAGGTGCTGCAGGGATAATGTGATGCGTGGGACATAATGGGAGAAGTAGAACGGACGTGGCGAGAGAAGAGAAGATAAAGAAAAGGCTCCCTGATGAGTACCCAGAACCAGCCAGGCCCAAATTGTAGGTATCATGGACATTAAGAACAGCAAACACAAAGAAAAGATCGGGGGGAATAGTAATGGTAGCGGTGGTAGTGTATGGTAGTTGATGGTAGTCGATAGTAGTCTTAGGGCATAGTCCAAACTGGCATTAAAGTGTAGCGTAGATAGACGACAAGGAAAAGAGAGCATCCGAGAAAAAGAGAGAAAGGGGCGTAACGGGCTCAAAGTGGGTCATCAAAAGTCAAACGTCGCCTGTTCACGCTCATAGGGGTCCTGGATCCTATGAGATTGGGCGTCTTCCACGGCTTCTGGGCCGGGCTGGGGGTGATGTTGACAAAGTCAGAGAAGTCGAAGTGCTGCCCCGGGGTGTTAGGGAACATGCTGCCGCCGCCAGGAGTCGTCATCATCGATGATGGCAGTGCCATGTTGTTAAACTTGGACGGCGGAGTCGATGGCGGGTCCATCCGGTTTCTGCCACTAGGGTTGGCAGGGGACGGAGAGGCGGCGAGATACAGCAACAAGTCTGCGCCCTCCACGCCCGACTTCGCTCCGTGATCACCGTCATGTCCGCCACCGTTGGGCCCCTGAAACCCGTCATTCACATCGTAAGCATCCCCAACCCTCTTCCTGCGGCGGTTGTTGCTCGGCAGAGTGCGGTTTCGCATTGGTGGCGTGCTCGGTGGCGAGCCAGAGCGGATGGCGTGACCTCCTGCTGTGGTCGTAGACAACCCGAACGATGCGCTGCTAGCCCGGTAAGAGTGAGTTGGCAGCAGCTCGTCGTCCGTGTCTGACTGTGCAGCGTTGTAGTTTGTAGGGGCAAGAGCGTCAGCAATACGGCGTGCCCCCGGAAACAGGGACACATCCGGGCCAGCTGCCGTGGTGAAGTGCTGCTGTCGTCTCGGCTTGATTGGGGAGCTGTTGGCCAACTGGTGATGATCCTTCCAGGAAGAATGGCTGGAGAAGGGCGGCTGCTGCGGCAGGAAAGCAGAGGCTGAGCGTTGTGTATAGTGCGTGTCCCCGTTGCTGCCGGCAGTCAAGGGGGGCGAGGAGCGGTAACGCTTGCTGGGGCTCGACAGGACAAAAGCGTCGTGACGGTTTTGGTGGAGGTCGTCGAAGGAGGCAACATATGTACGCTTGCGGTGGCCGGTGCTTCCGTTGCTCGAGCCAATGGCGTCCGAGAAGAAAGGAGGCTTGAGGGGAGAGCTCATGAGGCCGCGGTGAGAGGGATATGGGAGTTCGGAGGTACTGGACGAGGAATCGGAGAGAACGTCACCATCACAGCCTCTCTTCCGTCGGATCTCCTCTTCGACCTTTGGTTCAATCATGTCGAGCGTCAGGTCTTCCCAGCCGTTGCGGGTCTTGAACTGGGCTAATGCGAGTCGATTTTGGAGACGGCAGGCCATCTGCAAGAACACAGTCAGTACGTTAGGGCTGGGGATGGAAGGAAGTCAGGAGGTAGAAGGACAAACCTTGCCCAGCTCCGCCCTCCGAAGCACTCGGTCAGCAACCACATCCGGCTGGCTGGTGTATATAGCTGAGGGTGCCATGATGGTGGCAGTGATCATGTTTTTGTTTTTTTCTTGCTTCTTCCTCTCAGGCGGATAGGCCCTGGCTTGCTCAATCAACCAGGTCCAGGGCAGAAGGCAAGAAAAAAAACTTGGATGCTGCTTTTCAAAGAACCCGGGTTTGTGGGGCAAAGAAGTTTTGGAAGAAGAATTTGGCAGCTTAAGTGGGAATTGCAAATCGAGGTTGATTGGGTCCTAAATTTGACACCGAGCCGAGCGAGGTTCCGCAGGCGCTTGCTGAGGAAGAAAGGCGGTGTTGCTGAAAGTCGTTGCAGTGCAAGTTGTCTTTTTCAGACCGGTCTGGCTGAATGCGGCCAGCTCTGCTTTTGTTTCTGTCCCGCCGTTGGTTTATGCGTCTTCGACCGAGGAGGGTGGCCGAGGGAGGAAAGGGAGGGTATGTGTACAGATTAATAGAGTGAGCAGTACTGGCAAAGGGGGGTAGCAGTTGGCAAACGAAAGGACGCAGGCTTGAAAGAGCCAAGTTGGTCAGAGGAACCGGTGAAAGAACGTGGGAGGCTTTTTCCAGTACGGAAAGGAGAGGGAGAGGAAGTCTAGAAAAGAGAGAGGACACACAAGAAAGTGGTAGTAGTGGTGAAGGGAGGCTGATACATGGCTCAGTGAGAAATGGAAGGAAGGAGTGATGGAGGACAGGAGAAGAGGAAATAGGCAAGCAGCCCCGGCCAGGTGCTCGCCTCGCTGCAGTCGGTCGGCTCTACTCTGCATGTAGACTTGTCTCGCAAGGGCGGCTAGCCAACCAAATGGCCTGGAGCCGGTGAGAACTAGAGCCAAAAATTTTGCATTTTGGCAAATTAGTACCCAAGTACCGCCAACAGCGGCAGCAACCAGGCGTTGCTCAGTCACTGACAGAAGCCGCTTAGACCACCTAGCAGCCGTCCCACAGGGGTCAGCAATAAGTTACAGGGCAGACTCACTCACCGCAACAGGTTAAGCTATGTGAGATGCATGTGAGAGGGACTTTGCGCTCCACTCCAGACCGCCGTGCCAGCGACATTCCCCTTGTCAGTAGCGACCCGAAAAAGAAAACAGCGAAAACTAAAGTGGTCCACCGGGAGATGGCGCTTTCACCCGTAACTGACACGGCATGTACGGAGGGCACGGGCAAGGGGATGGCTGACTACATGTAAGATAGGAGCCCTTGGAGAATTCTTGACGATTGATCATAGTCGGACGAGTACGGAGTATGATGATGCAAGACGTGCTGCCGTCTTATTTCTCCGTTCTCACGATGCGCCCCTGGCCCGACCGTGCACTGAACTGCATGAGTCTGCGAGACACAATGCAGGGTAAAATGCTATATATGCCACATACTATGTATGCGCACAGCTAGCCGGAAGCGGATGTGATATAAAAATATCTCCAGTTCAGACCGTATTGGCATGGAGCGGGTCTATGCTGTCTACGAAATTGTCTCTCTCTCCCTTCGGTTGCTGAGGTGCCAGGGCCCGTTTTTGGTCTGTCGAACCGTCGGGATAGGATAAAAAAGGTACGGAGTACGGAGTACAGAGTATCTGATTCGAGCAGCCGTGAGGGAGAAGCCGGCTGTCGAGCGGCGGCGGCTGAAGATGGGCAACAGCGGTCAGCCCTTTATGATGGAAGTCGTCAGCAGGAGCCACATAAAATGTCAGGGACTAAGTAAATACGGAGTACGGAGTGACAATACGAGAATATCGCGAGATGTGCCTAAGCGGGCATTGAGCAGCAAGCTCGGATAGGCACATATGCAGGGTGAATGCAAGTAAGCGGGTTTGCAGTAAGTGGACATCGGCGAGTCCGGGCTCAGCTGCTCTTCGAGACATTAAGAGTCAGCTCTTGCCCAAAGAGCGAACAGAGGCCAGCTTTCACAAAGTGCGTTAATGCAAGATAAGCGCAAGCCATCTCCACTAGAAGAAAATAGAAGCGGAGGGCTAGCCGTTGGGCAGGAACAAAGTGAACTACGGAGTCAAGCCGGGTAAACCGACCGATCGCCGATATGCAGGAGGCCTGCTACCGGTCCGGCCGTAATCCCCCGCGACCGGTATTGGGCGTGCTGCGATGCCACGGGGGATCACCAACACGGGCGCGGCCGCTCTTGTTGCTGGCCCGACAGGTGTCGCCTATCGGAGCGTGCAGAGGAGAACCGGAGCGGGAGGACAAAGGAATGGGGCTGTTCAGGGGTTGGCGGAGTCAGCATGCTCTGTACATAGTAAGATACATACATAGCAGTACGGAGTATTACGTGTATGTACTCCGTACGACGACTCCGTATGTATACGAGCGCAGAGAGCAGCGGTATGCCTGTCGTTCTTATCGCTAAAGGGCCGATCGTACTGTCGATTCTGCCTGATTTGCACGCCCAAAATCAAGGAAGGCGCCATTTGGAACTTGGCAGGGGAGGCATACGTGTTGTGGGGTTACGAGCCGCACTTATCATTACTTTGTGCACCTGTTGCTTCTCTGGCATCTGGCCTCGACTGGCAGACTGGCAGACGACAGGTGTAGCACAGCATCCAACAGCCGAAAGCCGGCATGGCAGAAGCCATGGACGAAGGAAGGCGGGTGGTGTGATTGGTGGCTTGATGGTGCAGCGAGCCGTGCCTGCCACTTCCTGACTCGTGTGCTGCGAAGGAAGGAGCTTTTCTCGGCGATGAGCTGTCTTGATGTCAGCGTCTGCAGCATGCGAGGCAGCAGCGACCCTCTCTCCTGCTTCTCTTCCCTCTTTATGTAGCAAGATAGTCTTGCTCCGTACGACTTTTCAGCCTGCTGCCCAAGTGCCCTCGTGCTCCGTATTTATTTGCTCACACGGTCGAGACGAGCTGTCCGATTCCCCACTCCGACAGCTAGCAGAGACGATCCATCGCCAATTCCAGCACCCAGAGCTCCACCCAACACGATAAATCAACACAGCAGGCGAATCCTCAGCCACTGCGACGTCCCGCTAGGGAACTCCCACCTGCACACGCAACACAATACGTAACTCTCTTTGGCCAGCCAGCGTGGGCCTAGACGCGCCCTGATAAAGGCGTGCATGCCCGCTGCCCGGCGTGGCTAGCACGCTGAGCTGAAAACTGCGTGTACTCCGTACGCCTAGGCCGATCGTTCATTTCCCCTGTCGGGGGGCTTCTTTTTTCGTCTTCCTTCTAATCGCTCCAAGCCTTGTTTTTTTCCAGATATTTTATAACGCTGACGGAGCGCATCGTACTCCGTAAGACATCATTATACGACGTATGTGCTGGACAGGTCCAGAGAGACAATCGGTCGTTGGCTCCCAAGTGACAGATCGCTCTCTGCACTCCTCTGCAGCAGAGCAAATCTTGGCAGCTAGCAACGACCGAAACAAGGCGACGTCATCAGCCTGATCCATCGTCCTTCGGGGACTAACCTGCTGCAGCTGCAGCTACAGCACACACACACATTGCATCCCTGCTAAGACAGCCGCTAGCCGAGAACCAGTCGTCCATCGAAATTATTACTACTACGACGAAACAAAGTCAGACTGCAAATCCCCCCCCTTCCTATCAGACTCTGGACCGGCCAAAGCTACGACCACTGCCAGGCTTCCTGGTTTTCTTTGTCAATTACCTTTCCCTTGTCCCTCGTTGCTCGTATTGGCTGCCGATTTCCTCCTTTTCTCAATTGAGCCTTCTCTTTTCCTCTTTCCTACGTCGTCTCTCTACTTTCCCATTCTTATTCTAGGCGCTTTCACACACGACAGCCAGCGATCCCCAGGGAAACGGTTTCGTGCTTTGGCCTGCGGCGTGACATTCTCGCTACCATCCAACCTCTCTCCGACCTCTCTCCGACCCCTTTTCTGTCAGCCTTTCTCTTCGGCGCCTCTTCTGTTGTGTTCGACCCGGATCTAATCCCCATTTGCATACGTCTAGCCGCCTACGATACACGCCTATTCGTCTGCGAGTTCGTGGCTGATATTGATTGTCCTGGCCGCTTCTCGACGAGCTGGTCCCGTCCCCCATTCTTCTCACCCCTCCTCCCCCTTTCCCCACCATGGCACCATCCTTCCTCAATATCAAGCAGCTGCGGCGAAAATCTAGGGCCAGCTTCCGGACCGAGAAGTCGAACGACACGTCGAGTGAGGGCAGCCACAGTAACGGCACGGCCCCGACCAGCGGTTCGCTCACGCCGCCGTCCATCGCCCAGCAGTCCGATCCGGCACTTCACCTGCAGACTCGTGGCCGCAGCTCGCCCCCGCCGCCGGTTCCCCGCCGTCCGCCTCTGACGTCCTCGGGCACGTCGACGTCGATGAGCACGGCGGCCGGCGGCAACTTCTCGACCAAGCGCTACAGCGTCTCTGGTATGGCCGGGCTCGGAGCGCCCCTGGTCAACGGCAGCAATAGCCGGCTGCTCTCGTTGCCCATCTCGCCATACTCACCGCGCATCGACAGCATCCAGGACAACTCGTGGGTCTACCAGAAGGTGCTGCTGGTCCACGGCATGGTTGGCGACCCGGCCGCCAAGACGCCGGTTGACGGCACCGTGACGGTCAGCCGGCTTGACGACGGCTTCCCGGCCGTGCAGTGGCCGGTGTACAGCGGACACTTCAAGGCGCTGGTGTACCTACTGCCCGGCCCCAATAAAATCCGGTTCGACTTTGCGAGCCCGAAGCTGGCCAATAGCGGCACCTCGAACCCGATCCACGCATCTTACTTCACGCTGCACATGATGCCGCCCATGGGCGCGCCGCCGGTCCACCTGGCCATTCTGCTGGCCAAGGACTCGCCGGGCACGTTTGACGCGATGCCGACGCGGGCGGAGCGCGAGGGCAACGGGCTCGAGACGGCGGTGCGCAAGTTCCGCATGGCGGCCTACCTGTGGCAGGCGTTCACGGCCGAGCAGATGTGGCGCAACCGACTGGGCAGACGGGTGTTCCGATACGAGGAGGAGTGGACACAAGGCTCAGCCAACTATCGGGACCGCGAGACAGGACAGATGCGATCGGAAGCGCGGATTCATGTGGTGCGGTCGAACAAGACGGTGGCCGAGCTGCGCGATCTCAATCGGGCGCAGCAGAACGACAAGGGCACGGAGCGGGGCGCGCTGTTCGACATTGCGGCGGAGGCGATGCGCGAACACTTCCAGCCCAAAGCGGGCCAGACACTGTATGTATCGGTGCTGCTGCTCGACGCGCACTGGGACACGACGGCGAAGACGATCACGGGCCACGCGGCGCTAGGCGGCTCGGCCGGCGACGTGCGGCTGGCCGTGTTCGGATCACACTGCCTGCAAAGCTATCCGAGCAGCTTCGAGGAGGTGGTCCCGGCCTTTCTGGACTGCACGCCGACCGATACGGCCTTTGTGGCCAACGACTGCAACGAGGCAGGCAGCTCGTGGGAGGCGGCCAACATTGGCATCGGCGGCCACCTGCACGAGACGGGCCATCTGCTGGGGCTGCCGCACCGGGAAAACGGTGTGATGCTGCGCGACTATGTGCGTCTGAACCGCAGCTTTGTGACGCACGAAGCGTACTCGACGCGCACGCGGACCAAAGGCGGCGGGCTAATGCTGGAGGCGGACGAGTGTACGTGGCACCGGCTGGACTGCCTGCACTTTCGCAGTCACCCGTGCTTCCGGCTGCCGAGCGACCTGCCGGCAGGCGTTGACGAGAGCGTGCACGCCTGGCCGGTCGATGGGGGTAACGTGCTCCTGACGGCACCCTCGGGCGTGGCGTATGTGGAGGTGTATGCCGAAGGCGACGACGTGTGCCACACCTGGATCGAGTATCCGACGGGGGAGTATGGCAGCGGCAGTCCCGGGACAAGCAGCAGCAACATTGCCGGTGGCGGTGGTGGCGGCAGCTCGAGCTCGCTGAGCCGGCAGGTCACGCTGGCAGACCAGGATGTGCGCAGCCGGCTGCCGGAAGCAAAGCGACGCAAAGACGGGCCGTTGCGTGTGGTGGTGCACTCGTGGGCAGGCGGCAGCCTCAACGTGGCGGACCTGCGGCAGCTGACACGCGGGGCGGCGACGAAGCTGAGCAGCGGTAGCAGCAGCGTCATGTCGCTCAAGGGCCGGACGGCCTTCCGTAGCAGCGCGCTCGGGCTGTCGCAGACGGAGGGCAGCACGCCACAGGAGCTCGTCTTTTCGAGCGCCGAGCGGCAGGAACGGGTGATGACGCGCATCATCGTGTACCACGGACTGTATGTGGACGGCATGGAGTTTGTGTACGATGACGACTCGCGGCAACTGTTTGGGAAGCGCGGTGGGAAGCCGGGCGGCGACATGTTTGAAATGGGTGAGTTTTTTGTCTTTTTTCTTCTCTTTTTTCTTCTCTTTTCTCTCTTTTTTCTTCTCTTTCTCTTCTCTTTTTCTCTTTCTTCTCACCTCTCTCTTCTCATCTCGCCTAACAAAAAAAGACGTCCGTCGCGGCGAGTATATTAGTGGCTTCAGCGTCCGGTCCGGCTTCTGGGTCGACGGCATCCAGATCCTCACCAGCCTGGGTCGGCGATCACCCGTCTACGGCAACGCCCAGGGCGGTTCCGCGTACGTTGCTCCCTTTCTCCCCGAGCTGCCGTGCCCACAATCTAACCATCACAGCAACACGCTCATACCACCTCGTGGATATACCATCTGCGGCGTGGCTGGGTCCTCTGGCACCTGGGTGGACGGCTTCTCCGTCCTTATTACGAAATGATACCACAGCTAGTCACTGTTTCGGCCCTCCTTTCCCCTTTTTTTTCTGTCTGTTTTCTTTCTTGGGTCTCCTGGGTCTCTTGGGTCTTGGGCTACTGTGCATAGCAAGCATAACACAATGTCCTGCGAGACGAAGGAATAGCCGTCTCTGCAGGACGTCAAGTAATGAGTAAGCTAATATTTTGGATGGCGCAGCTGTTTGGGCAGCACGCCGTCAAACGAGAGACAGCTAAAAGATATTCTCTCCATTTTTGATGATGCACGTATCCAGTGAAGTGCCTAATATGCGTATAGCCGATCAAAGACAATACGTCGCTGTGGGTGGCCAAGCGTACCGTCCTAGTGGTATTAGTTGGGGGTCCCCGTGCTCGCTCACACCGCCCTGACGTGGAAGCCCGGAACCGAGAATGACGGCATTGGGTTGCCCTGCTCGGACTCGGTATTATGCTTCTGGCCTGCTGGGCGACCCTTTTTTAGGCTCCCTCTCTGCGACTCCCAGGAGGCTCCGTTCGCTGCGCCTCTTTTTTATTACGCTCTTTTTTTCCACTCCCCCCAACTAAAACCAGAGCTCTGGGGTATTTATCGACCAAAGAGGCAGCCAGCGAAACGTCTCTGGCCGATCTACGACCATCTGCACGAGCGAACCTGTCGCGCCGACTGCCCTCTTCCGCATTGTCGCCCTTGTTGCATCGCAGCTTTTGTGGTGTGCAGCTCTCTCGCCAAGACAGAAAATCACAAAACCACAGAATAACACAACAACACACGCCCTCCGGTCCCAACGGTCCCGATGTCTAGGAGGTCCACCACGTCGGCGGCCAACGGCGCCGTCGATGCGGTCACCGGCGGTGCGTCACCATATAGCCAGCCGGGTAGGTCTGGACTCGTTTGCCTCCCATGTGCCAAGGGAGGCTGCTTCGCGTGTGTCTGTTTTTTTTTTTAGTTTTTTGTCTTTGCTGACCGGTCTCGCGCAGCCTACGACAAGCAGAAGCTCCTGCTGTCGAGCGATCCCGGGCACTTCTCGCTCATCCGCGCGCTGCACATGGCCGATTTTATCACGGAGCTGAATGGTGAGTGAAGAGTGACGGACACGGAGGACAGGCGGCCAATTGGGAAAAGGGGAGTGGCTGGACTGACGCTTGCCAGGGATGTGCGGGGTGCTGTCGATTTTCTCGTCGCTGCGGTACTGCATCGACCCGTCAGCCGGCAACGGCAATCTCTGGGCGGCTCTCGGGTTCCTGCCGCTGGGGCTGTTCTTTGACTTTCTGGACGGCAAGGTGGCGCGGTGGCGCAAGAAGAGCAGCATGATGGGCCAGGAGCTGGACTCGCTGGCGGATCTGGTATGTTCTCTGGGCCCTTTTTCATCTTGCCTTGTCCTGACGTCTAGATCTCGTTTGGCGTCGCGCCCGCTTCGGTGGCCTTTACGATCGGCTTCCAGACCGCACTCGACCACGTGGCGCTGGCGTTCTTTGTGCTCTGCGGGCTCACGCGGCTGGCGCGCTTCAACGTGACGACGCAGGTGATTCCCAAGGACAAGTCGGGCAAGGCGGCGTACTTTGAGGGCACGCCGATCCCGACCAGTCTCGGGCTGGACGCCCTGATGGCCTACTGGGTCTCGCAGGGCTGGACGCACGCGGCGCTGCCGTGGGGCACAGTGTTTGCCGGCACGGCCTTGGAGCTGCACCCGGCCGTCCTGCTCTTCGTCCTGCACGGCTGCATGATGACGAGCAAGACGATCCACATACCGAAGCCGTAGGCGTAGGCGTGGGCGTGGGCGTGGGCGTGGGCGGCCGTCACGGCTCGACCGGCGCCTGCTGGACGTGCATCCGACGGCCAGCCGGCTCGAGGGATCCAATTTCTGTTTCGTTACCCCTTGGGACACCTGCAGCCTACCACCTGTACTCGGCATGGCACGCGAAAAGAAGCACGAGGACGGCGAGACAACGGACGGAATGGATGGGAAACGGGGAAAGCACCCGAATGGGAGATACTCTTTCAACATGAGCACAGGGTGCAAGATAGACTGGCCAGGCTTGCAAAATGAAAAAGGCATTTTACAGTTGGATGACTGCTGACGTATTGCCGTGTTGGGAGGCGAGGCTCCGCAGATAGGGCACGGGCGCACCTTCTGCCGTCTCCCCTTTCCTAGCCTTACATAACCCCCCGCATATGTACAAGACTTTGCTGGCCAGCCACCTCTTGTCGCAGAATTTCCTCTTTCCTCATTATTCCCCGCCGTAGCCGTATAATTGCCCTTGGCCTGTCTGCACCCCATGCATCCGGAATTTTCATTTCCCTCTTGATATTGTCCTCATTTAATCTGTCTGGACCCCGATGTGACTGCCGGGGCTGGTTGTCGCGTATTTCGCTGATAATTTAACGGTTCGCGTCCCTTTGGACTCGGCTCTCTTGTCTCGCTCATCTCTTCCATCTATTATCACTACTTTCGCCTCTTTCACCTCATTCGCCCTACGATGGCCTGCACGACAGGGGGGCCACGACCGTCGGCCGGAATTGAGAGCATGCCCGACGAGCTGATCATTGCGATTCTCCATCTGGTGCCGACGGTGGACATTGCCCGCACGGTGCAGCGGCTCGCGCGGCGGTTTTACCTGCTCAGCAACGAGCCGAAGCTCTGGCTGGCGCGCTGCCGGACGGACTTTGTGTACTGGACGGCGGAGAAGCGCGTGCGGCTGGACAAGGCCGGGCGGGCCAACACGGGTTCGTGGAAGCAGATGTGGCTCAACCGGCAGCGCGGGGACGTCAAGTCGGCGCGGCACTTTGAAAAGGTGCTGCTGTCCAAGAAGCTGCGCATGGCGCACCTGGAGGCGATCTGTCGGCGCGGGCTCGATGCCAAAGACTTTCTGCTGACGCAGTGCAGCGCGCCAGACGGAGACGACGTGCTGGCGCGGCGGTACTTTGCGCAGTCGGCGCTCTCGAGCATCAACCGCGGGCTGGCCGTGGAGGAGTGGTGCAAGGTGCAGGTGCAGATCGAGGGCTTTGGCCGTCTCGACCGGGCCCTCGGTGCCTTTGACATGTTTGTGCTGCACGACGGGGACGAGGACATGGACGGGATCGAACGGATGCTCGACGGACTGGCCGACGAGTTCCGGGCCGCGAACCCACGCCTAGCCACGATGACGACGCGACAGACAGCTCTGGCTCTGCTGCAGTGGGTACGGTCCAAGGACCTGGTTGGGCTGGCACACTCGGCACGCTGCTTCCGAAACGTACGCAACTGTCTGATCGGCCACGCGCTGACCGAGCCGGGGCACCCGTCGCTGCCGATCGTGTCGAGCGTCATCTACACGAGCCTGGCCACGCGCCTGGGGCTGCAGGCGTACTGCTGTGCGGTGCCGGGCCACGTGTACAGCACGGTGTTGGCGCGACGGGGCTCGACGGTAGACGGGACGCCGGTGGCCGAGGCCGTGTTGACGTCGACGTCTCCAGGCATATCTCCGGCCACGGCCACGGATTCGGGGCCGGTCCTGGCCGACAACGGCGAGCGCATGTTTCTAGACCCGTACAGCCACGGACAGGAGGTGCGGCTGGAGGCACTGCGCAGCACGATCGTGCAGCTGGTGTGGGGAGCCGTGACGGAGAGCCGGGACAGCTTTCTGTTGCCGGCGCCGACCTCGGCGATTGTGCTGCGGGTGGCACTCAACCTGGAGGCCAGCTATGCGCAGGCGCGCGAGGTGATGCCGGTGCTGGGCCACCACGACCAGGAGCACGTGGCAGCGGCACTGCAGCAACAGCAGCAGCAGCAGCAGCAGCAGCAGAGCCGCGAGCTGCTCTGGCTGCGGCGCGGCGACGAGGAGGCCAATCTGGAGGCACTGCTGTACGCGACCACGTGGGTGGCCGTGTTGATGCGGCCGATCAGCAGCATTGGCTGGCGGCGTCATGTGGACCTGCTGCTGGCCCGTCTGGCCCGCCGCTACGGCGAGGACGCCTGGATCGTCGAGCGCTATCTGGTGCCGCTGTTCGACCGCCATCAGCAGTATCAGCGTCAGCTGCGCCAGCTGTATGACTATCCGCGGCGGGGCCTTTGGTCGGACGACGAGGACGAGGACCGAGGCCAGCACAACCATCGCCGGTCGTCTCCCGAGAGCACCGGCGACTGGACCGATCCCCGCGTCATGGTCCGGCTGATCCGCAATCTCGACCAGCGGCTGCCTGAAGCCAGTCGACGCTACACCCAGGAGATTTGTGCCAGCGTGCGCTATCGTGTCGGTCAGGTCTTCCGCCATCGCCGCTTCGGCTTTGTCGCCATCATCAACGGCTGGACCCTCAATGAGTCCGGCCCGACGGCCTCACGGCGACCGGCAGCTGCAGCCGTGGCTGCCGTGGCAGCCAAGACACCTCCGGCCCACAACCGCCCGAAGCCTGCATTTTACACCTGTCTGCGCGTCGGCGATGACCGCTACGTGGTCGAGCAGAACAATGTGGACATCCTCACGGATGCGTCGCAGATCCCGCACGAGCTCTTCTTCCTGGCCGGCCAGCACTTTAAGCGGTTCGACGTGGACACGTGCACGTTTGTGTCCAACATCCGGGAGTTTTTTCCAGATGACTAAGCAGGTACGCGTAGCAGGTGGATGGCAGGAGGAATGGCAGGCAGAGGATGGCAGGTGTAGGATGCACAAGCACAGGGATTGAAGGATACCAGACAATTGCATAGCAAGGGGATGACTATAGACGATCTCAGCCATGCAGGCGACAGCTTTCGGCAGCTTTATACCCATTTCCAGTCTTTCTAGAGCGAGCGTGCATTGAACTCATTTACCACTCACTGCTCGCCCTTTTCGTTGTGCGTGCGTTTGACTGGATCCCTCACTCCCCCCTCTCCTCGGCCTCGCCCGTGGCCAGTCGCCGCAGCACGCCCTTGTCGGCCAGCTTCTTGATCCAGCTGTGCACGGCCGGCGTGTAGTCGCTGCGACGTGCCGCGGCCCGGGCAACGTCCTCGTCCAGGCTGCGGTCGGGTCCGCCGTCAGGCCCGACGCCGGTCTGGCACAGCGCCAGCAGGCTGAACACGGCGCGGTCATCGTACTGGGAGTAGGCCAGCATGCGGGCGGCGATGCGCTCGCGAGCCATGGCGGTCCAGTCGCGGGTGAAGGAGCCTTTCGCGGTCAGATCAGAGAGGAGGAGGACGAGAGAGAACGGAGAAGGGGGCAGAGCACCTACCGAGCCGCAGTCCCTTGTTCTGCATCCCGTTGAGCTCCCACACGTCCTGGCCCATGGGCACGTACGCGATGAAGTGGAAGGCGGCCTCGTCGTCGTCGGCGGAGATCTTTTTCTTGGTGTTGCCGTTTTCATTCCCGATGCTGCCGCTTCGGCTGCTGCTCTTCCTGGCCCGGGCTCGCCGCCGCTTCCGCTCCGCCTCGGTCCACTCGTGCTTCAGGGCAATGTCGGACGTCAGCATGTCCAGACGTCTGCAGGTCAGCACGGCTTCTTCGGCTAGCACGCACACCGCACGGACAACACCCACCTTGCAAACGAGTTGTGCTTAGACCGGATCAGCGCATGGGAGCTCAGCAGGTGGCCGCGCAGAGCCGGGTGTAGGTGCTGGGTGGCCGCCTTGAAGCGAGTCAGGACGTCGCCCAGCCGGAGACCGGGGCAATTCATGGCGATGTTGAGCATGGCGATGGTGGCGCAGGCGTTGGACGTGGTCTGGAGTCCGGGGTCAGTGGTCAGAGGTCAGAGGTCAGTTGGGCACGTCTGGCGTAGACTCGTGCTCACCTGGTTGGCAAACCAGAGCTCGTCCGGACAGTCTTCCCGCACGTCCTCCTCGGCCTCTTCGACAAACCGGTACAGAAAGATGAGCCCGCCGGGGTTCCTGTGCGGCCATCCGTCAGCAGTCCTTCCGGCATTCCGCGTCTCTGCACACGATCCAACACCTACGGAAGATAGTCGGCCGAGGCCTCGTCCACCGAAAACACCTCCTGGATGGTGGCGCCCTGGATGCCGAGCTCGCCCAGGATAAAGTTGAAAAAAGCCTGGCGCGCGTGAGAGGATGAGCTTGGACGGAAACGACGACGACGAGACGCGCAAGAGGACACCCACCGGCTCTGACTCAATGTCCGTCCAGCCCTGCCAGGCGTCACGCTCGGCCGTCGTGATGCGCGCAAACGCCCGCTCGTGGATCTCGTCGGCCGACGGCACTGCTGCTGTCGCCGCCTCTGCTGCTGCTGCTTCTGCTGTGGCGGCTGCTGCCGCTATCGCCGCCGTTCGCCGCGGGTTGCTGCGTCGTCGTGGAGGGTCAGCATCTGCTGCCGCTTCCGCTTCTGCTTCCGCTTCTTCTTCCGCTTCTTCTCCCTCTGGCTGCGTTCTTCGCTCCACCATCACCACCTCCTTCTCCTCGTCTCCCGCTGCTCCTGATACCCTTGGCCTCTTGGCCGATTGGGCCGAGCTGCCGCCAGACGCCTTGCGACGGGCCATGCTCGACACACTCTGCCTTGCTCTCGTCTGGCTCCTCTCGCGCCTCCGCACACCCCCTCGTTGAGCGGCAGGTGATGCAAACGAGATCTGGTAAATGAGCCTGGCCCCTGCTCCTGCCGTTTCTGCTCGTCACGTTGTCTCCTCTCTGCTCTTGCCGTCTGTGCCGACGTCGTGTTGCGGGGAGAGAGAAGCTCGGCCGCTCGGTCGTGCTTCGTCGCTCCTGCCTTGCTCGCCGACGGGTTCCCGTCGAACGTGACCGTGTGTATACAGTGCGTGTACTGTCCGTTTGTTTCCCTGCAACGACTCCTTCATTCCAGCCAATCATAGCTTCTGCGTGGACCGTGCCCTTGGCAGAAAATATTGCTCCCTGTGTATCAACTTCCCGCTGAGCTGGCGCGTCTTCTCTTGGACGTGAATGGGAAATGAAGCTTTCCAGCGAAGCAACGGCCACGACTCGACCTTGCCCGCCATTCCCCGTCTCCTTCGACGGTCACCACACAGCAGCAGGGCAGACCTGACGGTGGATCGCTCTCGGGACCGTGAACAGCTTCTTCTGTCCCACTTTGTTGATACCCAACGCAGCTTGCCTCGACTGCTCAACCATCTTGGACCTTGCCCCCCTCGTCTACCCTTGCATCGGGATGCCATGAGCGGAACGCCTCGCGTGCGCTCTGGCGCATTTCCACAAACGCCGGCCACCGTGCGGATGGGCGGTCGTGGTGCCCCCATGACCCCCTCGCCGAGTCCGCCTACGCCGGCCGGCGAGAAAAAACCCATCTTTGTCTCTGGCCGGCCATCGACGGCCGGCCGGCGGAGCATGAGCAGCAGCGGCCGTCGTAGCCGCCGCAGCAGCATGGATGGCATCGATGACTACGACGGCTACGACAGCTTCGGCCGCTTTGGTGGCGGCAGCCGAAGAAACAGCAGCTTTGGCCGCTTTGGTGGCGGCAGCCGAAGAAACAGCAGCTTTGGCGCCTCGCCTCCTCGAAATGGTCCCGTCATCCCGCTTGACATCATCGACGCGCCGACACAGCGGTTCTATGCCCTCGCCTTTTACGTCGGCCTGCTCGCCTGGAAGGGCTACGACTGGGTGCAGCTGCTCGAGGACAACAGCGGGTCCTTCTGGCTCTTCCTCAAGTGGATCTGCATCGATTTTGTGCTGCTCTTCGGCCTGCCCGAACTGCGCATTCCCTGGCTCGAGCTTTCGCAGCCGGTCGTGGTCGTCCTCTTCCTCGGCCACGTCGTGCTCGACTACGTCCTCATGTTCAACATCGGCGTGCCCTGGCATGCCTGGGCCCTCGGCCTGATCAAGGTCTTTTACGACCGCGAGCTGTCCATCTCGGAACACTACGTCAAGACGTCCAGCATCCTGCAGAACTCGTCGCTCATCTCTGGCCGCCAGATCATCAACATCCTTCCCGAGGGCTCAGCCGTGCTCAATCCCAGCGGCCTGCCCTTCTGCATCGACCTGTCGTCATCGTCATCGTCATCGTCGTCGTCGTCGTCCGGATCCACCACTGCCGCCCTGCCGCTCTACTTCAACGCCACCATCCCGGCCGAGGTCGAGCTCGTGCGCCGCGACCTGGACACGAACGAAGAAGAGGTCCTCAAGCTTAGCCGCCACCAGCTGCGCGAGATCGCCAAGCTGGTCCGCCGCCACGAGCAGGCCCAGTCGGACGGCAGTGCCACCACGGCCGTGCGCTACGACGTGCCCGTCAAGAAGCCCGGTGCCTACCGGCTCGGCCGCGTGCTCGACGAGTACAAGCTGGACGTGCAGCGACCCAGCCCCTTCTCGTTTGTCGTTGCCTGTCCCAGCGCCCAGGTGGGCCGCAGCAGCAGCAGCAGCGGTGGTGGTGGTGGCACGTCCGGCGTCTCGCTCAAGAAACAGTCGTCGTGGTCGTCGTCACTGACAGCGGCGTCATCAGCAGGTCCTGTCACGCGCTGCCACGGCGACCTGTCGAACCTCCTGCTCGAGGTGCACGGCACGCCCCCGCTCAAGATCGTGTACAGCCGCACCATCAACGGCAAGGACCACAGCTTCCACTTTCAGAGCCTCCAGCCCGAGGGCTTCTCGTCGCCTCTCCTCGGCACAGGCGGCGGTGTTCCCTCGCGCTCGTCATCGTCCTCATCGTCATCGTCATCGTCGCTGGACTTGTTGGATTTTGAGCTGGCAGCCGTCACGGCCAACATCCCGACAGAGGGTGACGTGGACATCTCGTGGGCACGGGCACGACGTGTGTCGGTCGGACTCAACGAGACGATGCACGTGGGCGGCGAGTGGCAGTACTCGATCGACGAAGTGCACGACGCGTTCGGCAACGTGGCCAAGTACAACGAGGCGGCAGACGAGCAGCACGACGTGCGGCCGCGGCCATCCAAGCACCAGCTGGCCCAGAGCTTCCTCGTGCGCGAGCGGCCACGGGCCCGTCTGCAGGGCTGCGACCTACGGCAGCCGCTCAAGGTGGCGCGTGGCCGGTCGACCAGCCTGCCGGTGCAGTACGACATGCCGGGCGTGCGGCAGGCGGACGACGGGACAGAACACACGCTGACGTGGCAATTTTCGCCCATCGATTCGCTGACCAAGAGCGGCGACCACGGCGACGGCGTGGTCACGCAGACGTATAGCGCGCGCCACGCAGACGACCTGCCGACGATCTCGGCACCGGGCCTGTACACGCTGCGGTCGGTGTCATCGGACGCGTGCCAGGGCGAGGTGCAGGAGCCGTCGTCGTGTCTGCTGCTCAACCCGCTGGAGCCGAAGCTGGCGCTGCGGTCCGAGGGCATCCCCGACAGCTGCGGTGGGCAGTCGGTGGGCCTGCGGGTCGACCTCGACCTGGTGGGCACGCCGCCGTTCCTGGTGCGCTACGACGTCAGCACCAACGGGGTGGTACGACACGAGAAGGTGCAGATTGCCAACATGCGGTACCAGCTGGAGCTGATCCCGCGCGTGGCCGGCAGCCACCGGTACGTGTTTCGGTCGATCGACGACGCGGTATACAAGGCGCAGCCGCTAGTAGGCGCGGACATGGTGCTGGAGCAGAACGTGAAGCCGGCGGCGCGAGCGACGATCGACCATCCGACCGGACGGGCGAGCGCGTGTCTGCAGGAGGCGGTGGTCGCGGACGTGGTACTGTCGGGCGAGGCGCCGTTTGTGCTCGAGTACGTGCTGCTGCACGAAGGCAAGCGACGGGCGTTCAAGGCGGAGCACATCACGACGTCGCGGTTCCGGATCGAGACGCCCGCACTGACGGAAGGCGGCGAGTACACGCTGGCGCTGACGAGCGTGCACGACCGCAGCGGGTGTCGGACCTTTCTGCAGGACTCGGGCGGCGAGCTGAAGATCGCGGTGCGGCGCCAGCGGCCGCGGGCGGCCTTTGGTCTGATCGAGAACCGGCGTCGCGTGCAGGTGGTCGAGGGCGCGCCGGTGAAGCTGCCGATGCGGCTGACGGGCGAAGGTCCGTGGCGGGTGTCGTTTCGGAAGGTGGTCGAGGGCAGCGAGGTGCAGACGCGCTCGCTCGCCTCGGGCAACGACTTTCTCTCGATTGGCGAGCGTGGTCAGTACGAGATCGTCGACGTGTTCGACAACCAGTGCCACGGCATCGTCGATCCAGCCGCGGCGCGGTTTGAGGTCGGCTGGTTCCCGCGGCCGGAGCTGTCGGTGGTGCCGACCGATGCGATCCGACAGCAGCCAGATGGGCTGCTGGTGAAGCAGGACGTGTGCGAGGGAGACATTGACGGGTTTGAGATTGATTTGAAGGGTGAGTTGGCGATTCTTTGGGTTGCCTTGTATGTCCTTCTGTCCTTCTGTCTGCTAACAGCATAGGCTCCCCCCCCCCTACCATGTCGAGTATGATGTCCGCCACAAGGCAGCCTCGGGTTCACAGTCGTCGCTCATTCACAAGCAGTTCGACGCCGCTCTCGGACGGGCATCACTGCAGATGGACACGGCCAAGGCCGGCACATATCGATACGAGTTCGCACCACCGGCCGACAGCCTGTACAACGGCGGCAGCGGCGGCAAGAGCGTGCGGACAGACGCGCTGGTGCTGCAGCAGACGGTGCACGCCAAGCCGGCAGCAGTATTTGCCAAAGCCGGACAGTCGTTCAAGTACTGCATGGCCGAAGAGGACAACGAGGAGCGGATCCCGATGGTACTGACGGGCGTGGCGCCGTTCTATGTCGAGATCGAGATCAAGCACCAGAGCGGCGTGGTGGCCGAGACGTACGGCGTGCCGTCGATCATGACACACACATACGGATTGCAGATCCCACGGCAACATCTTCGCCCGGGGACGCAGCAGATCCGAATCCGTCGGGTGCGCGATGCGCGGGGCTGCCAGCAGAAGACGGACGAGGTAGCGGCAGCAGTGGCGGCGACAGCGGCGGCGACAACAGTGCAAGTGCAGCTGTTTGAGGCGCCGGCAGTCTATGCGCTCGAGTCGCGGACGGACTACTGCGTGGGCGAGCGGATCAGCTACACGCTCTCGGGCACGGCGCCATTTGACGTGTGGTACACGTTTGACGGGACGGCGCGGCGGGGCAGCTCGGCGTCGACAACGTTCCGGCGGGTAGCCGAAGCGCCGGGCGAGTTTGCCATCACGGCCGTGGGCGACGGGGCGTCGACCTGTCGGGCATCTGTCAATCTGACGCGCACGATCCATCCACTGCCGTGGGTGCGCGTGTCGCAGGGCCGGACGGCACGGTCGGACATCCACGAAGGCGGCGCGGTCGAGATGGTCTTTGACTTTGGTGGCACGCCGCCCTTTGAGTTCTCGTACACGCGCAGCACGAACGCACGCAAGGGCCAGCGCAGCCAGGTGCTGGAGACCCGACACGACGTCTCGTACGAGCATCGCAAGGTGGTGCGGGCCAGCCAGGAGGGCACGTACGAGGTGGTGGCAGTCAAGGACAAGTTCTGTGCCTTTTCGACGCAGCGGCAGGAGGAGGTCGTGAGGGGGTAGGGCGTCAAGGAGAGATTGTCGCGATGTACATTGACGGATGTCGACACATGTCGCGGATGCATAAACAGGCGTTGGTCACGTGTAGTTAAGTAATGGAATGGTGTGCAAGTGTAGGCGACACTACACTCTTGTCAAGCTTCGAGGGATGTTGCCTCCCTACGTTGGCGCCTTCCCGTTCCTGTGATGACAGCTTGTTGCCTAAACGAAGAGGAAGGAACGAACGCGCGAGCTTGGCAATCACCCGATTCGCCATCCTACTCGTCCTCTTCATCTTCCTCTTCCTCCTCATCTTCATCTTCATCGTCATCCTCATCATCCTCGCTCCCGCTGTCATCCTCCTCGGCCGTCTCGAGCCAGTCGACCAGCACCTTGCACCGATCCCGGGCCGCCGCCATGCTGGTCTCGCCGCCGCTGCTGCCGCCGCCGGCCGTCGCCCGCTGGTCAGCCCACCAGGCCAGGATGCCCTCTTCTTCGAGCACGTCATTGCCATAGAGCTGCTGCAGCAGGGCCGCCAGCAGCGTGCCGGGTGCAGGGCTGCCGCTGGCTGCGGCAACCTCCTCGCCCAGCCGGATCCGCAGCCCGACGAGCGTGCGCTGCAGCGCCAGCACGAACTCGACCTGCTCGGCCGCCGAGCCGCCGCCGATGCCGACATCCCGCACAAACCGCGCTGCACCACGCTGGCCCTTGACAGCTCGCTCGGCCGCCTTGGCCGGATCCAGCTTCGGGGGAGCAGCTGCATCGTCGCCCATCGCCAGCTCGGCCGTCCGTCGCGCAAATGCGGCCGCCACCGCCCGCCGCAACGCACCGTCCGACGCATCCATCGCCAGACGAAGACTCATAAACTCCAGCCGCGCCGACTCAAAGTCGCTGCTCGACTCGTCCCGCAACGCGTCCAGCAGCCCGTGCACGGCGTCTGCGTGGAACGTGCTGCCGCCGCCTTCCCCTGCTGTCTTGCCATCTCCACGACCACTGCCATCACCACGGCCACCACCACCTTCACCATGACCACCTCCACTGCCGCCGGCCACGGCCGACGCAAAGGACGAGAACCGCGAGCGAGACCCGTTCCGGCTGCCGTCCACCCCCAGATACCCTTCACCATCGCCATCACCACCCTCGTCGCCGTGGCTGTGGCCGTGGGCGGACACGCCGTCGTCGCCGCCAAACACCCCGTGCTCGCCGTCCTCATCCGAGCCAAAGCTCGAGATCGACGACATCGACAGATTGAGGTGGGCCGTCGAGAAAATCAGCGACCGCTGCAGATGCTCCGCCGTCGTCGACGGGTCGCTGCTGTCGTCGTCTTCTTCACCCTCGCTGTCCCTGTCGTCGTCCGAGTCATCGCTCTCGTACCGGAATGCCGCTCCCTTGCCGCCAGCACCGACAACGGCCGCATCGTCCGCCACACGACGACCGTCCCGCCCGACAATCGAGAGCTTGACGTCGCCGCTGCTTCGGGCCGATGTGAACCCATCCGCCACAACGACGCCTGAACCCAGCACCGATCCCGCCGGCAGAACGCAGCCACGGCCGACAGAAACGCCCGACGCCAGGACAGACCGTGTCAACACCACATTGTCGCCCACCACCACGTCGTCCCACAGGTAGCAGTCGTGGATCTGCACGTTCCGCCCGATACGACAGCGCCGGCCTAGCGTGCTGCCGCTCACGACGCTGCCCGTACCCACAGACGTGTGCAGGCCCAGCACGGCCGACGCCACCGTGGCTGACGGGCTGATCTGCACGCCGCGCTCGGCCGCCACGTTGCCCCCGAGACACCGCCGCAGGCTGCGGTATGAGTGGCCGCTGACCAGGTTCGTCTCGGGCACCAGCGGGTACGTCCACCGGCCGAGAACGTCGCGGCACACGCCGTCGTACATCTGCAGGCTGCTGGCACGGGCAGCATAGCCGTCGGTCACGATGTCGGTAAAGATCAGCTTGCCGTTGAGCTCCCAGTCCTTGAGCACGTTGTGCAGAAAGTTCTTGCGCGGCAGGTCACAGTCAAAGCTCTCCGTCCAGAGCGCCAGCACGTCGGGCGTACAGATGTCGATTCCGGTGTCGATCAGGTCGGCACGCACCTCGATGTCGGCCGGTCGCTCGAAAAAGGCCGGGTCAACCATCAGCCGCCGATCCGCCCGGCTGTCCAGCGGCGTCATCTCGTCGTACTCGAGACAGCGGCCCGACTCGGCCTCCAGCACAAACAGCGGCTCGATGCCGTGCGCTCGCGACCGGTGGTCGTCCTCGGCTTCCCGCAGCACCATGGTCATGATGGCATCGCGGTTGGCCAGCCGCCGCGCCCGGTGGCGCTCCAGGATCGGGTCCAGCGGCACGTTGGCCACCAGGTCGCCGTGCACCAGCACAAAGTCGCCCTCGATGATGCCGCGCTTGTCCAGGTCCCGCAGAAAGTCGCCCAGCGAGGTGGCTTGCGCCACACGGATCGTGTCCAGCGACTGGAACGGGTTAATCTTGCTGCCGGCCGCCCAGCGCGGCGATGCCGCCAGATAGCCCTCCACCTGGTCGCCGTGTGCGCCCACGTACACATACACCTCCTGCACCCCGTTCATCGCCAGATACTCGAGCGTGTATTCGATCAGCGGCGTGTTGGCGAGCGGGAGAAGACACTGGAGGAAGACCGGGTCAGCTGACACAAGTCAGGCAAAACGAGGGGCAGCAGCTCTCACTCTGGGCGTATCGATGGTCAGCGGCTTAAACCGGTCCTGGAACGAGTCTGCAAGGATCTGCGGCCGTCGAATGTCAGTGCCTGCCTGTGCCAAAGAGTCCGGCCTGGATTCCAACATACGACTGCCTGCAGCACGTCCTCGCCCTTCTCGTCGACCTGGCCCTTGCCGGCCTTCTTGCCACGGCCGGCAGCGGCCTTTTTGTTGGACTGCACCATGAAGGCTTGAGGGAGCGGAGGCTGCCAGAAGAGCGTCGTCGCAGTAGGAGAGATGCGCAGAGAGCTCGCGTGTGGATCGTGGGAATGGCTTTGTCTCTCTCTCTTTTTCACTTGCTCCGAGGTTTGTCAATGGTCGATGACTCAAAAAAAGAATGGTGGGGTGTCCCTCTTTTCGGTCTAGCGCACTTCCCAGGCACAATCAGCAGCGCTAGAAGCTACTAGTGGCGGGCAGATCGAGTAGACAGCCAGAAGGCATGCTGCAGGGCTCTGGGGAATCTGGTCTGTCCTCGGGATATGAGCGCGATACGTCTTTCTTCTGGTTGGGTTCGTGGGCTGGAACGATTCTCTTCGGCTTGTCCGCCCGTCTTTGTCAATCTCAGCGGCCGCCAGCATCTGTCACGGGCACATAACGGAATCCGTCACTCTCGCACACGGCATGCTGCGGTACGCGCGGTAGAAAATGAGCAAAGCAGGACGGAAACCCCCAAGGGCCCCCCGTGTCCAACGGACGCAACCGGTGGATCATGCCACCTTGGCCATCGGCGGGAAAAAGAAGGGTCCAGACCACACCCGCTTGCGCAAATCTGGCCAGCTACTCCGTACAGGCCGGCGCACAGAGCACACACACATATCTTATATCGTTGGTCGCACCCGCTCGCTGTGCCAGGAAGTGTCCAGAAGAAGCGTCGCCTCTCCTCTCTCCCTTCCCCGTCCGCCTTGTTCATCCTCTCACCCACACCCACACCCACAATCATCATCAATGCAGCCCGGACGAGCCTAGAGCCCGTCCGAACAGAGCGACGGGGCGGCCTGGATGTCTAGACATGCACCAGGCGGGAAGAGGCGGCGACAAAGCCAGGCGAGGCCCTGCTAAAAAAAAGGTCGGCACCTCATTCGAGCGCAATCAGACTCATGCAAGCTGTTGCCTTCAGCCCTTGCCCTCTGCTCAAAAAGCACGCATTCTCCACCGGTCGTTCCTTCCCTCTTCTTCTGACCGCTGCTTCTTTCCCCTCTTGTCTCTTCTCTCATCGCTTATTTCCCATCTCCCGATCCCCATTTTCCCCTTTTTTCCCACTTCTGCCTCATGCGCCGTCTTCACGTCGCTTCTCCTCCCTTGTTCCCCGACGCATCCGCTCTCTGCCCTGAACTACATGCAGCTAGATTCTGATCACTTCTCGGACCACGCAAGACAGCTCCTGTCACATCGCTCAGAGTAGCTCCTGGAACTGCACAAAATCATCCCAGACGATGCCGTTCATTATAATGGCCAATGCAATGCCTCGCTCTGCCAACGAAGCCCTATACTTGTGGGCGAAAATGCAATCCTGAAACGCCAATTGGTACATATCCAGTCTCCCGTCTGCTAGCCAAAGAGAGTCGTGCTCCCCGCAAGCAGCCCCTGACCTCCCCTGACATCTCGTGGCCACCCATGGCCGCCTTTGGCCAACCCTGGCCGCCCCTAATAGCCCCGAGTTCCAGTCCCATAGGTATCATTCGGTAAGTGCAGGCTGAGCCTTTCAAACTGGTCGAAACGAGAAGGAGAAAATATGAAGCCAGAAGAGGGAAACACGAAAAGGTATTACAACAGAAACAAGGAGAAGCAGAAGCGAAAACGCTCCAACACGGTCGCGTCGACGGGACTCCAACGCCTCATGTGTATTGTCCGTGCGCATACAACCGCTGCCGCTTCTCTGGCCGCTCGTCGTGGGTCATCGGGTCTGCCAGTCCGCGGAGTCCTGTGCTGCCGATTGCGGGCGACGGCCCTCCTGGATACGGCTGCCGTGGACCGATGTTGGGGACGGGACCACCGGTGCTGGGACCACCGCTGCCTCCGCCATTCACCGACGTCGGCATGTACCCGGCGCTGGCATCCATATTCGGAGACGTGTGCTGGATCTGCGCAGTGCTGGGAGAATGCCACGAGGCCGACGTGGCCGGCGACTGGATCGGTGTGGTCTCGAATTTGACACCTCCGCTCGCGCTTATTGCGCTCAGGCTCTGCTGTGCCTGCATCGCGTTCATCGGCCCCATGTTGCCGGGGTTGATATATCCCGGTGGTGGCCCGCTGCTGCTCAGCTGAGCCATGTCCTCGCCCGAGCTAGGCTGCGGCGGAATTTTCAGCAGATAGGGCAGGTGTTTCTTCAAAATCCGCACCATGCCCTCCTTGGTGAACGGCTTCGCCAGCACGTCGTTCATGCCTGCACGTCACGCACACGTCAGCATTATACCCGGACAGGATCAACATAGCGCAAGCGAACTCACCCCAGTGGAAATAGGTGGCAACATCTTCACTACGAATGTTGGACGTCATGGCCACGATGGGGATGCGCGGCGCAGCTATGCGGATGCAAGCTGTGGCCGACACGCCGTCGAACACGGGCATGATAATGTCCATGAAGATAAGATCGAACCGCTCCGGCTCTTGGTTGACCTTGGCCACTGCCTCGGATCCGTCTCTCTGTTGCGTCGCTCACGTCAGTCATCCACCCGGCGTCTCAAAGGAATAGTAGGACCAGACGTACGGCAATCTCGACGGTGCAGTCCACCTGCGATAGGAACTTGGCGCCAATTCGTGCGCACACCTTGTCGTCTTCGACCAGGAGGATCTTGGGCTTCTGGCTGCCCCACAGCGACCCGATTGTTTCTTTTGATGGCAGCGACGGCGAAATGACCATCTCCGGCCCTGCGTTGGGATTGCTGAGCGGCCGCGTGTACGGAATATTGTTGATGTGGTCAGCGTGGAACGGATCAATGCCAGCATTCTGACCGGCCGGGTACACCAGATGGCGCATGTCGTTGATGTCATTCATGCCGATAGACACGCTGCCAGCACCAGTGCCCGGAGCGCTGAAGATGACAGACGACGAGCCTGCCGACTCGGGTGGTGAGTTGCCGGCATTGGCCTGGAACATGGTGGTGAGCCGCTCGAGCTCGCGGTCGGCCACGGACTCCGTCGACACGTTGTTGAGGATCTCGCGCGCCCGACGCAGTTCAATCGCAGGCTCGTCGGCGCCGTCAGGAAGCATGCCGAGACCGGCACCCGTAGGATGATGGTACTGGCCGGAGGCATTGTGTCCTGGGTGGTTCGGATGGCCCGGTTGCCGTATGGTGCGGCGCCGCTGCTCGTCGATGTTGTTGAGGTGGGTGATCAGCTCCATGTGGACCTGGTGCTGTGCCCTGACCAGCTTCTTGATGCTGAACAGCTCGTCGACAAGTACCTTGTTCGTCTGGGCCATCTGTGTGTATCTCTCCTGTAGGGCCTGGACCTGGTGCTGCGTGGCTGTGAGGCTGTCATTAAGCAGGACGATCTGCTGTGTGGCCGGAAACGGCTCTTCGGCTACGGTGACTTTCCGCGCAGCTGGGGCTTTGCGCCGGATGTTGTCCAGGTTGTCCTTTTTGTGCTGGCGAAACTCGGGGTGCTTGAACTCCCAGGCCTGTTCGAGGGGCTGTTAGCACGGGGCAGAGGCCAGAGACATCGCAGCAAGGGAACGCACTCCATGGCCATACGTGGCCTGGCCGCCTTCGTCGTTGTGTCTGACTTTGTGGAAGTCGTACTTGTTCAGCTGCCGGACAAAGCTGGCAAAATTGCTGTGCTTGAAGTGTTTTGGTAATATGGTCTTTGTAAATTTCTCGTTCTAGCAGGCAGGAAGCCCGGCGAGTTAGGATGGCGACATGGTCTGTAAGAAGCAGAGTTGCATGGCCAGCACGTACCTCCAAGACGACAAAGCTGGCCCCATCGTTGCCCCATCTGACGACCGAGTTGTATGTGGGATCTTCCAGCATCCTAAATGGCGGGAGGGAGAGCGAAAAGCAGTCAGCAGGGTTGACCAATGGAAATGGCAGCACGGCACAGGTGCAGGAGCCAGCGCCATGGGCCGAAGCATCGGCGAAGCCATTGTTCAGGGTTGCAAGGTGGGGGGACAGGAGCGGTTGCATCGTACTTGTAGAGCTTGCGAACCTAGGTAGCATCAAAGGAGGATGTGTTAGCGACACGAAGAGGTCACAATGGGGAGCGCATGGCAGAAGAGGCAGAAGGCAACGAGGAATGGTCGCGTACAAAATCGCTAGAACTGTTCGCAGCGGCCTGCGCGGACAGGTCGCTGTCGGGTGGCGGCATGATGCTCACAAACCATAAACCGGCGGCAGCAGAGAGCTGTTGGGACGAGATGGGCGATGGACGATGGGCGAGACGGCGAGACGGCGAGACAGACGGCCGAGGACGCGAAGATGGGTAGACGCGGAGATGAGTGGCCGTGGAGTCGGTCGCGGAAATGGGTGGACACGAGACGACAGATGCTGAGAGCAAGTAACGTGCAGGCCGAGCACTGTGCAGGAGATGGAGGGGGGAGGGGGGGAGGAAGGAAGAATCGATCGAGGCAGGCTATATAGCCGAAAATGAGGCCAGAGATTGGGAGAGGAAGAAAGGATGATGTGGCGGCTATGTACAGGAGAAGAACGCGCGATAGGGCGGGAGAAAAGTCGATTCGTCGAGGATGGGGAAGAAGAGGTATCCGGTGGAGAAGAGAGGGCGAGAGAGGGAAGAGGAAAAGAGGAGAAGGCAGAAAGAGATGCAGGATGGGATTGGCGTCCAGTGATAGCGGCAGCTAAGGTTGGCGTCTTGTGGATTTTGATGCGGTGGTGGGATTTGGTGGTTGTGGTGGTGGTTCTTGGGGCCGGTGGAGAATCCCTGGCCGTCTCTCTTTTCTGTTTTCCTTTTCTTTTTTTTTTCTTTTTTTTTCGCCGAGTCTCTGGCTGTGCCCGTTCTGGCTGCTCGGGCCCGGGCATCCTACTCTATGTACAGGAGAAGAGCGGGAGAGAGCGAAAGTACGGTGCCATTCACATAGTACAAAACCCATCTTTCCTCTGCTTCCTTGCTTTTTTGTTTTTGTTTCTTTTTTGTTTCCTATTTCCGACCCTTCTATCTGGGAGGACGGCACGGTCTCGGGCACAGACCGGGCTGCTTCAGCTCTGCGTCTTTCTCCACGCTGCCAGCTCACGTCGAGAGAGTCAGCCTGATCGTGCGTACGATTTCAAGTGTGTGTGTGTGTGTGATTACGGTCTTTGTGTGATGTCGGGTGTCTGGGAAGAACAGGCCCCAGTGAGGCCCCAGTGAGGCCCCAGCGACCCAAAAAACCCGAGGCAAGCACGGTGAACTTTACTGGGCCCATCTCCACTATAAATCGAGGAACAGGAGGGCAGGGCAGGAGAGAAGAGCGAGAGCGCCGTATCTTGCGTCGTACTCCGTGAGATGGTGGTATCCGAGCTAGCAGCTGGGCCGTTGGAAAAAAACGCCTGTTGTTTTGTTTTCCCTTGTGTGTCATGCCAAAGGCGGCGCGGACGGAAAGAGCGAGTGCCCTTGGGCGACTGCCTGTACTTTGTAAAAGAATGCGTACGTCGTACACGTGAAGAAGACGGCGTATCTTGTCTCTTTTTTCCCCACCTTGTGCAGCCACGCCAGTGTGGCGTGCTAAGCCCAGAACGGACCTACGCCGCAAGCCACCGGGGAGAGCCCTCGGTGTTGGTGGCTGTCGGTTTCGAGGCACCACAGCAGCGCGCCATCTGCCCGCTTTCTGCCAGCTTTTTGCCAGCTTTCTGCTCTCTGGCTGCAGCTGCACTTGCAGCTGCACTGCGTTTACACTGCATCTACACTGCGTCTGCACTGCGTCTGCACTTGCCGTCAGCCAGGCTGCTCACAGACAGCAAACAGGCTAACTGCCTGTACAACATACGCAAAACGCCATTCGCTGCTGACTTTGCCGATCGCCTCGCTTAGCGCAGTCGCCGGTGGATCTGCCCGCCCTCAGGACGACTTCCAGGTTAAGCCGTTACGGGCCATCTGGACGCCTCCAGCAGGACAAAGAGGCAAACGAGGGCAGCAGCGGTGGAGACGGAGGGCCCTTGTCCATCCGACGGATAAAGAGGAAAGAGCGGCAGCTAGTCCCAACGAGTCCATCCGCACTGTCCGGTGGTGGCCCAAAGTACATACGCGTACAGGCTCTGTAGGCCGATACGATGCTCGTATAGGCGCAACCGGGAGGGATGCGTACTGCATAATACAGTATGTGCCGTGTAGATCTGACGACGAGAGGACAGAGCCAGACAGAAACGACGGGGGACAAAACCTGGCATGACCGATGCAGATCGGCCGCCCGTTGTCTCCATGCGGAACAGGCCTGCTCGCCAGCCGAGCGAAATTCGCAAACTTGGGCAGATTGGCGTACTCTGGATTTCGCAAGATACGAGAAGCCGCCCACACCGGCCATCCTCGCCGTTTCAGTCTCACCCTTCACACCCTCCTCGGCTGGGCCCCGTCCAGGACACAAAATAAGATATTACGATATCTTACGAAATAGAAGAAACGGTCGGTCCCAACCGTCTGGACGACGGTGCATTCGGGTCTGGCCCGTGTCGGCTTCTGGGGCAGTCTTCCGTCGTTGCTCTCACACTGGACTCTGGCATAATGGCCACGCTTCCAACTCTTCTCGCGAGCTGTCTCGTACGCGCACATTCGCATCGCCGTCTTCAACCTAGTTTCAGCCCATCGGACCGTTTCGTCAGCGTGGTATGATTGGCACCGCGACTAAGTCCTTTCAGGACAGGAACGGTGGACCGCAAAGAGAGACAATGCGATAAGACCGCCAGCGCAATTACTGCTATCCCATCATGCCGGAACGAAATGGCCCGCTGCCGCTGTCGCCGTGCCCGTTCCAATCGGATGCACGCACACGTAAATGATCGATGCGCGTCGGCCCAGCAGATTCTCGTCCCCATTCCCAGTCCTCTGGTTCCTTGAGAATGCCCCGTCAGAGGACATCGGCAAACGGCCGCATGTCGCTCACTTCGTCGCTCGTTGTCTGCACCCAAATCGCTTGGCAGCTTGTTCGCAAAGCCCTACGGCGAGAGAGCCTTGCGATGCAGGCCAGCAAGAGGAAGAATAACCTAAGAGGCCCGTCCTGACGCTGCCAAGCTCTCCCGAACAGGCAATCGCCCTCTGTCCTCCCGCTCTTTCCCCCCAACTGGACCGCTTTGCCGTGCCGTGACACCCCGCCCCAAAATGCTTGTCCCTCGACCAAATGGACCGCGGTCTAGACCGTCCGCTCTCTGTCTGGCCAACTGCCTTCGCAATGCTCTTTCCCCTGAAAAGGGTCAACGCCTTCTGGCCTCTTTTCCTCGTAAAGCCTTCTTGCTTCTCTGCTTCTTTTTTCCACAACCGCATGCGCACCCTTAGACACATGCTATGCAGCCAACTAGACCGCAAATGCATACCATCCGATCGAGCTACTGCATACGGTATCGTATCTTTCTCGTTGTTTGGTTGGACAGGCTTACGAGCAAAGCTACTGGCCTCTTTTGTGCACTTCCTCGACGATCTCCTCCCCCTTCCCGCTGCCCACCTTTTCCCTTCCAGGACAAACGGCCGCTGCAACCAACAGGAGGGAGTGGGGAAGACCAGTATTACGAGGTAGGACAGAAGAGACACGATTCTGACCATGCCGTCGGAGACGCCGACCCATTCGGCTGGTAAGACCACCTACTCGTAGCTCAGATACTCGCCATACGCAGGAACGGTGATTAAGCCACGTGCTAGCCGTCTTCTGGGTGCTAGACCGGTCTAAAGGCATCTGAAGGCCCTGCGGCCAATACCAGAGGAGGTGTTAGTGCAAATACAGGCCCACCAAGCTATAGGTTATTTTCTGGTCCCATTGGTAAACAGCTGCACGAGGCAGTGTGGGACGTTGTCGGGACAAAAGGAAAGACTCTGACATGGCGGTGGCCGCAAGCCACATAGCGCCCCATTCTTCACGTCGGTGACAGATATGCATGCTGTCTCGCATGTAAGATATCTTTCTTGTGCTTAGTGTCTTGTCGTGACGCCCCGATCTGCAATGCAGATGCAGCTGCCAAATCCAAAAGGTGTAACGTTTTCGCGCAGCCCTAAGTATTCACCATTAGGCGAAAGTTGGTGAACAGTGTGATGCAAGATGCATGATAGTGGTGATGAGTAATGGGCAAGGTATAGTGTCTCCTAGCAGGAAAGCTTGCCAACGCTCTTCCTCTTTAGACTCCCATGTCGGCGACATTGGGCATCCACGTGTTGCTCCGTCCTAGACGGCAATCTTCCAGGCTTACATCACCAAATGGACATCCAATAGAGAACAGAGAGCAAGTATGCTTACCTCTGATTCTTTTTATAGCTTCTCTCTCGTCTTTGTTTGTCCTTGCAGCCCATCCGGGCATTCTTGGCATTATGGCTTCCTGAGTGGTTGATAGACAGAAGTGTAAGAATCGCCGCCATCCATCCTCCCTGACATGGTCTTGTTACTGTTCTTCCTGCTACTGCGCCTGACTCTGACGGCAGACTTTGGTCATTGTTTCCCTCATGCATCGCCTGTGACATGTTAATATTAATCGTAGCATATCACAATTAACCATAAGAAACAGCCAAACATCGTACGAATGGCCCTGGCATGAAAACAGCTTTTCCGTCCCAAGAACCCTGGCAACGGCTCTGATCGTGCGTCTTGTATGCGAGCTACCTCGTGAACATGTGCATCGGCCAGGATGAGCAGCATTATGATCGCCAGCCTCGCCCACCACATCCTGGACATGCAGCCCGGCTTCGCGAAGCCGAGCATACCAAAAGCTAAGAACCGGGGCCCAAGCTCACCGCATTGCTCGCCGCCAAGCCACCGCTCCCGTATCTCAAGATAGAAACAGGTGCCGTACGGCTTGGAGGCTGGGGGGCTCCTTCTCATTTCGGCATGTTCTGACAGGCACACCGGATAGGAAGGAGCGACTGGACGTTGGCCGTGCTTGTCTGAAATCTTTTTGTTTTGTTTATTTTTATAAAAAACCCCATTAAAAAACATCCCCCAAAGGATAACCAACCTCAGTGATCTCACGACGATGAGGGCCTGCCAGACAGGCCGGACGGGCAATACGAGCACCACGTACACCTGTGCAGCAGCCATCGCTGTTCTGAAACAGAAGAGCACCAACCAGCCAGCAGATCGGCTTGGAGCCTTGCCTAATAAAGCCCTAGGCGGATCCGATCCTTGGACGAGTCGAGCGCAGTGGACCAAGGAGGCGCAGCTTCGGAACAGCCCCGCCGTCCTTTCTGTCCTCTGTCGTAAGATGCGGACGACGAGACTATGTACTCCATATTACTGATCAGTGACATCTGCTCTCCATACAGGGTATGATTCCCAGGTCTTCTGGAACCTAAACCCCCGGACTGCTACCCGACTGACTGTTTTGACCAGGGCCTTGCATCCTGGGCACTTAGGCTCAATTCTTGGTGCAATCCTTCGTGCGTCCAAATCGTGCTCTCCCCTCTTTCTCGCGTCCTTCCGCCCCGTCTCATCTTCTGGATGTCCTCCATTTGTTTCACGGCCAGGGTGGATCGGTCCATCTTCTCTTGTGTTTGCTCGGGCTCGGCTCTTGGCCGTGTACTCAAATTTAGAAGCAAGTTTTTCCTGTGCATGTTTGGTTCGATATAACACCCCTGCTTGCCGCCTCGTGCACGCCCAAAGCATCGCTGCCACGCCAAATCATGGACAGACAAAACGTCAGCCATTCCCGCCGTGCTGTCGGCTCCCGTGTCAGCAGCATCCCGAACCGGCCGCAGTTTTATGTCCATCTCGACTTCGGCCTGTCGCTGTCACCAGGACACATTCCCAACAGCCATACGGTCAGCTACCAGTCGCAGAGCCTTCGAGAGCGACTTGCCCACTTGCCGCACAAACCACCGCCAACCATGTCAGCCATGCCTACCATGCCAACCATGCCAGCGACAGCTGCGAGAGCCGTAGTGCCCGAGACACAAGCTCGACGGCCGGCAGCAACAGCCATACACGACGTCCCTCGGCCGTCGTTCAGCGACCACTACTACTACCAGTACCAACACAACCGCGGCCAGACCAGAAGGGATGCACGTTACGACCCTCCACAGCAGCCACAGCAGCCACAGGCCGTCTGGAAGCCGCTGCCTGAGGTGCCTGGTCGCTTTCGCCTGGGCGAGACGGAGCTGCCGTGGTCCACTGGGCCGGATGCCGATCCGGACGACGAGAGGCTACGGCCGTCTTCACGTGCCGAATCCGACGACGGCCACTCGATCCTGCATCCGTTCCGCAGCCGTTCACAGGAGCCCCCACCCGTCTCGGCCTCCTTTTCCAACATCCCGACAGTCCTGCCGCTCCAGTCGCACGTGGCCCTCGAGCTTGATCCCCGTCGGCGACAGGAACTTGAGTCGCTGTCGGCTGCCATGGTCACTGTCGACAACGGCTTCGAGAGCCAGTGGTGGAATCAGGGCGGCCGTGACAGGCTGCCCGTGGCCGATGTCGACGGCGTGCCCGAGCAGATGTCATCGGCGCCACGCGAGCGTACCGTCTCGCTCGGCTGGGCCGTGGCCTCATCGTCTGCTTCGGCTTCGGCCTCGGCAGCAGCGCCGACTCTGGGAATCACCCGCTCGGTCAGCGACAACGTCGTCTCGCCCTGGTCTGCCTCCGCGACCCTAGAAATCGGCCAGCCGAGCCGCCAGATGACCGTCTCGCCCATGACTGTGGCCAACGAGGACTTCCTTTTTGCCAACCCATCGCCGGAGCCGAGGAGTCGGTTGAGCCGCACCTTGTCGACGCGGTCAGAAGAGCTGTTCCCGACGAGATCGCGCTATGCATAGCTTTTGCTTTCTTTTTATCTCTTGCTTCTTTCTTCTTTCTTCTTTCTTCTTGCCTTGCCCTTGCTCTTGCTCTTGCTTGATTTCCTTTTGTATCAAAGGCGTTTGGGTTCACTGCATCATCCTCAACAGAACTGAGTGTCGAGACAGGCAGTCTGCTGCATCGCGTAGTCGTATTTCTGTGATCTGTAATATATACTGGAAAGAAGCCATGCTTGTTTGTCTTTCAAAACCAAAAACGCCCCCTTATCTTGTGCCTAGGAGGTATATCTGCCGAATCCAAATCTAATAACCATAGCCAAATGCCCAACTAAATCCAAGAGAGTCGTGTATGCGTTGAATGGAAAGGGAGAATAATAAAGACGTGTATCCGTGGTTGTGTGTGCATGTGCTAGAAGTCAGGCCGCCTCTCTCTCTTCCTCGATCGGCTCCATCTCCGACGCCAGCGCCAGCGACGGCCCAGTGCCTCCTGTTGCTGCCGGATCGCTGCTGCGGGGCGTAGAATGTCCGCCGTAGCCGCCAAGGCCTCCGTTGGCGTCCTGGCCACCGCCGCCAACCTGATAAGCCTCCGTGCTACCTGTTTTCTCCTGGGTAACTGCCGTTCCGCTACCGTTGGCGCCATGAGCCGTCTGATGGTGACGGGCCTGGCCATGACTGTGACCGTTCCCGTTGTTTCCGCTTCCGTTTCCATTTCCGCTTTCATCTCTGCTGCCGCCGCCGTCAATCGACTTCTTGCCGGAAGCATCGCCGCTCGTCCTGCCGGCCCCATTGTTTCTGCTACCAGCACCGACCCCTGATCCAGCTCCTCGTGCCGAGTTGCGCGGCGACACGCGGCCGACCTGCTTCGCCCATCGCAGCCCGCAGCTGTTGCACAGGTCACGCTGGCCGCTGGGTCCCCGTCGCCACTCCGGCGTGTTGCGCGTGTGGCAGTTGGCGCAGTCCCGCGGCACATTGCCAACGCCCTTGCGCCGCTTGCGCTTCTTCCGGTTGGCCAGCAGCTGACCCAGCTCCTCGGCCAGCACCCGGTTCGCCTTCTCCATCTGCCGCAGTTCATACTGCCAGCTGGTGCAGCGCGTCGTCTTGAGCTCGTCAAAGATGTTATCGTCGGCCGCCAGCGCCGCGTCCTGAGACCCCAGCTGCACCGCTCCGCCGCCTGCCGACGACAGAAAGCCGCCTGTCTGTGTGTCTGGGTCCGCCACCTGTCCGATCGCTCCCGCACGCCCGCCCAGCTCCTCGACGCTGCTCGCTGTCGTCGCTGTTGTCGTCGTTGTCGTCGTTGACGACGACGCCATCGACTCGCGATTGCGCGACGCCGGCTTGAGCAGTCGTGTTTGCGCCAGCACAAACGTCGGCTTCTGCCCCCGCTCTGCGTCTCCCGGGTACAGGATTGTCGACGCCTGCAGCACCTGCCCGCGTCGGTGCTGCACCTCGTGATGGCACGACGCCATGATGCCGCGCCGCACTTTTTCCAGCGACCGGTTAAAGCCCGAACGCGATTCTTTGCGCATCAGATCCTGCATGCTCGTGCCAATCAGCGAGTCCGGCTGCAGGTCCAGCAGCGACCGCATGTTTGGCGACGCGTGCAACACCATGCCCGACGTCGACAGCTTCATCCACAGCTCGCTATCTCCAATGCCCCCGTTGGCGTCCACGTCGCAGCGGTGCAACGCAAAGGCTGGCCGCTTGCGGCCCACCAGCACAATGCATTTACGCCCCTTGCCCTGCTCCACCAGCAGCGACCCGTGGCTCTCAAACCAGGTGTATCCGCTGCGTTTGCGCCGCACCCGGAACACGCAGTTGATCGACTGTCCAGCCTGCGTGTCGCGCATCTCGCGCGTCACCGGCACAATGTCTGACGGGTGGCAGATCGACGAGAGCGAGTTCCCTAGCAGGTCTGCTGCGTCGTATTCCAACACCGCCTTGCATGACGGTGACAGATACAGAAACACGCCCTTGAGCGACAGCACATGCACCACGTCATCCACGTTCTCCAGCAGCATCTTGTCCCACGACTGGCTGTGCAGGTTTGATGGCACCAGCCCGCTGCCCTCTCCGCCACCCAAGCCAACGCTGGCTCCGGCGTTGACGGCAGTGCCACCTATGCCAAAGCCGCCACTGGCGTTGAATTGCTGCAGCAGCGTCGATACATCGTCCTTTCCGAGCGTCCGCCCATTGTCGGCGCCCCATTCCCCAGCCGCCGTCGGCGGGTCCCAGATGTACTGCGGAATATTGCTGTGCGAATAGTCGATGCGCACCGAGTGTGTGGACTGGCCGGAGATCGCGTCGGGTGACTCCACAAGGTCGATCTGCAGCCCGATAAAGTATTTGTAGCCCCCCTTGTAGTCGTCCCACGGTATTGGAATCATCGTGAGGAGGTTCAAGAATGGTTTTCCGCCCTTGCGGTAGTTTATCAGGCTTTGCTGGACCTCTCGTCCGGATTCCAGCTTCTGCTTAAGGTTGTACACTGCCTTGTTATCTGTAAACTCGCGTCGCGACCCGGCCTCCACCTTGCCGTCCGGCGCCTGCAGGAACCGACAGTTCTGCCCGATAATTTCGTAGCTGCTGTATCCCGTCAGGTGCTGGAAGTTGTCAGACACGTAGATGATGGGGTAATCATTGAGCGTGGCATCGCACACCACAAAGGCACAGGAGAGGTCCACCGGCCCAATGTCGATTTCTGGGTTCGGTCGCGAAGATACGTAGTAGAGCGCGCGGATCATGTCGAATCCGCTGGTTGAGTAGTAATTCTTGACAGGCTTTTTGCTGAGCGCTGTAGGAGACGACGGGTTTGTAGAGCCAGCAAGGCTCAACGCGGTCGCGGAACTTGTGACAAGCCCCTGCGCGGGTAGTCCCGATGATCCGACAGCATTCGAAGGGGGCACTGCCGGTGCGACAAGGTCTATGGGGGCCTCTCCCGGAGCAGCGGCCGAAGCATGTTGCATTGACGACGCTCTCTGCTTCAAGGAGGGTAATGCTTCTGCTAATGACGTTGTGGGCTCAAGGGGTGAATAAGGAGTTGGAAGTGACGTGAGGCCGACATGGTGGTCTGATGTGGACATGGCGGTCAAGTGTGGAGGACCTGCAACTGCAGACGTTGGCGGATAAGATGACGTGGGGCCAAGACCGGTGGCATCCTGTTGCAGGAGCGATTGGGCGTGTAGAGAGATGGGCCTCTGCTGTCTTGGCTGCGATACCGACAGTGACAGCGCTCCCGGAGGCACAGCCGAATAAGGGTTGGGCAATTGGTGCTGCCCCGAAAGGGCATCTAGAGTGCTGGCCGCACCACCGCCTTGAATGGCCGCAGGGTTCTCCATGTCCATGCTGTCCAGGCTCTCTATTGTGGACATGAAGTTGGCCGCTGACAGGCTGTTTAAGCCGCTGCTCGCGGCTGCTGCCTGAGCAGCAGCGTTCGTTCTGGAGTCGACAGGAGAGTAAAAGTTTAACTGGGATCCGTCTAACTGTGCTGCCTGGTTGGGAATGGATATTTGGCTCAGATCCAGGCCCGAGTACGTCAGCATGTTGTGGAGCATGTCCGACGACAGATTGGAAAAGGGGTTCTGCGGATTGGTAAAGTCGGTAGGCGATATCGATGCTGAAGAGGAGTTATGCCGAAGAGATGTGGCCGGAAGCGCCTGCGTTGTCATGTTGGACATAACATAGCCGCTGTTGTTGGGATTGGGTGCCCCAAACGAATAGGGCCCAAAGACATTATCGTTATGCCCACTGTCATCGGGCGAGAAGCCCAGCATGGACATTTCCGCTTCAACACCAAGGTTGTGGACCGGCGTCGAGGACATGGCTAGTTGGGATGGGTATTGCGCCATGGTGTCGGCCAGACATTGTCTGTTTGCATTGAGTTGCGCATGGCCTCCTTGCATATCGAACACGGGACCAAGCGGTGATGCACCCATGGGGGAGTCATCTGCTGAGGTAGAGACAGGGACAGCGCCAGCCATAAATTGTTGTTGTTGCTGTTGTTGTTGCTGTTGCTGTTGCTGTTGCTGTTGCTGTTGCTGTTGCTGTTGTTGTTGTTGCTGCTGCTGATGTCGTCGTTGCTGCTGTTGCTGCTGCTGCTGCTGCTCTACCAGACGCATCTGGCCACCGTAATAGTTGTCCATCTTATGATATAGCCAGTTATTTAGCACTGTAGGCCAGGGTCAGTGTGTGTAGTGGCTTGGTCAGCTATTTGTAGACACGAGTGTATCAGACAGATTTGATCCAATGGTCTCTGGATGTATCGTCTCGTCTCTGGCGACCAGCGACAGGTATTTATGGGTAGCTTCTTGTCCAGGTGGACACATATGAAGTTAAGCAGTTCTGGCTTCCCAGCGCCGAGGTGCGGGCCGTCGTCTCAGAGGAGTTTTGGTGTGCAACACTTGCCGACGTCCTCGATTGGGTGAAGGTGCCGTTTCAATCTCGCCGGAGCGTTATTCGGAACAGAATAAGTGTAGGTAGCCGTTAGAAGCTGAGCCAGCGATATTCTCTTTGGCTGCTTTTCTGAATCTCGTGGCACGACGCGAGATAATACAAAGCCAGAGCTCCTTGTGGCTCCCGAGATCTGTCTCTTGCTTCCCTTTGTTTTTGTTTCCAGTCAGCGGCTTTACACAGAATAATCTGCGTCTACGGTCCGCTTATAGAGCCGGGAAAGAGAAGGGAAGCGGTTCTCGGTGCTCTCGGCTCTCTCGGTGCTCCCAGCGCTTCAAGTCCTGGCTTGTGTCCTAGTATGGACCAAGACGGATCCGATTAGACACTTAAGCCGACTAGTAGCTCTCTGTTAAAGAGGAGAAGGGGCGCAAAGACCACGACGTAGCAACACTGCACTACTTTGTCGAGTTAGACAGCCAAGACATCTCGCGGATAGAAGGAGGCCCCATAGGGACGACGAAAACAGGCGAGCAGGCAAGGATGGTAAAATAGCACAACGGCAATGAAAAAAGAGGCAAAAGCGACCTTGCGTGCAGCCGGAGTGCGTCTAATTGGGCTGCTCTGTAGTACCAGTGCTCTGGTCTCTGCTCGCACGAAAAGGGAGGAACTGCCTGCACGGGTGTGTTTGTGCGCGCCTCGTCCCGTCCAATTACGCGTGTGACGAAAGTTGGGGGGAGATGGGGCGAGGAAGAAGGTGGCGAACCACCAGAAGCAGAAGCATTGGGATAGAATGGGGAAGGAGACTTACGGCAGAGAGAGGAGAATGACTTGGTTGGGGCCGTCTTTTGAGTGTATGCAAGCGTGTGATGGTAGGAATGCTATACTGTGTCTGAGACAGTCGAGTTGCGGCCGCACTGCCTTTGCCCTGTGCGATTAGAGGATCGATTTGGGGAGGACGAGAGGCGGGAGCAGCGTCGGCCGTGGACGGGGACAGACGGGAGCGAGAAAGGATGCGGCTGCATGCAGGAGAGAGCCGGCAGGGCGAACTAGGAGAGCGGCCGCCGATGCGGCGCAACCCGGTTGAAAGAAGGGAAAAGAGGTCGTAGTAAAGGTTGGGGTGGAGATGGAGGTCGAGGTCGAGCTGCCGCTTGGGTCCGGATCGAGAGAGCAGGACGCATGACGAGGAGAGCGCGCCGACAAGTTCAGAGCGCAAGGACAGACGAAAAGCCGAGGAGCCGTTGCTGCTGAGAGAAGCTGACGTTTGGAGAGCAGCCGACGACGTTGACAAATGCTGTTGGCTGCTGCTAGCGTCGACGTCCGCAAGAGAGACCAGATGGACGTTCGCGCGCGCGCGCAAACAAAAGGAAAAAAAAAGTATCAGACCAGGCTGGCTGCACGGCCAAAGCCAGGGAACAATGAGGACACGGGGTCGAAGGGCGAGCGTCTTCTCAATCAGAGACCACAAAAGTGCGCAAGAGACAGGGAGGCTGGGTGGCCCAAGGGCAATTGTGTAAGGCTGGTGGCGAGAAAAAAAAGGACCCCCCCTCTCTCCTCTTGTCGAAAAATGCGGGATGAGGAGATAGCACTTGTAGTCAAACGGTGTGGAAAGAGCGACCAGGTTGGATGTGGAGCATCGGGGGTTTTGGCCTCTATAATCTCTTTCTCCTATGGGGACATACGAAGTTGCTATTGTACCGAGTACCGCCCCCCCCGTCTGTCCGCCTTCCAATTCGAGCGCAACGAGTCTGGCACACCTTCCCTCTCAAGACTGAGCATGAGGATCATTGTGGAAAGAGCGCCCGAGCAACATTTACACCCCAGGTTGAGCTTTTCGCAAGAAGCGCTCTCGCTAGGCAAGACTAAATGAGGGGTACAAAGTGTTCATTATTCATTATGCACTAATCCCGTAACACCAGAAAACCGGAGCCTCGTCCTTCACTGTCTACGGAATACTCCGCACATAGTACGAGTCCTGAGTAATGGCGCCAGCGGCTCTGGATGGGCTCGCATACGACGTACTGTGGAGCTCGAGTTCCCACCTGATCACTTTCTCTTGCTTCTCCTGTTTTCTCTCGTCTTCGCTTTCGCTCGTACATACTACACATTTCGTTGACCCCCCTGCCTTGCATTGTGTTCATGTCTCTTGCTAACCTGAATATTCATTCCCCGTGCTGTTCGGCCTCGTGGCCTGGAAATCTCGCCCCTGGCTTCTTCTACCGAGTCTCGCACGTCTTGGTTCGGCATCGCCTCCCCACTCCCTCAACCGCATAGCATGGCATAACATATCCTGATTATTAAGGGCACTCGAGGCTCATAGGCCTCGGCATACAGGCATTCCATCGCTAAGTCGCCCCCTGGTCACGCAACTCGCAACTCAAATCGTTACGCGAAGTAAGCGCTAATCGTCTGTTGCAACTCCTGCGGGAACTGCTGCAGCAGCGGCGTTGCGTTCAACCCAGACTCCTGCAACATCACCTTCGTTGCCGTCACCACGTTCGACGCGGTCTGCCCGCGCAGCACATCTGCACCCAGGCCCTGTGCGATAAACGTAAACACCTTGTCTGCTTGCGACATGACTGCCGGATGACGCCTGCTCAAAGCACATTAGTCTCTGCTCTGACTGCTCACAAAACTCCACGTCTGCCGGCTATACGTACTTGCTGATCAGCTCGGCCAGGTAGGCGTAGGCGTACGGTGCCGCCTCCTCGTCGTTGACCACGGGCAGCGTGCCCACCCACTCCGTGATCACGGCGTCGACGTTCTGCACGCTGCCAACGTTAAAGTGCAGAATCTTCGCAATGGCTGCGCACGCATTCTCCGTCGCGTATACGTTGTCTTCGTTCCGTGCATCTGGGATCAGGGTCGCCTGGAAGAGCAGTGGCACACAACCGCCGAGAAACTGCGACCATGCCTGTCCGCCCTGGCGTGCCACCATGCCGATGCCATATGCGGCCGCTTGCCGTATCGCAGGTGCTGGGTCCTTGCAGCCGTCGAGCAGCGGCTGCGTGATGTAATTGGCGTAGTGAATGCTGTTCGCGCCGCAGTACTCAAGCACGTCGTCCATAATACACAGGCCCCATTGCCGCTGGCTCGGGTCTTCCGCCTTGAGGAAGCTCTCGTATGCCGACATCAGGCGCTCCCACGCCGGCAGGAAGTCTGACCCGTGAAACTTAAACACCACGTGGAAGGCCTTGCTCATATCCGACAGCAGCGTCTGGTCGTCCTCCAACGCAATCAGCAGATCCTCGTCCTCGTCCTCGGCATCCTCTGTCGTCGTGTTCCGCTTCTCTTCCTCGCGCTGGGTCACGCGCTCCCGGTAGTCCTCCAGCGTCGACTCGACCGCCTCGATGAACTTGTTCATGTGTACTGGTGTTAAGCAGGGTCGCCCAAGCACCTCGACCGACTCGTAGAAGCACTGGTACATCTCCGATAGTGTGTCGATGGCCGGCTCTGCTGTGAGCACCTCCAGGAGTTTCTCCACTGTGATTCCCCACAGAGCCGTCATCTCGTTCGACTCCGAGCCGTATGCCTGCTTGTATGAGTTGAGCAGCTGGGGCACCAGCCGCGCCGATATGAAGCGCACGGGGTCGTGAAAAAAGAACGCCAGACCTGGCAGGGCGATGTCCTTCATGATCTGTCCCACATATGGCGCAAACGAGCCCTCGAGTACCTGCGCATACACAACGAGCAGCTCAATGGCCATGTGCTTGTCGTCCATGCTGCTAGTCTTGATGCCGATCATCTTGCCCTTGAGCGGCAACAGCTCCCAGCCGTCTTCCTGCTGAAGACGATCGGCCTGCTCCTCGTCGTCCAGCAGCTGGATGTCGGCCTTAGCTCCCGCCAGCTGCAGCAGTGGCGGCATGACGGTGGGGAGGAAGGGCATGAATTGCGTGCCCAGAACCCGTGACATGCGACCCCAAGAGTGCATGAGGTACTGCGCCTGTGGGTCGTCTGCGTCCGTGATGCTGTTCTGGATGTTGGCCAGGAGTTGAACCAGCTCCATCGCGTCGTTGCCGAGCCGCTCCTTGCCCACGGCAAGGGCAATCAGCGTTGCGCACTCCATGGCCTTGGCACGAAGCAGGCGGTAGTCCTTCTCCGTTTCCCGCCGGAGAACGCCGACCAGGAGCGGCATCAGTGTGTCGTAGTACTTGCTAAACGCCTGCTCTGCAGCATCGGCAATAGTGGCAATGGTCGAGAGGGCCTGCTCCTGAACATAACGCTTCTCATTCTGCAGCAGATTGAAGAGGTGGCTCAACAGATCATCGAGATACGGCTCCAGTACGCTCTTTTCAGCCTCCTCGCAGAAGTTGACCAGGGCAGCTGCAGCGTGTGATTTCACGCGGGCTTCTGGCGAGTCCAGTGCAGGGATGATAGCTTTGAGAATAATGTCGTAGTACTCGCGCTGCATCGTCGGTGCAAAATCGGTGCTCATCTGGCCGAGGGCGTTGCAGCCAGCCCAGCGGACACGTGGGTGCGAATCCTTCAAGGCCGGCACCACCAGGTTGAGCACCTGCTGCAGCTCGCCCAGCATCAGGTCACGACAACCTTCGGAGATGGCAGAAATGGCCATGAGGGCAGCGTGGCGGTCTCTCCAGGCAGAAGAGCTGATCATACGCGGAAGCCAGCTGAATGTGGGGGCGAGAATGACAGCACCGCCAAGTTTATTGGCCAGCCGATCCATGCACTGCTCGCCAGCCACGTGGTTCAGATCGCTCTCTTCTTGTTCGAGCTGCACAAACAGGTCAGCATTGACATGAGCACAGATTATAGAGCAACAATGGAAGTCTTACGTCGTCGGCGGAAAGCCACTCGGATGCGTCGTCGTCGTCTTCGCCAATGTCCGTCATGAGGCTTAGGCACTGTGTGATCATCTCGTTCGTGTACAGCTCGTCCTTCTTGCACATGGATGGAGCGTAGTCGGCAAACGTAGCCATCAGCTCGAGGGCATTTTGACGGCACAAGTCGGTCAGCTCCTTGTCTTGGATGACGGAGATGCTGAATTTAACAAGCACATTGAACACTGGACGAAACATCTTTGGTGATGTTCCGGCAAGATCGATCAACGCAACCAGAGCATTGCTGAGATCGTCTGAGTCGTGCGACTCTCTAATTGGTGGCAGGATATTAAGAACCTCCGGTAGGAGGCCGAAGAATTTCGGCTGGCTCTTCTTCTTCAGTCCACGAAAAAAGGCAGCAAACGCTTCCATGGCGGCGATGCGAACCTGCTCGGGGCGTCAGACACGTATTCATAGGGACAGGGTGTTGGATGTGTAACCGCGTACAGTGACAGAGTCATCCTTGAAGCCACGGGAAAAGGCCTGGGCCACCGCATCCTCGTGAGTCTTCTCGATAATGCCAGGGGTGGTCGTGAAGACGCGGAAGGCAATCTCTCGCTTCCCGGCATCGGGGGCCATGCTCAGCTGGAAGAGCACCTGCAGCAGTTCGGTCCAGGATTGGTCTGTACAGCGTCATGCCAATGGGTCAGCATGGGATGGGACGCGCGCACAATCGGGAAGAAAGGATCGAGCTCGACGAACCGTTATCAGTGTACTGTCTGGCGATCTCGGCAATGGCATCGCTGATCTTGTTCCTAACACCGCGATCTTCCTCGACAGTCAAAACCTCCAGAAGCTTCTGGCGAATGGCCTGGGCTTGTTCTGCAGGCAGCGAGATGAAGATCTCGACAAGGTCGCCCTGTTCATTTTTGCGTGTTTTGGAAGCAATTCTTCGGAAAATGACGGCTGCAAATGAGCGAACCTGCAAGAGGCAGTCAGAACCAGCCCGAGGAAAACACGAAACAAGGAGCCTGGCTCCCTCGGTGGAGATCCAGTAACGGCCCACAGACAACACAGGAGACCAAGGACACAGGATATCAGGCAAATACACACAGTTGTTGTTGCGTGGCTGCCAATCTGCTCAGCGAGGCCCATTAGAAGCACCTCGGGTTGGCGAGTGGTCCAGTTACTATGGAGGTGTTCTTCGGCCTGAGACCGGATACTGTTTTCGGAAGATTGCAGTGCCTGCAGAAGCTGGGACAGCTCAGCAGTCACTTCTTGCGGTAGCATCGACATCTTTGCGTGAAAGGGAACAGTTCCAATTCCAGTGGTGGGGAGTAGGGTGGCACAACAAGAGGTCAGATATTAAGTTGCCCGGCAGCCTAGAGCTGTGGCTCGTCGCAGGGAGACGCGGACCCAGGCAGAAGGGCCGACTGAGAGGTGGTCTTTGGGAGGGGTGCGTCTGTGTCCTTTCGAATGAGTGCGATGCGATCGATCAGAGGCGGGGAGTCTGCGCTGTCTGCAGAGAAGAGGGAGAGTGAAGGAGGAAAATAGAGAAAGGGAGCAGGAAAAAAATATTGGACTCAAAAAGTAGCGTGGAGAGCGGGGCAGCACAGCAACCTCGATACGCTCAAAAAAAAGTTGAGCCCAAAAATAAAAAATAAAGATAAACACAGTGGCACATTCTGTGTGGCCAAGACGACTACTGAGACAAACACGATTCTCTCGACACAGGACTGTTGCGGAGACAGGGGGAGCGAGACGCAAATAACGATCGTTTGACAGGATTGCCGTCGGGAAGGGCCCCAGGCGCGGGGTGGCTTTGTTTCCAGATTGCAGTCTGGCAGTCTGAGCGCGTTGAGGGGCAGATGGCTGCGGTATACGGGCATTAATCTGTTGTCCTTCCGACTATCTCGTTTAGATGCATTTTTCACTCGTACGAAGCAGTGGCACACTGTAAAATCGCACGAATTCGTGTTACCATACGAGTGCGTAGTGCCCAGCACCAGTTTGTATCGTGTATGCAATACACCCTGTCCTACTGTACTCGTATTGCCCGCCTGTTCATAGTAAGATATATCGGGCACCATTCATGGTGGACGACTAGATTCGGCCGGAACCTCCAAGCCCCGTAATATCAGCTTGAAACGGGGCGTGACTGGCTGGTGGGGTGTTTCCATGCGCCCTGAGAAAGGCGCCCAAGCAGAAGCGACCAGCTGACATGGCGGCGATTTTAGCCAATGATCTCACGTGTTCCTGCCCCGCGTCTCCGTTGGTAGGAACTATTCTTGAGAGTGGCATTGCATTTCGTCACGATATTCTCCATTTCATCTGCTGTCAAGCTGTCAAACAACTCTTGCTAGAACTTCCTGGCCTCTGTCACCCTCCTAGTTGCCTCCCACAACTCGCGGGTGCCTGCTACAGCCCGCAACGGACCACCACAGCCTACCACCCCGGCCCTTCCTCTAGCCTACTTAAGTTGTGGATAATAGTTGAAAGTTTACCGGCTCGTGCAGACTGATCGTCCTCTTTTTGTCGGCCATCATTAACGGCTCCACATCAGAGATACGATCCCGGCTAAACAGAAACGCGGAATCACGACATTTACAGAGAAATGATTTCCCCGGCACCGGCGTCAGTTGGCCAAGAGACCAACAACGGGGCCACTCCAGGCACAACCCCCAGCCATCCGTCGAACATGAACGTTGATGGCACTACGAATGCCTTGTCTGTCAACACTGGCTCCGGACAGCTCCCAGAGCGCTCACCTTCACGGTCTAGTGTTCGTGCCAATGCATCCCATCGCCAGAGCTTTGTGGAAAACCTGCGAAACCCACCTCCATCTCCCCGCTCTCTCCGCCACCTTTCCTTCACACATCAAGCGGTCCAGGACCTGGTCAACCACCCACCACCACAGCGTATGGCCAATCCGCGCTTTGCCGGCCGTGACTGGCAGGACGTCTCGCTGGGTGAGCTGATCTCCGACCACGAGGTGAAATGGGCCGAGCTTGACACTACTGTCGAGGATTGCACAAAGGTAAGAAAGGCTGTCGAAACATAGGCGGGAATAGAGAGCTGAAATATATGGGGTTTTAGATTCTCCTGAGAAATAATCCGACCGGCACAGTCTTACTTCGCAACCATCCCTCCGATAAGACAGCCGTGGCCACGTTCGACCACAGAGATCTCAATGCCTACCTGCTCGTCGTCATCGGCCGGGCCAAACCAGAGCCAACAGAGGTCGAGGTGTACAGAAGCGTTGCCGAACGTGCATATGGCCGCGTCGGCATCCCCGTCCGCGACATACAGCCTATCTGCCACAAAGACCCCATCACAACTTTGCTTCTGACACAGAATCTTGCCGCAGCGATTGAGCTCTTTGGGAGCGGGGTGCGTCGTATTCTCGTCACTGACCCGACATCATCCGAAGCCGTCGGTATCCTCAGCCCGCTTCGCCTGTTGGAGTTCTTCTGGATTGAGAGCGTCAATTTTCCCTCAATCGATCGACTGTACCCAATGATACTGCGTGACCTGCGCATCGGCTCACAGGATATAATTTCCATCAAGTAGGCCTCCAATTCTTCCCATCATGCAGCTGCAGCTGCAGCAACTCCGTAATCTAACTAAATAATACAGTGCCGATCGTCCTCTTGCGGATGCCCTCACGCTGATGAACGACGAAGGCCTGACATCGGTGGCGGTAGTCGACAACGGACAGAACGTCGTGGGCAACATCTCCACGACTGATATCGAGCATCTGACCTCTGTGGCTAGTTTTCCGCTCCTGCACTCGTCTTGCATGCATTTTATTTCAGTCATCTTGTCAGAGCGCGGCGTCGAAGAGGGCCAAGACTCGTTCCCCGTCTTTTCCGTTAACCCGCACACGACCCTTGCCCACACGGTAGCCAAGTTGGTGGCGACGCGGTCGCATCGCATGTGGATTGTCGACGTGCCCTCGCCATCAGCTTCAGCACCACAGACCCCGCTTCTGACACCCGTGACCACTGGCCCTGTTTCCGGCTCCAGCTTCATCTCCCCGCCGTCCCATCAAAGGAGCAGTAGCAACGCTTCGGCGTCTGCAGCTGCGGCTAGTGCAGCTATTGGCTGCAGTGCCAGCCATAGCGATGGCATATTGATCAGCATGACGAACAGCACGAGGACCTCCGGCTCGGCTCGCGAACCTTCGAATTTTGTGCCCGATCTAAGCGCTACGGGCTCAAGCAACGGCGCACATGTGTATGGATCTGTGCCGGCTGCTGCAATGCCTGGTGCCCACCTCTCTGGTCGGCTGGCGGGAGTCGTGTCGCTCACCGATATCCTCAATCTGTTCGCCAAGACGTCGGGTCTCCGACCGGGGGACCTCTCTGATATCCGAGCACGGCGACGGCGCAGCAGTAGTACGTCCTAACCAACCAAAGTCCGATTTTTCTCTGTTCACCAGATTTGGGTCTAACCACTTTGATGTTCAGGTAGCTCTGTGCGGCCCAGCTTCGACGGGTCTAGAACGAGCTTAGATATTCGTCGGTGAGGCTCATACATGGGACGGGAAAATATGAGTTGAGATATGGGCGCAAATCGGTTCGAGAGGGAATATTATCGTTTTTGACAGTCACCAAAACAAAGGGTTGGGTCTCTGTATGTCTTTGCAATTGTTTATGGTTGTTCACAATAGGAGTAAGGGCGAGAAGGAAACGGCAATACGGATTACGCCCGTTTGCAGCACGCAGTCGAGGGCTGCCAGTACTGGCCTGCATTCGATTTTAAATATGTACTTGTAGCTATTATGATAGTCCCAAAGTATCTTCTCTGCAGATGAGTGCCCTACTATTTGGTCAGTGCTTCCTCAGTTCTCGACATGAAGAGCCGTGGAGCCAAGCTGTATCTTGCAGGGTGCACGGTTCGCGGTTCGCCGAGGTTGAGGGTAATTGGCGGCGCGTAGACAAGCCGTGAGCAGACGGCCAGAGTCCCACGCAAGCCAGCCATACCGGGCCCTCCCTCGGAGCAAGGCTGTGTCCAAGATTCGACGGCGTGGATACTGTCGGTGCTTTGTTGTCCTTCGCCGAGTTGCCGCGGCTCGAGACCATGTATCCAAGACGTCCCGTCTCATGCCATGGCAATGTCACCGGTCTGAGATGCCTGGCCAATTAATTGCCGGCTTGCAGCTGCGTCGACCGTGGACTCGCCGTTGTCCGTCCGCAGGCCAATGGCCGCCTCAGCCTCCTTCTGGGTATACGGCACCTCGGTCAGCTGCTTGACCCGGCGCCTGTGCGGCTTGCCGCGGCGGTGGCACACGAGAGCATCAGCCGACTCATACCACTTCGCACAGGAGATGCAGTAGTGGCGACCGAGACCGGGCAGATCCTCGGCAGCCTTGGAGGATGTGTGGCGGGCGAGATGGGCGGGAGAGGCGAGATCGGCCTTGATCTGGTCGACGTCCCTGCAATACGGTGTTAGTGGGCCGTCTTTTCATGCCATACGGAAGTATCTGCAGTATAAAAAGCCATCTTACCGAGTCTTGCGCCGAGTCTTGGTCAGCGTGCGCTTGTTAACGACACCCATGATGTCTGTATCGTCGACGTCGTGAGGTTTGATGTGGGTCAAATTTTTTTTCGTCTCGATACTTTTTTTCTGCCCGAATTCTACTTAGCCCCTCTCCTTATCCTTATCGACCAGTCGGGCCACAGCTAAAAAGCATGACCTGGTAGCACAGTGCGAATTTACATAATCACGTGATTTCCGGACAGGCGAGTGTCACATGAAGCATTTCCACAGAGCCAGCCACCCAACGGTTTTACGAGAAGGATGATGGCGGCGATAGTCCCATGCCATGCTACGAAATACAGGCATCAAGTATCGGCCATACCGCTGACAGGGCGAGGAATACGGGCTGACCCCGTCGGCCGATCGGATTCTGGCTGGACGGCCGGTTCGTATTTACTCGGAAGAAAGAGCGGCTACCGAGCTGTCCCGCCAGACGCACGGCACTAAGAGCCCCAGGACCCACACTGAAGGTCTGCAGACCAAACAAATCGGGCGGAAATGGGAACTGGAGCAATGGAGTGGAGGCGAAACCCCATCGGCCTGTTCCCCACAGGCGAAAATATCCCAGCCGAACACAGCCAGACTGGGCCGGAAGGCGCACGCCGTTTCGTCTTTTCGCCCATGCTTTACCTTTAGACTGCGTGCAATTTACTCTGGTCTAGAGGGCCACAGTCTCATCAATTGCCGCGGTAATTAAGGGCATGTGCTCTAACAATTGAGGTTTTGGGTGAGGGATTTTGCCGGCTACAGCTAATGCCTCTGAGCTGATAGAGAAGTCAATGCGCCTAGCGAATGGCGGTGGCTGCTTTCTCATTCCGCCCAGCCAATTTGTTGCTGTGGTGCTTTCCGTTTTCTGCTTTTGTGCGTTCGTGCCTTGTGCTCCAGCAGCTGCCGGCGTCCATACCCCGCTGTAGCTTCTCCAAACAGGCCTGTTGTACCCCAATGCGGGCATTGGGCGTGTCTGTCGTGACTTTGAAGCTGTTGCAGCTCGTCCTGTCGCGGCCATCAATTGCCCTGCAAACACTCTGTAGAATGAATAAAATTAAAAGCTCCTTATTCGCTCGAAGGGAGGACACTGAGCTCTGCTTTACCCGTTCCCACTGTCCTCGCAACCTGGTATGGCACTTTTTCGGCCCACCCCTCACAAATAGGTGCCACCCCTTACCCCCGTAACAATAATCCGAAGCTGCTGATTCGCCCGCTCGGCCGCCTTGTCGCTTTGTCGTCATAGCCGAGGAGACAGCGGGCGGCCCCAGGCCTTTCTTCGCGGCCGGTTTTCTTCAAAAGTCTGCAAGCCAGGCCAGGAAGAGCTGTTTACCAGTGCCTCTAGCTTAGATTTTTCACACCCCCCCCCCCTCTCCACGCCGTCAATCCCGCACTGTTTGCCCTCCCTTGTTTTTCTCTTCATAACGCCCATAATTCCACACTTTTCTTCCTTCTTCCTCTTTTTCTTCCCTCTCTCCCCTTCGATTTCCTCGCCCTCCATCTTCTCATCCTCTTCTCCTATCCCTCCCTCCATTGAGTCTCGATCGAGGTAGAGACATCTTTTACACAATGCTGGCTTCACGCCAAGTTCTGGCCGGTGCCATCCGGAGCCGGACAGCAATGTCCGGCCTGGGCATGCGCCGCACCATGGCCTCCGTCTCCAACGGCCCGCTGGACCGCAAGGTGAGTTTGGCAACTTGAGCGACCGGCCAATGCGCAACGGCTTGCGTCTGGCTATTCGTCGTGAGGTCGATTAGCACACCTGCTAACGGCCGGCCCATTGGCCACGTGAACGTACAGGTCAGGCAAAACATCTGGGAGGAGAACAACTTCATCAACTACAAGAAGATGTCCGAGAACCTCGACATTGTGCGCGCGCGGTTGAACCGCCCCCTCGCGTACGCCGAGAAGATCCTGTACTCTCACTTGGACGACCCGCACGGCCAGGACATTGAGCGCGGTGTCTCGTACCTGAAGCTGCGCCCCGACCGTGTTGCCTGCCAGGACGCCACTGCTCAGATGGCTATCCTGCAGTTCATGTCCGCCGGCATGCCATCTGTTGCCAACCCGACCACCGTCCACTGTGATCATCTTATCGAGGCTCAGATCGGCGGCGAGAAGGATCTGGCCCGCGCCATCAGCATCAACAAGGAGGTCTACGACTTCCTGTCCAGTGCCTGCGCCAAGTACAACATTGGCTTCTGGCGTCCCGGCTCTGGTATCATTCACCAGATCATCCTCGAGAACTACGCCTTCCCCGGTGGTCTGCTTATCGGCACTGACTCGCACACCCCCAACGCTGGTGGTCTCGGTATGGCCACCATCGGTGTCGGTGGTGCTGATGCCGTCGACGTCATGGCCAACCTGCCGTGGGAGCTTAAGGCCCCCAAGGTCATTGGTGTGAAGCTGACTGGCCAGCTGTCTGGCTGGACTGCGCCCAAAGGTGAGGTCCTTCCTGACCCATATGAGATTGTGGATCCCTCGATTGCTTAACCCCAATTATTGTGGGGCATCGGCCCTTGTCCAATATCATATGCTTCGAACCGACGAGCATCGCAAAACTGACGTTGTTCTACGCAGACATTATCCTGAAGCTTGCAGGCATCCTCACTGTGAAGGGAGGTACCGGCGCAATCGTTGAATACTTCGGTAAGTTTGACTTTCTATCCTCGAAATCACTCTGGTTTTCTTTTGATTTTCTTGATTTTTGCCTCGCTGTGTTATGCGGAAACGTTCGCTTTGCTGCATATCGGATCTTGACAGCTCCTACTTTGGGAGAGCGCTTGAGACTGGTCTAACACGCGTGATCATTATGTAGGAGACGGTGTTGACAGCATTTCTGCTACTGGTATGGCGACGATCTGCAACATGGGTGCTGAGATTGGTGCCACGACCTCCCTGTTCCCGTTCAACGACCGCATGTACGACTACCTTTCCGCTACCAAGCGTAAGGACATTGGTGACTTCGCCCGTGTGTACGCCAAGGAACTGCGCAAGGACGAGGGTGCCGAGTATGACCAGTTCATCGAGATCAACCTGTCTGAGCTGGAGCCGCACATCAACGGTCCCTTCACGCCCGATTTGGCCACGCCGATCTCGAAGCTGGCTGAGACGGCCAAGGCGAACAACTGGCCTGAGGAGGTCAAGGTCGGTCTTATCGGCTCATGCACCAACTCGTCGTACGAGGATATGACCCGTGCTGCTGCCATCGCTCGCGATGCTCTGGACCACGGCGTGAAGCCGAAGGCTCTGTTCACGGTCACGCCCGGCTCTGAGCAGATCCGCGCCACCATTGCCCGTGACGGACAGCTGCAGACGTTTGAGGAGTTTGGCGGCCTTGTGCTCGCCAACGCGTGCGGTCCCTGCATCGGTCAGTGGGATCGCCAGGACGTGAAGAAGGGTGAAGCCAACACGATCGTGTCGTCGTACAACCGGAACTTCACCGGTCGCAACGACGGCAACCCTGCCACTCACGCATTCGTGACGTCACCCGACCTGGTTGTGGCGCTGACGATTGCCGGCACGCTCAACTTCAACCCCCTGACGGACAAGCTCAAGGACAAGGACGGCAAGGAGTTCCTGCTGAAGCCGCCACCGCAGACGGACGGTCTTCCGGAGAAGGGCTACGACCCGGGCTTGGACACGTACCAGGCACCGCCTTCGGACCGCTCGCAGGTGTCGGTCAACGTGGCCCCCACGTCGGACCGTCTGCAGCTCCTGACTCCCTTCAGCGCATGGGACGGCAAGGACGCGCTCGACTGCCCAATCCTGATCAAGACCAAGGGCAAGACGACGACGGACCACATCTCCATGGCCGGCCCGTGGTTGAAGTACCGTGGCCATCTGGACAACATCTCCAACAACATGCTGATCGGCGCCATCAGCGAGGCCAACGACTCTGCCAACTCGGTCAAGAACGTGTTCACCGGCGAGTTTGACGCCGTCCCGGCCACGGCCCGTGACTACAAGGCTCGGGGCATCCAGTGGGTTGTTATTGGTGACTGGAACTACGGCGAGGGCTCGTCGCGTGAGCACGCCGCCCTGGAGCCGCGTCACCTTGGCGGTCTGGCCATTGTGACCCGCAGCTTCGCCCGTATCCACGAGACGAACTTGAAGAAGCAGGGCATGCTGCCGCTGACCTTTATCGACCCGGAGGACTACAACAAGGTCAAGTCTGAGGACAAGGTACGTCGATTTTTGATGCACATGTATGTGGAGAATGGCTGCTAACGATAATGTCCAGGTTGACATTCTGGCGACTGAGCTGGCCGTCGGCAAGCCCATCACTATGCGGGTGCACCGCCCCAACGGCGAGGTGGAGGACATCAAGCTGGCACACACGTTCAACGCCGGCCAGATTGAGTGGTTCAAGAACGGCAGCGCTCTGAACACGATGGCCAAGGCCCACAAGCAGTAAATGGCATTGTGCTGAGGATACCAAGAATATAACGAGCCTGTTTTTGAAACTTACTTGCGTTGCGGCATAATCACGGTGAAGGCCGAACGGAATATTCAAATCACGTCGTCTGCCTCGTGTATCGGTGGGAGGTTGATGATCTTCTGAGAAAATTCGGGACTTGGGAGGTGAAATGGGGCGTTACGCTTTCCGGTATTTCCAGAATCCTTGTCCTGGACGCACGCTGGGGGCTATCTGTACGGAGTACTCTTTATTCTATTTAGTTGCAAATCGAGAATCCAACCTATGTACTCCGAAGAAGCGGATTCGGGCTGTAGGAAAAGACCGCCAATCCACGTGACTTGATAGTCACATGCTTGATAAGCATATATGCGAACGTGAAGGCCTGGGCGATTACGGCTTAAACGGGGAGCACGAGACGATTCGCGACGACTTTGTTTCCTCAACACGATTTCCTGCCTTGCAATTTTTTTTTTGCACAGTCGTCTCAACCAGGGCCACGCGGAATTTCGGACTGTTTCTTTGTCGAATCCACGCTGCCACTGGTGTGGAAGATGGCGAAGTGCTCCTAGACGATAAAGCTTGTTTTCTGCTGCCGGACCCTGCTCCATTGCCTCTCTCCTTTTTGCGCTGTCCCATTGCTGGTGGCCATCAAGCTCCGCCAAGCGTGCTACCGAAGCCGGACGACCCGACAGGAGTCGACAATTGGGACCACGATCGACGGGGCCATTTTTATTATAACCCTTTTCAACGGTTGCGATGCCGTCACCATCACCACAGCCACGACGGGCAGGTGTGGACGGGTTTTGGACGCCGCGCCACGGGGCGTCTGGCGGGAGCTTCAGCGCGTACCGGTCGTCGACGCGATCGTACCTCGGACGGCTGCCGCTGTTCACGCGGGCGATCGTGGCGCTGATTGTGGTCGTGTACCTAGCGGGCCTGCAGACGGTCTGGGATGTGCGCAGTTGGGGCGCGCTGATTCCCGACAAGACCGGCATCACGACCCGTATGTGGTGTATCTTCTGGGCGACGGAGAGGAAGTGACTGACATTTTTTGCGTTGTTTCGCTTCTCACAGTCTACCGTACCAACACGTTCCCCTTTGTGCACCTGGGGTTTTTCCATATGCTGTTCAACGTGGTGGCGCTGACGCCACTGCTGGAGCGGTTTGAGGGCGAGCATGGCACGCTGACGTCGGTGGCGCTCTTCTTTGGCCGTACGATGCCCCCCCTGTCCGGATTGGCGATGAGGATGAATGGTCGATGCTAACGATTGTGTTGTGCGCAGCCCTGTCTACGCTGCCGGCGGTTCTGTACGTCATCATTGAGCGGGTGCTGCACCTGAACACGACAATTATGGGGTCGAGGTATGTTGTTCCGGCGTGTTTCCTCGTATTTTGTTTTTGTCGCTGTTCCTGTCGCTGACACGCGCAGCATCTGGGTGTTTTTGCTTCTCGGCGTTGAGGCGGTGCGCATGTGCCGGACGCACCCGTCGTTTGCGGTGGGCACGGTGCACGTGCCGACGTGGACGACGCCGCTGGCACTCGTGTTCGTCACGTCAGCGCTGGTGCCGCACGCCAGCCTGCTGGGCCACCTCTGCGGGCTCGCGGTCGGCTACCTCTGCGGGCTGGGCTACCTCAAGTTCCTGGCGCCGCCCGAGTCGGTGCTGCGCTGGATCGAGGGCCGGCTCAATCTGCTAGGCCGGCTGCCGCGCTACGTCAGCGTCGACCAGAAGACGTACGGCCGATTCGGCGTGCTGCCGACGACGTCGTCGGGGCCAAGCGGCGCAGGGCCGGCGATTGGGCTTGTTGGGTCGACGCAACGACTCGGTCCTTAGGCGAGGGAGAACATCCACACGATGACACACATACACACATACGCATACGACAATAGATAACAGCGAATTTAATACGCAGAAAAGAAGGGAGGGTGGGATTGCAAGTTCTGTCGCAGACACGGCTTTGTATATCGTACGGAGTACATAGTAGAGGAATATAGCATCCGGGCGTTTGTGCTTAGTAATCAACGAATAAACGGGAGTTGCAACGTGTGCCTCGTTATATGCATACGTGAGTCGAATGCGCTAAGGTGAGAGCTAATTGGGAGCAATTGCGAATTGGCGAGCATCTTTCTGCAAGGTCAAGAAGCGGTCGTTCAGCTGTCGTTACGATGCCGCATTTGTTATGTGAGTGTGTTTGGTGTAGCGGGATCTGGGCCTGGGTGGGTGACAGGGTCGAGAGGGCATCCTGCTAACGAGACAGCCGTTCTGGCGCAGGTGCGAGGCGACGGGCGGATGCTCAAGGTGCCGCCGTACCTTGCGCTGCTGTGTGTAGTGGTGGGGGTGGTTTCGCTGCTGGTGCTGCCGCTAGATGGACAATCGCGACGGACGTACATCTCGGAGAACGCGCTGCTGCCGGGCCAGGTGCACACGTATTTTGGGGGGAGCGACCAGCACGTGCTGCGAGCGTATCAAGCAGAGGTAGAGGGGCTGGTGCAGGCGAACGGGACGAACGCGGAGGTGAACTCGCGGCTGGAGGGGCTGCTGGGGGGGATGGGGCTGCGGACGGGGCGTCAGGGGTACAGGTACGGGGGAAACGGGATGCCGGGGACATCGGCCACGGGCGAGAACCTGTACGCGATCCTGGAGGCGCCACGAGGCGACGCGACGGAGGCGCTGGTGCTGGTGGCAGCATGGCGGAGTGCCGAGGGCGAGGCGAACGTGCAGGGCGTGGCGCTGGCGTTGGCGCTGGCACGGTACTTCCGGCGATGGTCGCTCTGGAGCAAGGACCTGATCTTTCTGTTTCCGCCCGACAGCCTGGCAGGCCCGCAAGCGTGGGTGGACGCGTATCACGACGCGCACGACGGACGGCAGGTGAGCGCGCTGCCGCGCAAGTCGGGCGCGCTGCAGGGGGCCGTGGCGCTGGACTACACGCGGGCGGGCATGAACGGCGGGCAGGATCTGCCGGCCGGTCCGGATGGCCGGCCGGCCAGCCGCTACAGCGACACGCGGTTTTCGGCCGTGCACGTGGTCTACGACGGGGTCAACGGCCAGCTGCCCAACCTCGACCTCATCAATACGGTCGTCGCCATCGCCGGCGGCCAGATGGGCACGGCCGTGTCGCTGCAGCACGTCTGGCACCACGCCGACAGTCCGGCCGACCGGCTGCGCACAATGCTCCGTGGAATGCTGCGGCAGGGCGTCGGGGCTGCCACCGGACCGCACAGCGCGTTCATGGCCTACCACGTCGACGCCGTCACGCTGCAGCCGTACGTGGCGACGGTGCGCACTCCCGCCGGCGACATCCTCGTCGATGGCTGGCTTCAGGACGCCATGGCCATGGGCCGCATCCTCGAGGCCACCTTTCGCAGCCTCAACAACCTGCTCGAACACCTCCACCAGAGCTTCTTCTTCTATCTGCTGCTCGGCCGGGAACGCTTTGTCAGCATCGGTACCTACCTGCCCAGTGCCATGCTCGTGGCCGCCAACTTTACCATCATGGCCATCGGGTTGTGGCTCAAGAGTGGCCGGGAGGCCGGGGAGGAAAAGCTGCAAAAAGGCGACGACCGGGACCTCAAACACAACGACCACCAGCTCGAAACCCCGCCGGCTGAACGCGATCTCTACCTTCCCCTCGGCTTCGTCGCCGTCTGCCAGTCCCTCGGCATCGTCCCGCTCTACGTCTTCAACCATCTGCCGACCTGGGTGAGTTTCTCTGTCCACACAATCACTTCGTGCCCCTAACCTCCTACCTAGCTCCTCACCCCCGGCTTCGTCGCCTTCGCCATCGCAAATGCCCTGCTGCCACACGTCGTCGCCCGCGTCCTCAACGCTTCCTACCGGCCCTCCACCCAGCAGTTCCGCCTCATCAAGTCCTTCTCGTTGCTGCTGCTCGGCATGTTCCTCTCCTCGCTCGCCACCCTCAACTTTTCGCTCGCCTTCCTCGTCGGCCTGCTCGCCAGCCCTCTATCGCTCATGGCTCCTGCCCCTCGTCGTACCGTTGTCCGCTGGGCCGCCACCCTGCTGCTCAACCTCGTCGCTCCGCCCGCCGTCTTCGCCCTCGCCTGTGCCGCCTCTCACCTCCCGCTCGTCGACGCCCTGCGCACCGCCGCCTTTGGTTGGCACGTCTGGGGCATGTACACCGCCGTCGTCGTTTGGTGCGTCTGGTGGCCCGCTTGGCTAGTCGGCTCCGTCCTCGTGTTGGGACAGCCAAGGGAATAGGAAGTCTGAAGAGCGTTAGAGCGCTACAGCGCTACAGCGTTGAAGCTAAAGCGCTAGAGGCGCTAAAATAGAGTCTCACAATGCATACGTAATACACTCTTGAACACGTGACGTTCTGTTTTGTTCTATGCATACTTGGTACTGCCGTTCCTATGCATACGACCCGTTCCCCTACGCCGCCCAGACGTCCTGACCAACCTGCTCGATCCAGTTGCCGAGCTGGTTGACGCCGGCACCCCACTCGGCAAGGCGCTGCTGCAGGTTGGCAATCTGCTTCATGTCGAGCACCTTGGGCTGGACCCAGTTGATGTGGGCGACCTCGTCGACCTGGTCGATGGTGCCGCGCAGGAGGCCGAGGCTGAGGGCCTTCATGACGAGGTGTTCGATCTCGTCCGGCTGGACCCGGGTCTCGGCCGCAATGGCGGCGAACGACATGGCACGAGCATGGGGCGGCCGGCGGAAGACGGCCTCGGTGAGGGCGGCGAGGTAGATCTTCTGGCGCAGCTGGGCGCTGTGGCGATGGAGCAGCGAGTTGGCGGCGATGCGGTCAGCCAGCCGCTCGTATACGCGCAGATCGCCGCGGTTGAAGGCAAAGAGCAGGGCGCGCAGCCAGGCGTCGTCCTCGTCGTCGGCCGCGAGCGAGTCTAGAATCGGGTGCAGCAGCAGCTCGCCAAAGTTGTAGATGCTCGGCGATACGAGCGCTGCCAGGCTGAGCTTAAAGGCCCGGTCGTGCCGCTCGTCCGCATCCAGGCCGGCCACGTCGACACAGGCCAGGTACAGCAGCGCGTTGCGGTAGTACTGCCCAAAGTCTGCCCGTCCCTGGTAGTAGAGCGCGCTGGTGTCGTAAAAAGCTGCGTGCACCACCTGCTCGACTGCGTCAAACGTCTCCAGCACCCGCTCTGCCCGGTCCAGCTCGGCCCGCGAGCCGTCAAAGTCTCGCTGCATCAGCTTCGCCCGTGCCACCGCAATCGTCGCAAACACAAACGCATCCTGCGAATCTTCGTGGTCTACCTTCTTGGCCACGCTCTCGAGAAAAGCCAGCTTCTGTGCGTTGCCTATTGGTGTCAGTATGTTTCTCCCATCTCCTCCTCCCCATCCTCCCTCCTCCTACTCACCTTCACATGTCTCCGCTGCCTTCAGCGCCAGGTCCACAAACTTGAGCTGGTTGATCTTATCCGCAAACTTCAGCACAAACACCTTGAAGAACGGCAGCCGCAACGCCTCGCTCTGCTCGTCGTCAAACAACCGGATCAGCGTGTCCGTCAGCTGGTGCCACAGCTTGCGCTCCCACAGATCCTCAATCTCCAGGATCGTCCCCTGCAGCTCCGTCGGTGCTGCATCCCGCTGCTCGTCCAGAAAGTCTGTCAACGCCTCCGCGCTCATCTTGTCCGTCCTGTTGCCGGAGCTGTCCGTCTGTCCAGCCTAGTCCCGCTCAATGTTTGTTTCCTTTCGTCGTTTGTCGTTTGTCTTTCGTCTTTTGTTTTTCGTCCTTTCCCTCGTCGCTTGCTGCTCCGAGCCTCTCCCATGAAGCTCCAGCTGCTGTCCACAAAGACGCGGCTCCAATGCAGCCTGCCAGCCGCAACAACATTTCGCCGACCCCACCTCGCCGCCGTATCACGTGCACGTCACGATCACCTGATCTCACGCCGACCCGCCAATGGGAACCAGATCATTACTCTTTGGTCCTCTTCGTTTGATCCGCGCAAAAAAAAGCCCACAGCCGAAAAGGAAACGGATGCCGGGGAAGCTCGCCGTTCGAGCCAATTGACCGCAACGACCCGCGCTGCACGCCTTTCACGCCTCCATCCCAGCTGCACCCGCAACCGCCTGTTCTCTGCCCGTTGGGAACGCCCGCCATGTCGTCTCTCTCGGCCGCCGCCGTGCGGTCTTCCAAGCAGATGATGGCCCGCCGCAACCTCTTCCACCACCACCAGCTCCGCGCTCTCTCCGACGTCACCATCACGCGCACCGGCAAGCCCATCATCCGGACCCAGGGCGGAAGGTACGTCCGCGCCAAGCGAAGCCTTGCTCTCGTCACCGCCCGTCTGCTAATCCCTCTTCGTTCTCTCTGCATCCAGATCCTCTCTCGGAGGTACGCGAGCTTCCCATGTCCCGACCACGGTCCCTGTTCTAATCGCGCTCCCGCCACAGGTCACACAGCTACGGTGTTCGGTGCCTCCGGCGCTCTCGGTCGCTACATTGTGAACCGCCTCGGTGTGTATAGCCGGACGAGCTCGACAAGCTACCCATGCTGACAGTGCCATCCGCTTCCAGCTCGGCAAGGATGCACCGTCGTCGTGCCCTTCCGCGAGGAGATGACCAAGCGGCATCTGAAGGTGTCTGGTGATCTCGGGCGCGTCATCTTCATGGTATGAACTCCTGTCCGGTCGACCGGCCCGGCATCCTGTCGCGCATTCTCTCACACGGAGCCCAGGAATACGATCTGCGCAACACAGCTTCCATCGAGGAGAGCGTGCGGCATTCCGACGTCGTCTACAACCTGGTGGGACGCAACTACCCGACCAAGTATGTCTGCTGTCTGCCGCCGTACTGCCTGCCCGATGGCGCGCTGACCTGTGCAGGAATTTCACACTCGAGGACGTGCACGTCGAGGGGGCCGAGCGGATCGCCGAGGCCGTGGCCAAGTACGACGTCGACCGGTTCATCCACGTGTCTTCGTACAACGCTGCCGGCGCCGAGACGTCGCCGTCCGAGTTCTTCCGGACCAAGGCGCTGGGCGAGGCGGCCGTGCGGGACATTTTTCCCGAGACGACAATTGTGCGGCCGGCACCCATGTTCGGCTTCGAGGACAGTCTGCTGCTGCGGCTCGCTGGCGTCTACAACCTGCTCACGTCCAACAACATGCAGGAGCGGTACTGGCCCGTCCACATCATCGACGTCGGCCGGGCGCTCGAGCTGATGCTCTTTGACGACAACACCGCCGGCCAGACGTACGAGCTGTTTGGGCCCAAGAACTACTCCACCGCCGAGATCGCCGAGCTGGTCGACCGCGAGATCTACAAGAGCCGCCGCCACATCAACGTGCCCAAGGCCGTGCTCAAGCCGGCCGCCACCCTGCTGAACCGCCTGCTGTGGTTTCCGGTGATGTCGGGCGAAGACGTCGAGCGCGAGTTCATCGACCAGACCATCGACGAGACCGTCAAGACGTTCAAGGACCTCGGCATCGAGCCCGACGAGATCAGCGACTTCACCTACCACTACTTGGTCCGTCTGCCCCGCTCGTGTCTGCAAGTCCTGGCCCTCCAGCTAATGTCTCTGACCCCTTGCAGCAAGGATTCCGCAGCTCGTCCTTCTATGACCTGCCGCCGGCAACAGAGCGCGAGAAGCGCGAGGACAAGCAGTACCTGCACGTCGTCGACGACCAGTAGAGGCCGCACGGCCGGGCATCTGTCTTTAGAGCTGTCTTGTTTTTTGCCGTTGCTTTCCTTTGTCTCGAGGCCGTGTACATATGTGACTATCCAGACAATTCCAAATTTCGCCGATACGTGCGCGAAACCCACCGGCCAATCAGAGGCCGGAAATCGCTTTTTTTCGGAGCGTCAGCTATCATAGGCCCCCCGCGAAAAAAATTAGACTCGACTGCTTGCGGCCTCGTCTCGACCAAGAGCATCCCAATTGAGCCGATTCCCACCATGGCCACCGACAGTGACGATGAGTTGTGCGTCCGGACCTAAAAACCTTGAATATGCAGTACGAAAGGAAAAGAAAGAGAGAAAAATAGGGGGAGACGGGGGGGTAAAACGATAAAAGTCTGTGGACGTAATAGCTAAGTTGCTCGTTGCTCAAGGACCCTTTCGGCGTCCGCCATGGACGCCCTCCGCGCATTCTATTCCGAGCGAGACGACCACGTGAAGCGCTTTGCCGACCTGCAGTCGGCGGCCGACGCGGCGGCCGAAGAAAAGCCCGTCGTCCTGAGCATGGACACCTTCACCGAGGACTGGAACAAGTCGCAGTTTTGGGTGTGTCCTCCTAGCCTTTTGCCTTTTGCTTTTTGCCTCCTGCATCTGTCTTCCTGCTCACACGACTGTCGCCCAGTACTCGGATGACACGGCCCAGCTGTTGGCCCGCCAGCTGATCCAGGGCACCGACGCGTCGTCGTCCATCGTCGTGATCTCGGCGCCGAGCGTCTTTGTCGCGCTCAAGAACCTCGTCGTGAGTAGACAGCCGACAGCAGACAGCGATCCCCTCCGTTCCTTGCTAAAACCCAGGCTTCTCTCGCCCGCGTCTTTCCCCACAGTCTGCCTTGCCCTCGGACGAGCGTCCGGGCCTCCTGCTGCTGGAGCACGACGACCGCTTCACCGTCTTCGGCTCCGAGTACATCTTCTACGACTTCAACAAGCCGACCAAGCTTCCGCGTACGTCCCCAGCCTCCCAGCCCCCCAGAATGGTCCGTCCGGGATCGCTAATCAGCAGGATCAGCCGCCCTGCGCGCTTCCGCCGACCGCATCGTCTGCGATCCGCCCTTTCTCAGCCAGGACTGCCAGACCAAAGGTACGCTTCTCTCTCGGGTGGCCTGCTTCTCACTGCTTGCTGCTCGCTGCTCGCTGTGCCGTCTTGCTCACCACTCATCACGCACAGCCGCCCTGACGGTCCGCTGGCTCAGCAAGCCGACTGCCCGCGTGGCCGTCTCCACCGGCGAGCGCATGGAAAGCCTTGTGACCGACAAGCTCTACCGCGCCCAAGGCGTGCGGACGACCTCGTTCGTCCCGCTGCACGCCCACGGACTCGGCAACGACTTTTGCTGCTACGCCAACTTTGAGGGTGACGAGTGGACGTGGCTGGCCAAAAAGGCAAAGCCATGACGCTTTATCCAGCGTCGCTTAGCAACAATGTATTTTATTGGCGCCGTGTTATGCTGTGAGCCTCAGCCCTGTTTGCCGGATCTAGGCAACGCGATAGGAGAAGGATGGGATAAAGAAAGAAGCAGCTGGGAAGAGATCACACAATTCCATGCAGGTTTTGTAAGAAAGACAAAAAAAAGACAAAAAAAGGTAGCCAAGCACATTCCCGTCCCAAGCAATACAAGCAGAAAATTCCAAGCAGCCCATCTATGGTAATGGAAATATCAAAAGCACCCCGTCCAGAAAGGTCAAAAGAGCACAAGAAGGGTGATATGCCAAGGGGGTAGAACAGAGAAGGCGGAGAGAAGAATGGAGAGAGAGGAGCAGGGAGAGAGAAGAACGATCATTCCAGCCGCTATGCCAACGATCGAATAATGTAGAAGAGCAGGTAGGCGTTGGCCCCGAGGACCTCCGAGTTGGACGCCAGCTGCACGCGATGATCGTTGAAGGCGAACCACTGGAGAAGGGGTCAGCCATCGAAGAAGAGACGGCAGAGAGAGAGAGAGACGACTTACCTGATCACCGACGCGGCAGTATGACAGATAGTGACCCGTGTCAATCTCGCCTACATGCACGACGACGCTGAGTAGGTCGTACATGCACGACCGGTTGAGCTCGTAGCTCTCGCGCACGTCCTGGCCGCGGCTGCGATTTGTGTATGGCAGCATGTTAAGCTGTAGGGGGAACTCGACGGGCGTATCGACCTTTGCGGCCTTGTCATGGCGGCCCTGTTTGTATTCGAAGCGCTGTAGGGGTTAGCTGTGAAGGCAAGTCAACCAGAAGCTGTAGAAGCCTGCACACGCACCTTTAGCTGAATGGATAGCACATTCGGCAGCGCCTTGATGGATGTGTGCCGTCGGGCCAGCCGCGTGGAGTTGCAGCTGTGGCAGCGGTACTCGCACTTGTCCGACTTGATGTACTCCTCGTCCAGACACTGCTGTAGGGTCAGACGATGCGGAGGCCCAGCAGCGGCTGCAGCGGCCGACAGTCCCTTGGCCAGACGCCTCTGGCGGTGGGCCAGGCTCTCGAGCCCGAGACTGAGGTCGAGAAAGGACTGGACCTGGTTGGTCATGCCGTTGCACTGCTGGCAGGTTGTGGTGCTCTGCATCTTGCCGTAAAAGGTCTGGTGCACGATGCAGGTGCACGAGTGCTCGCTGCCGTGCTCGGGCTTCTTGCCGTCGCCGTTGCGCTCGTGCAGCTCTTCGGCCAGGAACTGGAAGAACTCATGGGCGTCCTGCTCCTTGGTCGTCACCAGGTTGGCAAACGCCTTGCGCTCCGAGATCCAGAAGCTCGACAGGATGTTGGCTGCCGTGTAGCCGTTGGTGCTCTCCTGCCCGTAGAACTCTTGGAACACGTCGTCCATGGCACAGCTGAGACAGTGTCGTGCCTCGCACAGCGAGCTCTGGTGTCCGTCGCTCAGGTAAAAGTTGCGCAGCAGCGGGTTGTGCAGGAAGCACTGCAGGATCACGTTCTGGTAGCAGGTCGCGCCCGCGTTGTAGATTCCGCGCAGCCCGCTTGCCCGGCACGATGCCAGCGTCGTGTTCGATGCAATGTACCGCGGGTCATCCTTGAGCGAGTCCGAGAAGAGCTCGTCGTGCTTCCTCTTGCGGTTGGCTGTGTTTTCCGAGTCTGTCAGCTTTGCGTCTTGCCCGACCGCTGCCTCCCCATCGACCGCTGCCCGGAGGCTCCTTACTTGAAAACGAGCCCGTGCCGATCTTGCGCAGCCGCAACTCCTCCAGTGTGGGATCGTACACAAAGTCATCGCACATGTGGCAGTACAACGTGCCGCATCTTGATTCTACATCTGCACACCGCACAACACACAGCACCGGTCAGCCCAAACAATCCCGGCAAGGGACACGGCCACATTGCCAACGACGTACAGAAACGATGCGACTTTTTCTGCCCGTGACTGTAGATGTCCTCCTCGGTCAGGGTGGTCGGACATTGTAGGCACAGGTAATTGGGCGTCAGCGTCGTGACGGGCTGGCCATCGGCGGATTTGGATGTCTGCGGCACGATCGGTGCTTGGTCGAATATCTTGCGCAGGATGATCTTGTAGTGGAAAATGGAGGTGTTGATGGTGTCCTGGCCCTGGCTGAAGAGGAGCTCGACATGCTCTGTACAACATGGGGCCGTCAGCAGTTATTCATGGCTCTCTCTCTCTCGCACACCCCTCTCGGCCTCTCCCCTTCCCTCTCCACACGACAGCAGTCGTATGATGTCTGCATTCGTGCCCAAGGGCTTCTACTCACCACAGCCGTACATGGGCATGCCGGAGACGGGGCTCTTCAGCTTGACCGTCTTGGGCGAGGATGGCGTTGTTGGTCTTGCAGACATGTCGGGCAGACTCGCTCTGTACTCTCAATGCCCGGCGGACTCGTCTCGTCTGTCTCGTGTGCTGGTGCCGTGGTCACCACGCCCGGAATGCTTCCTTCCAGCGTGGCCAGCCTCGTGTCAGGACTCGGTCGTCTCCAGCAACGGGAGGAGGGGAGAAGGGGACGAAGAAGAGGCGGAGAGGGAAATCGTAGGGTTTCGACGCGGAATTCAGCTCAATCGGAGTCGGTCGCGGTCGCGGCCGCGTGGCGGCTGTAGACGCACAGAGCAAACAGACACGAGACCAATGTGTTCGAGGACCGAGTCTGGAGCAGCAGCGCCAAAGCTGCGGATGTCGCGGGTAGACGAGAGCCGGTCGGAGCGTTTCCCGGTCACAAATTCAGGGGGGAAAGCCAAGTCGAGTCAGGAGCAAAAAAGGCAGTGCTTTCCGATGCGGATAGCATTCAACAATCTGTCGTCCTAAGCTCTCTGGCTTTGGCCTGCGCTTTCAATGTTGCCTTTTTAATGAGTGGGGAATAGAGGATCCTCGCTGATTCGCTGATTCGCTGTCGATGCCGTATCTGCGGCTGGGATCAGTGGCAAGGTGCGCAGGCCAATTTTCGCGACGTGCCCATCCGCTCCTGCTGTCAGTCTCGAGTTCTCGGGGACTTTTTCAGGGTGCCGGTTTCACGGCAGACAATGACGCCCGGGAAGCAAGACGCCAGTTTCAGCAGCCAAAACATGCAGCACCAGCTGAATGACATGCACACGGGAGAAGGTGCAGTCGGCTTGCTTGGCTGATCTTATCGGCACATGATCCCAGAGCTTATCGGGGGCTCTTGTTAGCGGCCGCCGTCTGAATGGCTGCCTGCATCCGTTTTTAGCGGCATCTGACATGGAAAGTGAGGGGAGCTAAGCCGAGGCTGCACCCCAGGTTGAGCTCGCGTGTCGAGCTCCTCGGTGAACATCCCAGAGCGAGTCAGAGACCGGAGTAGCCCCTGCAACGGAAGAAGACTGTGAAGCTGCCGGACGTGGCTGCAGACCCGACTGTTCTCGACCCGTTCCAAGCATCTGCATCTACATCTGCATCTGCAGCCTTTGCGCCCACATTCGCCCGGCGTCTCTACATCGTCTCCATCCAGGATGGCCAGTCAGCTGGCGTCCCTGCCCGAGGTCGAGCGGCTCAGCCCGATCTGCATCCGCATTCTCGGCGGCAACCCAGGCCGGTTCACGCTGCAGGGCACCAACACGTATCTGCTGGGCACCGGTCGGGAGCGGCTGCTCGTCGACACGGGTGAGGGCAAGGCGTCGTGGGCGGCGGCCCTCGCGCGCACGCTCGCCGCCGAAGACGCCACGCTCGCCGCCACGCTCATCACGCACTGGCACCCCGACCACGTCGGCGGTATCGAACAGGTGCGCCGGCTCGTCCCCCACGCGCCCGTGTATCAGGACCCAGACATTGCCGACAACCAGCAGTTCTGCGTCGAGGGCGCCACCCTGCGTGCCGTCCACACGCCCGGCCACACGACCGACCACATGGTCTTTGTGCTGGCCGAGGAGGACGCTGTGCTGGCGGGCGACAACGTGCTGGGCCACGGCACTGCCGTGTTCGAGGATCTGGCCGTCTACCTGCACAGCCTCGCCCTCATGCGGTCGCTCTACACGGGCTGCTCACCAAACAGCAGTGCGCGTCTCTACCCCGGTCACGGCCCCGTGGTCGCTGACGGACCCGCCAAGATCGCCGAGTACATCCAGCACCGCAAGCTGCGCGAGGACCAGGTGGTGCGGCTGCTGCGCACGCACGACAAGCAGTGCGCTATCGCGGCCGCCACCACAACCTCGTCCGCCCCTCCGTCGCCCGCCTCCTCCCCCTCACCCTCGGAGACCCCCGCGTCGTGGACGGCCATGGAGCTCGTCGAGGTCATCTACGCCGATACCCGGAAAGATCTGCACCCGGCGGCCGAGAAGGGCCTCCTGCAGATCCTCGACAAGCTGGAACAAGACGGCATGACCGTCAGGGACGGCCGGCTGTGGTCGCTGCGTGAGCGCTCGCCCCTGTGAGCCTGCCACGGCACCCACTCCCATTCGACGACAGCAGGTATTGGGTAACACGACTACAGTTCCGGGCATATTGGCATCTCACTTGTATCTCACGCACGTAGCAGATGCAGCTGATCTGCAGGGACAGCGTAATTGCGCATAGAGTGACGCTGGCCAATTTCTCGGAACATTGCCAGAGACAGACTAGAACAAACACAAATATTTGGTGTGAGCCAGATGCACCTGGCTGACAACGATGCATGGCCAGAATCGTGAACAGGATGTGCTCGGCTGAGACCCAGGCAGATAAGAGGGACGAGACGTCACCATGCTTGTACTCCGGAAATGTACATAGTATGGTGCGTCCACAGGATCCACGACAAAGCACATGCGAGAGGCCGGAAGAAACGACAGGAGAAAGGCTAATCATGCACTTCGTGCAGTCGGACTATAGTCAGCGACTCGGAGTTTCTCGGGCACTCCTACTGCCGCACGGGACGAATGCCAATGATACGGCATGAAGAGAGAAAACAAAGCAGACGGACGAAGAAAAAAAGGTAAAGTACTAACTACAGCCCCACCACAAGCCGTCATTTTTTTTGTCTTTTGCCAACAGGTCCCAGTGACTGGGGTGTCGGATGTCTCGGAGACAAGACGGGAAAGAAGTGCACCATTTGCTCAGATCTCTTACATTCTGTAGAAGTAATAGATGCATCATCAGCCGGCCTTCCATTTGCACCAGGGTGCAATTGGGGAAGTGCTCGCACAGAAACACCAGAACGGCAGGAGCCTGCGATAGTCGGACACCAGCTGGAAAGTCGGCCGCTGACGTAATCTGAAACTTCGTACAGCCTCTTTCTCGTCGATCCGTGTGACTATCGTCAGAATCTACTGAGGCCGTTTCACATGCAGAGTTATAGCTTGAGCAAGACGCACAGATTGCGCCATTCTCTTTGACGAGGTGACCAGCATCTCGATTCCCGTGCATCTAACGGCCACATGACCGCCCTTCTCGCACCTTCTGTGCACATCGGATGCGGAGGGGCCTGATAACTCCGGGCCCATTTGTGCACCTCCGTACTCGCCGCGAGGCGAGATCGGATGCCAGGCTGTACGGAGTACTCGTACATACATAAGACGGCGGTACTGTTTGCGATGAAAAGACGCACTGTACAGTGTGCCCCGCCAGCGCGCGTGGGCTAGCTTCACCTCCCCACACAGTCCGGGACAGTGTGTCACGAGGCCCACCCGTCAGGTTCGATTCAGTTGTGAGCTTTGGCCAGCTAGCGATGCGGCGACTGACTACTGCAGGCGAGAAGGGCACGAGGCAACGAGAAGGCCGTAAGGCGACAGAGCGAGTACGTCCAATCATCAGCTGGCCGGCGCTGCCACCGCTTACCAACCTTGTTCGCGGTGTCTCCGGCTACCGGGAAAGTCACAGCCATCGGGCTGACCTGCAACCCACCACTACATAGCTTGCAGCTGACAGGAAACGCACAGAGGCGAAGGACCGCGCCACGAGAACGTGCAGTTGGTGGGATGGGCATCGTCCGATGGCGGCAGAGCAGGGGCCAGCAAGAGAGGCCGTCTAGTCTTACTGGTGTACATGGCAACCCGCGAGAGCTCCGTACTCGTATTCTGTGCAAGCAAAGCCGCGGCCAAAACGAGTGCTCTCGTCGATTACCCGCTGACGTACATGTCCCTGTAGGCGATCCGTGGACTATGGAGCAATATGGGATCTCGATGAAGCACTCCAAAGTGGATGAACAACGACGAGAGCAGACTACTGCAGGATCCACTGGCCCAGCCTCCGAGCCGGCTCGTGCATTTGGGCGTGAATGGAAAGGCGCGAGCAGGCTGGGGCCGGCGAGGGTCTGGTTGGTGCTTGATTGCCCACGTACGGAGGTAAACCGGTCAGCCGTTTGCGCGAGGTGGGTTCTGGGGCGCCCTATCGCGCCCGAGGACGAGCTCTTTTCTCATTTTCGGCTTGGTCGACTTGCTCTCTGTCAGAGACCGCGTTCACCGCATCTTTCGACGGCAACACGCATGCACTACGAACATGTGAACGGACTTGAAGGGAGCCCAAGACATTGACCGTCCGCTCGTCATCCGCTCTGTTGGCCACCACGTCGTGCGGCAGGACGGGAAGCCTGAGTAGCCTTACGGAAGTATCTTACTCATTTCTTCGATATCGACGGGCACGCAAAGCACGCTAGCAACCAAACCCCAGTGAAAACCCGCAGGCATCGCGCACCGTGTGCCGGCCCAATCGCAAACAGTGCGACTTTACCACCTCTTACCGCCACGCCCTCGTCCTGTAAGCGGCAGAGAGCGACCTCTGCTCGTTTTCTGCCCAATTTTTCGCAAACTTTTTACCTCTTTTGTCTGCGCCGCCGCCGGGACCCTCGGATGAGCCCCATCACGAACCGCCAAGACGTCGTTGTCGATTCCATTAGCAGACAGCCTCTCTTTTTTTTCGTCTGCCTTTGTGTCTGCCTATTCCCTTTCCGTAGTGGGCGCACGGTGGTGTGACTCAAAAACAGCTCGCAAAAAAAGCAGCCCCGCAGATCCGGGGCTCGGCGGTCGGTGATGATGGCCAGCCAGCCATCGTTCCTGCCCTCCTCTCCCACTGCCGCGTCTCGCCTTCCTTTGTGCCTTCTGGGCGCCGGCCAGGCACCTGCCTCATGCGATATTACCAATCTGGTCGCGCCTGCCGACAGGCGGGTGCCTCAGACTGTACTGTACGTAATGCACGGCCTGACAAAGCTCCTTGCTTCACAATTGCTACTTTCTTCTTAAACCTAACTACATGACCCCTCCGTTCTCGTGCCACGTTGTTCCTCTTCTCATCCCACTGAAGCCCGTAGCCTCGGAATCTAAGCAACTGCCCGAAACACCCATGTCGCAGATCTTTGGTCGTGGATTTGGATTCGTTTTCTCTTCATCCCAGAGGCTTGCTACACTAATATAAAGCCCACCCACGCGCCCCCCCCCTCTCTCCCCACCACATCCGCTCAATCCTTTTTCTCTTCTCTCCACTGGTTTGCCTCCTACAATCGCTGCTCTGGGTCGTGGCGTAAACACAGTAGCACCCAAGTTGTTCTTCAGCTTCACAAGGTAAAAAGAGCTTCTCACTGGGCAGACGCGGACGCCATTGGAGATTGAAGCTGGACGATACACAGCACACATGGGGGCAACAACTCGTCCTCTCCTCGCCTCGGCGCTGCTTGCTGGCGCCGTCATTCTAGCACTTGCGCCGGCTGTCGTGCTTGCGCATGGCGACGACGAGGCTATGAACATGGAAGACGAAGATGGGATGGGCGGAAATATGACGGCTCTGCCCTACGGCAATGCCACCGTCTACCTGCCGTCATACTTCAGTCACACTGAGCACCGTACCGAGATCGTCATCCACATTGTGCTCATGACCCTTGGTTGGGTCTTTGCACTGCCTGTCGGTAAGAAAGTCCCATTCTCCAAGCAGCTCCTGAGAGCTTCTAGCAGGCTGTCCCGAGCTTCGCGCTAGCTCCAGGAAGCTTCGGCAAGCTCTGGCAAGCTCTTACAAGCTTCGTCGGAACGCGCGGAACCCTCAAGCAAGCCCCTGCAAGCTTCAAATCATCGTTAGGGAACAATTAAAGCTAACCCGGCAACAGCGGTCATGCTGTCTCTTGCGCGGTCTCGCTACACTCTGGCGGCCCAGCTTGTCTTCCTGACTGCCAATGCAGGCGGCATCCTCTTCTCGACCACATATAACGCCAATACGCCGGATCTCTACCCAAACAACGCCCACCACAAGGTTGGCTGGATCGTCACCTGGGTAGTGTCTGCACAGGTTGTCATCGGCCTGCTGGCCCGTGTGGCCGGCACCTTCAAGGCCACCGGCCGCAGCGACAGTAATAGCGAAATGGACGAGATCCACAGCGGCGAGCGCTGTGCCTTCATCCCCGTCTCGACTGAGGCCATGGCCCGCCACCACAGTCAGCATGTCTCCGACTACCGCATGTCCAATGACAGCGGCCAAGGCACCGAGCCAAAGACGGAGTCGCTGCGCAGCAACTCGCTGTCGACGCTCGACAGTGCTCTCGACCGCCAGAGCTTCGAAGGCCCCAGCGAAGACCGCCGGCTTCACCACTTTGACGACGACGATAATGACGACCTGGAGGCCCGCCTGCCCTCATCCACGCCGAACCGCAGCGGCCGCGTGTACGCTCTGGCCGGTAAGGTGGCCGACAAGATCTCTTCGCGGGCCTGGCGCTTCCTCATGCTGGGCTACTCCGCTGTCGACCGCATCATCCTGGTTCTGGGCTTCATCACCTATGCGCTGGGCATTATCGCCTACGGGCGCTTCTTTGTAAGTGGAAACGGAGCCTGGAGAGAGGAACCTGGCTCAATTCGGTCGACTAACTGCGCTGCAGGAAGGCCGCCTCGTCTTCAACGGCCTGGCACACTGGATCAAGGGCGGCGTGTTCTTCTGGCTGGGCATCGTCACTCTTGGCCGCTGGGCTGGCTGCTTCGGTGAGCTGGGCTGGGCTTGGAACGTGCGGCCAAAGACGTTGTCGCAGAAGTGGCGACCGTCTGCCGAGTTTACCGAGAGCTTCCTGATCTTCTTCTACGGCGCCACCAACATCTTTATGGAGCATCTGGGTAACGACGACGGCAAGTGGCATGCAAACGACCTGGAGCACTTTTCTATCACCGTCCTATTCCTCGGCGGCGGCCTCTGTGGCATGTTGATCGAGTCCAGGTACATTCGTGACCTGCTGAACACAACGGTCAGCGAGGCCGCTCATGAGTACCCAGAACACACCTATCACGAGGAGGAGCGCGAGGCCCTGCGCCCACCGCCTCAATACGAGTTCTCCATCAACCCTCTTCCCACGCTCGTCATCATGCTGCTCGGCTCCATGATGAGCTCGCACACCCAGGCAACCATGATTTCCAGCATGATTCACCGGCAATGGGGCAACCTGCTGTCTACTGCCGCTGTTGCCCGCGGTCTCACTTACGTAATCATCTACCTGCGTCCGCCCAAGTCGATTCTTCCGTCGCGGCCACCGACCGAGCTTATTGCCTCCTTCGGACTGATCGCGGGTGGACTGGTGTTTATGGGGAGCGTGAGTAACCCTGATATACTGTCGATCTCGTCTAGAACCGGGAGGCTGACATCAACAGAGTGCTGATACGGTCAACGGGATGATCCACTACAAACTCAACGCGATGTTTGTCTTCACGGTGACGATGGGCCTGGTCTCCATGCTGATGGCCTGGGTCCTCGTGGTGATTGCCCTCAAGGGTTGGGCGGTCCGCAAAGAGCTGGGCCGGCCGGCCGGCTCCTACCAGCTCTCCTGATTCGGTCGGCGACCAAACCAGATTACGAATTCAACAATGTGGCTACGGTGATCAGAATAATGAAGTCGACTCTTCGACAATATAATGGGACGACGGATCAGTGGTGTCTTAATCTTTGCTTTATTCCGGGATTCTCCGGACTTTTCCCCTTCTAATTCTTTCCTTAGATATCCCTCGGGCATTTGCCTTTCTGATTCTGGTCGACATCAAGATACCCATATTTCCTCTCGTTTCCCCCCATATCTAGTCATGGCCCCATTGGCCAATGGAGCCAGGAACACCAAATTATAGACCTCGTTGATATTTGAATATAATTAGCGGTGTTGAGCATTGCGCACGACGCCGAGCAGCTGTTTCTCCATGTTATCATTGGATCTGTTGAGAAGACTGAGACGCGCGGACAGCGTCTAACTGTTGAGAAAGTTGTGAATCTGCAGATGGGGGCGCAGACGATATTGTGATGGCTGGCACTGCAGCCGGCCTCCCATTTGCACCCTTGTGCAAGCCACGATGGCCGTCTAGTCTGGAGATGGTGACTGTGCTGCCAGGCCGACCGCTGCCGAGCGAAGCCGCCAATTTTCAAGGCGGCCGTGGGATCTCGTTGCCGCATTTGACCCTCTTTTTCTCTGTTCTCTCGCCCTGTCCCTAGGGCTTCTCCTGCTGGTTGTCTGGTCGTGCGGCCACCCCGGCCACCACCCGCTTCTGGTCTTCGCCGCCAAACATCTCAGCGCCCTGGCGCAGCGCCTCGATCAGCATCTGCAGGGGGGTGTCCAAGGTAGACGCGGGAGCAGCGGCGGCGGTGGCGGCGGCGCCGTCGGCTTCGTGCCCTTTCCTGGCCGAGGCCGACGCTGCCTTGGTCCGGCTGGCCGACATGGCAAAGTCGTCGGCCTTGCGCAGGGTGTCGAGGTCTTCGGCCAGCTCGACGGTGGCACGCTGCAGGTAGTAGGCCTGGAACTGGTCACTGACCGACGAGGCCTGGGAGCTGCTGGCCATGATGGAACGTGACGGCGGTGGGAGCGGTGTTTCTTGTCAGTGCAGGCAGTCGAAGTTTCGAAAAATCAAAAAAGTCGGATCACAATGCAAAGCGACAAGAAGAAACACTCGTACTCTGGCAAGAGTCGTCGAGCAAAGAAATTTTTTTTTAATTGATCGTGACCCCAGTTTTTTCGGGGAATTGATCTGGGATTAGTCATCTTTCGTGGGGCCCACGTTCTAGCCAAGGCCCCAGAAAAAAAATTGCCATAAATTGAAAATTTCCGCTGCACTGTCTACATTTTCTCTTCTCTCCCCAAACACATGCACCAGCACCTTTGTCCCAAAGGCAGCTATACCCCCAAAAGGGCAGTCATTACAGTATGCAATGCTGGTGAATGTCACGACCAGGTAAGAGAGCAGATGATGTTGTCGCAGCTCGCGTTGACATGCCATACCATCTGCTTTGATCTCTTTTTTGTCTTGTTTTGTGCGTGGCGTTTTTGCTTTTTTACCTATGCTACGTAGTCCCCATCCTTCCTACGCTTTTACATATGCTAGAGCTTGCCGTCTATATATTAAACCCCCATGACGAGCTAAGTGTGGACAAAGAAGCAAAATTGAACTCTTACGAGTTTCCCTCAAGTCGATACTCACCCAAATTCTCCTCTGCGAGTTGGGCGAACTGTGCCTGATGGGAAACAAATGACACATATTTTTACTGTTGCTGCATTAAATACAAAGTTACAATTTATTCTGTGCAACACTATGAGCCGGTTTACCGAAAATTGTTCTTCAACTCTCTGAGCTTTGTCATGACAGCACTGGGGTCGGTCTCGCCGGTTGCCTTTTGGATGATGGGGTCCTGCATGCTGTTAGTATTGTCGAGCATGGTAAAGCGAGTTTCGTCCGTAGGTAATAGTCTTACATCAACACGCATAAAGACGTTGTGAGCCTGGCGAGCATGTTAGCTGCAGCACGACAAAGCAACAGGCCAACCTGATCGGAGTCAAACCACGTTATCATACCTTCTCGTCAGCAATGGTGAAGTGGCCTTGGGTCTCGGTGTTGGCAATAGAAAAATCCAGCAGCTTCTTGACGGCCGGGCTGGGAAGGACGGACAAGCCGAACTGTGCGTTTGCCTTTGTGTATTCGTGACCGGGCTTGCAGTGTGAGAATGTGCTGTCGTAAGGAGAAAAAGGTAGAAAAAGGAAGAAAGGCAGAGGACATACAAAGACGCGCGTGTCATCCGGCAGCGCAGCCAGCGTCACGTTCAAAGCCTTTTGCATCTCCGGGCCGGTGCCCTCGAAGAAGCGGCCGCAGCCTGAGAGGGTGGGTAAGCTTTGGCACGCATCCGGTGGAATCCTCTTCATTCTCTCACCTCCGTGGAATAGCGTGTCGCCCGTGAAGACGACCTTGTCGTCGCCGTCCTGTACGAACCAGCAGATGCTGTCCTGGGTGTGGCACGGCGTATAGATGCTCTTGATAGCGATGCTGCCGAGCTGAAACACTTCACCATCCGGCGGGATGCGGCTCACGGCCGCGCAGTCCCTACCGCCGATGATGGGCAGGTCGGAGAGGCCGAGTTGGTTGCGCTGAGGCCAAGCCAGAGTCAGATGGTGCCGGCAACACAGCAAAGGGCAGACAAAGGACGTTCATGTCCGGGACTTACCACGCTGACATTTCCTCCAGAATGGTCCCGGTGGCTTGCTGCTGTCAGCTGCTGGGGCGTGGTCTCGGACATGTTGCTCCCGACTTACTGGTGCGTGTTGACAATAGCCGTCAGGTTGATCTTGCCAGCCTTGATGGCTTCCTTGAGCACCGGCACAACCCTGTGCTTTGTGTCAGAATCAGCACGGAGGCTCTGCTCGACAGACGGCCGAACCGTCCCAATTTAGTTGACAACATCACGCACTCTTCTGGGCTCGCCGGGTCGATGATGACCGCATCTTTGGATTTGTCATCGATAAGCAGGTAGGCATAGTTGTCGCCCGTGCCGACCCCTAGAACAGGCAAATAGTCAGAATTGCTCCGGGCGCAAAACTACAGATGTCCGTCTTATGGGGTGAAAGAGGTTCTCATACACATGGGAATGGACTGAATATGCATCTTGCGCTGGAGTACCGATTGCTGGTAGGGGGAAGAGAGAGGGGAAAGCTGTCAGCGGAGGGACAGTTCAGGTGCCAGGTCAGAGCTCTAAACTCACGGCAACTCTTAAAGTATATGCGGAAGACTTTGCTAACGGTCTAGCGAAGCGTGCTGCAAACATCTGAAGTTCTAGGCTTCGGTGACGGTAGCAGTAGCAGCGGAGTTGAATTTATAATGCAAAGACTACGAGTGGATGAGGAGTAGCTGCTTGATACTCGAGCAGTGTATATGCACAGTGCGCATACTGTTTTGTCACGTGGGACAGATGTGCTGCTGCTCTGATTTGGTATGAAGTCTACACGACTCCAATGGGCTTGGGTTTCCAATCGCCCTCGTATCGTGCCCACTGTGGTCGGGAGGCCGGCGCTTCAGGATCGTGTTCTGGTTGTGAGTCCAAGGCCATGACATCGTCCACGCGGTCCTGCTCGTCGGCGTCGGCCGAGTCGAGTGCCTGTCGGCCTTGTACCAGGTTGACGTTGTCCGCGGTCTGCTTCTGTTCCTCCGACCTCTTGCGTGGCTGTTGCAGCACGACCTGCGACAGCCGTATGCACCGCAGCACACGGCTGTGGCTGCCCTTGTCGCTGTCGGTCGGCGACACGGCGGACAACACGGCCAGGACGCGGGCGCGGCCCCAAGTTTGGACGTAGCGGTCGAGGGTGTCTCTGTCTGTGTGGTCTGGGTCTGCCAGCGTTGTCCTCGCAGCGTCTGGGCCTGCAGCCACGGTCTCGTCGACGTAGCGCAAGACGGCCTCGCGACAGGCCCGGTCTGCGCTGCGGTCTTGCGGCGAGGGCTCGTCATCCGGTGCAGCCTTAGCCGCGTCTGCAGCGGCCGCGTCTGCCGCCGTGCCGACTGGCCCGAGCTGCATCCAGTAGTACTGCCAGATCCACAGCAGGGCGCGGCGGGCGGCAGCACGCAGGCGGGCCAGCGACGGCAGCGACTCGTGGGTGGCCTGATGGCGCAGCTCAACAAAGGCGGCCGGCAGGCCGATGGCGCGGGCGAGGCTGTACATGCTCAGCTTGCGGGCACGGTCCTGCTGGCCGTCGAGCAGGCCGGTGACAAAGCGACTGAAGGCGGCCGCGTAGGCTGCACGGACGGCATACGAGGCCATCGCCGGCGAGTCGGCCGCGTCGCTGAGAGCAGCCGCCACCAGCAGCGCCGTAGACTCGACCATGTGCGGGCAGTGGCCGCGCTGCATCCAGACAGAGACGCGGGCAACGGCAGACTGCTGTGCGTCCTGGTGCCGGACAGACTGCCGGGGCATGGCCTGGCCGTGTCCGTGATCGTGTCCGTGACCAGAAGAGACGCTTCGTCGGCCTTCCACGAGATCGGGGTAGAACTGACGGCGGACAGCCAGCAGCTCGCGGCGGTCACGCCATGGCGTAAAGGCGTACTGTACCATGGTTTGGCGGTGTAGCGATGTAGAAGAAGCGTCAGCGAACACGTCCAGGTGTCCAGGTCCGGGTGCTTGCGTCTGTTTGCTGGCTCTGTCAAGTGTTGGGAGAAGAAAAATTGGAGGCTCAGCCTAAAAATGATCAGATTTACAGAGCTCAAAACCAAAAGCAGCCACAACCGATTTATGGGCAGGCACATTCCATGCAGTTTCCTAGTTCCTCATTACAGATTCCTGAAGGAATAGTATAGACATCTAGATCGTGCCTGCCATGTTGGCGCTCGTAAAGTCAAGGACATGTGACTGCACTGGCCGTCTTTTTGCTGCAGCTGGAGTGCTACTGCCGATTTCGCCCAGTAAAATTTTACGCTCGCTAGTGAGTCAATGAAAGCTCAGTCACACCAATCCAATCGCCAATCGGTCGAGCTCGTGCAGCAGTCTCGCAACCGCCCGCAAAGGGTCTTTTGGCAATCGTCTCTCGTCTGGCGGCACAGCAGTCCATCGGCTGACCGCATTCACGCAATCCAATGGCAAGCGCAGCACACACGGCGGCCTGGAGCCGGACATCGGCGCCGATGCTCAAGCGGGTTGTCGGCCAGGCAGGACAGCAGCAACAGCAGCAACAGCGGCGGCGTCTGGGGCTGGGCTGGTCGCGGGCGTACTCGGCGCCAGCTGGAAACGTGATCCCCGAGGCCAAGCGCAAGTACGTGCCGACCAGCGGGACGTATCCGCAGGGCTTCCGGGCGGGCGGCGTGGTGGTGGGGGTGAAGCCGGGCAACACAACGAAACCGGACCTGGCGTTGATGGTGTCGGACGTGCCGTGTGCAGCGGCGGCAGTGTTTACGCGGAACAAGTTCCAGGCGGCGCCGGTGACGTTCAGCCGGGAGCTGCTGCGACGGACGCAGAATCGGGTGCAGGCTGTGCTGATCAACTCCGGCTGCGCCAACGCGGTCACAGGCAAGGGCGGCCTGGAGGATGCAGCAGCCATGGCCCAGGCGACCGAGGCAGCAGGCGGGGGCGACGGGACGATTGTGATGAGCACGGGCGTGATCGGACAGCGGCTGCCGATCCAGAAGATCCTCGACGGCGTGCCGTCCGCGTTTTCGGCCCTCGGCTGCTCGCACGACCACTGGATGACGTTTGCACGGGCTATCTGCACGACGGACACGTTTCCGAAGCTGATGTCGCGCACGTTCCGCCTGCCGTCATCGCCCGACGTCGAGTACCGTCTTGCCGGCACTACCAAGGGCGCCGGCATGATCCACCCCAACATGGCGACGCTGCTGGGCGTCATCGCAACCGACGCACCGCTGGCTCCGGCCGTGCTGCCGGGACTGCTTCGTCACGCTGTCGACCGGTCTTTCAACAGCATCACAATCGATGGCGACACGTCGACCAACGACACGGTCGCTTTGCTGGCCAACGGCGCCGCCGGAGGCCGCGAGGTCACCGAGACGGATGCCGCCGACTACGCCGCCTTCCGCACCATCCTGACCGACTTTGCTGCCGCTCTGGCACAGCTCGTCGTTCGCGATGGCGAAGGCGCCACCAAGTTCGTCACCGTGCGCGTCACCGAGGCCGCGTCGCCCGAGGCCGCCCGCCGCATCGCCTCTACCATTGCTCGCTCGCCGCTCGTCAAGACCGCCCTCTACGGCCGTGACGCCAACTGGGGCCGCATCCTCTGCGCTACCGGCTACTCGCTCATCCCCGGCCCCGGCGAGCAAGACGCTGCCGCTGATGCTGCCGCTGCTGCTGCCATCCTGCCCGATCGCACCAGCGTCTCGTTCATCCCCAGCGACGGCTCGGCCGAGCTCAAGCTACTCGTCGACGGCGAGCCCGAGGCCGTCGACGAGGCCCGTGCCGCCGATATCCTGGCCTTAGAAGACCTCGAGATCCTCGTCCGGCTCGGCACTGGCGACCAGGAGGCCACATACTGGACCTGCGACTTCAGTCACGAGTATGTCACCATCAACGGCGACTATCGGACGTAGAGAGGCGAGGAGGGAGGCGAAAGAGAGGAGAGAGAGACTACACAGATCACGGCTACGTATGTACGTACAGTGAACAACTTGAATAGAAGTCTGCTTTGACATGAATCGTGCATTCGCTACGGCAGAACGATTCGCCGATCTGACGGAGTTAACGGCTCCTAGACGGCAGGAGCGAGAGCCCACAATCTATTGTCAAAGCAACACTCTGAACAAAGTAAGATACGACGTACAATCCGACAGCCCACAGCCATGAGGCGGCTCATCCTCACCGGGGCCTGCTACCTCGACACGATCATCAGGTATGTTGTCGTCTTGCGAGCAAGTGGCCGGCAGCGGGGCGAGAATGGTTCTTCTTTGGGTCGGGCGACCGACAAGAGAGGATACGAGTGTACGAGTGTCCGGAACGGCGAGAAGGGATTGGCAGTGTCCTGACGATGCCCCCCGCTTCCTGGGTCACAGCGTCCCCTACTACCCGACAGAGGACACGAAGCTGCGGGCAGCCAGCGTCCAGGTCCGCCGCGGTGGCAACTGTCCGAACACGCTCGAGGTGCTGCAGCAGCTGGTGGGGGCAGAACCAGACGAGGCGGTGTCTGGCAGCAGCAGCGGCCGCGACGTCAGGGCCTACCTGGTCTCGTGTCTGCCGGCGGCCGACGCGGCGGCCACGCAGACGATCCTCGCGTCGTTGGGAGGACCATCGAGTCCCTTTCTGTGTTTTGACCACTGCCTCTACCGCGACGGCTTCCAGGCGCCGGCTAGCTGCTACATCCTGCGGTCGGCAGCCACGGGCTCGCGCACGAGCGTCAACGACAACCGGCTGCCCGAGATGACGGCCGACGAGTTCGCCGGCGTGGTGGCGGCCGTCGGCGCGTCGTCGGATCCCGCATGGTGGCACTTTGAGGGCCGCATCGCCGACGTCACGCTGGCTTGCATCGGCCACGTCCACCAGGCACGCCAGGCCGACGTCGTCGTCAGCGTCGAGATCGAGAACCCGGACCGGCAAGGATTGCGGGCGCTGGCCGCCGAAGCTGACGTCGTGTTCTACTCTAAGCTGTGGGCGCAGGTGAGACGGAGGAGAAGAGCGAACGAGCGAGCAGCCAAGCGTGACGAAAAGCTATCCACGTCGTGCTGATTACCACAGGGTCAAGGTTACGCAGATGCCGAGGCTTGTCTTCGTGGCGAGGCGGCATCGCTGCGTCAGGCGTAAGAAACCGCTTCCATATCCAGTCCCCCCTTTCGCATGTCTCCCTAACGTCTGCCTCCCAGAAAACTAGCTTTCTGCACATGGGGGGCCCAAGGTGCCTCGGCCCTGGTCTGTGCCGGATCACACGTCTTTATCAGCCCCGTTCCATCGCCACTGCCGGCATCAAGCGTGGTCGAGTATGGACAGCCCCTTCCCACTGCCGGTTGAAACGAGGAGAAAAGAGTGGAAAAAGAAAAAAGACGAGAAAAAGGGAGAAGCAAAGAGAAAAAAAAAGAGAAAAAGAAAGAGAAAGAGAAAAAGGAACAACGGGAACCGGGAAAACGCCCCAATAGGCGAGAAATCGTACGTTGTTTGCTGACTGCTTTTCCTCTAGCTCCGTCGGTGCTGGTGATACGTTTGTGGCCGGCATCCTCTACAGGCTGGTCTGCCATCGAGAGGAGGCCGCATCAGAGGCAGCAGGCGACGGGCTGCAGCCAGCAACGACTTGGAACCTGGATGACGCCAGCGTGCAGGAGGCGCTCGCCTTCGCCGTTGACCTAGCCACGCGCAAGGTCCAGATGGACGGTTTCCGCGGCCTGGTGGCCCAGACGAGTTGAAGTTGTCTGTCTTGGCGGGGGCTACCGCGTACAAGCCGGTCCAGACAGAAAGAAAGAACAGAGAAAGAAATTCACACACCCTTCCGTCCCTGCAGAAGGAAAAAGGAAAGGAAGAAGAAACGAAAGAGTGGGCGAGTCAGCCACAAAAGGGTCGGCAAAGAGGACGCCAGAAAACGAGCCTACTTGCACGCCCCCTCTCGAGCTAATTGGGCCAACTTATCTTTCCTCCAGAGCCCGGGATGTGACCAAGTGTCAGCGAGTGTGAGCGAGTGTGTAAGCGTGTGCTCTGTCTGGACGGCCTATCATCAATACGGACCACCTTACATAACACGGATACTTCGGGCCAAGACGGCAGGATCTTCGTCATCGCTGCTATTACTGAAGCTGGTGCGTGGCGCTGTGTTGTCCTGCTGCTGTGGTTGCACTCTGTCGTCAGCAATGATCCTGCGATGCACTACCACACAGAAGGAGCAACTGATTCCAGACCAACAAACACTACGAGGGATGTGCTCTAGTCACGAACAATCATCACACGTCGTTCGGTCCCCTCTTCCGTGACTTCCCAGGGCTGGCTTTGTCCGGAAGAGCGGCGATTAGCTGTCCTTTTCTTTTCTTTTCTTTTTTTCTTCTTTCTTCCCTGTTTCTCTTTTCTTCTCTCCCCCCCTTTTTTCCTCTCCCGCCTTCCGCTGTCTAGCACCCGTAATCTGCAAGTGGGCTCTAAAAGAGGCGGTGAGCGGGTTTGTGTGTCCGCTAAAGTACCGGGTGGAGAGGCGCAACCAGAGAGATGGCCCAAAAACGCATCATGCCCCAATTGCATACGAAAGTGGTTATGTATTCGCTTGTAAGACACACTTGTCGATGCAGCAGGTGTTTGATGATCCGTTGGGTTCGCCGATCGCTGTTGCCGGCCCTTGTTTGTCGTCTTTTGCCCATGCTGAACCAGTAGGCTGCTCGTTGTTACACATGCCTTTTCCCTTTCGGCACTGGTCAGATAGGAGGCGTTCGTGGTCAATCCTGATCGGGACAGCCTCTTGACCAGGTGTGCGCCAGCGATGATGGAACCCAATTTCACTTTCCCGTCGGCCACGGCATCGAAACGACAGCAACGGCACCAGCACCAGCACCAGCAAACTCTGCAGTCGGGCGTGCCAACTTTGTGGTGATGCCTGCAGGCCAAGAGGTGGTGGTCGTGGCGGGGTTGACAGTATCTAGAAAGAGGAAGAGGGATGACATCTGAAGAAACTGAAGAAACTAAAGAAAAAAGGGGGGGGAGGAGGGGGTCAAAGTGGGGGGAGAGGGAAGAGTTGCTGTTTCCTGGTGGAAGCTCCGCAACACCGTCATCCTCTGCTGCAGGGCCCTTCAGGCCGACGAAAAGCGAGCGCTACGACGACCTGCAGAACAGCGGGCGGACTGCTAGCTGGCTGCTATCTTACATAGTAGGCTGCTGGCTTTCACGCCGGGCGCCGCTAGCTGGCTGCTAACTGGCTAGAGAGCAGGCAGAGTTTTTATGCCTCAGCCTCGCAGCACCTGCATGCGTCTTTTCGGCACACGTGATGCCACCAAAGTGCCGCGTGATCCTGCGGATGCAAGGACGCCGCCAGGAGGAAGGTGCGAGCGTTGTACTCCGTACTCCATACATAGTATCCTACTTGAGTAACTCGGAGAGGCTGGACACAGGCGGTGGAAGTTACGGTACGGAGTACACAGGGCCCACATCAGTCCCAGAAGCCTTTACGATAGTTCCGAATATGGAGTACTTGTTGAATCGAACATCTCCAGACCGTTCGGATCGCTCGTATCATGTTGGCACGAACACGACAAGCAGGATGTGTCCGGCACGGGTTACGGCATGTTGCGCGGTGGATCGAAAAGCCGCGCAGGCCCTCGTAATGGCAACAGCCAAGGACTATGTAGCAGCACCCAACCCACACGTTCGCCTGAGCACTCTAAACGGTTGTCGCTGAATGCTGAACCTGTGAATGCCCAACCCTTCGCTCTTCGCCCCTCCTCCCCAACCCACACCCCTTCCTCCTCCATGCCCACTGTTTTTAGTGCATGCGTGCTGCAACGCACGACCCTTCTGCTCTGTTGTGACATGCATACATGTAAGATACGAGCACGGAGTAAGACCGGATGTAAGCTGTTGCAAAGCCACCATACAACGTACATAGTATACATGCATAGGATGTTCTGGCGGCCTCTCCAGTACAAGAATGCCCTGCTTGTCTGTCTGACAAGACGAAAAGAAAAGCCTCATCCTTGGTCGCAAAGAGACTGGCTCGTGTAGCGGCACGTATCTTACATGTGATAGCTCAGTCTGCTGCGTGCCTACTTTGTACGAAGGATAGTCAGACAACCTGCGCTTCAGTAGGAAGGGATCTTTCACCGTCGTTGGACGTGTTTCGGCAGCACCAAACACGCTACATAGTACCACTTCCTGCTCGGCCGACTTGTGTCAACTTGACCTCGGAGTCCAAGTGCTGGCCCGCATGTCTAGCGCTGGGTCTGGCCCAAGTACAAAGGACAAAGGACCCCTCAGCCTTGTCTCCAGCTGAGGAAGAGAAAGGATCGATGGTCCAGACCAAGTTGCCTGGTTGCCTGCCCCTTTTACTCTTTGTCCCGTTGCTTATTTGCCCAATCTCACCCTAGCATCACCGGCTGGAAAAAGACCGCTCTCAGACACACAGAGAATGTTGGATGTCTCGGATATGCCACAACTCCAGCTGTCCTGTTGCTGCCGTGCCGTCTGTCTCCCCCGTGGCCGCCCTTCTCTGTGCCCAAAGACATGTTGTGCATGTAGGGCGACATAACGACACGTCGTGAATTCGGCTGCCAGCGGACCATGGCGATACCCACCCGCAAGTGGCACAGAGGCAGCAGATATGCAATGCTGCTTTTTCCTGTCTACCCTTCTGCTGGTCTTAGGGGGAGACTGACTAGCTGGGCCGTTGCCTGGGTTCGTAATGCGACGGAGCTGGAGGATCAGCCCGCAATAAGACAAAGGGCACACTTACAAAGAAGAGAAAGGGAAAAAAGCAAAGCAGAGCTGCACCAGTGCGGCTGTGTTTCGGAGAGTACGCAGGCTCTTCCTGCAGGCAGGCCACAGGCTGCATTTTCACCTCTGAGTCTGGGCGCCTGCAGCGCAATGTCATCTGCCCGTCCGCTCCTCTTATTCGTGCGGCTCTCTGTATCGGCACAGGCGGCGACGAGTAGCGTTCCAGTGCAGCCGCCATCGAGATGACCGCCGTTCCATCCTTATTGCCGAACAGCGCTCGTACTCTGTAGACGTGTTTTCTGCCCGAGGCTTAGCCAGGCAGAACGTTTCGGTAGACCGAGAAAGGCACGGCGACGTCAGTCTTGCTCGCCATCCTCGTACCTCGTAGACGAGGAAATACGTGTACACGTTAAGGAGTGGTTCCGGCACCTTGCGTCGTATTCGTCGACACGAAGCAAGGCTCCGTCCTTGTCTTTTCTGCCAATCCCTCTTCCACAGGCATCGGCAAGAAGGGGGTGTGTTTTTAGCAAGTGGGAACGGGTAGCTTGTGGGTGCCAATCTGCCTGACGTTTCTCCCGTTGCTCGTGCGCCTTTTTCACTGTTTCACGTTTCCATGCCCTTTCTGCCTTTTCTGCTTTTCTTTTTTCCCTCCCGGTTGATCCCCACTCCATTACAGCATTCCAGTCTACGGAGTAAACCCCTCATCGACTTCCGGCCGCTGGACCCTCTCCCCAATCATGCCACGTCCGGAAAGTGCAGAAGACTCGCGGTCCTTCGCTGTTTCCCTTTTCACACTCCTTGCCTTTGATATTAATTCTGCACCCCTCCCCCCCCACCAACACACCTCCCCTCCGTCCTTCTCAAACCCCAGCGGCCGCTTTATATGACCCGTGCGGATACAGATTTTAGACTTTCTCGTCTCGATTCACGCAGACTATTATCAGACATCCTAAAGAGGGCGCCTATGCAACCTGGCCTGATTACGAGCGTGCCCTGTTTCGTTGTGAATGCTACCTGTCGCTCGGCAATCCGAAGCCGGGCCCAGCTGGACAGCACTGCTCGTCCGCCCGGTGTGCGTTACGCTCGCTTGCAAGGAAAGGCCATGGCGAGACCGCAACAGAAAATACAGGTGCCTTGTATCTTTCTCGTACCCCTCCCACTCGCCTGCTTGTGCTCCAGGCCAGAACCCATGGCAGTGGCACCGGGCAAGCCCTTCCTTCTGTTCCATTGGTGCACACAGCTAGCGCCGCTGCCAGTAGCATGTCGCACAGGTACAAGCGAGATACCCTCCGTGCCTGCGCGTGCTCTTGTAGGATACTTACCTGCCGGCGTACTCCGACAGAGACAGTACTCGCAGGAGCAACTGCCAACGGCTCGCCAGTTGACGATCGGTCTTTCCTTTTTAGCCTCGCTCGTTCCTTCCCCATCTCCTTTCAAGTGACGATCATTACCTCCCTTCGTGTCACAGGGCAGGGACTATTCGCTCCACCCCGACCATCACATGAAGTACGACGCACGGAGTGGTCGTATGTTGCCGGAATGCATATGTTGCAGCTTCCACTCTCTCTCCCTTGTCCTGTCATCCCTTACAGCCGTGGATCGCAAAGGACGTTGTAGCGCTTTCCGCCTGCCGGATCCCGTCATAATTTGTCCGCAGCTTGGCGAGGCGCTTCCCCTTGCTAGCCAGTCAGCTCTGTCCCTCACAGGCCTGCCACATTGTCCCAGACCCACTTTCTCACCTGCATTGTTTTTTTTCGCCTCCCGCTTCTCCATGCGACCATACTCAGTACTACGGAGTACGGAGCATCTTATAAAAATAAGGTAATATTAATCAAGAAAAAGAAAAAGAAAAAGAAAACCGTCTTACTACGACGTATGGATTCTTCTAACCAGTTAGCTGATCCCTGTGAGTATAATCCCCGTTCCATGTACTCCGTACATAGTAGAGCCCGCCCTTTCAGCAGATCGCTTACATACAGTGGCATACGTCTCCGTACATACTACC